TTGCATTATCTCTCCAATGAGTTCAAGGTGGAGTGCCTGGTTTCCTCATCTAATCCCAACAACACTGTGAGGCAGATTAGGCTGAGAGTCCTTAACTGGATTAAGGTCACCCGGCAAGCTTCAAGGCCAAAGGGAGATTTGAACCTTGGTCTCCCAAATCTTAGTCTGATTCTATAGCCATTACATTACACTACACCACACTGGCTTTGTAATTTGGGAAGGACACAGAACCTATACATGCCTATGTGATATACACACTGGTAAGACCAATATGCTGCCTCTTTTTTCTACGTAAAAGAGATAAAGCTTCAGATAAAGTGGTTTAAGTTTATGGAATACAAAACAGGTTACCTGAGTTTCATCAGAACGCCTGCCTAGACTAAAGCACTAGATTATTGAGATCGTTTTTCTGACGCTGGATATTACATGGCCACCTAGGTAGAAAACCCATTATTTTTTCCTCAAATAAGGATGACTAGATTGTATCCTTGTAAAATATGAGCAATATTGTCAAGGAAATGTGAGAGTCAGGGCTGGGAGGTTATCTATCTATCTGTTCAAAGAAAGGTAAATTCATCAGTAAATCCAATGCTAATGGATCATCTCAGAGAATGATCAGTTTTAATGAGTCTACTCTGCTATCACTGAGGCTACCACTGAAGTTACTCGTCAGCTGGAAAAAAAGATTTTATAAACAGAACGTAATGTGATTTTATGGACCATCTCCCTGCCTCCACAGGAAGACTCATTCGGTTTTACACTAGTATTTTTGCAGGGCAGCACACTCATCTGTGGTCAATTAAGCAGTATAACCAAACCCAACTATTATGCAATTCATAATAGTATGTTCCATCTTGTGATGATATCTAACTTTGAAAACAAAGCATTAAATGTCGCCCTGAGCCCGGCTTCGGCTGGGTAGGGCGGGATATAAATAAAATAAAATAAAAGTTTATTATTATTATTATTTAAATGTTATGATTTCCCACAGTCTGGTTATATATAGCCATATAGTTATATACGGTATATAGCTTGTTTGCCCCATGCCTTTTTAATAATAATAATGATGATGATGATGATGATAACAACAACAACAACAACAACAACAACAACAACAGACCCTCCAAGTGTCCCTATTTTCCAGGGACAGTCCTGGATTTGCAGAAGCCGTCCCGGTTTCTGATTTGATCCCAGAATGTCCTGCTTTTCCTTAGGATGTCCCTATTTTCATCTGAGAAATGTTGGAGGGAATGGAGTTATGCAACCCCTGAGCCAAGGAAATAAGTAACCATATAACCTTTAGAAGACACCTGAAGGCAGCTCTGTATAGGGATGGTTTTTTAATGTTTAACGGGTGGCATATAAATAAATGATGATGATGATGATGATGATAGTGATGATGATGGTAATGATGATGGAATAGGATGTCCCTATTTTCATTGGAGAAATACTGTTGTATACCGCCCTCAGAAGATCACAGAGAGGTTCACAACATAAAAATACAACTTGAGAACACAAAATGCATAGTAAAACAAAAACAAACCAATAACCCTCTTCCCACAAACACATTTAAAACGCCATAGAATTTTAAGCAGCCAAAGGCCTGGCTATACAAAAATGTTTTTGCCTGGTGCCTAAAGATTTGTAATGAAGGTACCAGGCGAGCCTCCCTGGGGAGAGCACTCCACAAATGGGGACCCACTGCCCATGGTGTTTGGCAAGGAGCTATATTGGCGCCTATGAAGCCAGGAGAGACCATGGACCAGAAACACAAAAAGTTTGCTTTTCATCACTCTGCCAATGACTTCCTGCAGGGCCATTGGGATTGGGGTCGTGTCTGCTCTGCTCCGCCTCTCCTCCTCCCATGTCCATCCATTGTTTGCCTGCTTGCTTCCTCCACTAGCTTTCCTTTCTGCTCCCTCCCTCCCTTTTTCCTCCTCCTGCATCACTCGCCTGTTCTCTCCATCTTTTTTCTCCTCTGAGCCCTTCTGGATGCTCCACTCGCTCTTCTAATAGCACCACCAGCCAACTGGAGTGGGTGGGTTGTGTTGCAGGTCTGTTGTGAAGGCCCATGCCAGTGACCGGATCATACACCGAGGAGCCCAGAGGAGCTTGCATGCCTCACTTGGCCACCCAGAGCAGGTACGGCACAGGTGGGAGGGAGGGAGGGCTTCTAGCTATTCCAAGCCAGAATGGAGAGGCGCAATTTTTGCATTCTCTTGGGCCTATGCCCTTTGTGGAGACCTATCTAATCAACTCCTGGGTATGCCCCTAAAGGTAAAGGGAGGCCTGACCATTAGGTCCAGTCGTGGAAGACTGGAGTTGCAGCGCTCATCCTGCTTTATTGGCCGAGGGAGCCAGCGTACAGCTTCCAGGTCATGTGGCCAGCATGACTAAGCCACTTCTAGCAAACCAGAGCAGTGCATGGAAACGCCGTTTACCTTCCCACCGGAGTGGCACCTATTTATCTACTTGCACTTGACGTGCTTTCAAACTTCTAGGTGGGCAGGAGCTGGGACCAAGCAACGGGAGCTCACCCCATCGCGGGGATTTGAACCGCAGACCTTCTGATCGGCAAGCCCTAGGCTCTGTGGTTTAACCCACAGAACACCCACAGGTACACCCCTAGCCATGGCTGAAAAGGCCTATTCTCATGTTGCCATCCTCTGGACCTCTTAGGGAGGAGCCACACCAAGAGCCATTTAAGGATTTATAGTTCAAAACTAGCACTTTGAATTGGGCCCAGAAATTGGCAGCTAGTGCAATCGATTGGAGCAGTAAGCTCAAAATGTCTTGCTCCAGTAAGCCACTGAAGTCTGCCCCAGCTGATAAAATTGAACCATGAGGAACCTCAAATTGAAGGCTCCATGGGGCCGAATAACACTCCCCAAGCATGAAACAACTTCCAAATAGTGGTGCCACCCCATCATTAACTTGGACAGCCACTATAGAAGCATACCATGGTTGATGATACAGAAAACTGTGTTCAGAGATCGAGAAGAATTAACAGGACACATTTCCCCTTTTTCCTGACAGATGTCATCATACAGGGAGACCAAAGCAGTTTGTGTGCCTAAACCAGCCGTAAACCCCCACTGAAATGGATCTTAAAAACCAGTTTCCTCCAAGAGCACCTGAATCTGATCCACAACCACCCACTCAAGAACCTTGCCCAAGAAGGGGAACTTGGCAATTGACCAGGAGTTTCTTAAGCTTTCCTGAATCCAGGGAGGGTTTCTTGAGGAGTGGTTTTACTGCAGCCTCCTTCAAGCAGGCAGGAACCACACGCTCTCACAAGAAGGCATTAATCACTTCCCTGGCCCAGTCAGCTGTTCCCTCTGCTAGTTTTCATCAGCCATGAAGGACAAGGGCCCAGAGCACAACTGGTCCCCCTGATGGGAACAATCTGTCAGGGGCTCTCGGCTGGTTGCCCAGGAAATTATAAAGACAAGGAAGAGGTCCTTACAGTCCTTTTTTATTTCAAACTTTACAGAGAGAGGCTATAGAACCCAGCCTCTTGGACAATAGCGTTGTCCTGAGTGAATCCTCACCCCACCTTCTCTTCTACTGCCTCATTCGTCAAGATTATAATCTTGGGTGCTGCTAAGTGCCCTCAATCTCTTTGCTGTACTACTTTTAAGCCTTGCCGGGTTCTGGGAGATTGTGGGTCTGGGATGCTTCCTAGTGACCTGTCAGCCAGCTGCTGCCCAGGCTCTGTCTGCTCCTTCTCTCTCATTATTTCCCATTTCCCCTCATCTGCCTCTGAGCTGTGACCTTCCGCAAACCACTGTTGTAAATCTCTATTGTCTTCCTCTTCTTCCTCCCTGGAAAAGTCAGGATGGGGAGGCGGTCTCCACCACTCCTCTTCTGCTCAGCCCCTGACATCAGCCATTTTTTTGAAATTTTAAATGTCATTTGCATTTTTTAAAAAATGATATTTTTTTTAGTACTTGGATTATTATTATTCAGCCAAACATGATTAGTGTATTCATAATCAAGTCACAGAACTTAAATCCTTTTGAAAATGTAAATATTTAGAGATGCCATTCTTGAAGTGCTGGGCGTAAGGTTAGCTAAAGGTGGCATGGTTTTTAAAAGGTTGAGAAAAGCTGGTTTAGTGTAAATGAGAAAGTCACTCATTTGTAGATTCCTGCTGGACTCCTGATAGCCTTCCCTTCTGAAGTGATGGAGGAAGCCTCTATACTTCTTCCCACTGGCTGTGCCCTGAATGGTCTTGGGATATAGATGGCTGTGGGCTGCCAGAGAGCTGAGAAACTCCAAAGGACTGTGAGATAACACACTTATTGGCAACTGATCTCCCTTTCTGAATTTTCAACATAAATGCCTCTAGTGGCTTGTGTGTTCAGACTTGTATTTGCAATGTGAAGCTGGCCTCCTCTTCTTTTACATCTCCCGCAACAGAGACAAGAACCTCCCTCTCCAGGAATTCAAGCTTAGCATACTAGTCAGCTAAGTACAAGCGACTCCACATTTGCTTGGGTTCCAGGTCACTGTGTGCGTCAGCAGTCCCATGTAAGCCCATTCCAGCCCCACCTGCTTCTAGGGCTAGAAACACCACATGTGTCGTTGGCGTGTATCAATCGGACACCGCCTGCATGGGAACATGGGCATGTCTAGGGGTTGGCCAGGTGTGTAGCTTCTGCCGCCGTGTTCAGGTCAGGACCTCTGAAAATTGCAGGTGGCACTTGAGGTTCTTTACATTGCACTACATGCAATGCAGCAAGAGATTTATATACCTTGTCTGAAGCGGTTTCTCAGGACCTGGCAGTGAGGCAGGGGGAAGGGCTTCTAACACCACTGCTCCCCCAATGCCTGGTGCCCTCTGGCACTAGACAGAAGCTGCAAGCTATTATGAGCTCAAAGAGGAAACTGTGATTCAGCTGCCATGGCTATTGGAACATCTGAAAACAGTGTGTGTGTGTACGTGCACACATAAGTGCACTATATGCACCTCTGTCCTACCCAAGTAATTGCTTAATACTGTCTGTTTCATTTTATTTAAAATATACTGTAAGGCACCTTGAAAACTTCAACAGATGGGGTATAATACAAAAATAAATATATATTCTCCTGCCACCCCAAATCATGTTGGGAAACAGGGTTCTCTAAAAACCTTGTAGTGCAAAAAACTGGAGTCAACATACTGTGCTACTGACATCTGCAATTAGATGTTTTTAGAAACACAACTTCCCATAGGTGTTTTTGCATTGTTTTACTGAAACTGAAAAAGTATCTGTACCAAAATGTACACAATTTTGTAATAGTACAAAATGGTTTGTTTTTTAAAAGACAGAACATCAGTTACATTCACCCAAATAAGCACTGAACATACCATTTATTGCTAGCTCAGTGTCATATTAAATAATCAAAGCAAGGTCAAACTCTGCATAAATAAGAAAAAACAGTAACTTCTGGACAACAATACTGTAAGGATATGGACATTCATGATGCTATTTACAAGTAGCCGTAGCACATACCTAGCAATAGGTGTTGATTTGCATTAGCTCTATAACCTATTAACAAAGTACTACAAACAAGAGTACCACACAAAAAGGGACACTCACAATGAGTTCCAATGAGAAGACTAAGGGACCTCAGCCCTCAAATTGTCCTTTGAGCCAACTTGGAACAGTGAGCCATCTTTCTATCTATAGTCTTCCAACAAGTTTTCCTGTGTAGCATTGAGTGCACTTCCCTGGTATGCAGCTACCTTGGATGGAATTGCTTTTCTTCTCTCTTCTCAAATCCTGTAGTTAGTAGTCTTCAAGAAGTGATAAGCAACTTAACTTGGTAAAAAAACACATTTAGAACTTGCTAAAAAAAACACCAATCCTTACAATTTCTTCAGGAAAAGAAATATTAAATAAGTAATCAAGTAATATTAATTTAACCGCTCTCTCATCTTGAGATACACACCTATTCCTGCAGAAGTGCACACCATATTCAAAAGTGATCATTAAGAAATAGTGTAAACAGGTTTTTGACTTGCTTGAAACCATTCCTTTTAAACTTTACCAGGGGTGCTGTTCACTATGACTTTCTCCTGGGGAAAGCACCACTGAACTTAACAGGAACCAGTGTCTAGAGCAGCTGCCCATCATTTCCACTGGGCTAGCCCAGGAGAACTTCCCAGTGCCTTGTTCTGCAAAGTTTCTCACCCCAGTGCAGGGTAAGAGTCTCTGAACAACATGCCTGTTAACTTCACGTGTCTGTATTACAGAAATGTCGCATGAACGTTAAAAAACTGTATTATACACAACAGAATGCGAAGCACTCTGAAATCGAGACTTCTGAAAACTATTGTGACTCAGTGAAATTATCCCAACACCCAAATTCTAGGCTTAAAATTTTGAATAAAACTAAAGTAAGGATTTTGTGAGAAGCAATTAGATGAGACCTGAAAACAGTTACAACATATGAAAACGCCAACAAGCCGTTCTAAAACCCCTCTCCATCCCCCAATTTGCTGAAAAGTGATAAATTTGGTGGAGCTGGCTATTCTCTTGCCCCAAAGGAGTTTTACTGGTGGCCAATTCTTGCTGCATGACACTCCAGGTTAACTTGAAAACAGTGATCACAATGGACATTTCAAAGCAACTAAGCGAGTAGACTGGTTTAAAACAAAGTTACTGAACTTATTTCTCAGTAGTACACTAGTCAAAATATGTTCACCTCAAAAATGACAAAGGCAGACACTTTTGAATAACTTGAGTAGACTACAAGGAGCCTCACTCTATAAAGTGTATGACTCTAGCTTATTCATAGTCCTATGTAAGAACTATCTGGAGCATTTCCCACAGAGAAGCATCCTTTTATGGCAGACAAAGGGCTAAGGATTCAGGAAGCTGTGGGCTGCCTATATGTCCACTGATCCTCTTTCAAGTGTATTTCCAAGAATTCACTGCACTGAAGACTTATCTTCCTTCCAAAATTCACAGATAATGCGTTATTTCTTTTCACTGGTCAAACAGCCACAGCAATGCTTTGCTCCAAGTTTGCCAATACTCAAACAGCTTTCTTGGTACAAGTTCCTTGGAGATCTTGCAGGTTAATTTTTGACCTATTAAAAACAATAGAAACAAATTCAGGTATGTCCTGATTTCCACATTGTATTTTGTTACTTGGTGGGGAACAATTTCTTTCTCACCTGTTGTGGATCATGTGGCTTTTGACCAAATGCCCGGCAGCTAAAGCAGCCATTAGAGAGAGTTCTCCTGCCATTACTGTGCCACACACAATTCTGGCAAGCTGACGGGCATTATCTCCAGGGCTCTCTGTACTTGCTCCCTGAACCCCCAGCACCTGTAAGCAAGAGGAGACACTCTACTTTAGAAGCCAGGCAGAAACAGGTTATATTCAAGGCATGAACAACCTAAGGTTCTCTCAAAAACACAGAAAGCATAATGCAGAGCTGACAACTCAGTGGTAGAATACAGGCTTTGCACTCAGCAAGTCCCAGGTTCATCTGCATGGGATCTTGGAAAGCCAATATTGTCACAGTGGACTGAACAGAGCTTGATGTATCAGTGTCTGACCTGTAGAACCTAAACTGATTAAAAAAAAAAAAAGATTTGGTGGGAGAGAGGGAAGGAAGAAAAATTATGCATGCTTTATGTTACATTTCACAAACTAGTGAAACATTTCATCACTCCCATAGGTCATGGGCTCTGTAATTACAAGTGTTCTTCTCACACATGCTCTGCTTTAAATTCAGGCATGTGAGTGACAGGCATACATGTTTTTTCCATTGGTACACATGAGAAGTTTATCCTAGCCATGAAAAGAAGAGTAATAATCAGGAAATGGTGGGATAAATGTGGGTTTGCAGGCACAGTACATGGGTTCCAAATGGCAAAACATGAACAAATTTAACTATGGCCTCTGAACAGAGGTGGGCAACCTGCAGTCCACATGTGGCTGTCAGCTGCTCTTTGTGCAGCCCAATGAACCCTGGAGAGCTGCACTTAGCTGAGCATTGGGGGAAGCTATTAGTTGGCTGGAAGGAAAATTATTCATCCTCCAATGCAGCTAAGATAGTTCTCTTTGATAGCAGCACAAGGACCTTGATTTTTCTTGCCACTCTGGCCAGCTGAGCACCAGGAAAGTGTGAGATTGGAGACAAGAGGTGTGGTGTGAATGGGCGTTTGTATTCTTGATACTGACATGAAGGTCCTGAGTGCCCACCCAATGCCAATGCGGCAAAAAAGATTCTTCACCCTGCAATTTGTTGTTGTTTCTTATATTATTATTATTATTATTATTATTATTATTATTATTAGTTTTTACATACCGCCCATCTGGCTGGGTTTCCCCAACCACTCTGGGCAGTTCCCAACAGAATATTAAAAACACGATAAAATATCAAACATTAAAAACTTCCCTAAATAGGGCTATGCAGTTACAATACAGATCTGAGTATGGTTCTGGGTTAGCAGCTTTCTGTCTTTTGCTGCTTCATACCTGCAAACAAGCCTGCTGTGGTAAAAGATTGGTTCCTCCACCCACGGTTCCAATTTCGATTGAGGGCATTGTGCAACTAATATATAGATCTTCATTGGTAGGGCCAGTTGATTCCATCAGTGTGATGCAGTTCGAGCTGCTAATATTCTGTGCTGCATCCTACAGTCAGTACAGAAAATTCCAGTTTTAGCATAGGCGTGTTTCAGCTACATAATCTCTCGCATACAGTAAGTCAAGTGCTAACATACCTGCCCACATGCAATATATATTGCAGTGACAATGTTTGCTGCGTGAGCATTATAGCCACCGATGCTGCCAGCCATTGCGGAACCAACCAAATTCTTGTTTATATTGACTTCAATCATGGCTTCCGTGGTAGATTTCAGTACCTAGAACAAGCCCACAAAATACTGTTATACTTCTCAGAAGCTGAAGCAGTAATTCTCTGCTACTCAGGGATAAAACTCATTATGTAGATGCAATTGCTATCGGGGAAAACAAACCCTAAATTCTCCACCCCACCTGAAATATCATCATCACAGGGTGCTAAGAATTCCAAGGGAGATCTAATGTGCCTACTACATTATTACTAATCTTTAAAACTTCTACCCCACCCTTCTTTGTCACATGACACAGACCTATAGCCAGGCAGTCTGGCAAGCTACTCTGAACAGGACAGAAGATTGAAAGTAGTGATAATCTGAAAATGAATTCAACACAAGCCATTTAACAAACATGTTGAATCCAAGAGTGTTGGCTCACACAGCATGTACTCACCTCTTTTACAACCTTTGCAGGAATGATTGCCTCACAGACCACAGACTTCCCTCTCCCCTCTATCCAGTTTATTGCAGCTGGTTTTTTATCTGTACAGTAATTCCCACTAACAGCTACAATGTGGAGATCAGGAAACTCTTCTTGTAGCCTTCCAAGCGCTTTCTCAGTGCCCTGTTTGGAAAAAGGGAAAGGGAAAGAGAGAGAAAATGTATTTACTGAACACCAGCCATGAAGCACTGTAATTCTCATTGATCTCGTCTCAAAAGAATTGCTGCTGAAACTTGACAGTGGAACTGGGAAAATATACACAGAATTTTTATTAACCATTTAAGTAACATTTGAACTGAACTCGAGAGGCCATGTGCAAGGCACATCATTCCAGAGTCACCAATACTGTCCCCATGGGCACCAGGGCAATGCCTGGGAACCTATCAGGTTATCAGCTTGCTTCCATGGCCAGCTGTGGACATAAATAGCCTCTGTAGGGAACATCAGATGCCTCCTTAGGCCTAGCTCCTTTCTGACTGTGCTTTTCTCTCTGCACCCATCCCCCTTCCATCCTGATAGCAATTGTGAGTGTTTGAAAGAACAGAAGAGGAGGAGGCAGAGCAAAGTGATCAATGGAAAATCAGCGACCATAATGAAACAATATCTATTCTGATTGCACTCTGGATATCATACCACTACACATTTCAAGAACAGTTCATTTTGAACTATATAGAACAAGTGTTCAAAGACCACACATTTCATTTGCCCTGCAAGAGAACTGTGACCCCTCTTCATTTTATCAACTAGGAACTGAAAATAATACAAAGCAATTTGTTCCAGATAATCCTTTATGTCCTGAGGGAGATTCCCCGATCAGAGATATTTCATTTAATTGGACTACAATACCATTTTCTATTAGTGTAACACTTTCACACACAAGAAAGATGTGTATGCACACGCATAAGGGACAAGAATCCTGACTCTTTATACAGTATTGATTTTCTCTTATCCCTCACAGTTTCCTAGAAAAGGCTTGAATAATTAGTGAATTTTGAAATAATTGTTTAAATGCACAGAACAAATTCTAGAGCTTACTTTCGAAATCATGTTCATTCCCATTGCATCACCAGTTCTAGACGAGAAGCGAATATAAAGGTTGCGGCCAGCCAAACCAATTTGAAGCCTTTGCAGACGGGCAAATCTATAAAGAAGAAAGTTTATTAGATTACATCCCATCTCATAATCTATTTTGGGTGCATGACTTTCAACTGTCAACAACAACATTAAGGTTCCCTCCTGCCTCCCTCTTGCTAGCTATAGAAAATGCTAACCTGCTTGTGCTATCAAACGCATCTTTAATTATCTTGAATCCTTCTGGGGTTTCCAGCCAAGCCTTCACTTCGGCAGCCTGGCAGGCAGTAGGCAGCCTTACAACAGGCCCTCGTGTCATTCCATCTGCCAGAATGCGGCTACTGGCACCTCCACCAAGCTGAAAGCAAAAAACCGCCAAATGGTAGGGTGAGTGGCTGGTTAATGTGCAGGTTCAACAAACAAGTAACTATTGTTTCATAGTAGCTGCTTAAATAGTGCCCGGCCAACACAGCTTGTGTAATTAATACTTACACATATTGCTCTGCACCCTCTATTTGTGCTTGCCACCAGACAGCCTTCTGTTGTTGCCATTGGAACTTGAAACTCTTTCTTATCCAGAAGAAGGGGGCCTGCCACTCCCACAGGGATTGGCATGTATCCAATCACATTTTCGCAACAGGCACCCAGCACCTTAACAAAAAAGCCAACAATTAAGATGTAACCATCACCACATTTTTCAAAAATTACAAATTTCATAGTTATAAAAAATATTTTTAAAACTCAAACGTTTGATATTTAAAGTAACTTGTTACAAAGAGTAAAACAATTTCCTTCCACTCTCATTCAATGTGACTGTCAAGTAACTTAGGCAGTTTTCCAACATCAGTAACAACACCCAAACTCTGCATACTTTCCTCTATCATCTTGGTAATAAGGTGCGGGCAGAACAAGTTGTTCTCTTGTTCTATGACACAATAAAATTAACAATGTATATGATCACAACTTGTTACAAACAGGGATGAGGCACTTGTGTAATCCTGAAAAAGGCTGTCCCTCTGTAAACTGGGAAGGTTACAGAAGCAACAAAAAACCCAAGGAGATGCCACCATCACTGACTTTACAAAACGTCCACCACTAGCTATACCCGATGCTCTCCTTTCTCATTTACCACAGGCTGAGAACTCATAGCTATTACTGACGAAACTCATTATGCCAGACTCCAAATCAAGAAGTTTGGAACATTGAATTCCTCTGTTAAAAGAAAAAATGTTTATACACAGTTACATTCGCCCACTTGTGCTCACCAAAGAATAATCGTAGTTCTTATAAGGAAGACGCTGTAGGGAGGAAGGTTCAGGAAGCTTCTGGGATAACATTTGTCTGCGAATCGACACACCACGTTCCTGAGTTTCCATCAAAGTTTCCAGCTTATAGGCAGGAATATATTTTGCACTGACTAAACTAATGACCTCAGCATCAGAAAGGAACTTTGCACCCATCTAGAGAAAAGAAATAATTTGGTAACTTTATTTTTAAAAAGTATTTACAGGTTGCCTCTTTGCTTGAGGCAACAAAGCATTACATACAGAACTACAATTAAGCAGAGAATTAGTTGAAAGTCCAACAAAAGAGATTCACTCCTCCAGGAAAATTTGCTCTTGACTTCATCTTTGTTGGTCTTTTGGGACCAGGCAAAGGCAATGTTTCTTCCACAAAACATTTGAGTCTGTAAGTCTATATGTATCAAGCCATGTAACAGCTAGAATTTTAGCTGCTAGTAAAGACTGGGAAAACAAGAACTTTAACTTGTCAGCATGCCATAAATTCCAAGGTGTGGGTGGCAATATAGACTCTTACTTCTTGACCTTTTAAGGAGGGATTTAACTTCTGACATAAGATAGAAACCAGAGCAAAGCCTCTCTTCCAGATTTCAAACAACAAGGAGGAACTATAGAATGGTTTTATCTGCAACACACTCAGCTACAGTCAATCTAATGATCTTAACAGTGGAACCACAATGGAAACTTACACTTTCCAAGGTTCAATATGAACACTTTTATACAGCCAGTAATAATAATTTATTATTTATACCCCGCCCATCTGGCTGGGTTTCCCCAGCCACTCTGGGTGGCTTTCAACAAAATATTAAAATACAATAATCTATTAAACATTAAAAGCTTCCCTAAACAGGGCTGCCTTCAGATGTCTTCTAAAAGTCTGGTAGTCGTTTTTCTCTTTGACATCTGGTGGGAGGGTGTTCCACAGGGCAGGTGCCACTACCGAGAAGGCACCGAGTGTAAGCTTAGAGGCTCTTAACCACTATTTTAAAAGATTGCCATTGATTTGGTGGGGTAGGTCACAGGGGAAGAGATGGACATTTGAAGTGTAACAGCTCAAATGTAAAATAAATTTGGAAAAATATTATTCTGGGGAGCAGACCATTTGTATTGCTCATACCCAGCCTTTGAAAAATGTTAAGGCAACCCTTTTTCAGCTCAAAGGTTACCTTCTCCCTGAGGCAACGGGGGGGGGGGGGGCACATGCCAGTGGTAGGTGGGGCCATTGGCTAAAATGAATGGAGCAACAGGTGTGACTCTGAGCTTTGGACACTAGGCTACATTCAAGCCATGCAAATTAGTCAAGATGTTTTTACACACCACCACAAACACATCTCTCCATACTCCACCGAGGCAAGCAACAGGCATGATCATAATGCAGTGCCACATTCCAGCCAGGCAAAAGGGCTTGAGGAAGGCACAGAGCAGAGTCCATGGAGAGCCCTGAGGGCTGGAAGGAGAGACCTGGAAAGCCACATTCTGCACCCAGGCATCAGGTTTCCCACCACTGGTGTAATTTTGGGCGCAAGTTACCAAAACATACCAAAAAAGGGGCAGTTTTCCCCAATTCCCACTATGTCCCCCTAAAAGCTGTTTTTGGGGGGTCAGAAGAGCCCCACGCAACAGCATGGGAAGTGGTAGTGGGGAAGAGGAAATCTGCAAAATTCACCTTCAGCAGGCATTTTCTGCTAGAGGGCCACCCTTCCCTTCGTGATAGAGTAAGACTGGATCCATTCTGAAGCCAATCCAATTTTTTACCCATTCTTGAGAATTTCAATGGCTATAAATCAGCATGAGTAAAAAGAAAAAGCAGAATGTTTCCAAATTTACTCTGCATGTCACGTTCACAAAGTTGACACGTATAAACACAGCGCACTCCACTCAATAGATGTTGTGAATAACCCAATTAATAGTTTTTGCATAAAGATCCTGAACAACTTTAAAGTACTAGATGATTCCATAGTTCTCCTTTCATACCTTGTCATTCTTAAATATACTCAGACATTCTTCAATAGAGCGTATCTCTTTAGGCAATTCAATTCCAGGATATTTGCTGTCACTAACTGGGGAAGTTTCTGAAGAAGTACAATTGCCAACCACAAATGTGGCCTTCGATGGAGATTCTTGTACGACAGGCATTTTAACTTCATCTGCAGAGAACACCAACATTGGAAATTTGAAGAGTGGGCACTTTCATCATCAACTTGTTTGTATTGCTAAAAAAGTTAATACTAAAAGGTTACCTTTTCTGTCTTTGGCAAGTGGAAGATTTTCTACTTTTCTGGGACTAGGATTAGATTTTAAAGGCACAGATTGCTTTATGCAGCAGTGTTCAGGATTTTTTTTCTGGATCACTAGTGGGGATGTTATAGGGTTCTTCAATGACAGTGTAGATTCCATCTCTGTTTGCTCAAAGAAGATGTATTTGACAGCAAGGAGGAAAGCTAACCCAAGTGTAATAACTTGCTCAATGTCCATACTGGCCATCCTAGAAAGATTAGAGAAGTTGACTACATTACCTACTTCACTGTTAAGAAGGCATGCATGACAATGCTTTAAGTCAAGGTTACTGTCTATCCTTTCCTGTAGGCATGCAGTAGTGTCACGGGAAGCAAGCATATCAAATCACGTGAACCCTGAGAGCAATTGTCAGCAGCATGGGAAACTACCACTCAAGCAGCTATCATGCTGCAATAGTAGCATATATATCAGCCATAGGTAAAGTGTGACACTTATTTGAATAGCATAGCTAGCATATAAATAATTTCAACACTCAGAATTATTCACATTGGGACTAGACCCAGGAAAAAAATGTAACTGTCCAAATCCTTTAAACTCAACGTGTGTGCCATCCTCCAATGACTCTTACGTGATTAAAAAAAGACCTGCACAGAAATTCAAGCTCTGTGATAGGAGAATTCCACCATTTAAATAATTAAAATGCACTGGTCTATACTACTTGGAAAAGCAACAAACAAACAAACACCTATCTACTAGACGGAATCTAACATTTATGGCAAATGCAATGGAATGCTGATTAGCAACATTATGCGAAAACATACCTGGAAAGATAGAATTGCCATAGAGAAACATTAGGTTCAATTCTCTTTGGTGCACTTTCATCCAGTCCCATAGAAATTTCTGCTGTGCTGTTCTGAGCAGATGGCTCTGCTATCCAACGACTGTGAGCATGAACAAGAACCAAACCTAGAGACTTAAAGTTAAGAAGTCAGTTGTTATTGATTAGCTCACCAAGGGCTTTGCACCAAAGCCAACATTAAACACAAAGATGAGAAAATGGTAGATACAACTTCCAAATAAATATTCATGCATGGTCCTCCTTTATAGTGTATTTGGGGAGGGTGATATCCAATGTTAGTCATCCTCAGGAACCTAAGTCCACTGATTTCAGTGAGTCTACTGAAAGGTATAGCTTACTGCAAGGCATTTGTGTCCTGTTACTTATTATTATTTCTTTGCTGAAGTTGAAAATTTGTAAGATTAAAAAAATGAAGTCAATAGAAATAATGTTCATTTTAAAAAGCTGTAGTCAGCATGGCTAGTGCCCTCCTAATTAATGCAACACACAGTCTTAATTCTGGTAACACATTCCAAGTGTAGGGAGGAGGAATGGAAATCACTGGAGTTTGGTCTCCTACCAGGCTTTGAGCCCAAATGGTCATGTTTCTTTTTTCTTTTCAACTTGCATGTCATACTCAGGCTGCTAATAGTCAAATTACATGGCAACTGAATCTGTTACATTTTGGGGAACTCAATGCACTTTAAATACCTCTTAACATTTTATACTCAAGTTTTCCTGGACTCTTTAATTTTGTCTTTATCCAGTTTGGATAAATTCAACTTTATTGAATTTTTATTGTAATCCACTTAATTTATTTATTATATTAAGTGGTAAGCACTTTTTAAATTAATAAATCAAACCAAATCTGTTTTACTGACTCGGAGTGCTCAAAATAAGAGTCCATTAAAAGCAACAACCTACCATAATCATTTTGACTCTCTGTGTTACAGGATTAGGTTTGTTTTCTTCTTCTTCAAGAACACGAGCAAAGTGACTAAGCTGCCATATGGGACGTCCTTCACGGCTTTCTCGCGAAAGCTGCAGAAATCAATAGTATATATACAACATAGATTTGAAAAACAAGTTTCCAGAAGTCTTTTGCACAGGACCATATGACAAGGTATACAACTGTGTATATTTCTGTGTGGAATGTAAGATTAACCTTTCAAAATAGAAACAATGGTAAAGATGCTTGTGTAACTGGCTTTTAGCTCTCCTAAATATTATAAAGATTAGCAGCGATGTAGCTAGCCACTCGAGTGCCGGGGCAGCAAGCACGTGCTGCGCAGGAGGGGCAGGGCGCGCTGATCGGAGCCTGCACAGAGTCCACCCACCGCCTTCCCCTCAGCTGGAGGGCAGCCAGGAGGAAGGCAGCGGCTGGGGTGCCCTGCAGGCCACGCACCACATGCAACTGCAACCCCAGTGCTGCCTGTGGCACCCCGCCCCCTCCACTCCCCCTTCCTCTGCTAGTGAAGATTAGATATGCTTATGGAGGTGAGACCAAAATAAAGAAGCATTTATCCTCTAACTATTTATAACATATGAAATAAGGAAGACAAAACAGAGTTTACATATTGTTTTTCAAAAAAACAAATCTGTAACAGGGTAACAAAATATTACAGTTGTTGCATTCTAACTATGCTGCAAACATACAGTCTGACAACTGCAGTATGAATCATAATTATATCAAAGCTAGGAGTTTATTAATGCCTGTGGTTATAACCTTAACTCTTTGCAGATCACAGAGTCTTCAAAATAAATTACAGCATTTTATTAGCCCATATTAGACTGTTTCCTCTGTTAAGTTTTCTTGCACAAGACTCTTTAAAATGATCAGGAGCAACAGCTACAAAATGCTCTTGTGCAATTTCCATAAATTTCAATTGCTAGGGAAAATCCTTTGACTGGCACATATACAAATGATTTCCCCTTGTTTTTAATAAATGTTCTTGGAACAAAAACCATTTTCAATATAATTTTAATTTTTTAAAAACTTAACTCAACCCCGCCTAAACAATAAAGAGAACAGTATGAGGCATTACCTACATATTTATATATATAATATTATATAGCACAATAATGGAATTGAATAACCTCGATCAGTTATGGGGAGCATTTCACCTAACAGATGTTGCTGAAGTACAATTCCCATCAACTGGAGGGACAATAGTTCCACAGTCCTGACCTAAATCCTAGAAACTTTTCTGCTAAAACATCATACAGTACATGGAGAGTTATTGTGGGGTGGGTGGAATTGGGGCATTTCCAGAAAACATTAATTCTTACTGATCAAAACTGGAGACATATACCATCCTGTCAAAATTTTAACAGTTCTCTCAATGCCAAATTTAAAGAGAATGTTTTATTTTTATTCCAGTTTTTCCCAGATCCCCATAGGCTTATTTTCTCCAATAGTTTAAGCCCGTTTAATTATAAAGTATTTCATTTTCTGGCTCCCAATTACACTTGAACAATAAGACATCAGTCCTAGAAAGTAGATAGTTATTGCTGGTGGTTATATCAGTGATGATTTTGACATACTCTTACCTCCAATACCAGTGACACACATGCAGGAAAGAATGTCATGAAGACAAAATAGTTGGCCAGGACAGACATACAGCCAAAACAGCACATGATTTCAAGCTGTCTTACTCCTGTTAGAGAGACAAATACCAAGCATTAGAATCCCTGTTTCCCCCCCACTGTATTTTCATATGGATTTTAAAAGGCATACAAGCACACCTCTAGACACTGTGGCACATGCACTCAATACAAAATGGACAGAAGTGAGAAGAACTTCCTTGTAATCCCTCTTCCTACTGGAAATAACACACAGCTTGCTACTCATGACCAGCAATTTCTAAAAGTCTGCTGGCATAAGTAAATGTGAAGCTAGAATAATCCCAAACCACATTTAGTTGTATGTTTATATACACCATATTTGCCTTTGCAGAATTGTACAGTTGCAAGGGACTAGCCAAGGCATGGCCAGACTTGGCCCTCCAGCTGTTTTGGAACTACAACTCCCATCATTCCTAGCTAACAGGACCAGTGGTCAGGAATGATGGGAACTGTAGTCCCAAAACAGCTGGAGGGCCAAGTTTGGCCATGCCTGGACTAGAGGGAGGGGGTCACCTAGTTCAAACCCCCCCCTGCAATGAAGGAATCAAGGCTAAAGAATCCCTGAAAGATGGCCATCCAACCTCTGCTTAAAAACCTCCAATGAAGAAGAGCTCACCACCTTCCAAGGCAGTCTGTTCCATTTTGAAATAGTTCTTAGCAGCAGAAAGTTCTACCTAACGTTTAGTTGGAATCTGCTTTCTTGTCATTTCAATCCACTAGTTCAGGTCCTACCCTCTGGAGCAGGAGAAAACAAGCTTGCTCCATCTTCCATGTGACAGGCCTTCAGATATTTGAAGATGGCTGCCATATTAACACTCCATCTTCTATTCTCCATGCTAAGCATACCCAACTCCCTGAACTGTTCCTCATAAAGCCTGGTTTCAATCTTTTTTTATCAATCTTTGTCACCTTCTGCACAAATTCCAGCTTTTCAATTTCGTTCTTGAACAGTGGTGCCCAAAACTGGACACAGTACTCTAGTTTGATTCTGACCAAGGCACAATGTTGTTGTTTAGTCGTTTAGTCGTGTCCGACTCTTCGTGACCCCATGGACCAGAGCACGCCAGGCACTCCTATCTTCCACTGCCTCCCGCAGTTTGGTCAGACTCATGTTTGTGGCTTTGAGAACACTGTCCAACCATCTCGTCCTCTGTCGTCCCCTTCTCCTTGTGCCCTCAATAAAGTGGTACTATTACTTCCCTTGACCTGGATACTATGCTTCTGTTGATGCAGCCTAGAACTGCATAAGCTTCCTTTTGCTGCTATACTGCATAAGCTTCCTTTTGCTGTTGAATATCTATTGCAAATTGGCATTTTCTGTTCATATTTAGGTTAGGAAGACTGAGGACTTACAAGCTGTACCCTAGAAAGCTGTTGGTCAGCCTTAAAGGCGTTTCAAACAATAGGTTAAATCTGCAGTAAGTTCTGTTCATGAAAGGTGGTCTCCCCCCCCCCCATCCATACAGTAGCTCCCAGCTTTGCCAAAGGGTGATAGGGTGCTATACGGCATGGGAGGAGAGATCCAAGCTGAAAATCACACATCTTCTCTAAGCAGAAGTGCCTTTCTGCTCATGCAAGCAGGCTCTTCATTCACCCAAACATATTACAAATTTATGAGCATGAGCTTGGCAGTTAACATGTATAGAAACATGGGCAGCATAAACTAACAAATCCCATCTTATGGGGAACAAAACAAACAAACAAACCAAGAACAATTAGCCTACAGTTACTATGTAAAAAGAAGATCAATTCGTAACTAGTGCATCTACCAATTAATTCTGACTTCTTCAAGACTCTCTTTGTACACTATGGTATAATGACCACATAGAGGCAACTCCTGGTTTAGGTGTGTCTGAATGACACGCAATCTCACACATGTGCACAGTACCGAACCCAGAAATAGACCCCGAAAGGGGTAGGGTCGTCTTACGCACGGGAGTTCAGAACAAAAACCCCAAGCAATCCTCATAAAACGAGGATTGACTATAGTGATGGATATGGGATGACACTTAAAAACTTTTTTAAAATGTAAAAATATTTATGAACTGCTGTATCATAAATATATCACAGTGGTTTACAACATAAAAACAAAGCCAAACAATATCATAAAAAACTAAAAACAAGCAAAAATAAATTAAGAACAAGCCTCAATAGACCATTGTGGGAGATGTAAATTGCATGGATTGCCTTAGCGGAATAGAAAATATTCAATTATGCAATATTTAATTATTAACTATGCAAAATTCATATGCAACACCTTGGCACATGCAATGGTTACAAAGAACGTGTGCCAAATATTTTCCTTAAGATGATAATAGACTTTCTTACAGCTGTTTAACAGCTGTTAAACAGCTTCGTTGCAGCTGTGACCAGCTGTTTAATTCAGGCCTGGTACCTCCGCGTTAAGGGAAGAGAAAGGAATGAATCAAGAGTGCTTATGTTCTGCACACAATTTCACTTGCCATTCATAACAGATATATGACAGGAGAACAAAAGAAAGTTGCATATCTCATTCCCCCTACCCTCTAGTATAAAACAGAACTAAAATTATGAATTCCTTTGTGTTCTCAAAGCAGGAACCTTCCAAAGCCACAAAAACAGTAATAATCATAATAAAGACTCCAGTTCAATCAACACAATTAGCACAAGAAGTAGTAAGACACACAGCTGCCTATGAGATGCTAATTTGTTTGTTCCTGAAACTTGTTAAGCTTTTGGTTGTGCTCCTCAAAATTCCTCAGCTTACCAGACATGGTACCAACGCCAATGACAAGACATTCAACAAGAGCGTCAAGTGTAAATGTAGGGCCCAGGATAGCCATGCCACGTGAAATATTTTCTCTTACTTCATCCTATACAAATAGAAAAAATTAAGTTAGTTAATGTACAACAGTGCTGGGTAAACTGTGGTACTACAAATGTTGGACTCAAACTCCCATCAGCCCCAGTAAACATGACCAATCATAAGGGAATATGGGAATTGTAAATCTGATCTGGGGAACCTGCGGACCTCAAGATGTTGCTGGACTACAGGTTGAAAAAATTGTGTTTGTTAACTGGATTGGTGGATAGTAATTAAGAAGCAAGCAAAATAGAAAGATTGTTTTGTATCCCAAGTTCCCTCAAAACTGAATTTATTTAAGTAGCAAGAAAAGGATTAGACCTACAGGAAAACCCATGCCTTCTCCCTTTCAGACAGTTGCTGCAACAGCATACTTTTACGATAGAGATTAAATATCATATAAACAAAATACCTAATGTAAATTTATACAAGCTCATGTTTAAGCAGAGGTGCGAAGATTTGCTTCCAAATTGTCCCTAAGACTTTGTTCTCAGAATATCATTGTTTGTAAACCCTATTTCAAAATGTTCTTTATCAAATGGATAAGTTGGCTGACCTGCGAGTTGGAACTGAGCGCGAATTTGGCTAATGCGCTGGCCCTGGAGAGGTCAACCAGAAGCAAGAAGAATGGCAGAGCTTCACTGAAAAGATACAAAAATTATTATCGACATGCAAAACAGAAACAAAAAAACCCACATCTTAAGAAACAATCCCAATTACACAAGCCCAAAACCTATACCAGAATTAGTTATGATTTATTCCTTAAACTTCAAATACCCATTAAACAGTTTTATGTGGCATGTATTTGTTTGGTTACACTCAACATACTTGATCTTCCACTTGTTTATATTGGATAGATGAAGAATGGATAATGTAGGCAAAGCTAAGGCTGCCTGGAGATCACAGAGTAACAGCAAGAATACTGAAGAGGGAGAAAAGCTCTCTTTCAGCATTGAAAGTGAAATAAGAGGAAATCTCTGTGGAAGCCTGCCAATCAGATTTTTTGGGCCTAGCATTCAACATTTGAAAGGAAAACACACAGAAGGGGAATTAAATCCCGAAGACCTCTGTTGTATAATTTCACATGAAAGGATGGCCATGCCAGAAGCAGCATAAAAAGATGCATGTACAATTTCTTCCTGTGAATGAGATGAGGCTACCCTGAAGACTTCTGGAGTGCCCTCCTATTTTGTTTCACCTCTCCAATTCTTAATTTCAAGACTAGGGTGGTCAACTGCCAAAAAAACAGCTCCTGAATAGATGATGGTATATTTTCAAAAAAACATAGCAATGAGTAATACGTACTTCAGGCCCGTCAATTCTTTATCAAGGAAATGAATCACTACTGTACTGAAGACAAAACTCGAGAAGATTGTGAAGAGCCCAGCAATACCTACCAAAATGAGAAAGGAAAGGTCTATGTAAAAAGGCATTAAACAAATACAAACACACTTCCTTGCAAAATAATATTTTAAACCTAATCCAAATCCTTCCCTTTGCAGAAAGCATAGATACAATGGATTCTGTTGTGAAACTGCTACACCATTTTGCTTCGTGTTACATTTAGGACAGATATGGGCAAATAGATAATGTTCTATTTATCCATGTGCTTCTGTCATTCTGGTCTTATATTAGTAATTCTAAGGAAGAATCCAGAGTATAGAATACTTTATCTCTGTTTCCTTAATTTCAAATAAAAGATATTTGGGGCAAACTGTCTAGTCAATGACAGAGCTGTGAAGCAGGACATAGCACTGAATTTGCCTTGTGGCCAGTAGGAACTGCCCATATGCATTGTGCTCTTGGAAATTTAGGCCAGTCTCTTTAGATTATAAGATTGAGTTCCTGATCTGTTGGGGGTCAAATGTGTTACAAGGATACTATCCTGCTGACTAAAACGCTGGGACATTAAGATGCATTTTTATCCTTGTTCAGCTAGAACTGCCAAACCACCAGTGGTCCTCTGCCATCTGTCCCTTACATTTTCTCATTTACAAGTAGACGGTGGGTTCCCTTTCCATTGCAAATGGGTCCTGTTGGCTAGATCAGTAGTATTCTGGAAAGTACAGTTAATCAGTAGAACATTTACATGCACCTTCCACAGCTCTCAGCAATGCTAAATTGCACTTGCACGATTTTTCCAGTTGGCAGGAATGGAAGTCCTCAGGTTCTCCTCAGTTATTTCAACATTTATTATCTTGAATAGCTGCTGTAAAATATAACTGAATGGATCCAGTTTCCCATCTGGGAACAGGGTTCCTTCAATTTACAGAAGACACAAAGAGCCTATGGAGGCCCCCTGCTGGAGAATGGGGCTCAAGCAGTTTTCACCAATAACCTCTGCACTGCCTCTCATGCTGTTTTGAAGAGTCCTCCAACCCTATGACATATTTTCAAGGAGCTGCAAAGGGAAGGAACAATCTGCAAAAATTGCCTCCCATAACCCCCTTCCTCCTGCATGAGTGAAAGTTGGCTAAAAGCAAATATGAATTCAACCCAGTTGAGAAATATTTTGTGTACTGTATGCTGCACGTTTCTCCGTTAGATTGGTGCTGAGCCCCAGACAGGACCTGCCCCAGGTCATAAACAAGAAAGAAGTCCTTCTAGTACTGGCAAATTTCTTGTTCCACTGTGTGTTCATGGCCCAAATTTTACATATATTGGCACCAATTTGGGAAATCCCCATACACAAACTTGTTTTTATGCGTTGTTCACAATTGACAGATCAGGGCACATATGCTTGGGAGTAAGTTATTATCCTTCATTTACTTGGGTGCTTGTTTGTTTGTTTTTACTGACATACATTAATAATTATATAAAGCAATGTTATCTTACCTAAAATATATTTTGAGCCAAGCTGCCTCAGATTCTGAAACTGGAAGTATATATAAAGGATTGCTATACAGCGTGTGATTGTCAGGATTATGATATCACTGCTCAAAACGTCCTGAAAGAAAGAAATATAATCTAAATGCATTTTTAATATAAAAAAATTGTAAGTAAACTGCATTTCTAGAGCAGTTTCAGAGAACTCATATCAGTATTTTAGGTTTATCTGAGAAGTTAGTATACTGCATTTCACTAATCGCTACAACTTACAACTTACTACATTAAAAACTGCAGTCTAAAGGTAAAAAAGGTAAAGGACCCCTGGGCAGTTAAATCCAGTCAAAGGCGACTATGGGGTGCGGTGTTCATCTCGCTTCAGGCCAAGAGAGCCAGCATTTATCCACAGACAGCTTTCTGTATCATGTGGCCAGCATGACTAAATGCTGGTATAATGGGACACCATGACAAGTGCGGTAGCGAACGGAAATGCTGTTTACCTTCCTGCCGCTGTGGTACCTATGTATCTACTCACACTGGTATGCTTTCAAACTGCTAAGTTTGCAGGTACTGGGACAGAGCAATGGGAGCTCACCCCGTCGCATGGATTCAAACCACTGACCTTCTGATCAGCAAGCCCTAGAGGCTCAAAGGTTTGGATCACAGCGCCACCTGCTCCCTATACTGCAATCTACTGATATATTTAGACCTCTGAAACAGAAGAGAATGCAATCTATGTAAATTAGTCAATGGATAGCTTCAGTGAAGCAACATTTAATTATGAATTTCAAATAAGATGATTATACGGACAAGTAGTATTTAAAAGAATAAATTTAACTTCTTACTTCTTCAGATTTGGGGCATTCATAATTCCAGCCACAGATCTTGTCGTTACCAGTGAACATCTTCATGGACATCATACAGATGGTAAGAGTTACAGTTCCCACTATGACCTCCCATGGGTGTGAGGCCACAAAAAGGCCGTGCATTCGAAAGAGTCTGGACAGCATTTTCAAAAGTTCTTTTTCCAAATCTAAGACAAAATGCAAGGAAATAAAAATACCGTATAGTAAATATTTTGCTCAGGTAAAAGTCAAAATTTTAAGGAATTCCGCAATGGCTCAGCCATCATACCCATCATATTTAAAGCATTAATCCATGAAAAATAGCTCCATGAAAAATAACTACAGAAACGTCTGCCTTCTGAAAGACTTGAGAACACTTTCCCTTCAAGAAGCTTTAAGCAGCATCCTGCTAGGTCACACTGAGGCTCTTCCTCCACCCAGCAAGTGCAATTGATGCAATAGTGGGCAAAACTCCTCAACCTTATGTAGTCTCTTCATCAAATGAGGGAAAGAGTCTAGGGTTTCAGCCTGGTTTGCTAGTTCACCTGTAATATATGTGGGAGACCAGCACACAGTCTTGCTAAATGTACCCTTCAAAGTGGTGCCAACACACTCTTTTGTTCTCTTATAAGGAACAAGACACAAAGCTTTCACAAAGCACAGCAGGGTATTGCACTATTAATTCAGTTGAAATACCTCTGTGAAATCTTAGTTGTACACAACTGCATGGCTAGTACGTACTGTTTCTCCTTTTACACCCACAATTTTAATGCCACCTAGAGGATAAACTACTGAGCAGGCCACACTAACTGACTACACTAGTTTTCTGATAACCGCTTGCATGCATTTACGAGATGGCTGCAATTACAGCACACAACCAGTAAAAGATAAGTAAAGACATACAGCACCTAACAGCATCCAGGGCTCCAGTTAAGGAGCACGGCAAAAACTCTCGAGAGTTGGGCAGGGCGTACTCTTAAAGCAGGACTGAGTGCATACCATGACTACTTGAAGTTGTTATCAGATGTAAGCACCATTCACTACAAAAGGTAGACTGCCACTTAATCATATAGTAAGGAACTCCATTATGTATTGATCACACTCAAGTAATATGCAGTCAACAGCATCCAGCTGCTAATCTACTTTCACTGCATCCTCATAAAGAAATAAAAATATGAACCAGTCATTCAACTGGCTACCTGAAGCAAATTAAACTCTTCAGGAGGTCAATATAAAGCAGTTGTTATTTTCTTTAAGCCACATATGACTGACAGAGATGTGTGGGTGGATGGGCCAACAAATTCATTTACAAGGATGAATTATTATGCAGAGTTTTCAAATGATGCTGGGTTTTAAAACTATTTTCATAAAGTTTACAGGTTAACTTATATAAAACACAATGCTGTGTCTATTTCAACGTTAGGCTTTATAGGCAAAATTAAAATACAAGTTCCCACTGAATCTTAAATATGATCTTTTCCCTCATAAAAACAAACCTAATTTCTGTAAATATTAGTGTGTTGGCCCTGTCAAATATACTGTTAACAGATCTACAGATTCGCTACAGATAATGCTACATGTAAATAGGTTGCTGTACATATCAAGTGCACTTAAATATGAAACATATAGAACTTTTTCATTACTTCGTTTCAGTCCTTATTAAGTTTACTTTGAAATCTATTTTAAGCCAACATACACAAAATATTTCAAGACAAAGTGGGAGTTCTGCTCTATTACCGTAATGCCACAACAAATAATTTAGAAGCAATCTGGGGTTATTTTCCATCAACCAGAATAGCCACTATAAACTTTTCTCAAAAATATGAATCACCAATCACATAACATCTTCATTAATCTTTCAGAAAGGTGGTACAAAATTGGACATTTTCATTATAACTGCCTAAAGTCTCCTGTGAAGTATGAATGCTAACAAGTCACACTCTAAGATATGATTACAGTGGATGCTCGGGTTGCGAATGTCATCCAAACGTGATTTTAGCGCTTCTGCGCATGCGCGACTGCTGAAACCCGGAAGTAACCAATTCCCGTACTTCTGGGTTTCGGCAGTCCACAACCCAAAAAAACGCAACCTGAAGCTGACACAACATGAGGTATAACTGTAGTTTGAAGTAGCGTTTGAAATAGTGGTCAGTTGATGAGTCAGAAAGGTTTTATTTTAGTGCGCACAGTCTCCCACTCAGACTATTAAACAGGATCTTCATCTCCCTTAAGCAATTATTGTTGGACCCTTTATGACAGGTTATGCTACTGAACATAATTTTGCAAAGATTGCACTTCATAATCACAAAGATAAATATATCCTCTCTTCAATAAATACAAAGTCTCCAAATAAAGAATGTGATATGTTGTGGGACAAAAGCTTCAAGCCTTCTAGAAGGCTTTAACTTTAAGAAACCAGGAACGTGACTGGTTTATTCATTTAATTTGTATAATACCCTGAATATGACTAAGCATTTTAGATTTCACTTAGCTTTATAAATCCACATGCAGATATTACACTTTACAAAGTAACGTCCCTCGAGTACCATTTATTGAGCACTTTTACCTTTCAGTAAGTCACTTAAACCAACTTATTCTGACCAAGCAGTTTGTATAGAAATTCATAGATACCGGTACATTTTTGTATCTCCCAGCAGCCATTCCCGTCTCCTACTTTCCTTAAGCACAAAAAACTCAGTATGATTATGGAAAAATGGAAATTCCAAAATAATAGTCACTTATGAAGTTGGCCAAAATTATGATTGCACTGGAATTATCACCACTTGTTCCTAAATTAAAGCAATACAGTGCTTGGAAACCTGCTAGGAAGTAGTGAATTATTTAATTATCAAGGAAATCCAACCAACCACAGTGGTACCTCGGGTTAAGTACTTAATTCGTTCTGGAGGTCCGTTCTTAACCTGAAACTGTAGTTAACCTGAAGCACCACTTTAGCTAATGGGGCCTCCTCCTGCTGCTGCTGTGCCGCCGGAGCACGATTTCTGTGCTCATCCTGAAGCAAAGTTCTTAACCCGAGGTAACATTTCTGGGTTAGCAGAGTCTGTAACCTGAAGCGTCTGTAACCTGAAGCGTCTGTAACCTGAAGCGTATGTAACCCGAGGTACCACTGTACATAGTATTCATTATCAAGGAAATTCAACCAAGCCAGTCCTTGATGGAAAGAACCTGGTCATTTTAAATGTGATGCAATAATAATCAGTGAAAAATAACTAAATTCTTAAAAGCGATAATCGGATAACCATGAGCAGGACTGCTCTGCAAATATGCTGCCACCAACCACACCCCAAAAGCATCCTTCCTTACGCAAAAATGCAAGCTGAATATAGAGAGGGTGGGGAAGCGATCAGCAACGATCTGAACCATAGTTTCTAATGGGGGTCTTCATATTAACTCTGCAGCTGATTTCTACCGCCCCCCCCCCTCCGAAACAGCTACGCTCTACCCCATCCTCCTGAGCAAAGATCACAGTTTCAGGATGCTCCTCGTATCTCTTGGGGGAGTTTTGGCTTGTTATCGTAATCTCTCCTCAGCCTGAATGCGTAACGCTGGACCGAATGCCGCTCCGCGATGCTACTTGCCTAGCCGAGGAACCAGCCTCCTTCCCAGGGCCACCGTCAAGAGATGCTGACGGCTGCCCACAAGGAACCGAAGGACGGGGCAGGGAGGCCGGCGGAAACACCGGCGAGCACATGCGCGGAATCCCAGGCCGGGGTGGGGTCGGTTAGTCGTGTCGTGTCCTTTTGGTCCCCGTTCCCCCGCCCAGGGAGCCCCTTGAGGAAACCGCCAAATCCCAGCCTTGGACCGGTGGGCAACCGTCGGCGGCGCCAACACCCTCGGCTTTCCCTTCCCCACCCCCAGCGCGCGCCCTGCCATCGTTCGGCCGACGGTACCCCGAGAGACGGCGGGCACCTCAGCCGGTTTCGGAGGCCTCGGCGTCCCCTCATGAAGGAGGAAAGGTCCCCTCCGCGCGGAAGGAGAGGCTGCCCTCGGCGCGCCTGTCTAGAATTCTGCCCGCGGCGCGGCGACGCTCCCCCGCGTAGCGGCCAAGTACCTCCTTCAGGCAACGGCTGGGGTTGGAAAGACCGGCAGCCTCCTCTCTCCGTCGTCGGCCTAGTCAGCACCTCTTCCTCTCCCTTGCTCCTTTGCCGCAGACTGAAGCGCCCGCTCTCCCCGCTACGCAAGGACACCAGGCTCGCGACACCCCGGCCGGCGGCCATCGCCCGATCGCGTAGCCAATAGCGAGCGCTCGCCACGCCCAGCCCAGGTGCACGTCACCCCGCTCCGTCGCCTTGGCAACCGGCGAAAGGGAAGCGGCGCAGCGCCCGACAGATCAGGAGGGGGCCACGCGCCATCTCGCCACGGGGACAGCGGCCAATGAGGCGCCGCCCAAATCTCCTCGCCGCCTCCTGAGTGGCTCGCGGCCGCTGGCCTTCTTTCGCATTTGGGCTTCCGCGAGCCAATTGGCTTTGCGCTGGCCAGCGGGAGAGAAGAAAGCTCGCAGGGCGCTGCACATATTTCCGCCCCGCCTTCGCTGCTGCTCTGAGCGCTTATCCCATTGGTGGCGCTGTGTTGTAAAGCACTGAGCCTCTTGGGCTTGCAGATCGGAAGGTTGGCGGTTTGAATCCGCGCGGTGGGGTGAGCTCCCGTTGTCCTGTCCCAGCTCCTGCTAACCTAGCAGTTCGAAAAGCACGCAGTGCAAGTAAATAAATAGGTGCTGCTGCAACGGGAAGGTAAATAGCGTTTCTGTGAGCTCTGGTTTCCCTTGTGTAAGGGAGTCATTGGAGCACCCCACAGTTGCCTAACCTTGGCTCACATAGGTTCGCATGGGGGGGTCACAAGCAAGAGACTTCAGCCAGGAGATAGAAGCAAAAAAGTGGCCTCTAGGCCTGATCTTTATTGTTGCAACAAGACTTCCCACTACCACAAAGACGAAGCAGCCAGAAGCCCCGAACAATGGTTACATCATTATTTTAAAGTTTCCCATAATACATCTCAGGATGCATCCTCAAGACATCATAGATATTTCACAGAAAAGGTGTGGTCTTAGGTAGAACCTGAGATTCAGGCATGCCCCTGTCAAATCAAATACAGTTGTACCTTGGAAGTCGAACGGAATCCGTTCTGGAAGTCCGTTCAACTTCCAAAACGTTCGGAAACCAAAGCGCAGCTTCTGATTGGCTACAGGAAGCTCCTGCAGCCAATCGGAAGCCGAGGAAGCCCTGTCAGACGTTCAGCTTCCAAAAATAGTTCGCAAACTGGAACAGTCACTTTGGGTTTGCTTTGTTCGGGAGCCAAAATGTTTGAGAACTAAGCAGTTCAAAAACCAAGGTACGACTGTATAGTCTTTCACATGTACTCCTTCGCAGTACAGTGGTACCTCGGGTTAAGAACTTAATTCATTCTGGAGGTCCGTTCTTAACCTGAAACTGTTCTTGGGGACTTTCGCTTGAGGTTCCACGGAAGATGGCCGACAATACCATCTCTCCAGCTCCCACGAGGCAATTTAGAGGCTGAGATGGGAGTAATCAGCCTCCCAAATTCTTCCCGGTGTAAGGGAAGATGCAGTCTCATCCGCGGATGCCCGATAAACCACCCCCAAGTTCGTAAAGAAGGAGGGGGCACTGGATGGAAAGCCCCTGAGGGAGTTCGGATCTCCTGGACACTGTCCCCGCGAGTGCACCAAGTTCCATTTCTTAAGATGAAAAATTGGATATAAGTTTTGGACAAGAAAAAAAGGGTTTTCTTGTGTGTGTTTCTTTGTGGCTGATTAGCTGCTCTCCCTGTGCAAAGGTCAGAGGGGGCAGGGTTTCTGTTGAGGCAGGTGATTAGCTGTGGGAGGAGCTTATCAGAGCTTGCAGGGCAGCAGCTGAAGAAGGAGCAAAAAGGGTTTTCTTGTGTGTGTGTTTCTTTGTGGCTGATTAGCTGCTTTCCCTGTGCAAAGGTCAGAGGGCGCAGGGTTTCTGTTGAGTTTGATCCATCTTTTAGATTTAGGGGAGCTAGTCTCAAACGTTTGTTGGGGGAGACCTAGGTTTTTTTTGGGGGGGAGTTATTTGTCCTGTCTTCACCCTTTTTATGATGGAGGACCGCTGTAGCCACCCCCAACGACACGTTCTCAAGATGGAGGGTGAGGGAACAGCTGCAGTCGCCTGCGGTTCCTGCGCAATGTTTGCCATCTTGCCAAAGGTTGCAGGCAGCTTTACCTGCAGCAATTGCATGTTGATTGCCCTCTTAGAAGACAAAGTCCAGCAACTGGAGGAACATGTAGCTACGCTCCAAAGAATTAGAGAGCTGGAGCTCTTCTTGGAAGCAACAGAGCACACCGTCTCCACCAAGGAGGAGACAGGGGACTCTCCTGAGAAGGAGGCTAGTTCACCAACACAGGAGCCAGATATATGGAGAAACGTGACTCAAAGAAGTAGGAGGCCCAGGGTTCGCTCTGATTGTTTAGAAATACACAATCGCTTTGAGGTCCTCTCCCCTAGCATGGAAGATGAAGAGCAGACTCCATTTGAGGATCTCTCCCTCATTACAGTGGATCAGGTATATGAAGACGAGCAGCAAAGTCAGTCCTCAGGGAATGTGCAGGCAACCTTGGAACGGACAGCTCACGGAAGAACCCCGACCAAACCCAAGAGGAGGCGTGTAGTGGTGATAGGGGATTCCCTACTGAGGGGAACAGAAGCAGTGATCTGTGAGCCTGACAAGATGTCTCGGGAAGTGTGCTGTCTCCCCGGGGCTAAGATCCAAGCTGTAACTGAAAGACTGCAAGGAATCATAAAACCCACTGACAAATACCCCTTCCTCTTGGTTCATGTGGGAACCAATGACACTGCAAGCAATAGCCTCCAGAAGATCAAAAGAGACTACGAGGCTCTGGGCAGGAAATTGAAGCAATTAAATGCACAAATTGTCATCTCATCCCAGTTGAACGACGTGGCCCAGGGAGAGAGGGAAAAATAGTGGAAGTGAACAGCTGGCTTCGCAAATGGTGTAAACAGGAACGGTTTGGATTCTTAGATCACGGACTGCAGTTTCTTGAAGATGGACTTCTGGCAAGCGATGGGCTGCACCTCACAACGGTTGGGAGGAATGTTTTTGCCAAAAATCTCAGAAACCTCATCAGGAGGGCTTTAAACTGACTAATGTGGGGGGAGGGAGACAGTGCTCCTGAAGGTAGGAGTCTATCAATTCATGAAGATGATCATCCAAATGTCATAGACCAAATGGAGCAAACAGCACGCAGACCTAGTGGTGGGAGGAAAAATCCTTAAATAAGAGACACAGGGAATGATTAATGGACTTCAATGTCTGTACACTAATGCGCAAAGCATGGGAAATAAACAAGATGAGCTTGAGCTCTTGGTACAGCAAACTAAATATGACATAATAGGCATCACTGAAACCTGGTGGGATAAGTCCCACGATTGGAATGTAATAATGGAGGGATACAATCTATTTCAGAGAAACAGACCAGACAAGAAAGGAGGAGGAGTGGCGTTATATGTCAGGGATGTGTATACCTGTGAAGAGATCCAAGATTTAGAACCTCAAAGCCAAAGTGAGAGCATTTGGGTCAAAATTAAGGAGAGAAGAATAACAGTGACCTCATTGTGGGAGTTTACTATAGATCCCCAAGCCAAACGGAGGACATAGATGATGCCTTCCTGGAACAGATGGCCAAGCATGCAAAAGGAAGGGAGATAGTAGTAATGGGGGACTTCAATTACCCGGATATTTGTTGGATGTCAAACTCAGCCAAGAGCATAAGGTCAAACAGATTCCTCACTGGCCTTGCAGACAACTTCATTGTCCAGAAAGTGGGAGAAGCAACAAGAGGAACAGCCATTTTAGATCTGGTCCTAACCAATGTTGATGACCTGGTTAGTGGGGTAGAAGTGGAAGGATCATTAGGCGCAAGTGATCATGCTCTTCTGAAGTTTACTATACAGCAGAAAGGAGCAGCCAAGCATACTAGGACTCAATTTCTTGACTTTAAGAAAGCCGACTTCATAAAACTTAGGGAAGTGCTGGGTGAGATCCCATGGACAGTAATACTAAAAGGAAAGGGAGTTCATGATGGCTGGGAGTTTGTTAAGAGGGAGATAGTAAAAGCACAACTTCAGGCAATACCAATGAGACGGAAACATGGAAGGTGCTTAAAGAAGCCAGGGTGGCTATCTAAAGAACTTTTAACTGAGTTAAGATTAAAAAAGGATGTGTACAAAAAATGGAAAAGGGGAAACCACCAAAGAGGAATTCAAACAAATAGCCAGCACATGTAGACACAAAGTCAGAAAAGCTAAAGCACAGAATGAACTCAGGCTTGCTAGAAAGGTTAAAAGCAACAAAAAGGCTTTTATGGGTATGTTCGTAGCAAAAGGAAGAACAAAGAAACAGTGGGGTCACTCAGAGGAGAAGATGGTGAAATGCAAACAGGGGACACAGAAAGGGCTGAACTCCTCAATGCCTTCTTTGCCTCAGTCTTCTCCGATAAACAAAACGATGCCCGACCTGAAGAATTTGGAGCAAATGATTCAGCAGAGAAACACAGCCCAGAATAACTAAGGAGATACTACAAGAATACTTGGCTAGTTTAGATGTATTCAAGTCTCCAGGGCCAGATGAACTGCATCCAAGAGTATTAAAAGAACTGGCAGATGTGATCTCAGAACCACTGGCAGTCATCTTTGAGAATTCCTGGAGAACAGGCGAAGTCCCGGCAGACTGGAGGAGGGCAAATGTTGTCCCTATTTTCAAAAAGGGGAAAAGAGAGGACCCAAATAATTACCGCCCAGTCAGTCTGACATCAATACCAGGGAAGATTCTGGAGCAGATCATTAAGCAAACAGTCTGTGAGCACCTAGAAAGGAATGCTGTGATCATCAATAGTCAGCATGGATTTCTGAAAAATAAGTCATGTCAGACTAACCTGATCTCGTTTTTTGACAGAATTACAAGCCTGGTAGATGAAGGGAACGCAGTGGATGCAGCCTACCTTGATTTCAGCAAGGCATTTGACAAGGTGCCCCATGATATTCTTGTAAAGAAGCTGGTAAAATGCGGTCTTGACTATGCTACCACTCAGTGGATTTGTAACTGGCTGCCTGACCGAACCCAAAGGGTGCTCATCAATGGTTCCTCTTCATCCTGGAGAAGAGTGACTAGTGGGGTGCCACAGGGTTCTGTCTTGGGCCCGGTCTTATTCAACATCTTTATCAACGACTTGGATGATGGACTCAAGGGCATCCTGATCAAATTTTCAGATGACACCAAACTGGGAGGGGTGGCTAACACCCCAGAGGACAGGATCACACTTCAAAACGACCTTGGCAGATTAGAGAACTGGGCCAAAACAAACAAGATGAATTTTAACAGGGAGAAATGTAAAGTATTGCACCTGGGCAAAAAAAATGAGCAGCACAAATACAAGATGGGTGACACCTGGCTTGAGAGCAGTACATGTGAAAAGGATCTAGGAGTCTTGGTTGACCACAAACTTGACATGAGCCAACAGTGTGACGCGGCAGCTAAAAAGCCAATGCAATTCTGGGCTGCATCAATAGGAGTATAGCATCTAGATCAAGGGAAGTAATAGTGCCACTGTATTCTGCTCTGGTCAGACCTCACCTGCAGTACTGTGTCCAGTTCTGGGCACCACAGTTCAAGAAGGATACTGACAAACTGGAACGTGTCCAGAGGAGGGCAACCAAAATGGTCAAAGGCCTGGAAACGATGCCTTATGAGGAACGGCTAAGGGAGCTGGGCATGTTTAGCTTGGAGAAGAGGAGGTTAAGGGGTGATATGATAGCCATGTTCAAATATATAAAAGGATGTCACATAGAGGAGGGAGAAAGGTTGTTTTCTGCTGCTCCAGAGAAGCGGACACGGAGCAATGGATCCAAACTACAAGAAAGAAGATTCCACCTAAACATTAGGAAGAACTTCCTGACAGTAAGAGCTGTTTGGCAGTGGAATTTGCTGCCAAGGAGTGTGGTGGAGTCTCCTTCTTTGGAGGTCTTTAAGCAGAGGCTTGACAACCATATGTCAGGAGTGCTCTGATGGTGTTTCCTGCTTGGCAGGAGTTTGGACTCGATGGCCCTTGTGGTCTCTTCCAACTCTATGATTCTATGATTCAAGCGAAGAGGGGGAAATTAATCTGCCAATTAAGCCACTGAGGTGCCAAGAGCGACGGAGAGGAAGAAATAATAACATCTAAGAATAACATCTAAGCCGGTACGTTGGAACAGAATGGAAAAGGAGGGGGGTAAAGTTTTTTTTTTAACCACGATTTATTACAATACTTGACAACCCCCCCAGAAGAACTGTTTACATTTTTTATAACAAGTGAAATGGGAAAAAGTAAACTGTGTGAAAATAACAATACTATATAACTAAAGCTTTTGTTTTTTGAAACGCTTGGAAGAAGATAAAAGACTCTCCAAATATGGATATTAGAAAGGAGCAGGATCTTGCTAGCCACTGGAGAGACTTCAAAAAACTTTGGAAAGACCGGGCTGCAGAGATAAATAGTCATAGGGGGAGGTGAGCTCTTAATTTGTTAATATATCTGCATTTCAAGTCCGACTTGGCAAATCTCCCCTGGAAAGGCTAATGTTTGATGCAACCGGTCTGTGAGAGAAGATGGCGTCTGCCAGCGGCGAAATGGACTTTTGGATTGATTTGGCATAAACACCAGCATGTGAGGATATACTGCAAACAATAGGCTTACCAGCTGCAATAGTGGGAGAGTCAAGCATACTAATTTCACACAGAAGCATATCATTGTTTACTTCAACTCACCTGTGGAAACAACTCAGAGGGCATGAAAGAAGGAAGGGAGGGTAACAACAGGAAGATTTAAAGGAACTATTGGAAACTCAAGGCAGTAGAGATATACCGTATTTTTCGCACGATAGGACACACCGGACAATAGGACGCACCTTGTTTTAGAGGGGGGAGAACAAGGGGAAAAAATCTCCCCCTCTCTGCCCAGCGCCCCTTCAGCGAAGCGGCAGGAGGCGCTGTGGAGAGAGGGGGAGAATTTTCCCCCTCTTGTTTTCCCCCTCTAAAACAAGGCGGCTACCTCGGAAGCCTGGAGAGCGAGAGGGGTCGGTGCGCACCGACCCCGCTCGCTCTCCAGGCTTCAGGTTCCTTTCGACCTGCTCTTTGGGGCTGGCAGGGGGAAGCCCACCACCAGCCCCAAAGAGCAGGTGGGGAGCAGCGGAAAGGCGCGCAGCGAAGAGGCTGCTGCCATAGCCGCACGTCACCTCTCAAGCCGGGAGAGGGTCGCAGGGGGCTTCTTTAGCCACGCGCGCGCTCTCCCGGCTGGAGTGGTGGCGCGCAGCTAAAGAGGCTCCTGCCATAGCCGCGCGTCACCTCTCCAGCCGGGAGAGGGTCGCGGGGCTATGACTTCTTCGCTCCATAGGACGCACACACATTTCCCCTTCATTTTTGAAGGGGAAAAAGTGCGTCCTATAGAGCTAAAAATACGGTAAGATGATGAGAGCCCCACTGAACTTGAAGCATGGGAAGTCCCAATAAAAATTTATAATTTGGCAGAATATTTGGACTATATAATATGTATTTGTATAATTTGGAATATTTAATGTGATTGGATTGGATTGTTAAAACGGAAAATTTAATAAAAATATTTTTTTAAAAGAAAAAAAAAACTGTTCTTAACCTGAAGCACCACTTTAGCTAATGGGGCCTCCCACTGCTGCCGCGCCACCGGAGCACGATTTCTGTTCTCATCCTGAAGCAAAGTTCTTAACCTGAGGTACTATTTCCGGGTTAGCGGAGTCTGTAACCTGAAGCGTCTGTAACCTGAAGTGTCTGTAACCCGAGGTACCACTGTACAGAGGAAAGCATTTACAGTTCCTTGGTCCCTGAGTCAAGTCACCACTTTGTCTTGTCTGGGTTTCATCCCCCTATGGGGCAGGTAGGCATTGTGATTTAGATGGTTTTGTCTTGAGACTCTTGGAGGATATCACCGGTCATGAATCTTTGGGAAGGCCCTGCGGACGGAGGACTGTACATCTATCTTGGGGATTAAGGTGGACTCACTAATCTTTCCTCTTAAACATCACTTCCCTGGGTCCTAAATGCCATTGGATCTGAGAAGATTGATACAACGATGTGATTTCTTATGAATTTCTAAAGTTATCACATTGAGCCAGTACATTGATACATTTATCAGTGAATTGCTAGATTTGATAATGTGCAGCAGAGGCTCTTTGTCTTTGCCTTGTGGTGTGGAGAGGCAAGGCTGGGGGGGGGGTCTCTCACCCCCTTCCAATTTCCCGGTAACACCATCACGGTCTTCCGTTGTGCCAGAAGTGGTTTTGTCATGCTGGCCACATGACCTGGAAAGCTGTCTGTGGACAGATGCCGGCTCCCTTGGCCTAAAAGCGAGATGAGTGCCGCACCCCCATAGTCGCTCTTGACTGGACTTAACTGTCCAGGGGTCCTTTATCTTTACCGATTGAATGCTTAAGAAGCAGCAGCAGCAGCAACAACAACAACAACCCTATAATTTGCAGAAGAGAAATATATGTTGTAATCAACACACCCAACTGTACCAAAGGTGTCCACTGTTGCTTGCCATTGATCTCTTGATTACCTGCTATTACTGTCTCCTTTGTTCCAGGTATTCAGTCATGTTCCATATCCTCTTTACACATTGCAAAACATGTTGCCCATTGGCTCGCTGATGATCTCTTGCCAAGACAACTGCAATCTTCCCTCAGGCCACCCATTCTGACTCCTTCCCTCATGTCTACCCATTTCTAGAAGGGTAGTTTATCAATCCGTTGCAGTAAAAAAACAAAAAAACAAAAAGCCTTGTGGCACTTTAAAGACCAGCTCATTTTATTATAGCATAAGGCTTGGCGTACTAGAGCCCAATTTGTCAAACACATGATTGTAAGTGGTGGAGAGGCATTTGTAAGCAGTGGACTTTGTGGGGAATAAATGCAAGTACCAGGATACACCAGGGCAAAATTAAACTTCCTCATTTTCTGTGTTAGTTGAGTTCCAGGTATAGTCACTGAACAAAGTATGCCTGTCATCCACATGCCGATACAATTACTGAATTCCCTTAAATATCAATTGCAGCAGGAAGTAAGTTGGAGTTAAGCAACGCTTGTGTGGTGGCAATAATGGAGGAGCATTGCTAAACAATTTCTGAAGTGAGAGGAGGCCTACTACAACATACTTTAATTACATCCATGTCTTATTGCTGCATACACCTACAATAATAATAATTGTTGCTGGTGCCCTGAAACTGCATGTGGCCAGTTCTTTCTGAGGTTAATGCTATTTTTCTCGGTTTCTTTACATCAAGCATCTGATGTTGGACTCACCTTGCAATACTATCCTACAGTTACACCTGGTGGACAAAGACCAAATCACTTGCTAAATCTCTTTGCACTGATGGAACACAAAGGCTCTTGGTTTGGTAAATTCAGGCTGCACAATTAAAGCTGACTTGGAGCTCTTGCAGAACACACCTGTCCCATCCCCACCCATCAGACCTTTTGCAATAAGGAAAGTGGTGGAGGAAATGCACTGGAAAGTGTGGGAGAACATTTGCTTCACACAAAGTCATCTAATCTTCACAATATTAAATAAAAAATGCTAATTAAAGTGTCAGTACCGTCTAATCGCTCGGAGGAATGCTTGTTAAACAGGCCATCTGGAAGTTATATTGGTGTGACACCACTGGTGTGAATGTGCAAAAATCCTGTCTGCTCAGAAGTGCCTCCTACCCCCAAAATAACCATAATGTTATGTTAGCAAGAGGTTGTTTGCATTTTAAAATTCGAGTTGAAGCATCCGACGACTAACCCCATCTTCTTCCTCACTGTCCCCATAGCTTCAAAAGAGGATAATAGGATAATGACTAAAGACCTCTTCAGGTGTTAAATGGGGGGGGGGCACTGTGATGATGTGAGGCTATGCATGCCAGACCCATCTTATTGGTTTGTGTGGGGGGGGTCTTGTTTTTATTATGTATTTTGTGTTTTTATATTCCAATTTTATGCTGTGAACTGCCCTGAGATGTACGGATGAAGGTCAGTCTACAAATGTAATATTAGAAATAAGTAGAAAGGTCTGAAGAGGGGTTGTAAGTCTGTTCACCTGAACATGATTACAAGCCTCCCCTGATCAGGAACACAAGGCAATCAAAGTTCCCGCTCAAAGGGAAGCTTGTGAACATGCATACAAGCCCACTTCAGGCTTGGACCTCAGGTTTGGGGGAAGGGAGACAGACCCGTGGGCATTGTCCCGCACCACCTACTCATTTTGACTTTCCAAGCCCGCAGGCAGAGGACTCAATTCTATAGCCATTCGTGGCAGATAGCCATACAGTTGCCACAGTCTGGAAACACCTATCTCATATCAAGGTGTTTGCATTTCACATTTTATTTCCTTGTGCACTCTAGCTCCATTTTGCTCCTTGTGTTGACCCCTCAGGGCATGGACCTGACCGCTTGTGTTTAGAAAGCACTAGGCACAATGATGTCTCTAGAACAGGGGCCCTCCATGTGTTGGTAGACTGCAACTCCCATTACCACTGGCCATTGGAAACGGGAGTCCAAAGTTCTCCACTCCTGCCTCTAAAGCAAACAAGTGAGAGCTTGTTGATGGGAACTCTGAGAAAAGGGAACTTTACACAAACAGCCATTACTAACAGCAATAAGAGTGCAGATCAATGTCTTTCCAGAACCCCTTACAAATGTCTTTCCTCAGGGCTTGAGTCACAAAGGTCCACTTGCAAGTTCTGCTGCTGTAACTAGGATGGCAAGGACATGTCAGCCCACACAGATGAGCATTGGGGTGGGGGGTGGGAATGTTATGTACTGAAGTTCTCACCCTGGGCCAGCAGGGGGATACTGTAGATAGTTATGCAAATGAAGGACTTTGCCATGGCTGAACCCCCAGGCTGTGCCAATGCGCCACGGTCATTTGTTCCAGGAAACCAGGTCTTTGCCCGGAACTTTGTGGGGGACATTCCCACAGTAGTGGGAGTCACTGGACCTCGCTCATACCAGGGGGCACTCGAAGACGGACGTTTGTGGCGCCGGCACATAGACCAGCTTAGGCGCAGGGTTGGGGACTTGGACACTACCATGGTGCCCCCAACTGCACTCGTGGCTCTGGAACAGACACTTACAGATGGTGAGGCTCCACCTACACCTCTCTCGCAGACTGCGGGCATGGAGCCAAACCAAGCCACTTCAGAGGGTCTGCCGGACTTCCCACAGACTCAGACCACTGCCGTGCCTGACATTCCGCCAACTCTACTTGCGGAGGTTCCACCCACAGCAGTGGATCCAGGGGACTTGGTTTCAACGCCACCTAGTGTCGCGCCACAGCCTCAGCAAGAATCGGGCAGCCCACTGGACCGGGGTACCGCTCCCCGGCAGTCTGGCAGAGTTTCCAAGCGCCCAACTTATTTAAAGGACTATGTTGTTGGACATGTAATACTGTTGGTCTAAGTATGTGGAAATATGTGAAATGTAACCGATATGCTTTTGTGCCTAATTGAACCATTACGCGTAGTGCTGTATATAAGGAAACCATTACGATTGTAACTAACGCCTTATCTCGGTGGGGAGAGGTGTTACGTACTGAAGTTCTCACCCTGGGCCAGCAGGGGGATACTGTAGATAGTTATGCAAATGAAGGATCGAAAGTGACGTTCAGTGATTGGATAGTTTTAGAAAGTTGTTACAGTAACAAGGTACTGGAGCTCTATATAAGCAGGCTGACTGACCCCTTCAGTTCAGTTCTGTTCTGGCATCTGAATAAAGAACAGCTGTTTGAAGAATCGCTGTGTCGTCTGATGTGTTCACCCACAACTTAACAGGGAACATGCTTTGTAAAAGGGTAAAAGAGTATTGGGAAATAATTTATAATGAACTGGGAAAAAATGTTTAAAAGCACTTTTTCAAAAAAACAGCAACAACAGAGTCCTTTCTGTTGGGGATAATTCAGATGGAAATTCCCAGGTGTCAGAAAAGGTTATTTATGCATGCCATTACTGCAGCCCGTGTTTTGTTAGCCCAAAAATGGAAAATGAGCAAGGTCTCAACTAAAGAAGAATGGCAACTTAAACTGATGTAATATGCGCAGCTGGCAGACCTAACTTATAGAACAGGAGAACAAGAAGAACATACATTTAAAGAAGATTGTAAAGTGTGTATTGAATATATTAGGGAAAATTGTGTACACTTGAAAACGTTGGCGGCATTCAGTTAAATTCAACAGTGTAAATAAGTTTTGATGGATGTAATAATGGAATACGGAGTGGTTTAGTTTATATAAAATATGCAGGGATTTATGCTATGCAAACTGAACCATGGAAAGAGAAGGGAAGTCATTGATATTTTACGGTTGTTTAAATGAACACACACACATACTTTTTTTTCCAGGGGAGACGCAAGGGTACGCATACCCCCAAATATGTTGTGAATCTAAGTTTGGCCTCACTGAGGGGCAGTATTTCAATGTGAGTAGGAAAATGAGAATACCCTTAAACATTTTTTTAGAAAAAAGCACTGTGTGTGTGTGTGTACACACACACACACGAGCATGCTTTGTAGTGCTACAACTCCACCTTCCACATATCTTTCAAGACTTGCTTAAGTTTGTCACTGCAAAGCTTTGAAAATTAAATAACCTGCACAGAAGAGCCCATGCCACATTAGGATTAACTCGTGTCAAATCAGGTGTGTAACCCTGCCCTGGTCCTAATTGAAATTTGATCCCAAGCACACTTGCTAAGGGAAGAAAGCATTGGCTGGGTTGATGTTTTGCTCTTTAAATCTAGCTAAATTGGGATGTATCCAGTGCTTGGGTGTGTATACACTGTGTGATCATTTGCATTCAGTGCTGGATACAAACACTTTTGTGGGTGCTGTACACATGACATCATCCCTACGTCATCCAAAGTGCATTCTGCAGGGGCTGTTTTAATCCATTTTGTGCTGAGAATGCGCTTCTCAAGGGTTTGCTGTTGCCACAGAGAGTGTCCTATAGGTCACCAAGTGATGCTGTACCATTCCTCATCTCCTACCAGACTGCCACTATATTAAAAAAAAAAGTGTGAAAAAATATTTTAAAAGCGAGGAACTGTATGCGTGCATGTGTGTGCAGGTAGGTGTTACATTGTTTCCACCAGTGCTTAGGGGGCATGGACACACTAATTAATGGACTAATTAATAGACTGCACAGATAGGTAACTCTTACTTCAGGCAACATTATCATATGAAGGTATGTACAATTGCGAAGCACCATGTACCAAAGCAGCCTGTGGGAAAATAAGTCCTGTGTGTTTCAAATTCTAGTGCATACGTGTCTTGCCCTTCCTCCCAAGGTGGCCCAGGGTGACAACATACTCTTAGTCCTTCTCCGAATACACCCATTAATAATAATAAAAATAATGGGAATGATTAACTTACATCTGTTCTAACTCTGTTGGATACTATCTTTCAAGCAGGGGCATAGGGAGCTGCCTTATACTGAATCAGACCATTGGGTCCGTCTTGCTCAGTATCGTCTAGACTCTACACTAACTGGCAGCAATGGCTCTCCAAGCTTTCATGCAGGGACTCTCTTCCCCAGCCCCACCTGGAGATGCTGTCAGGAATTGAACCCGGGGCCTTCTGCAGGCAAAGCAAATGCTCTACCCACTGAGCTACAGCCCTTCTCTCGACCAATCACTTTCAAGCATACTTCTCTAGTTACACACAACAGAATTGATCATTATTGAAAACAGATGTGAAAGACAGAGGGGCATTTGCTATTAAGGACCACAGATATTAGTTGGGGACATGGGAAGTGGACCTAATTTCACTTGTAATACAGTGGTACCTCTGGTTAAGAACTTAATTCATTCCGGGGCTCCGTTCTTAACCTGAAACTGTTCTTAACTTGAAGCACCACTTTAGCCTCCCGCTGCCGCACGATTTCTGTTCTCATCCTGAAGTAAAGTTCTTAACCCGAGGTACTACTTCTGGGTTAGCGGAGTCTGTAACCTGAAGCGTTTGTAACCCGAAGCGTTTGTAACCCGAGGTACCACTGTACTTGTGTAGCTAGCCACTTGGGCACCTGGGGTGCAGGGTGTGCGTGGGGGTGGGGCAGGGCGCCCGTGGGGGTGGGGTGAGGCGCCCCAGGGTGAGGTGCCCACAGGGCGGGGCCGGCATGCTAGAATCCCAGTGTCCAAGCCGCGTTCTGCTCTGGCACCCTGCAGTTCCGCGTTGCTTTTTCGAGCAGCATACAGCCTTCAGGGAGTCTACTTGCCACCTCCGCATCAGCTGTAGGGCAGCTGAGAGGGAGGCAACGGGTGGATGCAAACCCCACACTGCTCTTTCGAACAGCGCAGACTCAGAGCCTGTAGATGCCTGAGCCACCACATCACTCCCAGGAGAGTGCTCTGTAGGCCCCTTGTTAAGTGCCGCCCCCCACTATGCCTCTGATATAGCTGTCCTCTGTGTCAGTTGTTTCCTTTATCATTTGCAGCTTGAAGTTTTTATACAGCAGTGCAGTGGAGCAGGGATGAAGCACTGACACTGATTTCCTGGGGTGCATTGTGCCAATATTTTGCATGTCAAATAAGCAAGTTTTTCTCAGAGAGAAACCCACCAAATACCTGTAAGCTAAGCAGAAAAAGGTGCTGCTACTTTTATTTTGAGAAATTCCAAAATGCCTTCATTCTGATCAAAATGTTACACAATATTAAGCAACCTTTTGCATGCAGTCTTAGGCTGGGGGTCAGGGGAGAGAAAAGGTGGCTTAGTATTGAAACCATAGTCTACATTGGTCAAAACTTCATTTTTGTTATGTAGACTCAGAAGGATGTGGCTATGAGGATTGTCATTTCAGAACATGCCACTATAGCATGCTACTTAGTGAGGGGGTCAATGCCTCCCTAATATTTTTCAGCAAGCCATTCTGTAGTACACACATACTGCAAATTATTCACACATCTGCTGTGTCACTATTGTGACATATAAATATAATAATAACATGGTAACGAAATAGAATTGTAATCAAATAGCAATTATTATAATTATATAGCACCTATAGAAAAACAGAGTAGTTACCAACAGTGTTAACTGATTTTACTACTGCATTTTAAAATTGTTGTAACCTACCCTGTGACCTCAAAATGGTAGTTACTTGGGCTTTGTTTAAGGAAATAAATAATAGTGCAATCCTAGTCATGTCTGTCACAGAAATAAGTCCTATTGAATTCAAGGGACTGACTCCCCGGTAAGTGTGCTTAAGACTGCAGCTTGGTTAGTAGTTGTATGCCACTTTTCTGTATACATTATACTCAAAGTAGTTCAACAAAGCACAATAAAAGGCAGATCTGAAGATACAGAAACAGGGTAAAACCCTCTAGCCTGGGTGGTGAAAGGCAGTCAGAGAAGCTATTTCCTCTGGCCACAGTGGTCATACTTAAATATGGTTAATTTAAAAAAAAAACAACCCGACATAAATTGCATTGCACCTGCGGGATTTGATTGTATGTTCTCTGTCACAGAGTATTTTGAGAAAACTTGAATTGTGCTGCTAGAGTTGAAATCATTTCAACCATTTGAAGAAATACCGTATTTTTCGCTCTATAAGACGCACCAGACCACAAGACGCACCTAGTTTTTGGAGGAGGAAAACAAGAAAAAAAATATTCTGAATCTCAGAAGCCAGAACAGCAAGAGGGATCGCTGCGCAGTGAAAGCAGCAATCCCTCTTGCTGTTCTGGTTTCTGGGATAGCTGCGCAGCCTGCATTTGCTCCATAAGACGCACACACATTTCCCCTTACTTTTTAGGAGGGAAAAAGTGAGTCTTATAGAGCAAAAAATACGGTACTTAGGACAGAACTAATATTTCAAATGGAGCTCAACATTTTGCCAACGTTTTGGTTTTGAGATTTTTTTTGGTTTGGCAGGGTGTGCTGGAGGAGACTCTTGAGAGTCCCATGGACTGCAAGAAGATCAAACCTATTCATTCTTAAGGAAATCAGCCCTGAGTGCTCACTGGAAGGACAGATCGTGAAGCTGAGGCTCCAATACTTTGGCCACTTCGTGAGAAGAGAAGACTCCCTGGAAAAGACCCTGATGTTGGGAAAGATGGAGGGCACAAGGAGAAGGGGACAACAGAGGACGAGATAGTTGGACAGTGTTCTCAAAGCTACCAGCATGAGTTTGACCAAACTGCGGGAGGCTGTGTAAGACAGGAGTGCCTGGCGTGCTCTGGTCCACGAAGAGTCGGACACGACTAAACAACAGCAACAAACAGTTTGATAGTTGTTTGGCAGACAGAAAATTAGTCTAATTTCCATGCCACTAAAGGCTCCACCTTCTAAGTTTCTGCCTTCCAAGTGCTCTAGAGTATCTAAAGGCAGGGAGATGATTATAGGTGTGGAACTGGTTTTATTTTAATTTATATATATAGCTGGAACAAATGTAGGAAAAAGAAAGCCCTGAGTTAACCTGAGGGAAGCTGAAGTTCACAATCTGCATACAGTATACTAGGGAAGTCCATGTGTGGTTACCAGGCAAGGACTTTTCTACAAGTTTGCATGTATATTTGTTTTTTATACTGAAGAAAATAAAATATTTTACAAATGATGATTGCTCCAGGTTAAGTGGATTAGGGTAAATGCTTGAAGTCCAAAGTATTTTGTTATGCATCCAGATTCTAGCAATAAAATCTGACATTAGGCCAATGCACACAATCTGTTTCTGGGTTTCTTTTTCAGTAATCCACCCATACTGAATTGAGGTGTGGTAAACCAGTGGCGTGAATCAGCTACGGCAAATATAAGCTGTTGACTGCATTTTCTCAAAAAAATGCATGGCACATGAAGAGATGACTTATGATTCATAAACCATCTCTTCACATAACCAGTTTGCCGTAGCTACAGCAAAGTTATGAATAAAAACACTTCTGTGCTTTTATGCAGAAACTGAGCAGGGGAATGATTTCAGGGCATAAATAAGAGGGATGTGGGGGGAAAGGCTTTGCCTGTTTAGGTCATGTAGCTGTTCAAGGAACAGAAGCTATGCTCCAAAACTGTGGCAACGTTTGATGCGCAGGGAACAGAAGATGAAAAGGAAAGCGTGGAAGTGATTTTTTTGAAATTAAAATACAAGGTACTGGCCTACATCCAGTTTACCTGCAAATCAGCCCTGTGTCCCTGAACGCATTTAACTCCCTATTAAATGCATACCTTTTTAATTGTATTTCAGCAGCGGAAGTTAAGATTCAGAAATCTTGCCAAGCGATCTCTCTCGGCTGGCAATTGTCCCCGTGTTCTGCCCAGCTAATGGGTAGCACTTTCTCATCTCTTACTCGTTTGTAATTTATTTGTTTTCGTTATAAGCGGCCGCCTTGCACAGCTACCTCTTTATCGTGTTTTTAATAGTCTTTTGGGAGCCGAGCAGAGTGACTGGGCAAACTCAGCCAGATGAGTGGGGTATAAAATCATCATCATCCCAAGTCCTTTCCTCCTGCAAGGTGCTCTGGAAAACAGCAACAACGACACGTAAAGTAACTAAATAAATACGTGTTTTCGGATGCCCTTTCGCTTGACACCCTCACCGCCCCCCCCCCCAATGCCCGCACGATACACGCTCCTTGCCTCAGTCAGGGACCAGGATCTTGCGCGGAGGACTACGACCCCCGAAATGCACCGGGCCTCCCCTCAGAGCGTCTCGAGGGGCAGGAAGTGTTGCCTGAGGAGAAGGCGGCTTTCGGTTGGGCCGGGGGCCCTGTGGTCGTTTGCAAGGAGGGGGAATTGGCTTCGGGCAAAGAGCAAAAGTCCCTGAGAGGGAGTTGGGGGGGGGGCGTAAGTAGGAGCCATGTCGGAGGGAGGCGGCACCTGCGAGACCGACAGCGATGAGACAATAGTGGAAGGCTCCGTCCCTGAGAGCGACGGGGACGAAGAGGAGCTGCTCGCCAGGAGGTGACAAACACACACACACACACACACGTTACAATTAGTTGTGCTAACACTTCACAGAGGCGTCACAAGTCACCCTCTGGGGCCGACTGTTAAGTGTTTGAATACTGGCAAAGGGCGTGTGGCTACTCAGAAGTAAGCCGCTCTGAGTTCAGTGGGGCTTGCTCATCTGGTATAGGATTACAGTTGGTCCTGTAATAAAGGCCTCCCGTTGACCAGGATATGCCAGTTGCTTCTGTTACTCATTCAGATGCATGGTAAAATTAATGGTGTGTGTGGCCCTTCCGCCCATATAACCGTGCTAAATGACTGCCTACTCTCTCCTCCACATAACGCCCCAAACTGAAAACGAAAGTCGCTTACGATCCTAAGCATACAACCAACCACCCGTGGGATTTAAATGTGCTTTTTTAAGGTCCCCTATTTGGAAACATAGCCTTCAGACAAACGGTTCAGGTAGGGTTCACTGTAAAAATGGCAGTTAAGGTTCGCTGAAGGTGTGTCTTGCAATCCTTGCCTCCTCAAGTTCAGTTAACGAATACAAAAGCAGGAAAGGGTTTGTGAGATCAATGGTGTTGGGGGCACAGGCAGCCAGTGCAATCCCTCTCCCAACACCACACGTCACTATTTCACAAATAACAGTATGTCTTGTGAACAGGGCTTCTTTATCAAGCTCCTGAATCTATATGGGGTGGCAGAATCTCAGAGGTTTTTGGCAAGGCCTGAGCTACTAACCTCTCTCTTACCTTTACCACACTGCAGTGGAAATGTGCTCTAAATACCACATTTCCTTAAAACTTTCATATCAGTCTAGCTACCGGTAAGTTCTTGGCAGGAGTAAACCCAGCATATCCTCCCTTTTAAATAAATAAGTAAATGATATACAAATATTTGGTTCTGAAGAAACAGGAACATAGTTTTCTTTCTTTTCCCCCGTAAGATTTTATTAAAACTTTTTTTGTGATACAATAAAACAAAAGGAATGAACCTAGATAAAAACAAAGAGAAAAGAAAATGCAGAGTCCTGACTCTTAACCAGTGCTTTTTTCAGGGGGTGCGCAAGGGTACACAGTACCAGCACCTCTTTTTTAGTTGTGTGGCACTTATTGTAATATCTTCATGGTGAGTACCAGCACCTATTTATCTAGGGGAAAAAATCATTGCTCTTAACCCTTATCTCACACAAAAAATAGTGGACCCTCCCAGCTCTCACCTGGGAGCTTTCCTGTCTTCTTCCAGTCACTCACCCTGGGAGGTCTTCCCTTCCCTGGCTCTTATCCAGGGTCCTTCCACCCATCCATAATCTTCAAGTGTGTGTAATCCTGAACCCCAATAACAGCCCAGAGCAGAGGACATAATAGTAAAGAGAGGGAGAGAGAAGAAAAAAGAAGAGACGTATACAGTGGTACCTCGGGTTAAGTACTTAATTCATTCCGGAGGTCCGTACTTAACCTGAAACTGTTCTTAACCTGAAGCACCACTTTAGCTAATGGGGCCTCCTGCTGCCGCCGTGCTGCTGGAGCCCGATTTCTGTTCTTATCCTGAAGCAAAGTTCTTAACCTGAAGCACTATTTCTAGGTTAGCGGAGTGTGTAACCTGAAGTGTATGTAACCCAAGGTACCACTGTATAAGAAGAAGAAAAAAGTAGAGAAAAAATATAAAGGACTTATGATTTTCCGTTTGTCAGTTACATAGAAGAAATTATTTATCCTGTGTTGTCTGCTTACATTCCCAATCTCCTGAGGTAGAATGCAAAATGCATCCAGTCAGATATCCAAATGATAATTTCAAAAACAAGAGCTTTCTTCAAACAAGGATTCCTGGGATTCAGACTAGGATAGTGGTATTTTAAGAATATCAGTGAATGGCAATTAATAACTAAATTACCTTTTAGTTTGTGCACAAGTAGTAAAGGGGTGGAATTTTTGTTTTATTTTTAAGTGTAACTTATGTGAGAATGTTCCAGGTTATTTTAAAGAAGTACATATTTGCATAGGATAGTGAGAACAGTTACATAAGTATGAATTTTACTAATCCTGAGGGTGTGGTTACTGAAGAATGTTGGATTATGTTAACTGAGGAATGTAATTAACTATGTTATCCATTTTCATAGAATCATAGAATTGTAGAGTTGGAAAGGACCTGAGGGTTATCTAGTTCAACCCCCTGCAATATAGAAACCCTGCCCACACCCGTCCCTGGGTGGACTTGAACCACCAACTTTCTTGTTAACAGCCAGATGCACTGACCCATTGCACCACTGGGGGGTCATCATTTTTTAAAAAAGAAACAAGTTATGTACTTCATGCAAATATGAAACAAACAAATAAATTTGCTGCTTTGCATGAAAAGATATATATTTCATTTCTGTATGCCTTTTAAAACATGGAATTGTGTAGACTAGTGCCTGCTGTCCTGGTTTAGGTACTGTATCTATGCATGTCCTTTCATTAAATTACACTCTTGGAAATATCAGAGTTTGAAGACAGTGTGCAGGTGGACCTTTGTTTGTTCTTATGTAAAAAACTGAGTCATAATTCCATTTAGAAGTGGCATTGATCCATTATTTGAATATTGAGCTAGATTTAGTTTATTAATGTCAAATCCAGATCCAGCAGAACTTTATTTTGACCAAATTCTGCTATTAGGATAAATATAGCATAGTTCTATGATAAATGTAGCATACCTTGAATCATAGACTTGAATCATAAATTCATAGAGTTGCAAGGGACCCTTAGGATCATCTAGTCCAACTCCCTGCAATGCAGGAACATTCAGATGTGCCTTATGGGGATCAAACCTTCAACCATGGCATTATCAGCAGCACGCTGTAATCAACAGAGCTACTATATGTGTTAAAATTCACATATTCATAGATTGGTTCATGATTAAAATATTTTAATTAGATTTTTTTTACTTTGATCACCTAATCAGGACCAACCCAAGGCAACTTGCTTCTTGAGGCAAATGCTAAAGATGGTGCCCTCTGCATTCTACATGCAGAAACCAATTGATAGGCAGTTCAATCTTACTTTATTATGAACTAACAAGGTGCGTGTTTTACTGCACTACAAGACAGCAGGCTACAATAGGGAGTGCAGGGCAGTATGTGGGGCACATGCAGCTCTTTCCTCCAACACTTTGGTGCTGCTTGCTCACTGCTCCACCTGGTGTCTTTTCACTTCCCACTCAAATGCTGTAAAGCAACAGCGGCACCATAGCTGCTACCACCACCAACATGTATCATGTGAGCAGAGCAATACATATGTGATGCCTGCTGGAATGCCTGCTCACCTGATTAGGGGTAGGGGTGCCAACTTGAATAAAATATTGGGGGGGGCAGGTAAGCCCCGCCCTGCATAATTGATCATAATATGTGGCACATGCATACCATTTGAATGCCAATGTCCATCAACGTGGGGCAGCCCCCCCAATATTTTATTGCGAGGAGCAAAGGGACATCGACCCCAAGGAGTTGGCTCCTATGATTATGGGTATTTCCCATCATTGCTGTCTCTGATATGTTGGGAAACATCTCACTTGCCCAGTCCAGCAACAAGCAAGCATCACTACTGGTGGGTTGCTGGCTCAGTAGGATAGGAATGGTGGAGGGGGGAGAACCCTGGGGCGTGGTTGTGGGGGCTACTCACACCCATGGCACCTCCTGCCTGGGTTGGTTGTATAGCTGTCAACTTTTCCCTTTTGCAAGGAATCCTATTTGGAATAAGGGAATTTCCCTTAAAAAAAGGAAAATGTTGACAGCTATGGTTGGTTGTCTCAATCTAATGGTAGGGCTGGGTTTTTTTTAATCTAATGCATAAAAAAGTTAGCTGTGATCAATGTGTTGTAGCGGAAGAATAAGAACCTCCTCCCCCACAGCTGAAAATAGTAGCAAACGACACAGTGGAGAAATGGATCTAAAAGAGCAAGATTCAGGAGATACTACATGATATACCGTATTTTTCGCTCTATAAGACTCACCAGACCATAAAACGCACCTAGTTTTTGAAGGAGGAAAACAAGAAAAAAATATTCTGAATCCCAGAAGCCAGAACAGCAAGAGGGATCGCTGCGCAGTGAAAGCAGCGATCCCTCTTGCTGTTCTGGCTCCTGGGATAGCTGCGCAGCCTGCATTCGCTCCATAAGATGCACACACATTTCCCCTTACTTTTTAGGAGGGAAAAAGTGAGTCTTATAGAGCAAAAAATACGGTATATGGGATAAGATAAATTCCTTTTAAATACAAGAGAGATAGCATCTCTTGTTCCAAGCTGGGGCAGGTTATTGTGTTCACCACTCAGGTGTGGCTTCTTTTAATAATAGAAATATTGAACAGGGAAGATTTATTACTATAGGTTCTGTATTAAATATCAGATGGTGTGACATCTGTTAATGTATTCAAGGGTGTAAGCAGATGTTTTCTGCGTTACATCTGCCAGAAATTGCATCAGAATGAATGGATGTACTTACAAGCAGGGTTTAATTAAAATCAGACAATTATGACATTAATCCAATAATTACAACTTTCATCTAAAAATTCCCTGATCATCTAATTTTGCAATTTTTCATGCAATATAACTCATCAGATGTGTTGGGCTGTTGGAATCCTTTAGATTTTTCAGTTGCATAATTATGTTACTTAATCTTAATTACAGGTTGTGAAGTACAAAATGTACATTGTTCCAATCTGTCCTGTTCCTTCAGTCTCCACACCTGGCTGCTACTTATTCCTTCAAACCTTGCTAAAGCTTCACTTAGACTTACAGTCTAAAGATGATGCTTTCTCATTTTTCTGTCTTGTTTTCCTTAACTGACAACTCTAATAAGTATTCTTCAAGTCATCAATATAATCTGATCTTCATAGAATCAAAGGAACCATGGCTTTAACAAATTGCCTGGTTGTAGCCATTATCCACCCAAGAATTCCATGCTGGCCAGTGAGCAAGCTGGTGGAGGATGGATGGAACTCATGAGAGAGCCCTTCTAGGTCAGTCCACTTTGTTTCTGTTCTAGCCATGAGAGAAGAAAAGCCCCTTCCTATGCAAATTCATCTGAAAATGCACAGTGCTAACCTCTTAGCAGACTGATGACTTTTGTGGGTTTATTTCCAAGGCTGAATTAACAACCATGCAGAGACATAACAAAGGAAGATCTGCCGTTGAAACCAAGAACTGCTTAGTTGAGATTCTTGCATTGCAGGGGGTTGTACTAGATGACCCTTCCAGCTTTACAATTCTATGATTATATATTATCTTCTTCCCACTGAATGTTCTGGCTGCTGCTGTCACGGTCCCCTCCTCCTCCCGTTGATAGATGCTGTCTATGGCTTGTTGCCTGACGCAGGAGGAGGTTGCATTGCTTCCATCTCTGGTACCCCACTGTGGTGTGGTTCCTTTCCCTGCTTAATCATCTGCCCCTCTCACTACCACTACCACATCTTCCTGAAAAAGAAAGTGCTTGCTGCTGGATGCCTGTGATGGAAGCAAACAGTATAATGCTCCCACCTCAGTCAACTGGCTGTGGGCTGCTTCATTCCCCAACAGGTGGAGGAAGCAGTAGTTAAAGCATAAGCCAGCAAGGAGTAGCAGGATGATATTCTAACATTTGCTTTGCTGGAATACTGTGGGCACACATACATACAGAGAGAGAGCTCAAAATGCATCCACAGTGCTTTGTGTTTCTTTTTATATTTTGCCCATACATGCTTGTTACAGAAGTGATAGAGAACAGTTCACTTCATATTTATAAAATGATTTTAATGCACATGAATAAGTAGCTCACTCCTTTGCAGGAGTAAGTAAAACCAGAATGCCTTATCTTTCTTTATCAGGTCTGAATCTTGCAAATTAATTTCTAGATATCACCATAACAAGCTATTTAGAAATAGAGAAGCTACCTTTTCAGAGGTCATGTGTTTAGGTCATGGAGCAGGAATTCTAACAGCTATCTCAGAGCTAGATGGCTTTTTGATTGCAACTTTGCCTTCAGTTTTGCCTTGAGCATGTGCCCTTTGTGGGTTGTTATTTTTTAACTGTATCTGTATTCCTCCTCTGTATTCCTAATCACACACATTTTATTCAGAAGGAAATTCACCATGCTAACCTGTTTCTCATATACTCAGAAAAATATACGGACAAACGCAGTGCTTTTTGTCTTGTGGTGTGCACTGATACGCAGTACCAGCACCTCCATCCCCCTCAGAGCCTTGCACCTTTCCCCCAAAGCCCAGGAAGCTTCTGCCTGGCTTAGGGAAGGAGGCACGATGTTCTGGCAGGGTCTGAGAGCCCTCCCACCTCCTTTCTAAAGCTTGCCTAGTTTTGGGAAGGAGGCAGGAGGGCTGCAGGATCCCTCACACCCCCCTTCTCAAAGCCTGGGAAGCTTCTGCCCAGCTTAGGAAGGGAGGTGCAATGCTCTGGCAGGGTCTGAGAGCCCTCCCTTGTAGGCTGAGTACTAGCACCTTTTTTCTAGAAAAAAAAGCACTGGACAATCTACATCTTTCATTGAACAGCCCAAGCTTCAGGACTGTAGTCAGAGAGATGGCAAAGAAGGGCTCTCGGACCCTGCCAGAGCAATGTTTTGTTATCAGCAATAAAACGACAATGATAGATTTGAGGCTTTAGTTTTTTTATTTGAGTAAGAAAAAAACATCATTTTTCTAAAGCCATACCAGTAATTTGCATATCAGCCACCTGTCACGCACCACCAAGTGCAGAATTGGATGGAAAAAAGTTAGAACTGATTATCTTTTTACAGCCCAATACTGTGCATGTTTGCTTGGAAGTAAGACCTACTATACTCATTGGTACTTACTCCCAAGTAAATATGATTACAACTGCAGCCTTAGTCTCCCTGATTTCAACTTTTAAAGTTTTAGATAAGATACGTATGTTTTGTTTTAGAAATAGTGCCTTTTAAGCACTTTAGAAATCCTGATGATTTCATGCATTTGTGTGCAACAAATTGTTTCCATACATTGATCATTATATCACCTACAAATAAGTGTGAAGGATCTGAGTAAAACAGAGATTACAATCAAGCCTAAATCACCCAAACATGAAAAGTTAATTAATGTTATCTGTTCTTTTCCTTTCTAGAGCTGGGATAAACTGTCCCATCAGTGTTACAGGTATTTGCCAACTTGATCATTCACCAGCTGCTACTGTACATGGATGATACAAGCTTTTTATCTGCATGTTTATGTAATGGAGAGTAACTTGTTTAAGTATAGTTATTACACAGAAAATAGTTATTGCAGAAAATATCAAACAGATGTATCTATATACAGCACAGTAAGGAACTAAATGGCTTTTGGAGTTTCAGCCTCAGAAAGGAGTTTGTAATTGGCCTCCCACTTTTACTTTCTGTGCAGTGGTTTTACCTAATGCCTATTAGTGTGGTCACCTAGAACTTCACAAGGCAGTGCAGTCCATTAAGAGGAAGGTTACCGAAGTCCCGCCCGGCTCCCGATGGCTGCGCAGAGCTGCCTGCAGTCTCGGGCTCAGTGCAGCTCTGCGCGGCCATCGGGAGCGGGGCGCGAAGTCCCGCCCGGCTCCCGATGGCTGCGCAGAGCTGCCTCCAGTCCCGGGCTCAGCGCACTTCTCCCCATTGCCAGCCCCACAAGCTGGGGGGCAGCGGGGAGGCGGAGCGCACCTTCCCGCTGTTCCCCGACCTGGTTCTTCCAGCCCCGCACCTGGGGGGGGGGGGAATTCTTTATTTCCCCCCAAAAAAACTAGGTGCGTCCTATGGGCCGGTGCATCCTATGGGGCGCAAAATACGGTACCTAAATCCATTGTGAAATGATTTCTTCCTCCCTTCCACCCTGCCCTCATATTGCATCCCATAATTCTGGATTTGAACTAAATTGCCAGAGCAGAAGACTCATATATAGATCACCTGGAGGTCCCTGTTCCCATAAGCCCTATTCAGGTTAAATAGAGCTTAAACTAGGGAGGGGTTACATACACAACCCACCCCCAATATATACATCCATTTCAGGCCCACCATTTAGCACCATTTGAAGGAGGATTCTAAGTGCATTTGGGTGAGTGTGCTTACAAACTTCCCTGCGATCAAGACCCTTGATAATGCAGAGCTCCTAATCAAGAGAAGAATTGTAAGCACACTCACTCGTAACATTTCCCCTTCAGACTTTCATGCCGAACATGGGAAGTTGTGAACTGGAACAGCTGCATATGTGGACATTGGGAGAGCGCCATGAGCCAAAAACCTAAATAGTGCTGTAGCTGCCTTAGGACATAGAGAACATACTTTCAAGTTCATAAGTACTTTCATTCAAGGTTAGATGTTAAGCAAAATAACATACAAAAGAATGTTGGTGAATAAAATGGGAAAGCCTGCAATTTGTAAGTTTTATAATGGATTGCACAAAGTACTTGGAGATTTAATGAGATTCAACCATCTTTGGCTGCAGGAAGATCTTATTTCATATAGCTATATAAAAAATGTACACACTGCCTTCTTAGTACACATATTTTGCACAAGACTGATTACTTCTATTAAAATCACAATGTAGAAAATAGCAACAATAGTAGAAATATAATAAACACAATATATCAACCACACATTAAAGGTATGCCAGTGACATCAGCGAACTTGTGAAAGGTTCCTGTTGTTATCCCTTTCAAAATAGAAAAACCATCCATCAGGTCCAAATTAGATGTTACATAGAAATTCCATGATTGACACTCTCCACGCCTTTTTCTTTCTTAAGAAATGAAAGTCCCAGTTTGCTTGGGGATCAGTCCTTGTGGGGAAGTCTAACCCTTTGCCCCTGTTGTCAGTGGTTAGATCCAAATCACCCTCCCCCCAGAAGGTGCTATTAGTCATAGAGGGGGAAATGTAGAGGCACACAAATTGTGCCTGTAAAGGGCAAGCTAGACACATTTTTTGGTTATGTAAATAGCAGCCACAGGCAAGCTTGAGCAGTCTTGGGGCCATAGAGAGTCCATAGTCCTGATGACAGTTACCTCTCTGAAGCTGCTATTTGTATTTCAAGGGATGCTCCCACTGGTGCAAGGGGAAGCTTCTGGATACAAGTTCTGCTTGTTAAGTTACAGATTAATTTTAGATGACACACTAGGTATAAAGTCAATAGAAGCTTTATTGTGAAGGGAGGCTATGCTTTCCTCATAGGTGGTCAGAAGCTCTTTTTCCTTCAGTTCCAGGATGGCTAAATTTGGTATTTACTGTTTCCCCTCAAAGACCATACTATGTTTTAAAGGATATTCAAAGTGATATGCATTGAAAATAAAGTTTAAAATTCACTTATTTGCTGTTGTTTTAGGTTTAGATTCTGAAGTGGCTGGATTTCTGGAAACAGACAGAAATGTAGGTCTGTTAGTGTCCCTCTCCCCCTCCCCAATTGTAACTATATAATCTCTGTTTTTCAATTAATTTATGCCTCATGGAATTCCCCCTTCCCCCGTGAAAGCCTATGAACATGTTTTCTCCAGATATTTATTACATAAACAAACAAACAAACAAACAAATAACTGTAATCTTAACAAAGATGTCATTTCAAACATTCACTTTGAGCTTGAGCTTGAGCTTGCTGTTTTTATGCAAATTAACCAGCATGCCCATAGGATGTGTATAATGATACAGTGCAGAAGTTATTGTGATACAAATTATTACACCATACAAGATTGTGAAAGAATGTAACAGGTCAGACTTGCCAACATAGTATGTTGAGTATTGAAAGTGCACTTTTGTAATTTTCCTGCAGTAGCTCCATTGGTCCTATTATAAGCACTGAACTAGATGTGATATTAATTGCATGAATGAAATTAACACACACAATTTTTCTTACGTAACTAGCAGCCTTGGAACCTTGGGGAAGGGAAGTTTAACTTTTTCTTCTCCCTGCCGTGGTCCTGACCAAAATAGCTTCTTTGAAGCTGCCTTTTTCATTTCAGGAGTAACTATTTTTGTTGGGACCATGGACGAGAGAGAATTTTTTTTAAACTTTGTGTGCTTGTGACACCCCATCATTTACTCATACACAGAAGACACCAATCAGTGCATGGCAATAGCTAAACAATTTTGTGATTTCACTCTATCCAGGATACACACAAAAGATAACAGGGTAGCCACAAAGACAACATGCCACCCTCCCAAGTGAAGACCTCCATAGCATAGTGAACAGGAAGGTGGCATCCCTAGTAACCATGTACTCCAAGTTTCTCCACAGAAAGGGTTTTGATTCCCTTGACATCCATATCATTTTGATCATTCCCTGTCATCCTATCCAACCACAGTTCCCATGTCCACTTATTTGATTTCCTGTGTCTTGCTAGCATTATGCCAGCAGATTTCACTCCATTCAGCCCCCTCTCTGCTGCTTGACTTGTCATAATATCAGCAGCACATTGGAGAAAGCAAGAAGATTATTGGAGCCCGCCATATTGCCTGTGCTGATGCTGTAGTAGTAGACCTCCAATTGTACTAAAGAAAACAGTTTTTCTTCAGCTTTTTTACAGTGGGTTATATATGTTTTCTGGGTGGGTTCCCAGGCTAATAACAGGATCAGGCTTTAAATTTATTATTTGGTATTGTGTTGTGGTACTTTATGCTGTGGAGCACTTTGATCTTTTATGTAATTGGGCATATAGAAATATTTTTATCAATCAATTTATTTTTTGGATTTATACTTTCCCATTAACTCACTCCTCTGGGGAGTTTTCAACGTTATGAAAAATAGAAAATACAAGACAGAGAAAATTAAAATAAAACCAATTTTTAAGCAATACAAATCAACCCACAAAGCCATCTAAAGGCCAGAGAATATACATAGCTTCAGCAGTACAACTGCATCAAATGCCTTCATGTCATAAGAAAAAATATAACAATGAATGAATGATACTGAGAAAAACATTTAAATGTAAAAGACTAATAATGAGTAAAAGTTGGCTGTAAGCTCCCTGGAAGCAGACTGAGGGATCATAAGAAACCATTAAATTTTTTAGCAAAGTGTAGCAGGGTAAACCCTTTTTCTTTAAGTATCTTAAAACTATTATGTAAATATGCAGTCTAGAAAATTGTGCACTTTTGTCTCAGATTAAAAGAAATATAATAGAACTGGGGAAGGTAAAAAAACAGCTATTTAAAAAAGCTATTTTAAAAAGAGCTATGAAGAGGAAGCAGCATTTTCTTTGAAGAAAGCTTTGCAAATGTGTGCTTTTGAGTGTTAAATTAGCATATGTTTTTATCATTAGCTTCCAGAGACTTTAAATGTTGAAGTGTCTCCAGAAATAAGCCTTCTTTCTGGTATGGATGCAATAGAGGATTCAATTCCACAAGATACAGAGATGTCAGAGGTTTTTCAAATTGTCAGTAAGGAAGATATGACAGAAAACCATCCATTTCTTGAAACAGTGCAATCAAGTATAAGTGTAGATGAAACAATGGCTGTGGAATTTGAAGATTTGATGGAACCACTTGATGATTCTGAGACCCTCAAAATGCTTGACATATTGGAAAATCAGGATGGTGCTATTTCTATGGCTAAGTCTGTAAATAAGGAGAGCAATGCCCTGCCTGTAGAGCTTCTCATAGCACTGAACTCCTTGTCAGAATCTGCAGCAGCATCTGTCTGTCAGCCAGAAGGCAAGGGAAGTTGGTTCATCATCGCAGACAAACAACCGACACCAGACCAAACAGATGGTGATTGCACACAAATCACAGATATAAATGTAAAATCTCAGCTTCATATAAAACACCTTGAAGAAACAGAAGCTTTAATGATGACCAAACTGCCATATCCTTCAGAGGAACAGGTATGTATACTTTAAAGTTGAAATGTTAGTTTACAATTTATATTCACATTAATGTTTATTGAAATGTTAACTTGCCGTTTATATTCACAAAACCATCTTATACCCCAAATAAGCCTGTTGTTTGTGTATAATATTCCTAAGTAAGTGATGTATGTTTTTATTACCTTGCCTCTCATTAAAGTTGCATACTGCCATTGTTAGGATAAGCAACCTCGCTTCTTCCCTGCTGTCTTGTACAACAGTGATACCTGCATTGTAAAGCCCTCTTATTATAAGTTTACAGTTTGCTCAACCAGCCTTCTCTTTCTGTTTCTCCTTCTGCAATCCACTGTACCCCTGACAACCCTCTCCCTGGTGTGTGTGTGTGTGTGTGTGTGTGTGCATGCTCCTGAACAGTGAACAGCAATGGGGTATGGGGCTGCTGTGGGAAGATAGAATAATCCCAAATCAGATGGAAGGATGTTATTTAAGTGAGAGCTTTGCTGACACAGAGTCCTCTGGTTTTCAGGTGATTCCCTCTCTCACTGCAGCTTCATGTGACATGGTCCACACTTGTACAGTACATGGAGCTGCAGGAAGGAAGCAGAAGAACAGCTGCCTTCCACTATTATTTTTAATTATTATTTATTAAATTTATATATTGCCATTCATCTGAAGATATTTTCTTAGCATCCGTCTATTGAGAGACAGCAGAGTGTGCCTCTGGGGGTGAGGTCAAACTGCTGGAGAATCACAGCACCTGCTGTGGCTGCAGAGACTGGAAACCAGAACATTTAGCACCAGCTTGGCTGCTGGAGTTGCTGGAAGGAGGCGTACAAGACACCGTTCAACCATTTTACTTTTTTCCAGATTTGTGTAGGGTTTACTCCTTAGCCTTTTATTTCCCTAAGACGCTCCACAAGACAGCGGGTATCTGAGGATCACAGGGCAGTTTATAGTATATAAATACAGAATGAAAGTACAAAATATATAACATAACAAAAAGAAGCAAGCAAAATACATAGCATAACAAAAACAAACAGAAAAACCAATACCCCCCCCCCCACAAACACATTTAAAAGTTCATAGATTGTTTAATCAGCCAAAGCACTTTGGAAACATCCAACTTCTTCTGCAATTACCGTTTGAGGCTTTCCCTCCTTATGGAGGGTCTCAATGATGGCTTTCTGCACAACTGTCAGGTCAGCAGCCTTCCCCATGATTGTGCTTCCTACTGAACCCATTGCAGGTGTTATGGATTGAATAGCTACTGCACCTTTTCACAATATTCTAATTTTCTGAGATTGTTAATTTGGGGTTTTTATCAGCTGTACCCCATAATCATCACAATTACAACAAATAAAGGCTTGACATATCTTGCTTTGCATGTCATGAGTCTATCTCATATATTAGTTTCACCTTTTAAGTTGAATTACTGAAACAAATGAACTTTTCCACGATATTCTAATTTTCCGAGTTTCACCTGTAGGTGAACTGTGAAATTTGCTCCCACGAGAGGCAGTGATGGCCACCCACTTGTATGGATTAGACATTTTTTATGGAGGGTAAGACTGTCAGTGACTGCCACACATGATAGCTGTGTTTTGCCTCCACTGTCATAGACACTATCCCCCTGAAGAGCTGTTGCTGGGAATCACAAGTGGAGAGAGTGCTGTTGCATCCAGGTCCTGGTTGTGGGATTTCCATAGGCTAGATGAGCCTTTGTTCAGATCCAGCAGAGCTCTTCTTACATGGTTACACTCAATGGAGCAGCAATTACGCAGACTATAGGTATCAACAAGGAAAGAAGCATCAGAGATTTTCTCCCCTTGGTTGCTCCAGGGAATGAGGAAGATAAGTAGCAGCAGAGCACTCAGATTTCTGGAACTTACATCATTTACAAATGCGAAGCCTGATAACTGGTTTGTGCTAATTTTCATTGCATAGTTCTGTTAAAGAGCTCTAAAACAAGCTTAACTTGTTGATTAATGTTGCTTGAATTGGACAAAGTTGGTGGCATGACATTCAGTGGGATATGATATCAGCAAACACTGGTTAGGAGGAGGATGCAACGTTGCACAACATTTCCAGTTAGTAACAATTGATAATGAATTATAACATCCAGAACTGCTAGGCTTATGCCATAGGAGGAGTGCTTGCATCTAAGGCGGGCAGCCTGAGGCCCTTTAGATGTTGTTTGACTCTGATCATCGCTAACCACTGCCCATGCCAGCTGGGACTAATGGATGCTGGAATCCATCAACCTCTGGAGAGGTACAGGTTCCCCATTTGTGTTTCGTTAGCACGCTCTTTTAAGTGACTGTAGCTCAACTGCATCTGTAGTTCTAAGGTGCCATAACACTGGTCATATTAGAAGATAACTGAGAAACAGTAAAATGCAGTGGCTCTAAGTGGAGTTAATAGTCAGAGCTATGTTGGACCTGTTTTTAAAGATTTGCACTGGCTACCAGCTTTGTTCCAGTCCACCCTTCGTCACCAGTATGGATTACCTTTGCAGAGAGTGGGGCAAGGGGAGTACGACTTCTTCATCTCTCGTTGACAAATGATACCATCAACCATGAAATCGTCCTGGTCCAGCTCCAGGAAATGGGAATTGGGGGCACTGTATTACAGTCATTCCAAACTTACCTTCAGGACTGAATCCAGAAAGTAGCATTGAGAGTGTGCCTTTTGACCCCCTGGCAGCTACATTATGGGGTAACCACATTAACTGCAATCAACATTAATGTCTAAGAGATTCTTCTACCTCCAGAAGATTCAACAGGAAAGCTGTTGTCAAATATTGCAGATGTAGTCACAGTGCTAGAAACCCCTTATAGATAATAGTATCATTCTTATGCACCTTAAATAGTTATGTGAATAAAAAATAACTGAAAATTGCTACACCTTCTTCACAGTTTTAAAAGTTATTGTTCATAACATCTGTTTTTTGCATTAAATAATCATCTGCACTGAAGCTATATGCATACAGAGAAGTAGAAGATTCTTTCTATAAAATATTTTACCTTCTAAAGTAATCGGGTATGTGAAGGAAATGCAATGTGATACTCTTTCCCCCCCAAAAGCCCCATCCAGCTCAAGGAAGAAACACAGGATTGTGTAACTAGAAAAAGCACCATTCTTCACATACATTGTATAGCTCAGTTATCTCTTTTCTTGTGAAGGAAATGACATTTAACCTTTGTCAGAAAAATATAGGGGTTACGGTAAGAGGCTGTCTCATTATAATTTGACCAAACTTATGTTGCTTGTCCTGGAAGTTCTCTAAATTTCACAGTGAATTCATTGTTCATACTTTTAAAACAGAAGTTTAAATACATATAGCTGTACCCAGGGCCGCCATATTTCAGTGGGTTTTCCTGGACATTTTTCTGATTTACAAAAATTCCACCCAGACACTATTTCCGACGGACAAATCCTAGATATGTCCGGGAAATCCCAGATGTATGGCAGCCCTAAGATGTGCCAATATGTTTTACTGCTCTACTAATAATTTTGACCTCTTTTATAATTGTTATTTCACAGATTGGCTTTAGTCAGAATATGCACAAATTAGTCCATTCAGACCACCAGAATATTTCCTCTCGTGACAGACCAGCTGAAAAAGGAGATTCAATTTTAAAGGATAGCAGTTCATGTGAACAAACTATCCAGGTAGCTTCATGTACATTAAAGAATTCAGCACAAAAAAGGAAGAAGCTTACTCTAAATGATACTGATCCTACTTCCAGTTGTCAGTTTCTAGAAGGGATGCATCAGAATATACACAGTTTTGAGGCTCAAACAAGAGAGTAAGCTAATGGTTTTGAATATGGTATAATTTTTTTACAGTGGTTAATGGGAAAGCTTATATTAAATATAACATTTTTACCACTTTGAGATATTTTATATAATGTGTTATGGAAATGGAAATAATAAATAAGTATATCCTGAGGAGGTTAAAAAAAAAGTTTCCATGTGAAGTTTGGGTGAGACTAAATATACAGTTTTCCTTATCCTTTTCAAGAAAAATGTTTTAAAATATATATGCACATCATGCGGAGTATAGAGAAATGCATTTGGTAATTAAAAATGTTTTGTTTGTCATCAGATCTGACACTAAAGATAAGGAAGATGACTGTTCACAGATGGGAACTGTATTATGCCACTTCTCAACTACAGATACAAATACTAAAGTTGAGCAAGTGAGGAAAAGTCAGAGGATTGCCAAGAAAAGAAGTAAGCAGTGTTTTTTTTTAATCTTCTGTAGCCTGAAGGACATATGCTCCCCGCCCCCGCCCCCCCGCTAAATATGTCACTGTGGCAAAGTGTCCCAGTTCATGTTACCATTTCTGGGCATTAACAGAAGCTCTGCGTCCATCGCTATCAATTCTCTGTCTTGTACTGGGTTGGAAGAAACTATTGCAACCGAAAGTGGAATTTAATTAGAGCAAGGGACACCTTCATTTTCTAAGTCTAAGCAAGGAGGCTTCACTGGCATTTCCCCTTACTCAAATCTAAAGGCCAAAGTACATGCAGTTTATGCTCTGCATCAAGCAAATGTTTAGTTTGGCCCTCAGTGTTAAGGCCATGTTCCTCAATATTACCTCAGGTTTGGAGTAGGGAATAAAATTTGATTCAGTTAAAGGTGAACCTACCTAATTTGCATTTTTTAAAACAATATGCGATCAAAAACGCCTTCTTTTGAAATTCACACTTCTCTTAATTTTGCAGTGTTGTTCTCCACTTTATGTGTACGATAATGCTCATACTAGGGTAAAGTGTACATAAAAAGCCATATATTGGTGTTAGTAATGTACAAAAACGAATTGCAAAACTGTGTGTATTGGGCAAAATTGTGCATATTAAGAGAAATTCACACTTAAATGTGAATGAATTTCAGTGAGGACATTTTAAATTTTGTTTTGCAAACTGATGTGGAAATGTGGAGAAAAGAACTTAAGGCTACAAAAATAAGAAACTGAAAGAAACCAAAATTGATTGATTTGTCCATCCCTATGCCAGATTCAATTTCACCACATCATCCTTATTGAGTAGAAAGCTTTTAGGGCTTGGGCATGCAGTTTGCTTCTTGGCCATTAGAGTCAGTTCCTATTAGTTTTAGAAGACATTTTTTAATTGGAGCTGCATCAGCATTTGAAATCCATGATCACTTGGTTGGGCATGAAGTATTCATAATGAGGGGGGGAAACATGTTTGCCTGTATGAGTTGGCACTGTGGGGAACTTTAGTTGGTTGGGAATTCTCCACTGTATCCATTTATATCACACACACACATTTTAAAATATTAAAAGTTGCATATTTATCATGTAGGATACATATACATACTAAAACAACATACTATGAGTCTGTTCTGCAAATACCACTACTGTCTTGGTTTTACAATAAATCTGCAAGTATCAGGAAGCAGTAATTACAAGTTAAAAGCACAGTCCATTGATACATGACTTCTTGTTATCCAGCAGAGGGCAATGGTTATACTACTTAGTAACTTTGGATTGGCAATTGGAAGTTTTGCTTTAATTACCGTACATGTATTTATTTAGTATGTATGTGCATGTGCCATCTTGTAATTTTTTTTTAATGTGTGGGGCAACTTATAAATAAAATCAATGTATTTGCTAAAACAAATAAGCTAAATTTGTTGCCTGCTGTTCATGATACCCTTTCAAATGTTTGAAACATTGAGTTTAATATGCATATTGTGTTAAATATGCAACTCAGTTATGTGATATTAAATACATGAGTAACATTAGTTGATGAGTTAACTTTTGTATTTTGAATAAATTATTATTTATTTATTTAATTTCTGTACTGCTCTTCATCTGAAGATCACAGGGCAGTTTGCAATATAAAAACACAAAAATGCATACTGTAATAATAAACCACCACAATAACCCCAATAGGTAAATGTCTTCCTTCCTTCAACTTTTATTCAAGAAAATAAAATGGGTTTGTTTACTGTTCCTTTCCATTCAGAATGTTATTAACAATTCAGTTCTAGGCATGTCTACTCAAAATTGAGCCCCAATGAGAGGTAAGGTTTTGCACTGTATTTTTTTTTTAAATTGGAAATTGAGTGAGTTTTACTCATAACCAGAAACAATTTAAATAATATTTATAAGAAAAATACTCCTTGGGTAAGTGAGTATAAGATAATCATTTTTATTCCTTTATTTATTACTCCTACTATACCACAAAGGTCTGAAGGGAATTTACATTTATGTAAATTGCAGCATGTCTCCATTGTCTGGTGTAGGCTATTTTTTGCAGCCATAACACTGTATGCAGTTTGTTCACAATCCCTCTTAAGATATTTTGTCTATGGCATTAGGGACACGTGATTCAGCTCTGTTACAACTTAAGATATATTTCTGTAATTAATGATACATTAGACCAGAGCTTTCCAAACTTTTCATGTTGGTGACACTCTTTTTAGACATGCATCATTTTGCGACACAGCACCGTATTTTTCACTCCACAAGACACACTTTTTTCCCTCCTAAAAAGTAAGGGGAAATGCCTGTGCGTCTTATGGAGCGAATGCATGGTCCCTGGAGCCGAATTGCCCAGGGGCAAAAAGCAGACCGTGCTTTTTTTTTTTTTTTTTTTTAGAAAGAGGGAAGGGGGTTTGAAACAAAGCTGCTGAGCAGCTGATCAGCAAGCAATCAGGAGGGGAGATAAGGGACTCTAGAGATAAAGGAGGCTGCCTGGGAGGGGGGAGGTAAAAGCACATGGAGCCTCAGGATTTTTGCATTGGGTCACCCGAAATTCTCCATCAGACCACATAGCATGTCCATGGCTATAGCCTGCACCAAAAAATCATGCATCCATTGTTTCGTAGGGCCACAATGGCACAAAAACGTGGTTAAAAAGCATGGATTGACATGGATTCTCAATATTTTTGCATTGGGCTACCCGAAACATACCATCAAATAACATATCATGTCTGTGGCCACAGCATGAACCACAAAAATCATACATCCACTGTTTTGTTCAGAATATTTTTTTTCTTGCTTTCCTCTAAAAACTAGATGTGTCTTATGGTCAGGTGCATCTTATGGAGCAAAAAATACAGTAATTCAGTTTTACCAGCAAACTAGAGGTTAAACGAACCCCTTTCCAGCCCTGGGAGGAGTGCAGTAAGAATTTGCATGGCACATCTACGCCCTGCAGCCAACACACTAACATGTCACAACCTACAGTTTGGAAAGCTCTGCATTAAACCATGTTTGACAGGAACAAACTAATACGATTAGATTAGACAACAATAAGCAACCTGTAATATTTTTTGCTTATTGCATCCTTTTGTTTTGTGTATATTTCTCAGGGAGGCAAGCCACTTGGAACAGTTCCTCTAACTCCTCGTATAACTACATTTCACTATCCAAAATCAATAGAAGAGACAGATTTGGTCAGACATTATTGCACAGAGCTGCTGTGGAAGATGACCTAAATGGTTTACGTGCAATGATAAAAGCTGGTGGAAATGTAAATACTCAGGATTGTGCAGGTGAGCAGAATCCCCAATGTTAATTTCATCCAATGATGAAATAATAATGTATAATAATTAACTTGAGCAAGGCACAACTTAATACTAAGCATGTTTACTTATCATGTGTTCTGTGATATGCTAGTTTTACAGTATAAGTAAGTGCTTAGGGCTGGGCCTGTAATTTGTGTTAACTACCATTTTGTGAAATGGTAGTTAACGCAAATCATCTGCTCATTCCAGGAGAAAAGGGGGAAACTGGTTAGTGCATGAAGGGGTTCAGATCAGAGAGCTGTGTTCCTAGACTCAACTAGGTCATGCCCCCGCCTCCGATGAGGGAGGAAATGAAGCTTCTTCTCTTTCCTTTCCTCACCCTCTTTGTGCCATGTACCAAACCAGGAAGGACATGTCTGAGCTTGCTGCAATCTCAGATCTCATACTTGAAACTATAGTCTGTATTGTGTATCCAAGTGTATTCTACCTGTGTTCACCTAGCTGCTGCTTGGATCAGCACATGAATCATACCTTTGGATTTTGTAAGTAAAACCTTTTAAACTTACTTAACAGTGTGTGGTCTGTTCATTTTCTCATTACTTTCCTGATGGGCATGTGGAAATATGCCTTCAGCAGCTCCTGCCTATCCTTCAACCTCCGGAATTTGAAGGAGAAATGTGGGAGGGGGTGTCTGAATGCTAGGATGTTTACAAAGCACTGTTTGAAAGCACCATGGTTTGCTCTGAAGTCCTAATAATCAGGGCTTTAAAGGGAAGCATCACCTGATATCACTTTGAGATCAGGTCATTGACGGTGGGCGGCCCCAGCCACCTGTCAGCTTCAGTCTGTCCGCAGTTGGGGAGATAAAGATTTGGCCCTCTGGCCAGAAAACTTCCTTCACTTTATTTGCACAGACCTTTTGGTCTGTGCTTGAATGTCTCTCACAGAATTAACTGTCTGTTGGCACCTTTAGCCGCCGTAGCAGTTCTAAGATATACAATAGGTTGCTAGTGTTCCATTCTTCCCCTTTCCACTACCTAAATCCTCAAAAACCAGTCATAGTCTCCAGGAGGGGAATGTTTTCTGGCCAGAGGGAAATGCAAGTCATTAGAAAATAATCCTATAAAATATATGGCCTAAATTCTAAGAAAGGAACACAAAAAATAAGTATTTTTTTGATGCCACAGGTTGGACTCCACTGCATGACTCCAGTCTGGCTGGATTTTGGTGGACAACAAATGAGCTTTTAAAAGCAGGAGCTGATGTTAACTGTAAAGGAAGTGAAAAAATAACACCATTACATGATGCAGTTAAAGGTGGTCACTATAAGGTAATGCTTCTGTATTTGAAAATACGTTGCAATTTATCTTCTACAAAAAGCCACAAGGAAAGCCATTGTTTATCCTTCTTAAAGGCACAGATGCTATTGTTTTGGGGTGCTGCTGCAGTGGAAGCTGGCTGCCATGAAAAACCATGTGACAAGGACCAGGAGGCAGAGATTAAAATAGGGAAAACAAAGATTTAGAGGCCTGGTCTGGTCCATTTGTTTTTATATATGTATTGGTTTGTCTGCAAAAAAAAATTAGAGGGTAGCCCATCCCCAAATAATTTCTGGGTATGGAAAGTAGTTATAAAGAAGCTTTGTTATCTCCTGTTTTGAGCTCTTGTCTTGCACCATCTAGTGGAAAAAAGAAAGAAATAACTGTCTTGATTTTTCAAATGCTTGAGAAGGTCCAAGAGTTCTCGTATGTAATAAAACTTCTGCAAGATTTGCCATCATTTCTGTCTGAAGATCTGTTTAGCTGTGGAGAGTCCTTATCTGTCTAAAGCTGTTCCCAAGTACTGGGAGTCTTTAGTTCGCTTCATTATATTTAAGAAATGCCCTTTCCTTTCCTTTCCTTTCCTTTCCTATCCTATCCTGTCACAATTGGCATTCCTTCTTTCTTTGCATGTATTTTGCTAATTTTATTATAATTAACTGTACTGTACTTAGAAGATTGGGGGGTTATTTATTTTAGACATTCAGTAAGACATCTGTGGAATGTAAACATAGACTAAATTGATCCTGTTTGTCTCTTCTAAAAGAGCTTACATATTCCATTAGTCTTCTGAGGTGGTATTCAACTGAGTTTCACCCAGAGTAAACCCACTGAAATTACTTGACCTAACTTAGTCATATTCATTAATTTCAGTGGGTGTCCTCTGAGTAAAACTCGGAATACCACCTCTGATTTGTAGATTTCTTAAACAGTCTACCATATTTTACAAAAGTTGTGTGAGTTTATTTATGACAGTGTTGTAACCACTCCTTTTTTCATTTTTGCTGACAGTGGCAACGATGTTTACATTTGATTTTAGGGATCTAACAAGTCAGAATGCTGCACAAGCTTAGTGGTGTCCAGAGCCATGGAATGTTGAGAATGTCAGTCTTCAGGGACACCCCCCTCCCAAGTACATAGTAATAAAGTGCTCAGGCCCCAAAACCAACTCCTTTCACATTATAAGTGCAGTGCAGGAAGGTTTCAGGAAGATGAAACGAAAACCTGTGTGTTTTTTGCTGAAACTTCCTCCTTTCTTCATCAAGTTTAATAAGTACTCTTGTTCCAGGCTGTCTGAGCCCCAAACAGAACCATTTCCGTTAGGGGCTGAGGATGAGCTGCAACATTTTGTTGCAGGGTCCTACTTGCTCATATTATATCTGTAACTACTGTATAAAATTGCAATGAGCAGCAGTGACTTTGACTTTTAGTTGCTGTGGAGCGACACCTGTGGCCGTTCTGTATGATGAGTGAGATACGGAAAGTGTGAAAGCGTTAGGAACAAATGTCGAAGCATCTTTACCTCTAGGTGGCAGAGTTACTACTTAGGTATGGAGCTGATCCACTGTTAAAAAATGAGAGAGGGAAGAGTGCTTTAGAAGAAGCAACTGACATGCGTATGAGGAAACTACTTGCAAGTTTTATAGCTAAATCTAGAAGAAGGTCAACATCAGGTAAGAAAGAGCTATACTTAGACTGACACTCATTCACAAAGGAACTACAAGAAATGTTTTTACTCCAAATTTGAGATTTGTTCTGTATGCAGATAGGACTTTGTCAACATAGCTTCACCAGAGCACTGGAATATAACAAAATGACATATGTATACAGTATTTGTGTTTTGGATTAATTAAGCAGGAATTACTTTCAAGTGATACAGTCAATTTTACAATATATAGGGCATGCATTCTTGCAAACTTCAATGGAAGCAAGATGTTTTTCTTAGCATTTTTAATGTTACAAATCTAGTAATGTTTTCTTTGAATTTTGTTCCTCTATGGCAAGCATCAAGCTGTATCACACAGCTCCTCCAGATATGAGTAGCACTTCCAATTTTTGGTAAATAAAAAGAAAAATCTGATCTCAAATTCATATTCATGGAATAAAAAAAGCTGATGTAAAATTGTTGAACAAATCTTGAACTATGATGAAGTTCTGAAATTGGTGTGTGTATTGAAGGTAGCTAGAATCATACATTGTAAGTGTGAAGCAGCTGTAACATTTTATTTTGATCTGTGCAATTTTGTAACATGTGCGAAGATCTGCCACATTTGATTCATTTTTTCTTTGAAAGCTCAGCAATGATTGGCAGAATGATAACACTAGAGCAAAACATGGCATCCACATTCAACACATAGCCCCCAAAACTCCCCTCCTTCTGAGTCTTGAATGTCCACAAATAGGATGGCTACCAAGAGGCAGTTTCCAAGCCTGAGAGTCACAAAAGTCATCTTGCATGGTGAGGGTCATTGTGCAACAGCAACGAAGTGGGGCAGCCAGCAATTTAAGACTGAGGGCTTTGATTCAATAACACCCTGAGCTCCACCCTTTGCACAGCTGCTCATCATCTGAGCTAACACAGTTCAGGTCTACTCATGAGGAGCAGCCTGCCTCTCAGATGGGCACTGTGCCATATAGTCATTGCCCTGTCTTGGAACTTCATGAGGCAGCATGAGGATTTGGAGGTGGCTCATTCTTCATCTCCACTTCTGAGTTCTGGTCTTGCTGTGGCAATGATCAGGGGTCCCCAGTGCCAAAGAGCCTGGGCTCAGCATCACTGTCATCACATCCTGCCTATTCCTCTGTCACGTTCTTCAGAGGGGGCTCTGGGTCCTCCTTCACAGAAGCCTCCTGCTATGGGAGCATGGCAAATGTCCATGTCAGAAGAGTTCAGCCGGGATAGGATAATTACAGTGGGACAGAGTTATATTTTTCAGCCAGACTAATTTGCTGTGTCTCTTCTCATTCTGCTATTTCTTCCTGTGTTGCCTCCTTTGATCAGAGGTTGTGTAAGAACCAACTCAGATGGTGCATATGCTACTTAGTTCTTCCACAATGAAATTATTGTTGTTTAAGAAGAGGTTTGACAGAACCTTTGGGTGACAGCTGATGCAGTATTTAAGAACAGAGCTCAGAGGCCACCCTACTTCCATTTTTGCAATGAAAATAACTGGTGTACAGCACATATCAGTGATCTGCATGGTCATTCAGCTATCAGTTACTATCTCTATCCCAACTTCAGACAGGCTATCAGCTGTTTCACATTTTTTTAAAAAATAAAAAAAACCACACACTCATTCATACATAATTTTATAAATGTATTTTTTAAGAGGAAAACTTGGAGACGGCTTTTTCTAACAGTTTTTGTGTGTCATTAAAAATCAGGCTTAAAAAAGCAGATCCAAATATCTTCCTTGAATGTATTTTTAGCTGAAAGAGTTTTAGAAGACCCAGTGAGTGACCAAAGTAGAATTGAGAGCCAGCCTAAGGTAAAAGTTAAAATGAATTTTCAATACAAGTGAGTAGTGAAATATAATAGTCAAGTAACAGTCAAGGTATTTAATTGCAGAGGTTTTCTGAAGTGTCTTCAAGGTCCTAACCATAATAATTAGTTTCTAACTAGTAATATCAAATGTATTGAACCAGAGACACTGCCAAATTGGAGGGTATTTTCTGTCACTCCACCCCACCCCCTGACCCGGCTGCTCTGCTCTCCTTGGAAGGAGAAGGGGATGCCACTTACCTTAAATGTACGAGGCAGCCAAAGGTTGTTTAATTCTTTATTATTACTCTTTGAAAGGAAGGATTCTAACCACTTAAATCAGCGTGAGTGTCTCTACACCCATTGCCCCCACCTACACTTCTTAGAAGAGCTTCAGTTCTGGAGGCAGCATGGTGCTGAAGCCGTTCCAGAATTGTGGCTAAAAGGAAGCAGCCAACCACATTTTCTGGAGCTGAAGCCCTTCTAGGAAGGCCTTTTTAGAAAACTTAGGCAGAGGGAATGGGCATCAAGAGATCTGCACTGCGGTGAGCTATGCAAGCCTCTCGTTAAAAGGTTAAAAAATAAAATAAAATACGGGGGGAACCCTTGGCTACCTTGTACAGTGGTACCTCAGGTTAAGAACTTAATTTGTTCTGGAGGTCCATTCTTAATCTGAAACTGTTCTTAACCTGAGGTACCACTTTAGCTAATGGGGCCTCCTGCTGCCGCTGCACCACCACCGCACAATTTCTGTTCTCATCCTGAAGCAAAGTTCTTAACCCAAGGTACTATTTCTGGGTTAGCGGAGTCTGTAACCTGAAGTGTCTGTAACCTGAAGCGTCTGTAATCTGAGGTACCACTGTATATTTAAAGTGAGCAATAGCCCCACTTTCCTCTCCTCTCGCAAGAAATAAGCCTCCTCAGCTTGCTTGTGGGTCCCCTTAGCTGCATGGGGTCCTCTAATTGCCACAGGGCTACAAAGTTGAACGCTTTTGTCTTGATCCAGCGGCACTACAGCATTTATTTAACATAGCGTGGAACAGATTTTTTATTGTCCTGTGGTAATTCCCAATCTTTTTTCTTCCCTATTGTTATCAAAACCCATTCATGTGAATAAATATTGGGTGGGGAGTAGGAAATATATCCTGGCCATTACTTCTGTTTCTCTTCTATTATCACTGTTTGCTTTTCCAGGGAAAAACATGCTCAGATGAAAGAGTTCGCCATACATCTAAGGAAAATATTAAGGTACTAAAGCAACAGAGGGTAAAGTCAGAACCAAGTAAGAGAAAAAGGACTTCACAAAGAAATTATGCTTCCAAAATGTGCAATAGTTGTTCACTAGTGAATGCTACAACATCTGAAGGTACATGTCTGGTTTCAAAGGCAAAGCAGTCAGTCAGGGGAAGACCACCATCTTTGGGAGCATCAGGTGACAAAAGAAGAATAAATGGCCAGAGGAAGGACATTCAGAATGGTCCTGCAACTGATCTTACATTGGTCTCAGAAAGAACAGTTGGATCTTCAGAGTATCACCAGTATAATTCGAACAGAAGTTGTGAAGCTGAAGAAGACTGTAACATGGCAATGGGGTCAGAAATGCAGCGAGAGAGTGACTCTAATAATAGTATTGATGACTGTCCATCAGAAAGAAAAGAGGCTCTTAAAAGCACTGAACTGGCAGGAGCAACAAAAGATCAAGCAACTAATTCCCATACTGTCACATCACTGAATCCTGTTGAAGAAGAATCTGCTTTAGCTTCTGAAACTGAGGTAGTAAATGAACCTAATTTGGATTCTACACACTTCTTATGCAAAGACATCAGTTTGCCTTTGCAGGAGGACAGCCAGTATGCAATGAAACATAATAAAGGGTCTAATAGTCTTAAAGTTGTTACTTTAGAGGACAACCTTCATACTGCTGAAGAGAAGCTTGTCTGGACAGTAAGCGAGGGCATCTTTATTCTTGCTTCTGAGAAAAATAGATCACTAGACCAGTATATGCATTCTGAAAACTCTGTAGATCAGATTAATCTGGACAACCATAGTTTGGGGCATGAACTGGGTGTGAAAGAGCCTTTATCTATAGCTGAATCTGTATGTTTAGAAGAAAACCCATTTGAGTCAAAAATCTCAACCATCTCAATGTTGCAAGAAATTGCACTTCTCAGTGATTCAGATTGTACAGTCCTTTCTGAAGAATACAATTTAAATGCAGGCCAAAACCCAGGTGAAAACACCTCTAGAGCTGATGGAATCTGTAATGAACAAGCAGTTCATGTTTGTATGGAACTATCCTCAACAATTTCACAGAGTATTAATAGAGTTGGTGTTTCTGAAAGTCCCGGCACTTGCAGCTTCAGTGAGCAAAGATTTTTAACTCCACCTGTGCATGAGGGCATTATGATGGGAAGAGCAGAAGGAAATGTTGGGAAATGTTGCTTTGAGAGAACAGGAAATGGTAGTAGGACTGAGAACAACACAGTCCTCCCTTCACAGATGCTGGACAAAGACCCATTCCAAGGTAATCCATTCAGAGAAGATAGAGAGATTGCTGAAAATGCAATGATACAAAAGGAGAGGTGGAGAGAGAAAAATAGACATACGTCTAACTTCCATTGTGATTATTTTTAGTGCAGCATTAACTTTTTTATTTACTGTTGATTGAGGTAGTTTTATTATATTTTTATCATTTGTTGATAATCCGAACCCTTGAAATTATTAATTGAAGGGCCATGTAAAAAGGATTCAAATTAATCTAATTATTTCATTTATTTATTTTAATAATTCATAAATTACTGTAGTTTCTAAGCAGAAAATTAAAATATATCCCTGATTCAACAGTGAAAAAGAGTATTTAAAGAGTCTTTAAAATGCAGAAATTGCACTGTTGGCTGATAAGAAGGGATTGTGGGGCAAAAGGTACCCCAGTTACCATCCCCAAATAGCTGATAGATGCACTTATGGCTTTCAAAGAAAGTGTAAAGTTCCCCTGTGAAACCTAAAGGCAGTTAGACTTGCGAGCATGCTGGGGATAATTCCTGTTCATTTCATAGATCATCTTCATAAGATTCCTTGTAGTAAGATATGGTAGTAATCTTTTTATGATTTTCTGCAATGAGTTAAATTAGTAACCTACTCTACATTAGGGTTACCACTGCATGTAAAAACAGTTGGCTCCAAATGTTCTTTTAAGCAAGGCTTAATACTGAGCACCTTAGTAAAAATTATGGCATTTTATATTAGCACAATGAAACGTTTGCCTGGTTTGCACCTCACATTAAATCGTCGTTAAAATCAACGGGTTTAACATGAACAAACAGCATGCAGGTGCTTCACTCCTGTGCCTCCATGCTTTTTGGAAACAAGCCATGGTCTGATTTGTCACGTCATTTGAACTCAGGCTTGTGGTTTGTTTCCCCAAAACAAAGCATGAACAGTAAGCCAAGAACAAGGTTTAGTTTCTTCTCATAGTTTGGAGAGAAACAAGCCATAAGGTCAGGTTTGGGTAGCATGAAAAGCCAGCACATGCCTTGTTTCCCAGCAGGAGCAGGGGAGGAGTAAAGCATCCACAATTCCAGCAGTAGGCACCAGTATGTTGCTCAGCCACATAAACCATAGTTTATTTTAACTACAGCTTAATGTGATGCACGAAACAAGCTATTGCTACACTATCTTTTGTTTCAGAGCAAGCAATAGAAATGTTAATAGATTTTTATAGAAGCATTTTGTAATAATTTTCTGTGGAATCTTAAAAAGTTTGGTGAATATTTCAAGAGCAGCAGGCAGCTCATACTAATCATGTCTGTAATAATATACTTTATGGTATTTTCATTAACATTCCTCATGGAGACACTGCACTTTTTTATTCAACAGATAAATCACTACAAACTCAGATCCTAGGAAAATGTTACAGTGAGAAGAATGATAAAGAAAATTCAAACAATACTCCAGATGTATCTTTACAGTCAAATGAATTAGAAACTATCCAAAGTAAAAGAATGGAATCTATATCCATTGAGGATTGCCAAAATGCACATTTGTGTTCTAGCAATAGTGCAACTCCTTTACAGTTTAATTCGACTGAGGAGCAGCAAATCCCACATTCATTAGGTAAGACAGGTATGGTTAACCTGTGGCCGTCTCGATGTTGCTGAACTACAACTCCCAACTTCCCATTGGCTGTACTGGTTGGGGTTGATGGGAATTGTAGTTTGGCAATATCTAAATAGGAAAAGGTTAACCACCCCTTAGGTAAGCTGTTAATAACATTGCAGAAATGAATGTTGTGGTTGAATTGAGTCAGATTTCCACTGTCACTTTGAGATTGTTCAGACATACCTTGGCCTCCAAAAGAATATCTGAGGCGCAGCTGGAAGAGGACTAAAAGCAGGGGCAGCAGGTCCCATTTCACCGAGGCAAAATGAGAAGGTGTCACTCCCACCACAGCCTCATTTACCTGGGTCGTGCAGTGGCACCCATGAAGTGGAGATGATGGTGGTGGGTTCCGGCAACTTCTCACAAAATCTTGCAGACTGCATGAGATCTCATGAGATCTTGGTGGAAGCTGCCACCACCACATCACTGCCAAGGCAGGGCAGCCATGGGGACACTTTCTCTTGGGCTTCCACCACCTGAGGTGGCTGCCTCAGCTTGCCTCAGGGGTGGGCCAGTCCTGACTCAAAGCTCATACAGTCCTTCCTTTCTTCCTTGACTAGTTTAAGAATCTAAGTTAATGGAATGTCCCACATATATTTGAAAGTGGAATCTCCTTGACCTTTTACATATAAGCACTTTGTGCCTTGCTTAGATTCATTCTCTTTTAAGTCATTGCTCTTCTCCATTTTCTCCCGAAATTATTATTATTTTATTATCTGTAAGGTACACATGATAAGGCTATATGAACTCATGGTTATTATAAAAAATGTGTGTGTGTGTGTGTGTGTGTATGTACATACACACACACATATATGCATAAACATATATTTGTATAGATGTTATCTGATAACAGAAGACTGAAGAAGACGGACTAATGTTATGTAAACTTTAGGAGACATAATTGTTTTAGATTTACACAGCTGAAGTTCAAAAGGTTGTTAATGTTGACACTGATGTGTGAATATTTTACACCAGTGTCTTTGAAAGCATGTTTTGGCAAGTGGTATTCCTTTAAAAAGTATTGGCCAGCATCTAGCATTTGGTGTAGCAGTGCCCCTCAAAATACCTTATGTAATTATTAATGAGTGCAAAATATGTCTTTAGACTCTTCACATTCTAGTGAAAAGGAGAAACTAGCTTCTTCTGATCAGCTGCTGTGTACCATAAAACCAAGAATAAACAAAACAAATGCCAAAGGAGAAACTTGTTTGCATTTGGCTGCTAAAAAAGGAGATTTGTCTTTAGTGAAATCTTTAATAGCATCTGGAGCATGTGTAAATCAGAAAGATAATGCAGGTGTGGTATTCTTGATTTGTAGTTTAAATGTTTTCTGCTATGCTGTGACCCTAGAATCATCTCTCTCTCTCTCTCTCTCTCTCTCTCTCTCTCTCTTATCAAATTCTCTTCTTCACTGCCAACAGCAACATCCAAATAAGGATGCTTCATGGTTATATTGGATTAATATTATGCTCCATGGAGAAATATATATATATACTGATATATACATATGGAAACATGCACACTGTATTCGAACAGATGTCTAGTAGATGAATAGGTGTGCAAATATGTAAAGTGGCCTGGATCTAAAGCGCTATTATAGTTGGAAAAAAGAAATTTGGGTGGGACTTTGAACTGCTTTTTATGAACAACAGATCATAATCTGCCTTCAAAACTCCTTTCAAGTTCAAAGTTCTCTTGAGCACCTGGAAAAAGCTGTACAGTTATTTGGATCCAGGCCAATGTAGGAAAATTATTACATATTATTAGATGTGGCAACATGATAATGGGCCTTTTATTCAGTAGCTCCCCATTTGTGGGGTGCAAATAGCTTTAAACACCAGGCTCAAACTTCCCACTTCACCCAGGCTTTTGACTAATTAAAAAATTAAACTGTGTGTGAGGGTCATTGTTTAGTTTGTTATTATGCTACATATTTTTGTGGTTTTATACATAAACCACCCTGTGATCCTTGAATGATGAATGGTATCTTGATAACAACAACAGCAATATTAGGTAAAGGCTCATGCATCTTACAGACTCATATCTAACTCTGGTTTTACTAGGCTGGACAGCAATTCATGAAGCTTCCAATAAGGGCTTTACTGAGATTATCGAAGAGCTGCTCAAAGCTGGTGCTGATGTGAATTCTAAAAGCCTGGATGGTGTTTTTCCAATTCATGATGCTGTTTCAGGCAACCATTTTGAGGTAATGTTGTGCTAACCAGCCTCTCTCTCGTCCACCCTCTATTTACCAGTGTGGCGATCACACAGGGTCCCTGGACATTTGACGGTCTATTGATCCTTGTGCCACCACTGTGCTCGCTTTCCCACTGCCACCAACCCATTACTCTTGGGTACATACTGAGTCCAGACAGTTGTTAAAATTAAACCAAATAAACAAGTTTATTTTATAAGTATTAACATGTTTATGGTTTCTCAGATAATTTTCTTGTCAGTTTCTTAACTTTAGTTTCTTTACCGGCCTATACCTTCCTAATACCTTCTGACTGATTATATATATCAACTGTTTGACTGACTCCTCTTAACAGATTCTCTCACTCTCTCACATCAGACTAGCCCAACCCACAGACTTATCCTCCCTCTTTCTTCTCTAACCCCAGACTGACTTCTCAACAACTCTAACTCTAACTCCTCCCCTTGGGTTCCTATTGGTTAGTCATTTTACACTTCGTTAACCCTTTCCTTATGAACCCAGTATGATGTCACACACCTAGGAGGGCAAATGTCACAACCAGCTTCAAAGCGTGTTTCAAATCCTAATTAAGAAGGACCTAATTGAATTAATAAAGGGTTTGCCAACATAACAACCATAGGGTTCACATGTTCCTGCAGAGGCCTTCATTAGAGCCCACTGTGCCTCCTCCACCTCACTGAAACTCGCCTTGACAGAAGCATTCTGTTGTAGTCCATAGACAAGGTTGTGGTATGCACTTGATTGCGATGTTTATGTGTAGTGCCTACATCAGTTTCTCTGGTTTACAAGTACGCCCACAGGCCCTAAAATATTAGCAGCCTCTGATATAGAAGGCACCTTGTTTGAAGGGCTTTTGATGTCTATGGCCTGGGTAGGGATGGGGAAGAAATTAGGTTTGCTTGGTGTTTTTGCATTTTAATGAGAGCTATCTGATTTGCAAACTGATACAGAAACTGAAACATGATTATCATTTTAAATTCATCACTTCTCTGAATTTTGTGACACAGTTGCCCAACCAAACAATGTGTACATAAATGCTTATATTAGTGGGAAGTGTGTTTAAAATGCATGTATTAGTGAAAACAATATATAAATTGCTTATATTAGTGAACACATCATATAATTTTTTTATCTTGAGGAAACTGCTTGCATAGTATTGGCATATGTATGTCAATACTACACTTAAATGTATTTATCAGGAGAAATATGCACTAACATGCTGACTAGTTTTCATGAAGTTTTTTTTTGTGGGGGGGAGTATAAATTGCTGCAGAACTGAGTGTGGAGTGTGGACTTTAGTATTCAAAAAATGAGAAAATGGGAGAACTGAAATTGTCAGATTCATCCGTCCCTAAGCTTGTCTCTGGCGTGCCCTGGTCCATGGGGTCACGAAGAGTCGGACATGACTAAACGACTAAACAACAACAATAACAACAAGCCTGTCTTTGCATTTAGCCTTTGATAGAGTAGGTAGTGATAAAACACAGAGTCCAACTTAGGTTTTGCTTCTGGATTCTTTTATTTTCCCAACATCTCTTGGAGATACTCCCTTTGTACCAGTTTATTGGCCATCACAAATCCTTTCCTCTTCTAATTCCCTCATCATTTTTCAGTTAGCAACATATATGCAACAATGTATATTCTTGTTTTAAACTGGTTTTTTTACTATAATGTTATTGTTTTATTTTTATTTTTTTTGTAAGCTGTTTTGAGGTTTTATTACCCTGAAGTGGTATATAAATGTTGTAAAATAAAATAAATACAATTTTAAAACGAATCGGAAAAAGGAAGCTGAATGTCTGTTTCTGATCTTAACATTTGGCCAGTCTCTGGACTATTGTAAGAGCAGAGGAACATGAAAAAATAGTAACTAGACCATAGGAGTGAATAATTAAGAAATGTGTTGCAGGCAGCACAGTGTCTACTACTTCATGGTGCAAACCCAAATGAGATGGACGACTGTGGGAACAATGCCCTGGATGAAGCCACCTGTGACAAAATGAAAGAACTCCTTAAATCTTATGGTGCTACTGAGACCAAAGAGGCTCATCAGACGACTGATGTGCTTGGTATGTCCCTTCCTTCATATTAACTGCAACTTTCTTTATCCTTTTTAAAAAGCATCCAATAGCATGATAAGCTTCCTGAAGTCACTTGTTTTCCAGCACCCTGGTCCTATTGTAATTAATTCTCCATTTTAGTGTGTCTTAAGTGGATTTGATTTTCAGAAGAAGGTATCAAATGGCAAATACGCACATGTGCATGTGCACAACCAGATTCCCCCCCCCCTGTACTTAATATATGTGTACTCAAGCTGATACTGTGTTGATTTGGTACATTCATAACTTATTTTGAAACTATAATCATTATTTCTTGATTTAGGCGAAAAAGAGTTACACACTTCTAGGTCTAGAAAAATCCATAGCTGCAGTAGCTGTGAAGAGGATAACATGGTTTCACAGCTCAATTCAGCTAAACAGAGCTGTGACACAGTGAGTATAGATAGTTGAGCAGTTTTGTTTCCATGCGTTAGCATCAAATGTGGCATGTATGAAGTTGCTGAATCGTGAATTACGTTTGTGTTATGTGACGTTTCTGTTCACCTTTTGGCCAAAAAGGCAGCTCATAAAACTTGTAAACACAAAATCCAAACAATACAATAAGATACAACTTACACAAGATTTAAATAGTAATATTTCAATAACATATTTAAAAGAAAGGAAATAAAACCCAAAGAAATCTCCCACTCCATGAAAGCAACCCCTGCCCATGCCAAAAGAGAGCAGGAATAACCTGACTCCTTCTTTCCCCTTTGGCAACCATTACCCAGTCAGGGAGAGGCAGAACAGCTCGCCCCTGACTGTTCCAAGCACAGTCTTTTCCTTGCATCAGGACTTCCTAGGCAGCAGCTTCTTATAAGATGTGATGAGTATGAGTTACTCGTGCGTAAACTGGTGCCTCTCTAGGCTAATTTGCCTTGTTAAACCTTTCTGACTGCGCAGCCCTTTCTAATTGTGACTGGCTCAGTCACTGGCAGAATCCGTCAGTGGGCGTTTCTTGAACCTCTTCCAACATAAGAGTTGTTTGACACCCAGTCTCCTCCTCCTCTCACTGCGCGGGAGTCTTCTGCGCAGGGAGGGCGTGGGTAGCGGAGGACCTGTCCCCTCCTCACTGAGTTCCAGTGAAGAGTCCTGGAGCCCTCTCTCCGATTCCCCCATCTGCCCATCTTTATCCCTGGTGTTGCGCTTAAATGCTTCCCCCTCCACTGAGCTGCTTCTCCCCCTGCTGCTGGGTCCTTCTCCAGCATCATCTAGGAGCCTCCCCTTCGCCTCTCGCTCCGAGGTTGGTTCCCTGACATAAGAGTTCCAGGCAAAGCTGATTAAAAAAAAAAAAATGCCTTTCTGCACGCACAAGGTGTATTTCACTTACACAAAGGATATTCTGCACCTCATGTTACTGTGTTACACAAGAAAAGTGGAACCTATTCCAAAACTACTCTTCCGCTTGTAGTTGTGTTGTTTTTGCCAGCATAAGTATTATAGAATCTATGTATCATTGCACGTCATGAACTCTTCCCCTGGTGCTTGCACTTCTGCTTTTTGCTGATGGTTCTTTGGATCAGACCACATGTTTTGCAGACAGTAGCAGCACAAACCTTCATAACAGTAAATCACTGTACACCTTTCTCTCTTTGTAAGTTGTGTGCACCTATCCATCCAACACAGCTGGCTCAGGTAAAATACCTGGCCGCTTTCCAAGTTCTCATGTTTTAGTTCAGTTCCAGACTGCCTGTCTTTAATAAAGCGAACAATGATTTTCATTTGACAGCACGAGTCCATCAACGAAGTATTGCAGAATATAGAAGAGAAACAGGATAGACTTTTGCTCTTTGAATTAAGAAGCCAAAGAGATGCAGGTGTGGATAAATTGTATAACCCATGAAAGATTGGCTAAATGTGTGTTTCATTGTTATGTTGGAGTAACAGTCTTTTTGTAACTCCAAAGTTGCGTCTTGGATTCATGTTCATAGATGCTGGAAAGACTCCCATTGTAAAAACTGGTGAACCTACTACATTGAACAGGCGCAAACTTCTGAAGCTTGGGACTCAAACTGGAGCAATTGGGGGCTGCCTCAATATGATCCATCCCAATCCTGTGTTGTCCTGAACTGTCCCAATTCAGTTCAGGATCCAGTGTATAACTCTAACAGGAAGCAAAGGGCATGGTCCCTAAAGACAGCTTTCCTTAAGAAGAGGTGCCACCATTGGGTGTTGCCTCATTGGCACAGGGTGGCAGTTCCTGCCTGATTGAGGTCCATCTACCTTCCTCATTTTAATATTTAGGAGGAATTTTAAAATATTCCTGTTCACTCAGATGTTTAATGACTGAAAGCTACTGAAGGATGCTGTTCCTGCCAACCTTGAAATGGTTAGCTGTGAAGGTACAGTCGTACCTTGGAAGTCAAACAGAATCCATTCTGGAAGTCTGTTTGACTTTTAAAACATTCAGAAACCAAAGTCAGAAGCCGTGGAAGCCCCATCGGACGTTCGGGTTCCAAAGAATGTTCACAAAACGTGCGAGTACCAAGGCATTTGGGATCCAAGGTACGACTGTATTGGATTGTTAAATTTTTGTTTGTTTGTTTCATTTTGCTAGTTTATTAGTTACTGTCCTCAGCTGTAAGGACAGAATAGAAATAAATTAATATTCTCTGTGATATTGGCATGGATTTTGTATTGCATACAAAATTGTATAGGCTTGTAAAGCAATTTGTAGGATGAAATTTGCTTTAAAAAGCTCAAGAGTAGACAATACTAGCTGATTTCTCTGTCACATCGTTTTAACTGCCACATTTTTATTGCCTTTGTTACAAATTATCAAAAGGAGGCATGTCAGTTTAGTCTATTAACTTATTAAATCTGTAAATATTAAACAGATCTATATATCCAAGATCTATCTCAGATACAGAACATTCTGAATGCTGTACTTGCCAAACAGAAATCAGAAAGGGATGATCTTGCTAAGAAATACAGGTAGGCAGAAGAAAAACTATAGGTTTTTCTTTTCTTTTTTTTTACAAAATAGAGCATGGAATTATTATTTTTTACTTTGAAATCAAGCAAAATTGTAGTATGCTACCAACATTCTCAGACCCTTCATCAGTTTTAAACCTTGTATACTTCCCATTAAGTTAAATCAATCCTGGTTCTACAAAAAGTAGTAAAGATCTGGTGCTGCTTTGGCATCTGTTTTTAGCTGTTGTGAGAATTACGCTTTTATTTATTTGTATTGTTTTAAATAAAAATCAGTATGACTAAAATATTTCAAAATAGGATTCTGCCTTTTAAAAAATGTTTGCTACCTTCATTTAGGGTGGTTTAAAAAAGCTTTTGTTATTCGTTATTTTTGTGATTCATTATTAGGGAAGGTTGAGAAATTTGTTCTTTGCAGATTTTGATACAAACTGGCCTGATCCACCCCCTGGATTAATACATGAATCTGAACTCTGTTACTCTTTTTAATTTTGCACATCTCTGAATATTGTGGTGCAATTTAAAAACAAAAAGGAGAAGCATGCAAAATGTGTATACTTTAGGATAGAATACATTTTGGCATATATATTTGTGAGAAAGTATGTTTTGGAATACACATTTTAATGCAGATTCTTTTTTTTAAAAAAAAATCTGCATTTAAAAAAAATCTACATATTAATGCAGAAAGAGATGTGATGGACTTACGAATGAACATATATGAGACTAACCTGGAATGGAAAGAGATGGATCTGATCATTATGCTTAGAGGCAAGCCATATTCTTAAATGGAATGGGTGGTTCATTTTAAACAATATGTATTTTTCATGGAAGTTCAATTGACTGTTCAATTGTTTTTAAATTTGATTTCAGAGCTTCTGCAGAATCTTTTAAACAGGGAGCCCTAAGGGAACAGATAGCAAAGCTTGTTTCCAGACAAAAGAGTCTTTTGCTCATGGCACAGAAGCAGAAAGAACTAGGCCAGAAAATACAAAATTATAAGAATGCAAAAAAGGAGGCTTCACATTCAGCAAAATATGTCCCAAGCATACATGGCTCTTGTGAACGCAACAACACAGAAGATGATCCATCTGGGAGAATAGCAGCCTCTTCTGATATAGCTATAGGCCTTGAAAACAGTTGGGTCACAGACAATATTTATTTAGATCAAGAATCCAGCCAGTATCCAAACAGGTCTCTGAATATGTCAGGAGGGAATGGAAAAGAAAAAAGGCAAAAAGGACTTGGTCCCAAAAAAACGGCATCTGAAAACAAACCCAGGGAATATAACGTTGAGAAGTTAACAAAGGTAACACATTTGAAGTATGTTAGATCATACTATAAACCATACTATAGATCAGACAATATTGCCTTCAGAACATGTAGTTTGCCTTATTCAACAGACACACATAGAATATACTGATCATACATCAGTGGCACTACAAAGAAGCAAATTCCCAAGAATGTGTACACTAAATAGTTCAGCTGCTAAAAGTACTGTTGTCAATAATAATAATATTATTATTCAGCAAACCACTGAAAGTCAACATGTTTTCTCTAATGTGTCTTCACAGCAATACTCAAATGTAAGTGAGGATTTGCAGATGCAACCAGAATTAGAATCTACACACAGCTGTCTCGCTACTCATCAGAAAAACATCCCAAAAAATAGACACTTGCTTAATGCTAATTTAGAGCCTGCAGGAATATTTTCTCATGCGCTATCACAAAGCAGAATCAGCCCAAGTTCTTCTCAATGTTCTAACAGTCAGAATTCCGAAAAACAATTAAACTTAAAAGCAAGCAGAAGGAAGAAAAATCAGCTATTAGATCTGCTTGAACTGGGAAAGATTAAGTCCGGAGATGATGTTCTGGAATTCACAGTGCAGGTAGATTGTTCAGTTGCAAAGCAATGTCAGTATCAATGCAAAATGTATTAAAAAAACACAGAGTAATGAATTCTTAGCAAAAGCTAATTGATCATTAGAAGCAACAAATAATCCTGTGGCACGTTAAAGCTAACAAATTTATTATGGCATAAGCTTTCATATAGGAAGTGTTATCTGACATTGTAGGTATACAAATGTGGTTGGGGGTGAATTGTGAGGTCAGGAGGAAATTTGTGAGGAGAATCAGGGTTAAACAGTTCTGTGTGACGTCTCACATTCTGAGGCGTGGTTTGGTTCACATACGGGAATCTTTCTTTGTGTGTGAGTTTTCCTTTCGTTTTTGGCTGAGAGACGAAAGAATGTCCGCTCTCTCACCTGGCTGATTTATGATGTTTTTCTTCTCATTAAAGGCTGTTAGAGATTAGCAAGAAGCCTGCGTTCAGTCTGATTTATTATCCACACACAAGGCAACACTTTCTACCGCTGCAGAACTCTGCTAAGAACTCTGCTAAGAGCTCAAGTTTTTCCTATTGGCACACGCGTCCATCGGCACAGGGGAAGTGTGCCGGGCGCCATCTTATCTCAATTATGCCTAAATAACGTTCTAATGATTTTGCCTGCTCCATTACTGCATTGTTTAGGCAACATATATGTTATAATACGATCAGGACCTGGTTCAAATTCTAGCATTAAAAATAAGTATTCAGAGATTATTTTCTAGCTTTTCTTCCCCTCCACCCTGATTCAGCTGGGTGCTAAGAGTGCTCTTTTGCCCTGTATTGTCAAAAATAAGCAGGAAAACAAATAAAGGCTGGCCTATGCCATTTGATTGTGCTGTGTCCTAGCTTAGTGTCAGAAGAGCGTGTGGGGCAATATACAGATGCAATTATGTCCCAACATGCATTACTTGCAAAGAAATGCAGTGCTGTAGTGCCTGTATTTTCTCTATCCTCTGGCCTTCCCTTGCAGCACTATGATGGCAGCAGATGTACTGCAAACTGCAGTTTTTCCACTCAGCTTCTTAGCTGGGGACAATTTCTGCTTATTACAGCAAGCAAGTGGACGAGGGGGAAATTGCGAGGCCGGTATGATAGAATTAGCTGGCAGCTGCTACTGACAAAATAGTTCATGGTCTTTGTAGTCCTGTGGGTTATAGAGAGGAGGAGCCATGGAAAAATTTTAAAACTGTCTTTTACTTGTGCTGCTACCTCTAAGGGGTTTAAAAGCTTGATGTGCTTTTAAACAAGCCTTCCAGGGGACTATATCCAATGAATACATCCCATTTATGCAATTACCTCTGTGCAATGGAACTCCCCCTCCTTCTCTCCCCAAACATAACAGATTTGGGTGAAGCACAGGGGAAGGAGATGGAGGAGTTACGTTGTGCAAGTGGAAGTTCTTGTGCAAATGGGACAACTTCATGGGATACAACCTAATGTTTTCAGGTATATTTTTTTCCAGGTGTGTACAACTTGTGGCTTTTATGCTCCATAGGTTTCCCCCCCATAGAGTAGAGTTCATATTGCTTTCCTGACGGTTGCCATATTCCAGTCTGAGAAGGGTTGGCAAATACTGTAGATGATGGGGTGGAAGTACTTTTCAAGTGAGACTGCAGGTCTCTTTTGCTTATAGTTCTCCTGGGAGCTGATCAGCTGTGAAACTGTGAGAGCTTTTGGAACCTTCATTTGATCTTTCGAATGTCATAATTTTACTTTTATTCACTGTTGAACAACGGATGAATCTTAATGGCAATAGTGCTAGTTTCCTTTTTACAGCCTTGGCCCTAAGGGGCCTCCGAAGGTCTTCTGGTGGTTCCCTCACTCCAAGAAATGAAGTTAAGGGAACCAGGCAGAGGGCCTTCTCAGCAGTAGCACCGTCCCTGTGGAGTGCCCTCCCATCAGATGTCAAGGAGATAAAGGAACTACACAGTTTTTAGAAGACATCTGAAGGCTATATCAAGAAGTTTTAAATGTTTGGTGTTTTATTATGTTTTTATATGTGTTGGAAGCCACCCAGAGTGGCTGGGGAAACCCAGCCAGATGGGCAGGTATAAATAATATATTATTATTATTATTATTATTATTATTATTATTATTATTATTATTTATTTGGTCTGCTGGAATCTCCTCTCCCAGATTTTATCAATAAGCTTGTGAAGTTGTTGTGTAAGTTCAGTTTCTCCCACTTTGAATATTTTGGCAGATATCCCATCAGGCCCACTGGCTTTGTTGTTTCTCGTTTGATTAATAGCTGTACACAACTCTCCCAGATTTGGAGATACTGCAAGCTCATCTTTAATTTGTTTTTGCGGAATTTGTGAGAGGACCTCAGCAGCTACGGGGGAGTTGTAGTTAAGAAGATGCTGGTAATATTCTTTCCAGCGCAATGCAATAGCTTCTTTATCTTTTAGAAGTGTGGTAGCATCTGTTTAGCATAGCGGGCATATACCATGATTTATTGGCCCATAGATGGTCTTTGTGACTTTAAAGAAACTCTGTGCATTATGAGTGTCTGCTAAGTGCTGGATCTCTTCAGCTTTTTTTATCCATCAGATGTTATTTAGTTCTCTGGTTCTTCTTTGAAGCATTGGCATAGGTTTTTTTCTTAGTGGTGCAGTTTCTATCCCTTTGCCCAATCTGAAAGGCCTTCATTTTCTTGGCAATAATGTGTTTGATCTCACTATCATTCTCATCAAACCAGCCTGGTGTTTCTTGGTTTGGTATCCAATAGTTTGTTCACAGGCTGCGATAATGGATGTTTTTAGCTTGGCCCATTGTTCCTCAGTGTTATCAGGGAACTCTGAAAGCAGATGGTCCTTAAGAGTCGTTTGGAAGCAATCCTACATAATAGGATCTTGAAGGGCTTGAATGTTCATTTTGCACTCTGGTTTCCTTCCTTGAAGCTTGTGTTGAGGTATAATCCTGATAGCTATCATGGAACGTATTAATTGGTGATCTGTCCAGCAATTGTTGGCACTCATCATAGCTCTGGTAAGAGCACAGCATGATGATCTTCAGCTCAGACAATTACATAGTCTAAGAGGTGCTAGTGGTTCAAAGTGTAGGGGATTATAATTCTTAATTGTTTTGTGTTCCTTGTTTTTGTTTTTAATTTAGGATTCCAAACATAAAGCCAGCCTTTTGGGAAATGGTAAAGTCAGAGCTGGCAATAACTCAGTTTACCAAAATCTAGTTCAATGGATTAAAGCACTACTAGGAAGTGACATTTCTGTAAGCTGGAAATATGTATACAACAAGGTAGGCTCATTACATTTTCTGTCACCTATTAAAATTTAATATTAGTGTGAAGTTTGTTGCATGAAAGTGAGCAGTGTAGTGGTAGTTTGTCTGAGCACAGGCAGGCAGGCAATGTCAGGAGCGAGTCAGCAATAAATCACATGGTGTAAATGAAGTTAACTCTTTATTAGAAGAAGCAGGATCTGCTCAGGTGGGCCAGGCCTAATGAGCACAGCAACTGGTTGTTTATTATTATCATAATTATCACATTCTGTACAATTCATTCATTATTATTTTTAAGGAAAACTGTCATCAACTAAAAAGTGTATTTTTAAAAAATAAGCAAGAAAAAGAAGGGGGGAAAGCTGCAAAGCATTATAGTCCTGTGTAGTCTTCTGCATTTGACTTTGGCTTTTTGTTTTTCCATACTCGACTTGCAGGAAATGTACAAAGTAGATATATTACTTTGACACGGGCTCAATAGTTCTTGATGCATTTTTTAAAATGAAGTAAATAACATCTTCAGTGACATATATTTGCCTTTATACAGGTCGCATACTGTGGAACTCTGTTGTCAAAAATTATTGCTGAAGTTCATGTTTCTGAGGAACCAGAGTTAACAGTGCAACAAAATAAGCTATTTGGTATGTGCTGACTAAAATGTGAATTCCATTTAGATGAAAATGCCCCCCAAAAGGACAGGGTTTATAAATCCTCAGACTTCTACTGCACACTTTTTCTATCTTTAATCACAAATTATGGACATAACAGCATTTTTTAGTAGAGCCATGCATGTGCCTCAGAAATGCTAACAAGACAAGTTTTCTCTGTTGGAAATGTTATGGTTTGCTGTGATTCTCTCCTGAGCGAAGCTAGTGAGTTAACCTACATGGGTTGGAGAACCCGTAAGTGCTAAGAGTTAATGGCTTAATTAAACTTGTCTTTGCTGGAAATTTTGTGAATTTAATCCAGTGTTTGTGTGGCTGAGGGAAACAGCATTCTGCAGAAGTACTGTCCTCTAGTTGTTTTTGGGAATAAGAAATATTGGCTTCAGTCAAAACTGTTTATATACACACAAGGAAGACACTATTGCAGATTAAAATATCTATTACCAACTTGTGCTTAGAGGTATCAACATTGGGTAAGGGAATATTCTGATACAAATTAGTAACTATTTATGAACTCCAAGTTATAACTTCTATTTTTAAACAATAATATGAAAGAAATCTTTTAAAATGATGTCCAGGTGATATATGATCCCAGTATTGATAAGCAAAATGAATAAATGGTGCTGCTCTATTTTCTAGAAATGTCAAAAATAGTGAGGGGATTTCTGCCATATGGAGTGAACCTCACACCCAGCAATTTCTGGGAGGAAAGATATATTTCTTATTGGACAGATATATTTCTCTTGGCTTGCATATTCCCCATGACTTCTTGACATACACAAGAACAAAGCCACCCCTTGCCTAATGCACCAATTAGGAACAAATTGTCAGGCCTGGCCCTAAGTTTTTTAATAGGCCGAACACAAGTCCAACACAAGCAGGTGTTGCTATGATAAGCCTGTGGTAGATGTGAAGGGCTGGGAGCTTGATAACAGATGAGACAAACAAGAACCAAGGACCAGAGGCAGGAAGATGTGATTGTGGACAGGATGAAGGTCACATCCTGCCCAGAGGGTATGATTAAATGGTTAATGAATGCCAAAGATAACCAAAATACCGGATCAGTCAGGGAACAGAAGCATATCCATAATAAAGCAACAAGTTGCTCAGACTGAGGAGTTGGCTTGGCTTGGCTTGGCTGAAAAGGTTTATAGGGTCTGCTATGTTTCCATTAGTTTTTGAGGTCAGCTGACCAGGCTGTATGATCAACTGATAGCATCCAGACTAGGACTGTCACCTAGAGAACACCCTTGACGCACAGAACCTGGCCCTCCCCTGAGGAACTAGAATGCTGGTGGCACAGGAACGATGGAATGTATTGGAGGCTCTGGTTCAAGACTTCCCTTGGCCGGCATGTTACACAGATAATTTTTTATCTTTTTCAACCAGGGAGAAACTCTACAAGATGCAATTACAGCCGAGGTGCTGAGTACTGCTGTTTTAGTCATAAGGCTGCTTCCTCTCAGAATGCAGAGAATATAAGGCAGGAAACTGCACCCTTTCCTCAGGAAGAAATGGAAATCTCTCTGTCCCCTGAAACAGAAGCTGAGGAAATAATGACAGCAGTCAGTGAAACAAGTAAGTAAAATAAGACCACATGCAATCCTGTTTTGTCACAAGTTTGTTGCAAGTAGAATTTTGGTGGTAGGACTATTGCAAACTCTTGGTCTTGGCACAAAAAATAAGATTAGTTTGCTGTTGAATTGTACCCTTTTTCTTTCTGCAAAGCGTGCATTTTCTGTTTACTGCTTCAGAGCCTGTGCTATTAGACTATGGTTGTCTTTAAATATTCTGTGGTTTTTCCTAATTCAGTGTAGTCTAACTGTGAAAGACACTTTACAAAGCCCTGCCTTCTACATTTATCTGATTTGCTGTATAATATAACAAATATATGTAGGACGTTGTATATCTTACGAATCCACATACATATTGGATAATTGGGAATGAACAGCAAAGCCAAAATAGAACATTTAATTATCTAAACATATGGTTGCAACCTGCATCCTCTTAGAGATACTGAACATATACTACACATCTGCAGTGAATCTTCCAAAATAAAGCTTATTGCTCTTTAAATAACCCATACTAAGGATATGCATTTATTGATGGAGTGTTAAATGCTTTTGATACTGAAAGACTTAATCAGGATTTAGTTCTTAAAATGGGGAGAGCATCTGGATAGTGACATACAATATCTGTTTTAACTGAGAATCTTCTTCAGGGCATTATTGTATTTTAAAACATCTGTCTGCTTTTTTGGCCTCCTCATAAGCAGCTTCCCTAAGGGTAACCTACCATGTTGCTTTTTGTAGCTAGAGGTGCTCACACTCATGTAAACTGAAGTGTGCAAATATAATATGAGAAGGGCAACTGTATGCTTCAGTTTTCCCAGAGAAGATGCTGTTTTGTAAGAACTGTGGAAACAGATCCAGACAATCCTATTTCTTTACTTAGAAGAGAGAGGTCTTCCATCTTAGAAAAATTGTAACCATTGTGGTGGATGAATGTGTGTTTATTGTCTATTTTTTTAAGTGTTGCATGCCATCCAAATCCCTGAGTGGTGGGAGATTCCAGGGGTTTCAGGCACTTATCCGGGGTTTGTATTTCTGTTTGGAAATGAGGCACAATGGAGACAGCAGTGTCTTCATGATATATGGTTTATTACACATACTGTATATACAACCTGAGCATGCGATGGAGGGGTTCGCAGCATCAACACCCCAAAAGAGTCTAATTTCTCCCATAGCTGCAGCCTTGGATTCAAACATAACTCAAACATTGCTCTCAAGCGTTGCCCTGATTTTCTCTCCAGTTTGCTGCTTTACTTCTAAGTTACATCACTGCAAACTCTCAGCTCTCTCCTTTGTCTTTTTCTAACTACTAGGCAATCACCTCAACAGGAAACTAAGCTGGCTTATATTTTAACATTTGCTGGATCCAGGGATTAGAAGGGTCTCTGCACAGTGCACACAGACTACTTCCCCCCACCCTAAACTCATAACAAAAACCTCTTTAAAATTTGCTATATGACTCGACTTCAGTTGTATTGGTACTTCAGTGTAGATTTGTATTCCTGTTCACTAGGTGACTGCTTATATTATTTGATATTTATTTGTTTGCTTTTTTGAAATTTATATACCACCGTTCATCGAAAGACCACAGGGAGATTTCCAACATAGAACATACAATAATAAATTATATATATGAAAACAGAACATTATATCCATACAAGAATAATAATTACTGCTTTTTTTCTGGGGGTACTCAAGGGTGCACAGTACTTCCCCCCACCCCCAGAAGAAAGGGCACTGGTTAAAAGTGCAGCTCTTACTGTAACTACTTCATGGTGAGTACCAGCACCCTTTTTTCTAGAGGAAAAGCACTGATAACAATATATAGTAATAAATAATACATAATGGTACACAGTGCTTTTTTGGTTAAAAAAATGAGGTGCCAGTACTTAAATTGATAAAAGTGTCATGGGTGCCCACACAAAATGGCTGCCATGGGCAGCAAAAAAAGAGGTGCCAGGACTCCATGCCAATGAGTACTGTCACAGAAAGCAGAGGTGAAACTAGGTTTTGTTTCACCTGGATCAAAGACCCAGTTTGGCACACCCACCCACGCGCATTTGCACACACACACACACATAGGCTGGGAGCCTCCAATTACTTCGCATTTTCAGGACTGAATCCTGGAGTGCAGATATGTTCTGCTATGTTCTGATGTGCCACGGCTCAAATGAAACAAATCCTTTTTTTGGTATCTTGGTTTGAATACTTTGTCCTTTTAATTTAGAGAAAAAAGTGTTTTGGAGAATTAATAGTTAAATTGATTTTGGGGGGTAGGAAAACAAAATGCAAATGTAAAAAAAGGTTTTCCTTACAGTTTAAAATATTTTGTGCGTTTGGTTTTTTGTCGATGGATGTGCAGGTGTAAACAATACATGAAATCAACGATTATGTCATGGTATGGCTTTATTGCTAAATAAAGAGGTATGGAGTCAATCTGATCTGAAAATCATACTTGGATTCTCTTACGTGGAAGCTCTTTCACTGTCCTTAAATGTGCAGAAAATAATTGATTTTTTTAAGAGAGGAGGAGGAGGAAAATATCACTCTGCACATGTGCTATGACACACTTTCCTAAATAAGTGCTGTACAAGTCCTATTGTCATGAAAACGGCAAAGTAAAAAATTGCAGTCCCCCCCCCCAGTCAAAATGTTGCGAGCTAGCACTGATTGCCTTAAATATCTCACCACTTAAGAAATTGGGGGTTTAAAGCATTCCTTATACTTCATGCTAGATATTTTAATTTAGTGCATTTCATCTTTCTAACAGAAGTTCCCTACCACCTTGATTCCTCAACACCACCCAGGAGATTTCTACAGTTCAACAGCAGAGTGCTAATAAAGGATGAAGAATTTATGCCAGGTCATATAATGGATCAGTACTGGAACTTCTATGTCCATTGTGAGGGTTTCGGATTTTAAACGAAAAAATAGATAAACGTTTTCCTTCTCTATCTGGTAAAATTTAATGAGCTTGGGGAAGAGGATTGCATTGTGTTTTTTGAATTTTACTATTGCACCAAATCTTTGTTAGCATCACTTTTAAAATACAAAGGGAACCTTGTTGTGTCCCAACAGATGTAAACTGTCTGAGAGCTTTTAGTAGGAGACCAGGTGGGGGGGTATAGATAAGGTTGCGAACGGCTGTGTGGTTACAGTTGCTATGCACTTTGACCTTGATATGCCTCATGATGGAAAGGAAAAGTCTGATGTGGATGAGATGGCTGAAATAAAAAAAATGGTCAGGATGGCACCTGTTGTTATTACTGAAGCACAGACTGACAGAAAATTAAAAGCATTTCAGGTGAAACAGGTGTTGAGTTGTGGCCTGAGCTCCAGCCTCTGGGTCACCAATGAAAGTTTAGTCTGGTTATCTTAGGCAAGGTTGAATCAAATTGTCAGCATCTGCCAATTTTGATATGTCAGCCCTAATTAAAGAACAGGGAACAAATGATTATCTCTAAAGAGTCCTACACTGTTGTTGTTTTTCAATGGAAGACTCTTTCAGACTCAGAATCTAATTCTAAGAAAGCAAACCTTACAATACGGGCCTGAAATTGTGCTCACCTTTGTTTATACACACCCACACAGCCAATAAAGAATAATTGGTTTCAGTTACTTTTGTGGCTAATGTTTGCTGTTAGTGAAAGTTTTTGTAATGCAACCTGAAATCTCATTTTCCCTCAAACTTCCATTTGTAGCAGGATGAAGCTGTCTTATTTACATTTCCTATCATGGGGCCATATTTAGCTCTTTTATAAGGGGACAAATCTTAAACAGCTTTCAATGGAGCTCCACAACTAAGTTACAACATTTTGAACCTCCATTTGAATCCCATCTGTGTGAACACACCATACAGTGAAGATTTAGAGAGCGTTCTTTTTCGTTTTCTTTTAATTTAAAGGAAATAATTCCTTTGGGGATTTTTCACATTGAGCTGGTCCCAGTGTAAAGCTATTCATGGTATTGTGCGGTCTCTCTCCCCTTCCATGTCTTACAGAAAGTTGCTAGGATTAGCTGTGATTAGTGTTGGTGACATGTAACATAGCCATGGTTAAGGCCTGTTGGAGAATTAGCATGAGAGCAGGGGAGGCTTTAGAGAAGAAAGTGTTTCACAACCTCCTCCCAATATCCTTGTCACCATAAAGTGATTGCAGTCTTTGCACTGGCCCAGTGAGATATAAAAAAACCCACACTTACTGGATTACATAAAATATCAGTATTTTATGAAATGCAGTATTTTGAAATACACAGAGGTGAAGGCTTAATTATCAGTGTCATTCAGAAATATCCACGGGCATTCAAATACAAGGCGAAAATACTTTTTAATCATTTTGATTATAATCTCTTTGAGCTTTTAAACCCGGGAGCTACTTTATACTGTGCAGTATCTTCTGGGGGAGGGATGGTGTTTGTCTTACATGTGATTTATTTCCTACTTCTTTGCTAGGGTATCTGTAGCAGATACATCTGCCATAGCCAGAGTTGAAAATGTTCTGGGGCTCTTTCATGTCAGATTAAACAACATTTTAAAGATGCAAAATGAGATTCCTTGTTAACTCATTTTGCTGAATTGCTATCAGCCACATATGGAAGAGTTTCTCTACTGATTATCTGATTGGCATATAAGCTGGTGTATGGAAGTGACTGTTGACTGGCTTAGGCAAAAAAGATATTGGAGATAGAGAACAAAGTCTGTGGTAAGGAAAGTTAACAAAGTCAACACTTTGTTAGAATGTCTAAGGTTTCAGATGTCCAAAACTGTCATGTAACAAAAAGGTAAACTATGTAGTTTGATGAGTAAGGTACTTAAAACAATGCTATTTTAGTTGATTTATTTTTATTTTTTTTTGGCCATTCAGGTCCTGATGCGCTTTAATTACACTGTACTCTTTTGTTATAGCGAACATATTGCATTACTTGTTGAAAGAGAGCAGTGATTCATATTCATCTTTTGTTGCAGGAGAATATTGTACTGCCTATGAAATGTACAAAAGATTTATCTGAATATTAGATTTACTTCACTGTTCACTCAATTTGTTGTTTATGTTGTTTTCTTTGATGTAAGGCACCTAATAAATTAGGAACATGCCAACTGCAAGGCCTTGTTGCTGCATTTTGGATTAGCTTTGTTCCTACAGGAGAACATAAAATCAAGATTTGACATGATGAGTATGAAGTAAAAGCTTTGGCTCGTAAGCTGGCTTTCCGGTACTAAAAAAGACAGACACCATTTGTTAAATATTATTTCTTCTGTATTTGATTTACTAAAGTTTAAAATGTAATTATGTTACCTTCTCTTTTCTTTTTGAAAGGAAAAGGGGGAACTTTATTGTATAAATTTAGTAGATTGGTACAAGATTTTATGGTATGAGTGGCTGCTGTTCTGGTGGGGGATAAAATTCAGATTCAGAATATAGGAGACATGTGACTGTGTCTTAGTATGTAGAGTAGCAGTCTCTTAGCACCATGGTCCAGGATTTGTTGTTATAGCTCTGACAGTGTTGATTAGTGAGACTGTTTTTCAACAGTGTCACTGTAAGCACAAAATTCACTAAGTTCTAGATTTCCTTTATTGGAGAAAAAATCTGGTTGACTTAATGTCTTTGTGATTTCTATTTTTATTGTATAAGCTGCTTTGAGACACCCTAGTGCAAAAATGCAATAAATAATAAATACTGAAAAAGCATTTTTGTAATCAGTTTATTATCGCTGGTCATTCAGAACACATTGTTCTCTCTCTCTTGATCACCTAATACTCTGTTACCTGTAACTGATACACTGGAAACAAATAAAACTAGGCCAGTATCTAATACTTCCTTAAAACCAAAGTGCCTGTTGGGCATACTATTCTACTGTACTACATTGACTATTAAAAATTATTCATGAAATATCTGAACGTATAAAGTGCCCATTGGGTGGGCAAGCTTTTTCTGTTGAGGGCCACATTTTTCAGGGGAAATCTGTTGGGGGCCACAGCCAGTGGTAGGAAGGGCCAAAACCAAAAATGAACAGGGCCACCTCTTCTCTCTTTTTCTGCCATCTACTGTACTTTTTCTCTCTGACATCCCCCTTTCTCCATGTCCAGTCAGGCTCTCCAGGCCAGAGACAGATCGCCTTTGCAAGAGATTTGAACTGATTGCTTACAGATGACTTTTAAAATTATGCCAAGATCTAAATAATGCTTGTCGCTGGTCTATCCAGTCCTGTACTTGTCTATCCTTTAACTAGCTCTCTAAGGGCGGTGCTCACATTACTGTCTTGGAGCACAGTGAGATTGTTTTTTCTTTCTTTTCTGGTGCATTTCACATCTCTCTGCCTCAAGCTGTTCATATCAGCATGGCTTCACTGGTGACAATTTCATTTCTGTTGGTGTACACACCAGGGGGTGTTTATGGGCAGGGATGTCTTTACCTCATGCAAAGGTGTTCGTTCACACCCTGGCTAGAGGCAAATTAGAAGCTGCTTAAGAACTGCAGCCATGGTGAAGCTAGTTTGAGAAACGACTCATCAAACAGTATTATTTTATTGAAAAGTACAGGATACATAAGCATTTTTGACAATGTCATGTGAACACATTCAAAACCCAGCACTGGAAATGCAAAAATGCACAGTGTAAACACAGCTTAGATCTCAGAGAAGAGATGAAGAGATGAGCCAGCCATACTACTTACCGTAAATCCCTTGTTTGCTAGAGACACCAGGGCCTGATTTTCTCCTGGACATGATATTGGTGGAAGTGGGGAGTCTGACTTCAGTTATACAAATGCAGTCTGAATTTAAGACCTGATCTTACATACCAGTATTTCTGCATCAAAAAAAATCTCATGTTGAAGCCTGTGAGAAGCTCTCTTTTATGAGCTTCAGTGTGCTGATGCTCAGTCTCTGTGCATGCAATGCAATGCACCCTCAAGCTTCTACCCATTTACTGAAGGGGGGGAATACAGAAAGGGCAAGATTCAATGACATTACACTGCATGTGCATCCTGCCTCCTAGCAAGTGGCATTTATAGGATTATCTAATTTTAGCGTCACAGCAACCATGAAGACATATACACATTTAACTGTGGGAGTAAGCACCACTGAGTGCAGTGGGAACAGGAAGCTGCCTTATACGGAGTCAGACTTATTAAACTAGCTCAATATTGCCCACACTGACTGGCGGCAGCTCACCCCAGCCAGATGGGCGGAGTATAAATAATAAATTATTATTCTCCCAGCCTTACCTGGAGATGCCAGGGATTGGACCTGGGGCCTTTGGCATGCAAAGTAGATGCTTTACCACTGAGCTATGGAGTTTCAGCTTCTGAATTGACAGGCAACATATAGCCCAGGGGGTCAGCAAACTTTCAGCAGAGGGCTGGTCCACTGTCCCTCAGACCTTGTGGGGGGGCCGAACTATATTTTGAAAAATAATAATGAATGAATTCCTATGCCCCACAAACAACCCAGAGATGCATTTTAAATAAAAGCACACATTCTACTCATGTAAAAACACCAGGCAGGCCCCACAAATAACCCACAGATGCATTTTAAATAAAAGCACACATTCTACTCATGTAAAAGTACGCTTATTCCTGGACCATCCGTGGGCTGGATTGAGAAGGCGATTGGGCCGGATCTGGCCCCCGGGCCTTAGTTTGCCTACCCATGACATATGCTGTTACATCCACTACATCTTGGGTAAGGGAAAAAGCACTTCTGCTCATGAGAGGCTTAAATGCCCAAGAGAGATGATGGGCAACCATTCAATGATTTATTTTATTTTTCACGTGTTTCACTGCTCTCCCAGCTGCATAAAAAGACCATTAAATTGTTTTTTTTAATGAATATTATAATGTAGACATATCCCTATCAGACATAGTAAACCACATTTTATCACTCCCCTTCAGCAATTAAAAACCCCAGCACAAGCCCAATCAAAACAAATTATCGGTTGCTGCCAGTCTAGACAATATGCGTGATTGAGGCTGCATGCCATCAAAAGCTTTCCGAAATAATAAAAAAAGGAACATTGTACTTGCTACCAAGCGCTTACAAAGTATCAGCTCTGGGGGCGGAAGGTCTCCCAGGAAGGAAAGAGGGAGCGATAACACGCCTCCTTATCATTTGTATGGGTATGTGGACAAATCTCAAGTTCCACTTTTCGTGACGAACAACATTTGCCTATGAAGTACGACGTCCTCTGGGAGGAACAGATTAAAAAGTCCAGCTTTGTGTGCGCGCGCGCACACGGAGGGCAATGGAATACTGGAAACTTTCCAAATTTGCAACTAGTGGAATTGGAAACAAGCAAGCTGATTAAAACACTCAAATAATTACTGCGTGCTCCCCCCACCCCCGGCCACAGAGCAAAAGTTGGAGGAGCGAAAGGGGATTAAGTGGCTGAGGCGACACAGCCAGCCCTCGGGATCTGCCAGCGCCTGGGTTGGATTTCCTCGCCCTCCTTCCTACTCCGCGGCCGCCGCGCGCGGCCCCTTGGAGTCTCCCAAAGTCGCCTAACCAAAACCTCGGCAGCCTTAGCGCTCTGCTTTCCCAATGGGTCCGGAGCAGTCCCGAAAGAGCGCCGGATGGCAGCGCCGGATGGATGTTCCGCGCCCACCAGAGGAGGCGCGGCGCTCTTCCCCGCCCTTTCCAAACACATAAACAACAAGGCTTGTTGGGATGGGAACGAGCTCGATATGGAGATTCGTTCCCAACCTCGAGCTCTGCCTATCTAGGTCGCCTAGACAGCAAAGAGAAAACACATTCCTGGAGGTGAAGCAGACGCTTTAGGGGTTCGATGCCACCCAGGCTGTGGGCAGGGGGGTTGGACTGGATGACCCTCGGGGTCCCTTCCAGGCCAGCTCTAAACTTCTGTGATTATAACACTGCAGGAGGAAGAGGAAGACTGGCTTTAACATATATATATATATATAAAGAGAACTGTGCTCATCCTTGCGACACGTTTCCTTTATTTCGACATTTGCACATTTCGAGTTGGACTGGAACAGCCCGCCGCCTCCGGGCCAGCCAGGGAAGGCCCAGAGGCCTCATTACAGAAACAGGGGAGGGCAAAGGTTCGCGACAAAGTTCTCCAGCGCGCCCGTGTGCGCTCGCGGGACGCCGTAAGGGCTCCGTCCGAGCTCGGTAAGGAGCCTCCGGGTGGGGAGAGGAAACGGTGAGGAGCCCGTTGGGTGTTGTTGGCGGAGGAGTCTTCCCGACTCAAAAAAACGGGGTCCCGCTGCGGCTGTTTTGGTTTCTCTTGGGCTGAGCGGGCGGCAGCGTCGCTCTTCCTAGCTCAGGAGGAAGGAGGTCCCGGGCGCGGCGGCGGCGCCCCCTCCTCCTCCGACCACGTCATGGGGTCCTCTCCTTCGCGGGAGCAACAGTTCCCGCGCCCTCCGTCTCCCACAGACACGCTCGCTCGCTCCCGGGTGGGTGGGGGAGGGCAGCGAGGAGAAGGAAAACTGCGCGGCGGCGGCGGCGGCGGCGGCTCTGAGCCACTAAGCCAGAGGCAAACATCTGCCTGACTTCACAGCAGCCGCTGGCACCGCCGGGACAGACAGGGCCGGTGCGCTCTCGTAAGTGGCGCGTTCGCTGCTCAGGAGGGAAAGAAACTTTTAGATGTCGTCGTTGTTTGCCCGCCTTTCTTGCCTTGCTCTGAGGCAGCGGGAGGCGAGTGCCCTGAGGAAGCCGCTCGGAGTGCGGGGCGGCGGCACTGAGGGAAGGGCAGAGGGAGGAACTGGAACTGTTTGCCTCAAGAAGGAAGCGGCAAAGGGCGGGCGAGGAAGCGCGCGCGAGGTCCTCGCGGTTGGCTTTGGGGCTCAGGAGAAGGCGCAGCCTCTCAGCCCCTTCATTCCTCCCGCCCGGCGCCGCCAACTTGTGCAGGGACGACGCCCGGGAAGTCCCATGTCCTCTGGACAAGCAGGCACGTACAGGAGGAGGTCGACTTCCGAGTAATTTCTGCCAAGTGCCTGTGCAGTTGATCGCTCGTGCCTGCCGTTCGCTTCCCCCGCTGGCTAACAACATCCCCGCGTGGAGTTGAGGCGGAGCTCTGGCAAAGAAAGCAAGGGCTGGCCGGCTCGCCCCTCCCTGAGATCTCGCTCGGATGGTTGCTTACATTCCTTCCCCTCTCAGTTGGGCATGCGGTGCTCAGTTCTTGCAGAGGAGCGAGCAGACAGGTAAGGCTGGGGCGCTTCACGTGACCGCAGGAGATGCTGCTTTCCCTTCCAGAAGCTTGCTCTCGCTGCACAAGTTTCGCGTCACTCCCATCTTGCATTGTGCAAGCATCCGGCTAGCATCAAACTGAAACTTTGGCGTCCTGGGAGGGCCAGACCCGAGAGGTTGCTTGGAGTAGAGTCGTCCTCTGTGGGATGAAGGGAAGCTTGCTGCCTTTCAATAGCCAAAGGTCCTTGCTTTTATTGACCGAGTGATGGGCAGACAATCAACAGGTGCAGCTTCAGTTCTTGCTGATTCTTTATTGGTCTCTCCTGCGGTTGCTAAAGGTGCAAGTCCTCAATCTTTATAAAGAGTCATTCTCTTAAATTTTAAGGGGCCACCGAAGGGAGTTGCATTTGGCACTTTGGGTGGGAGTGGGGGTGGGGGTGTACTGAACTCAAGTGTGCAATGCTTCAAGCTGTCCAGCACCTGAGTGTGGTCACGCCAATCCTCTGCCCACCTGTGTAAGGATTGTGTTGACAAATTGCAGACCATGTGCTACTAAGATGGCAACTTTGCATTTATTGTCATGCAGTAACAGACAATAAGAGGACAGGTCTCTGCCCCAAGGAGTTCCCCCCAAGGAGTCTAAAATTTCACCTAGGGGAAAAACCTAGAGAATTGGCTTACAGCTGCTTACAGCTAAAATATTGTTAATGTGCGTCTTTGGAGACTGTGAGCAGTTTTCTCGATGGAAAAGGTAAACCACTCAAATCCTGCAAAAGGTGCTCCATAAAGAGAACAAAACCCAAAGGGCTAATACTGCATAGCACAGTGGACAAGAGCACTCCAGTAACAATGAATTACCGACTTTTTAAGTTGATGAATTCATCAGTTCAACTTCACAGTCTGAAAAAATAGTGAGGATTTTTGTTTATAGCTCATAGAAGATGATGGCCCATTTCATATGTTATGATCCACATGTTCAATGAGCACATGTGGAAGGGCAGGTTCTGGCCGCTGTCTACACCTGTTAACTGAATGTGTGAACAGGACTTCCACACATGCTGCTTTATGTACAATGAGCCTGTTCTGGAATTCAGTGAAAACACAAATGGGGAGCGAGTAGACCCTGCTGTCATTTCCACCCCTTCCCATCCATTGGTGCATTAATTACATATCAAAAGACTATTGTGTCTAAGTCTGTAATCCCATAATCATGTGCACACTGACCAGGAAGAAAAACCTATTTTCACTGAGTGGGTCACGTTTCTAAGTACATATCTGCATTTTCCAGTTTTATAAATTTCATGATTTTTGACCTCTTGATCCAAGTAGCAGTTGCCTGCCCCACCGCAGTAGTTTGTTGTTGATTTTAGTAGAGGAGTTCTGGAGTTCTGAAGGCAAAGTCCTCCTTGTTGTAAGATAATCAAAGGCACAGGGTAATGACGTTTCTTGTTGAAAGAGCTTGACCCCTGGCTTTCTGTGTAGTGTATTGTGAGTAAAGTAATGTTCAGGGGAACTAAATAAAGAAAAGAAAAAAGGTATGCCTAGCTGTTGAGAAAATGCAGCTGTTGTGTCATCTTTTTAAAAGCTTTTTCTGAACGAGTGGAAGATGTTGTAGACAAGTTGCACAATGGAGTTGAATTAGAAGCCTCCTAATTGTGAGAATGAATTAGGAAAAAGCCAGAAAAAAACTGCTTAGATAAATGGTGAGATTACGGTCTTGGAGGCTTTTAGCGTGATATTTATAAGACATGTTGGAAAGAACAAAAGTGTGCCTTGGTGTATGATAGGCATATGGACTAGTTACGTAGCTGCAGTCCTATGAATATTTAAGTGGGAGAAACCCCCCACTGAGCACAGCAGGGCTTAAAGGTAAAGGTAAAGGGACCCCTGACCATTAGGTCCAGTCGTGACCGACTCTGGGGTTGCGGCGCTCATCTCGCTTTATTGGCCGAGGGTGCCAGCGTACAGCTTCCGGGTCATGTGGCCAGCATGACTAAGCTACCTCTGGCGAACCAGAGCAGCGCACAGAAACACCGTTTACCTTCCCGCCGGAGCGGTACCTATTTATCTACTTGCACTTTTGGCGTGCTTTCGAACTGCTAGGTTGGCAGGAGCAGGGACTGAGCAACGGGAGCTCACCCCATTGCAGGGATTCGAACCACCGACCTTCTGATCGGCAAGTCCTAGGCTCTGTGGTTTAACCCACAGCGCCACCCGTGTTACTTAGCTGCAATCCTATGGATATTTAAGTGGGAGAAACCCCCCACTGAGCACAGCAGGGCTTACTTCTGAGTAAACAGTTAGAGCAATGCTAGAGAGGTCCTTCTGACATCGAGGTTCTGTAATTCTCAAATACAACGGCAAAAGAAACGGCAGCATGCCGTCAGGCAGGGTGCTACACAGAATTGCAGTAAATATTGTCCCTTGCTTAAAAGCACTAACATAGAATATTATCATTGCAAGAGTTAGATTTAGGTAGGTAACTGTGTTGGTCTGACACAGTTGAAATATATAAAAAAGAAAGAAAAAATTGTCCAGTAGCAGCTTAGAGACCAACTAAGTTTGTTCTTGGTATGCACACAAAAGCTTATACCAAGAACAAACTTAGTTGGTCTCTACATTGCAAGAGTTTGTTATTTAGGTTTGTGCACAGTGAGACTTTGCTGTAATGGACAGCACTCCCCCTCCCACACTACCCAGTGCAGTCCCCTCTTTTCTCCCAAAAGGTGCCCACAAGGGTTGGGGAACCCTTTGGAACAGTATTTGTGGTATTGTGGAGAGGGCAGCAGTAGGTAGGCGGAATGGGTGGATTGGCAACAAAAAATGGATGCCCTGCCCTGCTTCACACTTTCCACTACTGCACCACCAACAATGGATCACACAGACTAGGCTTTGCAATTTCCTGTAAAATGACACTGGTTTATGTCCTCCAGTGCTTGCAAGTTATTACCCAAGTGGCATTTTTAACTTAACTTTTAACTTTTTAACTTTAAATGGAATGAATTTTAGACTTAGGAACCATGGACTCATTAGGTAGTCGTTACCTTGACAGCTTCAGATTCCCACCTACAATTTTGCTATGTTGAGAGCATAGACAAGTCAACAACTGCAATATGCTTTTGGATATCAAGAGTACTTTGCAACATAAATGATTTGGCATTGAAACATTTTTCCTATCTGGAACTTAAAGTTAACTTTTCTGATGAATGGTCCCTATAATAAAAGGGCACGGGGTGGTGTTGTGTTTTTTAAAGCACCATGAACTGAACATCCAAGACTGTCACCTAAGTCTAATTAATTACTGCTGTTAACCATAATTGATTCAATTAATCACTTCCTGGCTTTTGAAACTTCAGAATTTTAATTGTAACTTGTCACTTGGGAAGGATGCATGCAATCTTTTTTAGAATAATTTTCACACAGATACAAATTCATATACACCACCAGCTTTACTTTGTCACTAGAAGATGAACCATGGAATTAAAAAACAACAATCCTGCACTGTATATCACTAGTATTTCAGTGACTTCAGCTGAGTAACTGAATTATAAACCTTTGCTTTGCTCCCATTCTTTCATTTTCAAGTGACTCCACTGTCTACACGAAGCTGCTTCACTGGTCTGTCGCTAGTCCAGCAATATCTGTTTGTAACTGAATCTCCAGGGTCTATCTCAGCTCAGAAGCCTGACATCTTTTTAACAGGAATTGCCAGGGATTTAACATGGATCCTTGTGCATTCAAAGCATGTCCTACCACTGAGCTGTGGATTGCTTCTTAATGCCCTTATAGCTGTGCTTTTAATAGCAGCTTAATGTGCACACATTAGCAGGTGATAAAGTTTCTCCATGTTGTTAAAAAGCTTTGCCTGATGATTTTGCACATCAAACACAAGAGCAGATTAGGTTGTTTTTCTTCTTCTGCTCAATTCCTAGCTATGAACAAAAGTAGAAAAAGATTTCAGTTCATTTGTGGTAAGTGGTAAGATGTAGCTGGATACTTCTTGTATGATAATTTGAACTTTAAGTAAATCTTAATTACTGTAAACCTCATCTTAAAAAAGAACTGCTATTATAGCCCATAACTAGGTGCTAATTACATTTTTACTGTTGTCTGCTAACATCCCTGTGTTCTGACCTGCAGCACTGACACACTCAGTTTCCATTGCCAAATCTTTTTTTTTTTTCAAAGTAAGAATTGAGCTGAATAAAGTTGCACACAGACTTTGTAAGAAAAGAACCTAAATTTGCAGGAAAGTCATATTTGTCATTTGCAGATCTTAACTGTATTCTTTGGCTTTGCACTATTTGAAATCTGTATGCTTAACAATCTAGGGTTGCAGTCCTGTACAGTGGTACCTCAGTTTACAAACTTAATCCGTTCTGGAAGTCTGTTCTTAAACCGAAACTGTTCTTAAACCGAGGCACGCTTTCCCTAATGAGGCCTCCTGCCGTCGGTGCCCTTCCACTGTTCAGATTCTGTTCTTAGACCGAGGTAAAGTTCTCAAACGGGACACTATTTCCGGTTTTGCAGGGTTTGTAAACTGAATCGTTCTTAAACCGGACTGTTCTTAAACCGAGGTACCACTGTACATACTTCCTTAGGAGTAAGTCACTGTGACCTCAGTGGAACATACTTATGGGTAGACATGCATAGAATAGCACTGCCAGGATGGCATCAATGTAGTTTTCACTTTCTGAGAACCAGAAGATTTAGTGGTGTGTGAAAGGAGGAGGGGGAGTTACATAGTATTACGCAGAGCTGTAGCTACAGGGGTGGGAGGGCTATCCGGGTTTTTTGCCCCGGGTGAAGCCTCCAAAGGGGTGCCATTGAGGCTCCCAACTTGTGTGTGTGTGTACGCAAATGTGTGTGGTGTGTGTGCCAAACTGGGTCTTCGACTCGGGTGGAATAAAGCCTTGTTTCACCCCTGGTATTATGCCTCACATTGAACAGAGTGAGGATGGAACCACACATTGCAAGGGAAACAGGATTCCAAAAGTGGAGCAAGCAAGAGGTGGGTGCTTAATCCTTTCCCCATCTGCTGATTGTACGTTGTGAATGCTTGCCAAGCAATTTTTAATCTCCTGTTCTCAAGCTGGTATTCCAAAACTAGAGACAAACCTGACCGATGAGGGAGAAATCACCCAGTGGTGGGGGTTGTGCAGGTACAAGAGAGTATAGATTCACATCCACTCCAGACATTTAGAGCACAGTGACTTCCCCCAAAGAATCCTGCAGTTTGCTAAAGGTGTGTGGAACTGTAGCTCTGTGAGAAGTAAACTATGGTTCCTAAGGTTCTTTGGGAAGCTATGTGCTTTAAATGTATGGTATTAAGGGCAGTTCGAAAGCACGTCAAAGTGCAAGTAGATAAATAGGTACCACTCCAGCGGGAAGGTAAACGGCTTTTCCGTGCGCTGCTCTGGTTTGCCAGAAGCAGCTTAGTCATGCTGGCCACATGACCTGGAAGATGTACGCCGGCTCCCTCGGCCAATAAAACGAGATGAGTGCCGCAACCCCAGAGTCGGCCACAACTGGACCTTATGGTCAGGGGTCCCTTTACCTTTATTAAGGGCTGTAGAACAGGCAGAGGGCCTTCTTGGTACAGTGGTGCCTCGCAAGACGAAATTAATTTGTTCTGCGAGTTTTTTCGTCTTGCGAATTTTTCGTCTTGCGAAGCACGGTTTCCCAAAGTCTTCAAAATCACCAAAGTCTTCAAAAACCTCAAAAAAGGCTACCACACCGCGTGCTATGAGTTGCTCCTCGAAGTCACCCTGGGTATTAACGGTTTTAAGAAAAAGGAAACAAACTTGCAAGACGTTTTCGTTTTTTCGTCTTGCGAAGCAAGCCCATAGGGAAATTCGTCTTGCGAAGCAACTCAAAAAACGAAAAACTCTTCCATCTTGCGAGTTTTTCGTCTTGCGAGGCATTCGTCTTGCGAGGTACCACTGTACTGGCACCCGCCCTGTGGAACCCCATCAGATGTCAAAGAAATAAACAACTATCTGACCTGAAGGCAGCCTTGTTTAGGGAAGTTTTTAATGTTTGATGTTTTATTGTGTTTTTAATATTCTGTTGGGAGCTGACCAGCTCTGTTGGGTGGGGTATAAAATAATAATAGTAATAATAATTTTATTTATTATGTAGCCAACTAATTCCCACTCCTAGTAGACCTATTGAGATTAATGGACTCTTAAATTAGTCATTTCCATTAATTTCAATAGGTCTTCTCTGAGTAGGACTAACATTGGCTACAACTGTGAGAACCTTTAGATTGTAAATAAACTGTCCTTCACTTGCTGATACTCCCACAGAAACGACTCCCTCCTTTTTTGGCAAATATGAGTTAAATTTGCAGGCGTGTCTGTCTCTCTTAAGGAGAGGGTTTTATGGGCAATTTGCTCTGTACATGTGTGACTGTGTTATACACACACACACACCCCACGTACACACACAGTGTGTTATGGTAATGCTGGCGCAAACCTTATGGGCGCAGCTCCTGCATGTGAAAGAGTATCTATAGGGTGGAACAGAACCTTCAGCGTGTTTGCCTGCTCGTTTCCATTGACTGACCACACCATGTATTTAAAGCACTGTTAACACCACTTTCAATAATTCTTTGCTTCCCCCAAAGAATTATGGGAACTGCAGTTTCTTAAGGCTGCTGAGAGTTATTAGGAGGCCTCTCACAGAGCTACAGTTCCTAGCATCCTTAACTAACTGCAGTTGCCAGGATTCTTTGGGGGGAAGCCTATGAAGTGATACAAGAGTGCTTTAAGCATGGGTGGAGAGCCAGATAAGGATATGAATATGCCCACAGGCTTCCTGTTCCTTTTAAACGCTCTGCCAAGATTCAAGTGTGCATTTGGGTGAGGGTGAGAGAAAAATTCAGACTTCCGTATGCCCTGTGATCAGTCTCTGTGCCCATTTGTCAGTTCCTTTGTCAGTCTGTTTAATTTATAATTTGGGGGACAATTCTAAATATTAAAAACCTTCTTTCCTTCTGTTTGTAAACCGAGTGAACACGTAGGACTTTCAATAAAATGTTGCAGGGTGGCATCTTCAAATATCTGAAGGGCTGTCCCATGGGAAGCAAGCAAGCTTGTTTTCTGATGATCTAGGGGGTAGGACCCAAACTCATGTATTCAAATTAAAGGAGGTTCCAACTAAACATTGGGAAGAACTTTATGATGGTAAGAACTGTTCGACAGTGGGAACGGACTGCCTCCTTCATTAGAGAAGTTTTTAAACAGATGTTGGGTGGCCATTTGTCAGGAATTCTTTAGCTGTGATTCCCGCATTGTTGGGGGATGGACTAGATCACCCTTGGGATCCCTTCCAACTCTCCAGTTCTATGATTCAATGAATCCTCTTGCTTTGGGTTGCAGCCAGAGAGCCACACTGCCTTTCAGGATACTTCATTCCATTACCACCCCCTCTGGTTTTCCATATCACAAAGAATCTGCCAACATTCTGTGGACATTAAGTATTCTTAGTCCTCATCAGGCTGATTTTGAGCTACTTCCCCAATTTTTAAAAATATTTTTGCAAATGTTAGGGTTTCTCAATAACCTCCCTTAAGTGTGCGGATGTTGCTATTTTGGCAACATAAAAAAAAAAGGCATTTGGAGAATAGAGTTCACTGTTCCTATATATGATTGGCTGTCTGAAGGAATTAAGGGATATGTTGCAGAAGAAAATTCTTAACTGTTAATTAGTTGATTATCTGAATGAAATTGCCCAGTTGATCATTTGAAGGAATCAAGGGACAACTTAATCATTAATAATGGAAATGAACCAAGAGACTGTTGTAGCCATGGCAGTAATCTTTTCCTATAGTTAATTGAATATTGCAAATTGATTTATGATCATGAAGGTTTAATTAGATTTGAGTAGTGGAAACAAGAAAATAGATTCATATTTTGTCTCAAGGAGGCGGAAAACTGGAAAGCAAATTCAGGCAATGATGTAAATTATAGCTCTTAATTTAAAGGAAATAAAGAACTTTTGCAACCAGGATGATATTTTTAAAATGTTTTTAAATATTTTTTGCTGATATTTTTAAATATTTCTTGTAAACTGCTTTATATTACAATCAAGTGGCATATAAAGTTTGTTGAAATAAAATAGGCACACAACATGGTTTCTTCCTGCTTTTCTTATACCCCCATAACTTATGATTTCTGTTACTCTTCTAATTTTTATTTTTGTGTGTTTTAAGCACTAAACAAATAATAAACATTTAAAAAATAATAATAATGCAATGTTAAATTTAAAAGTTAAGATTTAATGTTAGCATGGTGTCAGCTTGTGCAAGTAACTGTGACAGAAGGAAACTTTAGTCTAAGACAAGCCAGATACTTTTTTTTATTTGTCTAGGGAAGGGTGAAGAAAAAAATTCTAAAAGCTGTCTTATGCAACATAATCCATCATGCTCCTTGAAACACCAAAACAAAGATACTAATGATAGGCTGCCAGGTTGAAATTCCAGTGCGAGTCGCAGAGAAGTTGAAGTATCCAAAAAAATGAATACTTGTTTTTAAAAGGCATAAATGTTATGTGGTATTGACCAAATGATGAGGAAGCAGTATTTTTCAAGGCTGCAGTGTGTACACACTTTCCTAAGAGTAAGCTCCATTATACTCAGTGAGACATATGAGTAGATGTGTGCAATTCAGAAAGTAGAAAACTGGATTGAATGAAAAGTTACAGTTGCTTGAAACTTTAGAAGTGTGTTCTATACTGTTATACAAAACTAATGAAAACAGAAAACAGATTGCCTAAAGCATCGCAGCACCACCCCAAGCATGTTTACTCAGAAGGAGTGACTCCCACTAAGTTCAGTTGGACTTAATCCCTGTTAAGTGTGTTTAGGGTTGCAGCCTTCTTGGCTGATAATTAGTTGGAGATTTTACAATCCATAGTGTTCCCACAGTGGCTGACCATATGCCCATGGAAAGCCTGCAAGCTGGACACATGCCGACTCTGCCCACATGCAATTCCCAGCAACTGGTATTCAAAAATAGCTTTGACTTCCATGAATTTTTCCAATCCCTTTTTAAATCATCCAAGTTGCTGGTTATCGCTGACCTACTGTTGGAGCGAGTTCCATAGTTTAGCTGCAGTGCATGAAGAGGTACTTTTTTATATATATCCTGGATCTTCCAGCGTGGATGTCCACGATTTCTAGCGTTATGAAAGGGAGAAAAACTTTACCCACTTTCTTCATAATTTTCTAAACTTCTGTTATGTCACTTTTCCCTCACCTATTCTCAAACTGAGAAGCCCCAACACTGCAGCCTTTCCTCATAGGAGAGTTGCTCCATCTTATTATTTCGTTTGCCCTTTTCCAAACTCTTTCCAATTCCACAGTACTGCTTTTTAGGGATGCCGGTGACGCTGTGGGTTAAACCACAGAGCCTAGGACTTGCCGATCAGAATCCCCGCGATGGGGTGAGCTCCCGTTGCTCGGTCCCTGCTCCTGCCAACCTAGCAGTTCGAAAGCATGTCAAAGTGCAAGTAGATAAATAGGTACCGCTCCGGCGGGAAGGTAAATGGCATTTCTGTGCGCTGCTCTGGTTCGCCAGAAGTGGCTTAGTCATGCTGGCCACATGACCCGGAAGCTGTACGCCGGCTCCCTCGGCCAATAAAGAGAGATGAGCGCCGCAACCCCAGAGTCGGCCACGACTGGACCTAATGGTCCTTTAACCAGAACTGTACACAGAACTCCAAATGTGGCCACACCATAGAGTTGCATAATGCCATTATGATATTGGCAGTTTTATTTTCAATTCCTTTCCTAATGATCCCTAGCATGGACTTCGCCTTTTTCACAGCTACCACACACTGGGTCAACATCTTCATCGGCTATCCAGTCTGACCTCAAGGTCTCGTTCCTGGTCAGTCATCACCAGTTCAGACCCCATGAACATGTGACCTTAAGGTTTTCCGCCCCAACATGTATCACTTTACACCTGTTTACATTGAATTCCATTTGCCATTGTACTGCCCATTCACTCAATTTGGACAGGTCCTTTTGAAGCTCTTTTTACCATCTCCTTTTGTTTTAATGACCCTGAACAATTTAGTATCGTCAGCAAATCTGGTGACCTCGCTACTCACTCCTAACTCTAGATCGTTTATGAACAAGTTAAAGTTGCAATGCCAATCCTTGAAGGACTCCACTCTCTCTATCTCTCCATTTGGAGAACTGTCCATTTGTTCCCATTCTCTGCTTCCTGCTACTTAACCAATAACTGATTCACAAAAGGACTTCTATTATTCCATGATGGCTAAGCTTACTCAGGAGTCTTTGATGAAGTTCCTTGTTGAAATCTTTTTGAAAGTCGAAGCACACCTTGCCTCATCACAATCTGTGTGCTACTTCATGTAAAAACACAGAAATGTCTTTGTTGCACCATACAGTAAAATGTAGGCCAGAGCCATTGTCCACATTTATGTATTTATGTATTTGAAGTCTAAAAGCTATTTCCCAAAGTAGAGTTCACAGTGGCATTCAAAATTCAGATTGTTATGTCAGTGCAGGAAACTATTTTAAGACATCTTAACCCCCTTTTTCTTTGACCTTGACAGAAAGAAGTGTTTTTCCTTCATACTTGCATAGAATGGCTGCATACTTGAAAAGAGAGATTGGTCTAGAGCAGAGCTGATACAAATATGGGAAAGAACTATTTGGATGTAACCCATCAGTTTACATGGTGACTGCAAAGTATCCTACAACCCAGCACAAAGGGAACAGGATACAGAGAGATACAAAAGGTAGGTCTACAAATGCGGTGGGTCTAAACTCTCTAGAATCCTCTTTGAAATTGAAGTTGGGGTATTCAAACATCAGACAGCTTTCCAGGTCATGTGGCCAGAATGACTATACCACTTCTGGTGCAACGGGTCACTGTGACGAGTGCCCAGCACGCACGAAACACTGTTTACCTTCCTGCAACAGCGGTACCTATTTATCTACTTGAACTGGTATGCTTTTGAACTGCTAGGTTGGAAGAAGCTGGGACAGAGCAACAGAAGCTCACCCCGTCACATGGATTTGAACATAAAATGCCCGGGTGCCAGGATAGCACCTGATGTTTCCACCATCTGAAGGTGCATGCCTGGAGATCCTTGGATCTTGACTGTTTTCCCACGATAGCAACACATCCTATAGAATTCTCTCTGTTATATTTTATCAGCACAATCAGAATGAATTTCAGGAACCGAAAAGCTGTATTGAAAAATATGACTTTCAAGTCGTCTGGCCCAAAAATGGCAACTAAGCATTATGTTTTGGTGAGGTTAACCCTGGTTTAAGGAGCCATTTGGCACCTAGCTGAGTTTCTAACACTGCTTCTGTCTGCTGCATGTTGCTTTTCTTGAAATGAAACCAGCATGTCCAGACTCATGACAGCAGGAATAAACCTGTTTGGGGGTGACTCAGAGATGTTTGGAAACAACAGGAAGGCGAGCTAACAGGTTTGAATTTTGTTGGCCCATTGTGAGTAAACACGCAATTAGGAGAGGAAAGTAGCTATGTGGAGGCTTCTTGTTAACTGAAAGTTAGCTCTATAAGCAGAACCCCTTATAGTTCTGGTATATTGCCTTTACATGGAAGTTTCCTGTGTCCAGTGCTGCATTGGGAACTCCAGAATGCTTACAGCCTGTGCAGTGAGCCATTCGTGCAGGGAGGAAAGAGTGTATGACTCAGTTTCCTTTGTTTTGTATAAATCCCAACAGGGAAAGGCCAAACTATAGGCTTCCTCAGCCCTCAGTCCTTGGTAAACTTGCATGACTACAGCACAAGCATATTAGTCATGCCCTTGAAATGAATAAAATTGGGTAGGCCAAGGAAGCAAAAGAACCATAATGGTAATAATGAAATTGGAAGATGACATGCTTAGCTCTAGAGTTGCGAGGCTTTCCTGTTAGTATTGTCAACCCCTGAGTGTCAGTGTTGAGACCTTGTAAGGGCTAAAAGTGATTTGTAGGCAACAGAATGTAAAAAGTGAGATAAGCCCAGTCCTAGCTTGAAACAAGGCCTTGTGTGTGTACTGTATATATGCAGAAGCATCTCCAGGTAATTAGGTATCTCTGTAGACCTGGAATAAACAAGACAAATTTATAATTTTTAGCAAGGATTTGATAATCCTTTAGCACTTCTTCTCCTCTCCCGTATAAATTGCATTCTAAATGTGGCAGGGAGAAAAGACATGAAACTTTTTTTTTTGGCAGCATGACTGAAATCTATAAAACTGCTATAGACACAAGCAACATGAAATTTGCAGTAAGGTAAAGGTAAAGGTAAAGGTAAAGGTACCCCTGCCCGTACGGGCCAGTCTTGACAGACTCTAGGGTTGTGCGCTCATCTCACTCTAGAGGCCAGGAGCCAGCGCTGTCCGAAGACACTTCTGGGTCACGTGGCCAGCGTGACGACGCTGCTCCGGCAAACCGGCACCAGAGCAGCACACGGAAACGCCGTTTACCTTCCCGCTATAAAGCGGTACCTATTTATCTACTTGCACTTTGAGGTGCTTTCGAACTGCTAGGTGGGCAGGAGCTGGGACCGAACGATGGGCGCTCACCCCGCCGCGGGGATTCGAACCGCCGACCTTGCGATCGGCAAGTCCTAGGCGCTGAGGTTTTACCCACAGCGCCACCCGCGTCCCTTTTTGCAGTAGATTTGCTTTAATCATTGTAGTTATTTCATGATCTCCTTTTCCTTAAATAAGGACAAGTTAATTCTTGCTCGTTTATATAAACAAGAGATGCATGAAGCCTTGTCTCTCTCTCTCTCTCTCTCTCTCACACACACACATGGATAACCTGTACATTTGCACAAAATGTTTTGTGCTTCATTTGTGGGGGTGTGCAACTACAAGAAATCTTGCCTGGTACCAGTTGGGCTATTTAAAGATTTGTGACTCAGCTGAGGTGATAATTTGATTAAAAAACTTTAATGTCACTTAGCACCTCTTGCCCAGAAAAGTATCTAAGGTGTAAATGCCTGTTTACATCATGCAGTGTGTTTCAAACTTACGTGAGAAACCAGATGGAATCCTTCAAAGAATGAGAGCCATCTTATAGCCCAACCCTACGTAGGTCTACTCAAAGTAAGCCCTATTTTGTTCAGTGAGGATTACTTACAAGTAAATGTGCTTTCAGCCCAACCCTACAAATGTCTGCTTAGAATATGGTCTACTGTGCATGGTGGAGTTTACTCACAGGTAAATGAGAATACAGTGGTACCTCTGGTTACAAACGGGATCCGTTCCGGAGGCCCATTCGCAACATGAAAAGAACACAACCCACAGTGGCACGTCTCACTGCTTCTGCGCATGTGCGCGACGTCATTTTGCGCTTCTGCGCATGCGCGAGCAGTGAAACCCAGAAGCAACCCTTTCCAGTACTTCTGGGTCACTGCGGGACGTAACCTGAAAGAACGTAACATGAAGCGGACGTAACATGAGGTATGACTGTAGGATTGCATTCTTAGGCTTCAATCCTATCCTTCCTTACCTGGGAATAAGTTCTATTGAACACATTCATCTTCTGAGTTTATTCAACATGTAAGGTGGGCTAGTCCACCTCCCAAATCTCTTTCCTATTGACCTCCACAAGTTGGGGGCAACTTTGCAAATGAGGAAAAGATAAGAAGAGTCTTGCTCAATTAGGCCAAGGGTCCATCTGGTCCAGCATCCCATTCTCACAATGGCTGACTTGATGCCTATGGGGAACCCACAAGCAGGACCCGGGTGCAACAGCCCCTTCCCTTCCTCTAATTCCCAGCACATGGCATTCAGAGGCAGACTGCCTCTTGACAGTCAAGGTAGAACATAGTCATTGTGGCTAGTAGTCTTATTTTCCATGAATTTGCTTTATCCTTCTATGGATCCATCCAAGTTGGTGGCCATCAGTACATCTTGTGGTAGCAAATTCCATAGTTTAACTATGTGATTTATGAAGAAGTGCTTCCTTTTGTCTGCCCTGAATCGTATCAACGTCCATCTCTATCCACATGCATAATCACACTAAAGGAGAGGCAAGTGATACATTCTATTCAGGCAAAAACACTTGGGGTCAAGTGAGGGGGAGAGTCCAAAAGGCCAGACAGAGAGGTCTAGAGGGCCATATTTGCCTCCACCCTGCACACCTGAGGTTCCTCATTCCTGTACTAAACACAGAAGGTTCTGATGCAAACCAGAAAACTAGTGCCTCTCATTTTGAAAGGCCAAGTGCTAAGTAGCCCTAGGATCAAGAACAGTGTAGACCCTCATTCTGTGGCTGATTAGAGATTGTGAGTTTGGAGTTAGCATGATCTCATGCATCACATAAAACCTTTTGGGAAATTGCAGCTAAATCATTATGGTTTTTCAGTACACCAGGGTTTCTGAAGATGGTGCTGTGTTTAGAATATTTTGCCTTGTAGTTAAAACTCAGCCTTCTGGGGTTTAGAAAACGAGGTGGCCTGCTAGTCCACATGATGTTAGCTACAAGCAAATATATGGCTATATCCAACACTTATTCTGGAGCTATTCAGAAATTATGTTGGTTCACCGTTTATGTATTCATCAGTCTGTTTGAGGGCAAAGCTCTCAATTTGTAATGGGTTTTGCATAATAAAGACTGTACAATGCACCCACTGTACAGTATTTGCTGAACAAGGCATCGTGTTGCCAATCTCTGTGCATGTGTATCCTCTGCTGACGGTGTGTTTCTGAACTGTCTCTTTCAACAAATCTGTGAGGAGCTAACCCAGCTGCCTGGTGTTTCCCTTGCTGCTGACTGCATGCCCAGGCACTTCATGTGAGAGGACTCCTTTTTACAAGAAAAAGAATACTTGAGGCTTCAGCCTTTATGCATAGTTCCATTTAAAAGCAGAGGGTTTGGCATCCTCAGTATGTTTCATCTAACAATAAATGTTTCCCGGCAATGTTGCTGCTAAAAGCAATATATTTGGGTGTGGATCACTTCATGCCTTTGTTTTCTTGTTTACAGTAACAAAATTACTGAGTTTTAGGAACACCCAGTGTTGTGTTGTCCCCCACCCCATAAATACTTCATGAAGTTGAAATATTGGCACAATTTTGTTTTATTTATTTATTGAATTTATATACCGCACTATACCTGCAAGTATAGCATTCATCTGTTGCCCCACGTGGCTGTTTTTACAAAACATTTATCTGTTAATGCTGTGGTGTCCTTCAGCAACAAATACCCCTGAACTTATAGAAAAATAATATATGGGATACAGCAATTTCTGAGCGTCTCACCTGACACAGGAGGGCAATTAAAGGCATAATGAATAGAGACAGCTTCCAAGAAACATGGACCCCTTTCTTTAACTATGATAATGTCCAAAATCAAAACCTTTTAATACCAACTGCTCAGTTTTCTCAGTTGACAGGTTACATTAAGTAATATGTTTGATGTTGAATGTGTACGTGTATGTCTAGAGACAATGGATAAAATAAAAACCAGCAGATGTGCTGCTGGATAAGTGTTTAATGGTTCTTGTATTTGTTTAAAAAAAACCAACCAAAAATTGTTTTTAAAATATGCACGATGGCACATAAAAAGGAAAAGTCTTATTATTAAGGAAATGGAGAAGAAAAGTAAACCCAGATCAAAACTGTACAAAAGCACAGTATGTTAAAAATAGCAGGGTTTTTAAATGCTGCAGTGGAGGGAAAACACAACAAATAACAACTGTAATCTTCACTAATCAATTTATATAGCAGGGGTAGCCAATGTGGTGCCCCCCAGATGTTTTAGACTACCACCAGCCCTGGTCAGCATGGCCAATGTTCAATGATGAGTTGTAGCAGGAGAAAGGTACTGGCTTTTCTACCAGGGATGGAGAACCTGTAGTCTTCCAGGAACTGTTGGATTCCAACTCCCATCAGCCCCAGCCATCATGGTCAGCAGTGATGGGATTGTGGGGGCCATCCCTGATATATCCACAAAAAGTAATGGTAGACGTGTTGGCCATTAAAAGCATCTTCAGATGCAGTGTGGGAGGTGGCAGATGTTCCTGTGAGGTGCTGTGCAGATTTCAGGTTGCCTCTTGTGAAAGAGAAATGCATTGTGGCCATTTTAGTTGGCCTACTAAGGGTATTGCGCTAATACAGATTTTGATTATTCACCATTCTTCTTTGTGAAGAGCTGGCCTATTTTACCCATTTCTTTTGAAGTTTTAGTCAATGCATCAGCAAAATCCTTTGTGCTACCTATATAGATGTTCCCCCAAACTGGTAAAATTTTAACTGTGACATTCAGCCTCCAGAGTACCAAATCTCATTCTCTTTCTTGCTTCTCCAGCAATAGCACCAGCAACACTGTTGAGAGGGGTCTGAGGAGGCTCCCTGTCAAGTGTAACTTTGCTCTTTCATCACTGAGAAGGACAGGGCAGGGAGGAGCCACAGTGGAGCCTGGTTTCTGCTTCAGTCTGTCAAATCAGTGAGCACTTCACTAGTTCAGCATAGTACCCCCAGCAGATGTGGGTGGCGCTGTGGTCTAAACCACTGAGCCTCTTGGGCTTGCTGATCGGAAGGTTGGCAGTTCGAATTCCTGCAGTGGAGTGAGCTCCCATTGCTCTGTTCCAACTCCTGCCAACCTAGCAGTTCGAAAGCATGCCAGTGCAAGTAGATAAATAGGTACCACTGTGGTGGGAAGGTAAATGGTGTTTCCGTGCACTCTGGCTTTCATCACGGTGTTCCGTTGTGCCAGAAGTGGTTTAGCCATGCTGGCCACATGAACGGAAAGCTGTCTGTGGACAAACGCCGGCTCCTTTGGCCTGAAAGCGAGATGAGCGCCGCAAGCCCATAGTTGCCTTTGACTGGACTTAACTGTCCAGGGGTCCTTTACCTTTTAACCTTTTATTAACCCCAGCAGTAATTATGACAGCTGATACTTCATTTCATTTACTGGTCGGACTTGGGATTCAGGAAACAAAGTTTTGTGTAAAGTTAATGAATCATATTGAGTTGGTGATGGTTTGAGATGATCGTAAGGAACTGTAGAAGCATCCCATTAGAGCTGCAGTCTTGTCAGTGTTTGTCTCATATGTGAAAAGTATAGAATTGTGTTTAATTCCCTGCCTGTATCTTCTTTCTTTTCACAGGATGAAGAGACATAAATGCTCCTCTAATTATCCAACAAGACGGCATCTCTTGATCTTGTTTTTAACAGCGTGGCTGCTCTTGCTGCTGAAACTTCTCAGAGTGGAGCTGCTCCCTCACAAAAATATTTATTTTGTAGAACCTTTTTTAAGCACCTCATCATTTGTGAAAAACAAATACACATTTTCCCAAAAAGACACCCAGTATGAGATTAACTGTTCCTCCATATACAATCAGGATCCTGTGGAGATTGGGAAATCTTTAGAGATAAGGAGACAATCCATTATCGATTTAGATGATGAAGATGTTCTAACAATGACTAGTAACTGTCAGTTGTACCGTGCAATTAGAGGATATCACCTAAAGCCCGTCTCTCTGGAAGAGGAAAAATTCCCATTAGCTTATTCTCTGGTTGTTCATAAAGATGCAATAATGGTTGAGAGGCTCATCCATACAATATACAGCAGTCAAAATGTTTACTGTATCCATTATGACAAAAAGTCCTCTAGCATTTTTAAGAATGCTTTGGATAATCTGGCCAAATGTTTCCCCAATATTTTCATTGCGTCCAAATTGGAGGTGGTGGAATATGCCCATATTTCAAGGCTCCAGGCAGATTTGAATTGCTTATCTGATTTGCTTAAGTCCTCCATCCCATGGAAGTATGTAATCAATTTATGTGGCCAAGATTTTCCTCTGAGATCAAACTTCGAGCTGGTGTCTGAATTTAAGAAGTTAAATGAAGGAAACATGCTGGAGACAACCAAACCGAGTAGCAGTAAAAAGGAACGATTTACCTATCACTACGAACTTCAGAAAATGCCTTATGACATGAAGATGCCTGTGAAAACCAATATCTCTAAGGACCTGCCACCCCACAATATTGAAGTTTTTGTAGGCAGTGCCTATTTTGTGCTATGTCGAGCTTTTGTACAGCATGTCCTAGAAAGTTCTATTGCTCAAGATTTTTTTGAATGGTCAAAGGACACTTATTCGCCCGATGAACATTTCTGGGCAACCCTTGTTCGTGTTCCTGGAGCACCTGGAGGGATTTCAAGGACAGCTCAGGATATCTCAGATCTTCAGAGCAAAACTCGTTTAGTAAAATGGAATTACCTTGAAGACCATCTCTATCCTCCCTGTACTGGTACACATCTCCGTAGTGTGTGCATCTACGCAGCTGCAGAATTGAGGTGGCTTATAAACTATGGGCACTGGTTTGCTAACAAATTTGACTCAAAAGTGGACCCGGTTTTAATAAAATGTTTGGCAGAAATGCTTGCAGACCAGCAGAAAGAATGGGTTGAGTTGTCTTCTGAAAAACTTTTTATGCACAGGACATTTACAGATGTCTCATAACAATATAGCATACCTATGGTTGGACTTCTGCCATTTTTTAAAATGTGGAATTGCTGGATCGAGCCATATCACTCCTTGGAATACCTCCTGAAAGCACCTCACTGATCTGTCTCAGTGGAATTTTAGTACACTGCTAATACGTGCAATTAAATGCAAGGCTTGTTTAGATCCTTGGAGTAGAGGTAAGATTGTGGGAAGTGAGAGGCACTCTATAGCAATTCAAAAGACCAAGAAGGGCCCTGGCTTAATCCGGTGGTTCTCAATACTTTTGAACTCGGCACCCCTTTACAAATTTACTCTGCTTTCTGCCACAGGGAAACCCAAACCGTTGACCAACACGAGATGGTTCTTGCATGTTGTCATGTGTGTGCATGTTGCATACAAGGATCTATAGACAAGGAGTACCAATCCAAATCCAGCATTAGAAGAAAAAAGAGGACAACTCTGACCACGCCTACTCCAAACTATGCGCAGGGACGCATAGGTGAAACAAAGCAACCGCTATTTCCAAATCAGGTTAGGATGGTGATGTACTGTAGAACAGTCACATCCACAAATTGAATGAAGCTCAGTCCCCTGCTAGGGCCATTCAACCCACCCAGGTCTTTGCTATTGACTGTAGGAACAAGCGCCACATCTTTCTCTTAAGTTCACCCCCTCCAGGAGGAGCCCACCTCATAGGTTGATAAATGCTGGCTCAACCCATATAAGGCACTGTGTCAGATTCTACTCATGATTCTGCCTATACTGAGCCTTCATTATCTTTTATTTCATGTGGTCATTTGACTATTCCTATGCAAAGCCATTGTAAAATGTTACCAAATCAATTGCCTCTTTGTTAAACTTCTGTGCCATGCCTTTGATTGATAATGTTATTATTTAAGCTGTTATGTCCTTCGAAGCTGGCTGAGTAGCTTTGGAATAGTGTTTCCTGGTGCTCGTGCTCCTTCTGAGCATGCTATCTACAAGATGGTCAAAAAAGATGCACACCACAGTACAGTGGTACCTCTGGTTATGAACTTAATTCTTAGTTCTGGAGGTCCGTTCTTAACCTGAGGTACCACTTTAGCTAATGGAGCCTCCCGCTGCCACCACATGATTTCTGTTCTCATCCTGGGGCAAAGTTCTTAACCCGAGGTACTACTTCTGGGTTAGCGGAGTCTGCAACCCGAAATGTTTGTAACCCGAGGTGTTTGTAACCCGCGGTACCACTGTATAGTACAGTAAAATGTTTAAATTGTAGTCTAACAGTGAGGTTCTTGTGGTGAGCATCTCTTTGAGCCAACTTGTATATATATAATTCAGCATGCATCTTCCCTGTGCAATAATAATCCTTGCCCAGAACTTGTACAAGTGTTTTTATTTCACGACATGATATACTTCTAACTGTTCAGGTATGGGGATACAGGTATCTCCCTTCTAGCTTCTGCCACCATTGTTGGAAATCCAGCATGCAAGCTGCAGTTTTAAATGTAATTCCCTTACTAGCACTGTTACTGTTACTGAGATTCTATGTGTGAGATAGCGTACCACTGTCATGTGCATCTGTTAAGACGGTGCATGGAAACATCGCTGATGACAAGATTCACTTCTTAGCCAAGCCTGTGAAAATCTTGTTAGGAGTTCTTAGGGTTTAGTTTATTTTTGCGTACTGTTTTTATACAGAGTGCTTATATAGTCAAAAGTTGCAAACATGAGCAAGGATTCCTTCTCCCCTGCTTTATCTTTGTTTCTTTGAAAGATATACGCTCCCCTCTCAATTTTACCTGTCTCATCAAAGGATCCTCCCTCCATCAAAGTTACTTCTTTCTCCATTGTGTGTTCATTTAGGTTTCTTGGATAAACTTAATAGCCTTGTACTATGTTTCCTGTAATGTAGGTGCAGGATCTGGTCTAGAAAAAACATAGCAATAAGGATGAAGTTACTCCCATTTTTAACAGCAATAATAATTATCTATAACAGGCATAGGCAAACTCGGCCCTCCAGATGTTTTGAGACTACAATTCCCATCGTCCATGATCACTGGTCCTGTTAGCTAGGGATGATGGGAGTTGTAGTCCCAAAACATCTGGAGGGCTGAGTTTGCCTATCTAGATTCTCCTACAAAAAACCCTCTTGTTTTTCTTTAAAACTTACTTGTAAAGAACATATAAATGAATGTTCACATAAATGTTTTGAAACCCCCACCCTATGATATAATATAGCACCAATATGGATAGTGACAAAAATAAAAAAATAGAGTATATGCATAAGACAATCAGGAAATGAAATCTATAGCACAGGGAATAAAATAAGTTGTCATACAAGTAAATTATTCCATTTATGGACCAATGGTAAATAAGGCGTGGTCTGGTGGATGCTTTGAAAATAAGGTCTCCAAGAACCAGTGTATGTTACAGAACAATGTCAACAATCTGAGTTCCCTCAACATTTTAAAAAGTGTGTTTGAGAGATAGATAGCTTGCCTAAGAGCAATAACAAATCAATTGGACCCCTAGCTGGAAGTGGGGTTTTCCCTTTAAGGTGAAACCTTTCTTTGTATTTTCTTTATCATAATTTTATTTTGGGGTGATTATTAGGTTTTAAAAGCCAAATTAATACAGTTTTCATCTGCTTGTGCCATAATTTTGTGTAGCAGTTACTCAATGAGTAATGGTTCATTCTGTCCACTCTTCTTCCAACCCCCCAGGTAGAATATGGTAGCTATTAAAGTACAGTCAATGATGATATTGTTACTGAGATTGAGACAGATCCAGAGCAACAGACTGGGGTGTTTGTAAACCTTGGAAGGTATGGAAACCAAACCACCAGGAGCTGGAACATATTCCTTATGAAGAAGAAAAGCGACTATAGAGGTACATGAAAAAGATTTGCAAAATTATGTGTGGTGTGGAGAAACTCTGAGGGTTTTCTCCTATACTAGATTTTGAACCCGGTTGAAACCAATTGGCAGGAGAATCAGGATAGACAAAGGAAATTAGGTTTTTGACACGGCACCTAATTAATTTATGGAACTTGCTGCCACAATATGATGTCATGGTCAGTAGTTTAGTTGCCTTTGAAAGGGGATTAGACAAATAAATGAAGCATAAGTCTATCAGTTTCTATAAAGATCCATGATGGCTATGTGCACTTTTTAAGAGGAAATAAAGTATGCCAATGAATACCAGGTGCTTCAAGGACAGTTGCTTGTTTGTCACCTCAGCCTAGCCATTGTAGAAAATGAGATGCTGGAATAGATGACTATTGGACTAATTCAGCAGGGATCTTGCAGAGTACAACTATGTATAGTGTTACTTACTAGATCACACAAGAGAGAGAGCGTCCCTTTACAGGGACTTCTGCTACAGTGTCTTAGGTCTGCTTCATATGGATACTAAGCCGGGTGGAGAAATACATGCCACGCCAGCAATTTATTCAAACGGTTTGCCACTGCACACAATGAGCTCACTGTATGAAGCTTTTCAAGAAGCCTCATGCTACATACTGCTCTTTGCAGGGCCACTCTTGCCCTCATTCTGTGGCACAGATAGGTTGAATCTGAGAAACATTTCTGTGTGTGCGTTTTTCATGATAAATTGAAGAGGAGGAGGTTAGGTGTACCTTCTCCATGCACCAAATCTCAGCCATTCACATGGCATGAGTTGAACCCAGGTGCCAAGTGACTGGCTGGGGTTGTATTTGGGGGAAAGGGGCACGTTTAATCCTCCCCCCTTTTAATTTCTCTTGAAGATGAATAACCTTTTGCATTCAGAGCAGTTGCCTGCGTCTGAGGCACATCCCTTGCACTATTAAGCCTACCTGGAGGGAAAAGGCAGCAAGCAGCCTCCAAGTAATGGTGCCTACCCTTTGCACAAACAGAGCAAAAGGAAATGGAGAGCAGGAGAAAAGGTCATTTTCTCTCTTTCAGAGAGGATAAGGGTGGTTTTAGTCGTGCACTCTACAAAACTGGTAAAGTACCATGTTTATTGAATTATTTAAATAAAACAAATCATTGACCTCATAAAAAAAGTATTCCTTTGTCTCCTCTGTGTCGCTTCCTGAACTCCAGAACTAACAAAATAAACACAGAGGGTTGGTCACAAAGAGGATCTTATTTTGTACACATGGAGCTAGATGTCTGCTGCATGGCTCACTGCAGGTGTATTTGCACCTATAAGCCATTGCCTCTATAGAGTGGTCCGTCTTACGTTTGAGAAGCCTTGTGCTCAAATAATCCTACTAGGCTAAGTGGAAATTGTATGCACCCCTCAAAACTTATTCCATAGCCCCTCTTCTACTTCCATGCTTTGTTTCCTGAGAGTCCCCTAAAGAATTTAGTGCAGCAGGTGCATAGACATAACACAACTTTTACTTTAACTCAAACATTGGATAAATCAACCAGTATAGTTTTCAGGAATTGCTCAGGAGATGGTGAAAACTATTCATTGAGCAGATGACGACAATCAGGGCTATTCTGCAGGAATTGTGACAAACGGTGGCAGCTTTGAAAATAACACACCTAGTTCTCTCTAATGAGTGTGTTTTTGTATGTGAGGTGAAGATAAAATGTCAAGCTTGTGAGAATTTTTATGCTGGGAACATCTTGCTGTTGTGCAGCATTTGGTGAACGTTGGCCTTGTTCAGGATTTTACCTGGATATTATTGTGGGAAATTATTGTAAATGCCAAAATAAATCTGATGTGAATGTGATGTTGCCTACAAATGTGAGTTGATTTCTCCTCTTGGCTCTTTATACAGGCATAGATAATGGGAGCCCCCACAAACTCAGTGTTTTGTGCTTTCCCAGAATCTACTACTTACATTCAAATACTCACCCATAAGGTTCCTATCACATTGGAAATCTCAAAGGCCTATAAATAATGCTAATTCTAAGCTTTTTTTGTTTCACTTTTAAATGCAGAAGTGAAAAACACAACCAATGGGTAGATAACACTCCATTCACCCCTTGCTCTCCCTTGCATTTTTCTGTTAGTTGCCTCTGAGAACTAACTCAGAGGAGGTAACTCACAGTGGGGTCCATTGGCTGCCACCTCTATTAATTCATTCAGTTGGGGAAATTCCTGGATTGAGCTGGCTTGCAGCCACATTGGTGGCCAGTCCTTCTATAAGCCAGCCATTCATTACAGGATAATGCCGTTAAACAGATCTGCACAGTTTGAATACTGTGTACAGCTCTGGTCACCTTGCCTCAAAAAGGACATTGTGAGGTTGTGAAAAGGTTCAGAAAAGGGCAACCGAAAAGGTCAAGGAGATGGAGCCAGTTCCATAAAAGGGAAGGTTGCAAACATTTGGGGTTTTTTAGTTTAAACAGAAAGGGTGATTAAGAAGTAACTTGAAAGAAGTATATAAAGCAATGCATAGATAGAGAAAAGGTTTTATCTGTTATGGTGCTAGAGCTTGTGAACATCCAATGAAGATGAAAGATTCAGGACAGATGAAAGCACAGTGGTACCTTGGGTTACAGATGCTTCAGGTTACAGACTCCGCTAACCCAGAAATAGTACCTCGGGTTAAGAACTTTGCTTCAGGATGAGAACAGAAATCGCATGGCAGTGGCAGTGGGAGGCCCCATTAGCTAAAGTGGTGCTTCAGGTTAAGAACAGTTTCAGGTTAAGAACGGACCTCCGGAACGAATTAAGTTCTTAACCCGAGGTACCACTGTACTTATTCACACAGTGCCTAGTTAAACTATGGAACTCACCAACTTTAAATGATTCAACAAATTCATGGAGGTAAAGGCTATCAGTGGCTGCTGAGCAGGGTGGTTATCTTCTGCCTTCGCGGCTGGAAGCACTATGCTTCTGAATACCAGTTGCTGGAAACCACAGGAGAGGAGAGAGCGGTTGTCCTCAGGTCCTGCTTGCCAGCTTCCCACAGGTACCTGGTTGACCACTGTTGACCAACAGGATACTTGACTAGATGGGCCACTGGTCTGATCCAGCAGGCTCTCCTTATGTTCTTACGAGATCACAATCGAAACCACGGTCAACTTTTGGCTAACGTGGAACTTCCCCCTTTTTTAGAAATGAATCCAGAAGCTTGAATAACAGATGTATGGAACACTCCTTCATTTACTTTGCCCACTGGCTGCTGCCATCCTCTGATTACAACCCAACTGAGTGTCACAAAAGTTAATGTCAAATTCTCATTAACACCATCAGATTCAACATTTAGTACTTAAAAGCTTCAGTCCAAATGGAAAACAAATTGGGATATTCATACTTCCTTTCCATGAAGTGAAAGAAAGCTTTTGGCAACCAAAGTATCACTTATGACAGAAAAAAAGGATTTTATATATTTTATAATGGAACTAAAATATGCCTAGCATGGTGAGGGAGAAGAAAATGGAATTTTAGTATTTACTTTGCTTTGGGAATGAAAGAGTTTTTAAACAGATAGTAAAAGAGAACTACACAAATATTAGCACTGAAAATATTAGGATTGAATTGTCACCTTGGTTTCAGAAAATCTATTGAAGACTACTGTATTAGAGTGTTTTATTTGAATAAGAAAATTGGTCTGATGAGATGAAAGGCATTTCTTGTGCATTAATGGTGTAACTTTGCTTTTTAATCCCATGATGACATTAATATTGATGCTTTGGAACGTCTTTAAGAGCATAAATGAAATAGCTAAGACTTTAGTAAGGCAAACCTGACAATCTAACCCTCTTCTTTCTTATGCGGTATTTAAGGTTTTGTGGCTTGGGAAGACCTTTGAAAACACAGTTGCCACTGAAGGTTCAGAAACAAGACAGTTTATTGTTAGGAAAGGAAGTGCTCAGTTAAATCATTGTTCTTTTGTGCCACAGACTTATATGCTCCTAACCTTCCAACATCCTCTTCCTGACTTTCACTTCAGACTTCCCAGATTCAAAACAATGCCCCTGAAAATAGCAACTTCCACCACTATTTCAAACTGTATAAAATAGAGTAAGACAGGCTTCTTAAACTATGTTTCATGGAGCTGATAACTCCTAATTTTCATAACTGGATTTTGCTCCTGTGCAAAGCTAACTTGTAAAGATTTGGAGTTAATTCTTTCATCTTGAGAGATGAAGGTTTGGCTCAAACTTTCAAAATCTGAGTTCAATACAAAGGAGTAGGGAGTGGGAAGTCTAATTTCCATTAGTTCTTTCCTTCAGTGACAGCCTCTATACCAGGGGTCACCAATCTAAGGCCCATGGGCCAGAAGCAGCCCACGGAGGTTGTTTGACCGGTCCACGAGCCGCCCCCGTACCAAGGTGCCCGGTTGTGTGCTGTGCAGGGACTCGCTTACGTGGTACTGGAAATCACATCTGCGCAGATGCAGACACTCCAAAAATCACAGGTGGCACACAATCCAGCCCACAGAGGAATCTCTGCGGGACCGATCCAGCCCAGGCAAGATAAACTTGCTGCAAGATAAACCCAGGCAAGATAAACCCTGCTCTACACCATTCCTGAAGGTTCCCCATCCCTCAGAAACTGTTTTGTTTTTTGGTGGAGCGATGCTGCGGTGCTGTGGAAAGAAGGGGATGAATGAGCTCTATTCTGGGAGAGGAACCATACTTGTGATGGCTGGAATTCAATCCCGTTATGGATAATATTGTTGCAGGTACATACCGTATTTTTCGCTCCATAAGACGCACCAGACCATAAGGCGCACCTAGTTTTTGGAGGAGGAAAACAAGAAAAAAAATTCTGAATCCCTGAAGTCAGAACAGCAAGAGGGATCTGGCTTCTGGGATAGCCGCACCAAGCCTCTTCAGGGCAGCGGGATGAAGGCTCCCTCCGCCTGGAAGGGGCTAAGGCAGAAGCCAGGACAGCAAGCAGGATCGCTGCGCAGCGATCCCTCTTGCTGTCCTGGCTTATGGGATAGCCGCGCGCAGCCTCTCCCGGGCAGCGGGGTGAAGGCTCCCCCTGCCTGAAGAGGCTGCGCGTGGCTAAGGCAGAAGCCAGGAGAGGGCTTCGCTGAAGGGGCACTGCACAGAGAGCGAGGAGCCCCTTCTGTTCCTCGAGAGCTGCGCAGCGCCGCTTCAGTCAAGCAGGAGGAGAAACAGAAGGAGCCCCTTCTGTTCCTCCTCCCACTTCGCTGAAGGGGCACTGCGCAGCTCTCCCTCTCTCTTCACAGTGCCATTCGCTCCATAAGACACACTAACATTTTCCCTTACTTTTTAAGAGGAAAAAAGTGTGTCTTATGGAGCGAAAAATACAGTAATTTCCAAGCACTTAGAGATTAGAGGTTCCTCTGGGGCTGGTTTCCTTGGAGTGATGGTCCCTAGAGACCCTGGTCCATTTATGATATATGGTTTTATTTACACAAACAGCATATACAATATTTGATAACTAACATGTAGGAACAGCGTTTGACAGTGCCATTTAATATTTGACAGTTGACACAGTTAAGCAGCAGCATCACAGAAACAAGTGGATTTAGAATCCTGCTTGTCATCAGTCAGACATGTTTTGTGAATTAATTAAAAAGTATAGATACTTAAAGTGTCCAAGAAGTCCTTCACTTTCTCTGATGTCAAAAGCCAAACCATACATCCATATCAACCCTCCTTGTTTCCCTCCTTTCCTCTCTCTCTCTTTATAGAGCTTCATAGTTAAGCATTTAAATTGCTGTTCATTATATCATTTTAATAAACGCTATTTTTTTTGGAAAAAGCTCTGATTTGTCTCCATTGCTCCCCCATATACCGTATTTTTTGCTCTATAAGACTCACTTTTTCCCTGCTAAAAAGTAAGGGGAAATGTGTGTGCGTCTTATGGAGCAAATGCAGGCTGCGCAGCTATCCCAGAAGCCAGAACAGCAAGAGGGATTGCTGCTTTCACTGCGCAGTGATCCTTCTTGCTGTTCTGGCTTCTGAGATTCAGAATATTTTTTTTCTTGTTTTCCTCCTCCAAAAACTAGGTGCGTCTTGTGGTCTGGTGCGTCTTATAGAGCGAAAAATTCGGTACTTTTTGTGAGGGCACTTCTCTACCCAGACAAAATGATTTGAATGTTACTCATGCTTAGCTCCTCTGTGTTTTGACCATCTATGCAGTAGCAGTCAAAGATATTCATCAGTATCTGACAGCATCTAACAGCAGAAATGCAGTAGCAATCAGTATTTGACAACTCAGTATGCTAGAATGTGGTACACTCCATATGTCATTCATTGATTACTGAGCTGGATTTTGAAGTATGACATGAAATTTCAGTTTCAACATTTCAATTCTGAGATGAAGATTTGACATTTAAAAAAAACCAAAACCCAAGCATGTTCCATGTATTTTGTAAAATTTTGTGACACTCAAACACTGGCTATGTGCATCCCATTCTACATTCTTGATCTATCTGCTTGCCTTTAGTTTCATAATCTTCTCTATTTCCCAGTCTAAGCTTCTTTCTCTTCTGAACAGATTTCCCAGCTGTAACCTTGGCTTGGCTAACCTCTGGCTTTGGTCCACTGCCCCTTTCATTAACGGCTTCTGTCCATTCACTCCCACCAAAATACTTATTATGTGACATACCTAGGGTCCTACTCACTGCAGCAGGTAAGAGAGGATAGGGGGAGAAATTTTGGCTGCTGGGTTTCCTGCTTTTTGAGAGGGTTTAAAGGTCCAGCAATGCTTTCTGATCAGCAGCCTGACCCTTTTACCCTTTTGTGGCCTTTGCATACTTTCTTTCTGAGCCAATAGTGCTCAATGACCACTACTCCCTCCGATTACTTTCTACCTTCTGTGATCATGGAGCTTCTCTGAATCAGAGTTCCTAGCCCAACATAACAGGAAACCCTTGGAACAGTTTTATTAGAGATGACACAAAACAAGCAAAGTTTTGCCAAGTTCCTGAGCTCAGCTTGAAGTGCTGGGATGTTCGTGGCAGAGTTCTATTGTTTGGCCTTGCGCTAATTAAATTTTAAAAAATAAAAGATTAAAAGATTCTTAGTGTGAGTTGCTTGTCACTCAGTAACTGAAATTCTTAGTGCTACTGCTGCACCTAGGGAACCTGGCATCGCATATATTAATAACTTTCTATGAATAATCTCTCACTTCCATGGTTTTTAATAGCAACATTTCACACATTCAGCTGTGTGAATCACTGGGTGTTGGGCAATCAGGTGATGAAATCTTGAGCGGTGTATACAAAAGTCCGCAAAGGAAGCTCTCACCACTAAATATTGTATAAAAAAACAAAAACAAAATGAAGATCTCTCAGCAGCTCATATGTTTGGCGTGTCCCTGCGTCTCCCGCACAGGATGTATAGCTTTCCATGAATAAACACTTGATTCCTGCATTGCAGGAGTTTGGATTAGATTACCCTTGGGGTCCCTTCCAACTCTACCATTCTCTGATTCTATGATTCTGTGACTTGATTCATTCTTTTTAATGCATGCTTCCTCAAGTGATACACACTTTGTATATAATGGAACAGCTAATGGGATGTTTTTTTTTGGGAAACAGAAAGTTTGTCTTGCTTCAATAATGTATGTGAATGAATTATCTTTGGACATCAGCCTTGGGAAAGCCAGCCTGTCACATCGCCATGTCACTATGAGGTTCTTTCTGTGCTCTTTAATAACACCCACCCCCTATTTTCCTCTTGTGCTGAGTGCATCCAAAGTGGTGTTATTCATTCCATTTTGGACTCTACAACTGCAGTGCTTCATGTGGACATTGTTTTCCCTTTTGTGAATGGCCCTACTGCAAGATTTTCTCGTCCTGATTTGACAGGACAACACTAATTCACTCTCAACAGCACCTTTTATGATTTATCCAAGATAATTCTCAAGCAGGACTTTAGGAGATCCCACAGCTGCTTGTCTTGTTTGAGAGGTAATTGACCCTTGTTTCCCAAAGATGAACTAGACCAGGCAAAAACCTGTTTCGTGCTGTTTTATGTTACATTCACTGGCTTGCTCCTAAGTAGGCCTGCCCAGGATTGTAGGCTAAGGCTACAATCCTATGCAAAGGAGTACAGTAAATACCATCAGCTACAGTGGGACTTCCTTTTGAGCAAATTTGCATAGGATTGCAGTAAGGTTCTTAAGATTCCACAAGCCATTCCCTCTATTTTTTTGCATTTGTTGTAGCAGGCAGGGCTATGTTACATGTTATATGTGAGAACCCTCAATTAGGTAAATATTTGATTTCTTTTTTCATATATATGTTTAAAGGACTTACAACCAATTAATCATCCTTGGATATGTTCGATATGGGAACCAAGGGAAAACCAATACCTTCTGAAAATAGGTAAACAAATATACAATGAATATATTAGGCTGCGTACACATCGTTGTACCTTTTACTCTGGCTCACTGGAATTTGAATCATTGTGTGCACAACTTTACACACAATGCAGAGATATCCTGCTGTTTCATAAGAAATACTACTGTTCTGTATATTTTGCCTCGAACCAGCTTCAGTCTGAAAGGAAAACCTAAACCACAATCACCCTGCAGTTAATCTGAGGTGTGTACATTCTGAGACATTCATTGTGCATACGCAGATGACTGCATCATGAACAGGAGTTGTGTACATTGTGAGGGGTGGAGAAACAAGCAGGTAATCTGCAGACATATCTGCCCCCTCCCTGGTGTGTATAGTGTGTATAGAGGATTGCAGCCTTTGACCTCTCTCCCTGCCACCTTTGGGCCCTGTTTGTTTTAGCAGAAGGAAGTGTCGCACTCAGTGGTGCAGCAGAAGGAGAACAAGGGGGAGAATTTCCCCTGGCCTTCATGCCCTCCCATGTCTGTTTAGCCCCTCAAGGCCTTTACACTGCTGGTGTTGCATAAAATGCTTGCAAATATGGAGAGAGAGAGAGAAGGTTAGAGGATCACTGCTTTCAAAGCGTCTGATAGGCTGAAATTAGAGAAGGCACAACAGATACATTTATTTGGAGAAAGTATAATAAACATCCATTAGGCTTCTGCTTTTAATGTGTATGAAAATCCGGCAAAAGCTTATTAAAATGTTGCCTGAGGCATTTTCAGGGCACCTTCAGTCTGGAAGGATTATTACGCACTGCTAAACTAGGGTAATAATTTCTCTCAGATTGTCAGGCCACGTAGGAGAAACATAAGCTGTGCACAGAAGGGTTGTAAATGTCAAGACTGGCCTGGAACTGCCCTTTCAAACCAAAGGCAACTCACAAGTTACATGATGCATGAAACGTGTGGTTGCCTTTAATACGTCCCTGGTCTTTTTTTAGTAGAATATTTTGTGAGGGGTTTAATAAGGATTGGGGCTATGGCATATGGGCATGGGAAGGGCAGACACTCTAATCCTTTCTCCATGTTGTAGTCCTCATGAAAATCCTGCTCCCCTTCAAAACTGCTACTTGGTGCTGGAGGGAAGCAAATAGCAGCTTTGAAATGGGGGGCAGGGTGTGTTTCCATTGTCTCTGCAGTAGGGTGGTGAGTTTGAAAGGGTTAATGGCACTTCTTCAATTCTCAGCCTTGTGTGTGCTATAAAACTTAGGACACATGTGTGGATGAACAGCACATACTGATTAGTTTGCATATCTTTGCATTTTGTGTTGTTAGCTTTCCTTTTTTAAAGCCAATCTTTGTTAAGAGCTACAGAGGGAAAATTTCAAAATGTTTTACAGTAAGCCTGCAAGTTATGTTGAGGGCTTAAAGGTAAAGGGACCCCTGACTGTTAAGTCCAGTCGCAGACGACTCTGGGGTTGTGGTGCTCATCTTGCTATATTGGCAGAGGGAGCTGGCGTTTGTCCGCAAACAGCTTCCGGGTCATGTGGCCAGCATGACTAAGCTGCTTCTGGCGAAACCAGAGCAGCGCATGGAAATGCCGTTTACCTTCCCGCTGGAGTGGTACCTATTTATCTACTTGCACTTTGACATGCTTTCGAACTGCTAGGTTGGCAGGAGCTGGGACCGAGCAACGGGAGCTCACCCCGTCGTGGGGATTCGAACTGCTGACTTCCGATCGGCAAGCCCTAGGCTCTGTGGTTTAGACCACAGCGCCACCCGCGTCCCAACTGTTGAGGGCTTACTGTATATTAACATACAAATGCATTGACAGTCAGGATTAGATAAAGCAAGGGCACTGCAGAAGAATATCACAATCAGGGAGAAAATAGGTATTGTAGCAGGATGAGACTTTCCAGCTCTAATCTGCTGTTTGTGTTTGTGTGTGTGTATCTAGTAATAATGGGCTGCATGTCCCCCCCCCCATGCATTAAACTGTGTACAATTCATGCTTTCATGAGCAAATGGGCAGACTGGAAACACTTGAATGGTTGCATTGTCCATTGATCATTACACATTTTTTACAAGCGAAAGAGAAGTGGCGAGCTTCAAGACAAATGCCAGCTTCCAGAAAACAATTTAATGATTCTGCTAATGGCTCTGGAGTTTGGCACACAAACGCTCCAAGCAGAATCCCTCACTCCTTCGTGGAAAACTGCATTAGAAATTCAAAACTAGTTGAATTCAAAACTCTTGAGATATTTTTTGTTATGCACATAATTGGTTCAGTGTGTCTAAACAGGTCCTGTGATTGTGTTCACAGATTCTGTCTAACTTTTGTTTTCATTCTGAACTTTTTTTTAATGAACACTAAGGCTATGCTCACATACATTAGTGGCTTAAAACACAGCGAAGTCGCTCATCACCGCTCACAGTGTTTCAAGCTGCATTTGAATATTCCTGTCCAAACCAGAGAGGGGGCAGCGATACTAATACTAATACTACTACTACTACTACTACTACTACTAATAATTTATTTATACCCCGCCCATCTGGCTCAGTTTCCCCAGCCACTCTGGGCAGCTTCCAATTGAGTGTTAAAAACAATACAGCATTAAATATTAAAAACTTCCCTAAACAGGGCTGCCTTCAGATGTCTTTTAAAGATAAGACAGCTGCTTATTTCCTTCACATCTGAAGGGAGGGCGTTCCACAGGGCGGGTGCCACTACCGAGAAGGCCCTCTGCCTGGTTCCCTGTAACCTCACTTCTCGCAATGAGGGAACCGCCAGAAGGCCCTCGGCGCTGAATCTCAGTGTCCGGGCAGAACGATGGGGGTGCAGATGCTCCTTCAGGTATACAGGACCAAGGCCGTTTAGGGCTTTAAAGGTCAGCACCAGCACTTTGAATTGTGCTCAGAAACGTACTGGGAGCCAATGCAGATCTCTCAGGACCAGTGTTATGTGGTCCCGGCGGCCACTCGCAGTCACCAGTCTAGCTGCCGCATTCTGGATTAGTTGCAGTTTCCAGGTCACTTTCAAAGGTAGCCCCACATAGAGCGCATTGCAGTAGTCCAAGCGGGAGATAACTATAGCATGCACCACTCTGGCAAGACAGTCCGCAGGCAGGTAGGGTCTCAGCCTGCGTACCAGGTGGAACTGGTAGACAGCCACCCTGGACACAGAATTGACCTGTGCCTCCATGGACAGCTGTGAGTCTAAATGACTCCCAGGCTGTGCACCTGGTCCTTCAGGGGCACAGTTACCCCATTAAGACAGTGATGTCTTAACCCCATACGTATTACCCCCGTTTGGTTTCTCTTTGCCTGCAACCCCTCCCTAAAACTCCTATTCACGAAGCTGTGCACTGTGCATGTGCATATGGAACAGCTGTCTCAAATGTACACACTTCAGCTTACCTGCGACGTGAATGTGGCTCACGCTTTCAAACTGGATGTAAGCTGATTTAAGGAAAAGATATCAAACAGCAGCATTTCTCGAGAAACTACAGCACAAATATGGATTGCAGCTGATGTCACGTTTACGCAGCTTCAAACTCCAGCAGTGGGACCACACTATAATATGTACACAGCCTAAGAAGGCTACATATTTGCTAACTTACTTTCAAAAGGTATTGATCTTTCCTTGGTCTTCAACTTTTCCTCAAACATGCTATGTACAGCCTGGATTAACAGACTGTAAAGCCTCCAAACATTTACCTAATTACTTAAGAGTACTCACTTATTTGTTCCAGGATAACCCTGTTAGTCTGTAGCAAGAAATGCAAAAGAAGGAGAGGCCCAACCTTAAAGACCTGAGTGCAATCCTATGTGTTTTTTGGTCCAAACTAAGTTCCATTGTAGCTGGTGGGATTAAGGCAATTTCTTGAACTACAGTGGTACCTTGGGTTAAGAACTTAATTCGTTCTGGAGGTCTGTTCTTAACCTGAAACTGTTATTAACCTGAAGCACCACTTTAGCTAATGGGGCCTCCTGCTGCTGCCGCGCCACTGGAGCAAGATTTCTGTTCTCATCCTGAAGCAAAGTTCTTAACCCGAGGTACTATTTCTGGGTTAGCAGAGTCTGTAACCTGAAAGCGTCTGTAACCTGAAGCGTATGTAACCCGAGGTACCACTGTAATCTCCAGGAAAGGACCTGCAGGCAACAGCTAATTGGAACGGGAGTGGGGCAAGAGATTAAAAGTGCTATTCCTTGCTATTCAGTGCCATTGTGGTTTCTTTGATCCTAAGTAGTCACAATATAATAACTACTTTTGTGGAAAGCTCTACCTAACCAACAATGTGTAGAAAAGTAACATGAATTTATGTGGGTTTTAATGTCTTAAACTAGATGGGAGCTGGTTCATGCTACTACCACTTTGGGTAAAGTATAAAATTATGCTATACCAACAGGCAATTACCGTATTTGTCGTCCCATAGGACGCTCCGCCCCATAGGACGCACCTAGTTTTTTGGGGGGGGAATAAAGGAAAAAAAATTTTCCCTTTATTTCCCCCCCAAAAGCAGGTCGGGGAAACCGAACCAGGTCGAGGAACAGCGGGATGGCGGCGCTGCGCCTCCCTGCTGTCCCCTGATCTTGTGGGGCTGGCCGATGTCTGCCCGGCGCAAGGGGCGCTCTGCTTCAGGGCGCCCCGCCCACCGGGCGGCAGGCTGCTATCCGCAGCCTAGACATCCCTGCGGGACCTCCCGCAGGGCTGCCTAGGCTGCGGATGTGTTCCCGAAGCGCCGGGAGCTCTGCTTTCAGGGCGCCCGACGCTCCGGGAAGCAGGCTGCTATCCGCAGCCTAGACATCCCTGCGGGACCTCCTGCAGGGCTGCCTAGGCTGCGGATGTCTTCCTGAAGCCTGGAGAGCGAGAGGGGTCGGTGCGCACCCACCCCTCTCGCTCTCCAAGCTTCAGCGAAACCTGCATTCGCCCCATAGGACGCACCCAGATTTCCACTTCATTTTTGGAGGGGAAAAAGTGCATCCTATAGAGCGAAAAATACGGTAATTAGCAAAGAAACTGAAGTAACGAACAATATCTACCGCTTTTCATCATATTTTGCATGTGATACTGCTTTGAAAAGAAGGCCAGAATTTCTTCAAATCAAATCAAGCATATATAGTAAAGTTTAGGAGGCTGTGCATTGGAATGTGGGTTCTTAGGTGATTTGGCTTTCAGGTTCCTAAACTTTAGGGGCTTAGAGCTACCCCCCTAATTCAGGGGCTTAGGGTTCACAGTTCCTACTTTTCTCCCTGACACCCTCAAACCCTGAACAAAATCCACATTGTCCTGCTCTTCCCCCTACTGCTCAATGACCCTCTATTCCTCAGAGATGCACAAAAATGGGAATGCAGCTGTGGTTAGAAAAATTACCCAAAATCCGCTTTAGCGTGAACATCTAAAATGTCACACAATAGTGAGCAAGCTCTTGAGAAGTTCTGGAGGACATGTTCTCTGACTCTTTTTCATTGCTCTGAGGAAAGCTCACTCTGTACTGTGGGTCCTAATGGGTACAAATGAAGGCATAAGGACTCCATCCACTGGCTGAGGCTGATGGGAGTTGGAAGTCTCAAATATCTGGAAAGCAGCAGTTTGTGGGAAGCTGGTGTAGATTAATGGTTTCCTTGTAGGCAACAGAGACTGAGAAAAACTCTGCCATGCTTCTGAAGGAACAGCTTTCTATTTGAACTTGTGAGCGTTAAAGGGAGGGAATTATTCTCCTGGCAGAATCTTCAGCTTTTCTTGCTAATGTGGGTGCATCTGTTGACACAGGCCTGCAGGTTTACATAAGGAAGGTAGGCTGCTTCACCTAATTGTCTAACTTCAGAGCAGGCCTGTGTTTTGTTTTGTTTTTCAAGAGAAGTGGTTTGAAGAGTGTGGCTTTTCATATTATGTTTTAAAGAGGTTTTCTCCCTTTGTGTTCTTCTTTGGAACAGGTGGGAGAAATTGCCTTGCTGGGTAAAAGATAATAAATAATCTGTGTGTTCATTTCTTTCTGGAATTTCTTTAAAAGACTGTGGGAATTGCTCACTCATGCTCAAAAGAGCCGCCAGTGTGCAGCCCTCAAAGAAGAAGAAGAGTTTGGATTTGATATCCTGCTTTATCACTACTCAAAGGAGTCTCAAAGCGGCTAACATTCTCCTTTCCCTTCCTCCCCCACAACAAACACTCTGTGAGGTGAGTGGGGCTAAGACACTTCAGAGAAGTGTGACCGGCCCAAGGTCATCCAGCAGCTGCATGTGGAGGAGCGGAGACGCGAACCCGGTTCACCAGATTACGAGTCTACCGCTCTTAACCACTACACCACACTGGAAGGGAGTGGAAGTGTAAGTGCTCCTCTCAATGAACTGAACTTTTGAAAGAGGGGGTACGAAAACTCGCCCAGCCAGAGAGCCTACATTCCCTTGTGGACCAGCCTTCCAAGAGCCACATCATGCCAGAGGCAAAAGTGGGAGTAGCAAAGGATATGACTTTTACTGTCCACCAGGCTACATTCCAGCCAGGCAAAAGCTTGAGATTTCTACTTTCTGCATTAGCAAGACTCATTATTACAGTTAATAACACATCTAGCCAGGCAAAAGCACCTAAGGAAGGTGCGGAGCATAGGTGGGGAAGGGTGTGGTCTGGGCAGAGAGGCCTGGATAAGACCACATTTGGCTCCAGTCCAGATGCCCTGCATAAATAAATAAGTAAAACTCTATAATTACTGTTCACTCATCAAGGCAGTGGGTGGGGTTTGCAATCCTGGGCTTCCTGTGCCAGGGTGACACCCCCTTTTTGGTTGCTGGCTGTTGCTCCGCCCCCTCCCTTGGTACCCAATTGGCTGCCGGCTGTGGGGTGGAGCAAGGACCAGGTATTGCAGGGCTCCAGCCAACCCATCTCTCCCATTTTATCCCATACATCTGTTGTCGTGTCTCATTATTTATGCGTTGGCTCCCAGGCCGGGGGGGGGGGGTTAGTGCACGGGCTCGCAGTCTCTTCCCTTTCTTGAGAGAAAAGGGGTTGCCTTTGTCTAGTTACATTGTATGAACTTGTATGAACATGCTGCACTTCAGTGGTGTATGTGTGGATTTCTAGGAAGCATTTTAAATCATAAGGGAAAAAATATATTCTAAGGTTATGTGAGTGGGTGGAGAGACTTGTGTCCTGTGGCACAATAGTGGCACGGGAACCATGAAGTACAGTGGTACCTTGGGTTACAGACGCTTCAGGTTATAGACGCTTCAGGTTACAGACTCTGCTGACCCAGAAACTTTGCTTCAGGATGAGAACAGAAATCGTGCTGTGGCGGCAACGGGAGGCCCCAATAGCTGAAGTGGTACCTCAGGTTAAGAACAGTTTCAGGTTAAGAATGGACCTCCGGAATGAATTAAGTTCTTAACCTGAGGTACCACTGTACCGGTAGCTGCTTGTTGGTCTCCATTTCCATTAAGCCCAGCCAGTGTGGCCAATGGTCATGGAAGATGAGAGCTATCGACCGGCAATGGACACGTCCAGACTGTCACTATTTCGCTTGGGATTCAGTCGCATCCTGGCAAATTCAGGCTGCATATTAAAGGCATGATACACACTATATATTTAAAGCACATTTACCCCCTCAAAGAGTTCTGGGCACTGAAGTTTACCCCCTACAGATCCCAGCGACCCTTAAATTACAGGACCCAGAATTCTTTGAGGAGGGGGAGTGCTTTTAATGTGCTCTAAAGATATAGTGTGTGTGCAGCCTAAAGCTGAGGGGGAGGTCGTGTGCCAGAAGCCAGCTTTCCCTAAGGATTGAACATTTTGCGCCAAGTAATTGGAAATTGCACTGAAATAGCATAATTCTTGAACAATGCTGTATAACCTTGCCTCAAACAAATCAGGATGAATGCTCACTAAACAGGTCATATGGACCAGGGCAGAGGAAGGGGTGTGTGGTGGGTGCAGGCTGCCCTGGGCGTCACCACTGGGGTGTGTGTGACAAAATGCTGGGCGGCACTCACCGCGGGGCCTGCAGCGTGGCCGAGCCACACGTCTCTCCTGAGAGCCACACGTCTCTCCTGGCTTGGGCACCCACAGGCTCCGCGCTACCCCAAACGATCCACCCGCCGCTTCCCCCCACTGGCAGAGGAAGAGGAGTGCGGGGGGAGCACACCGCCCCCGGCAGCACAATCCCCAGAGTGCAATCGCGGCAGACCCCCGCCTGTGCTGGGCACCCCGCCCCCGCAGGCAGTGTGCCACGCCCCTGTGGACGGCGCGCCACACCCCCAGGATGCGTGCCACACCCCCAGGACATGCACCAGCCCTGCCCCCGCCTGCTCTCCGCCCCCCCCCTGGTGCTGGAGCATGAAGCTCCGCCACTGCCTCCCCCCCAGCTGTAGGGCGGCTGAGGTGGAGGAGGCAGGCAGACTCCTTGGAGGCCCTGCGGAGCATCCTGCCCCAGCTGGCCACGACCCCAGGTTCCTGATCGGCTTGCTTCGCCACTGTGTATAGACTTGACCAAAACCTGGGGCACCAGAGGCTCCCTATTCCTGGGCCTTCAAATGTAAGCAGAAGCATTCAACTAAACAGCCACAAAAGCTTTCAGGCAGGGCTCCGTCATGGAAGAAATAAGAACCTGAGATGAATGAGTTCTTGTCCAAGAGCTCTTGAGAAACTGCTGCGACTCGAACCTGTCAGAGCAGTGGGGGAGATTGTTAGAGGGTCACTGGGTCATGCAGTATTCTGGCTGGGAGGTCATATCAGTGCAGCAAAACAGATGTGTACCATGGTTTTTAAAAAAAATTATCCTCCTTGTATACAAACATAAGTTATTTGCAGTTTTGCCAAAGGCGAGCAGATAACAAATAAAGCAATACTACAGCACAAGCCCTAGAATGAAGGGGGAATTATAGTTTTAGAATTTGAGACAATATTTCTACAGATTTCATTTGCAGTATGTTTCATAATGGAATTTGTTTCCAGTGCCCTTAGTAGCAATATACAAACAGTGCAATGAACATTTCCAGGGAGATCTTGGCACCCTTTGGTGTCCTTTCTTGAGGACACGCAGAATGCTTAGCAGTTGTTGTGGAAAATGAGCGTTACTGAGTTTCAGCCTAATATCTGATAACAAGAACAGCAATAGATTATTTATTGTCTGATACATTCAGGTGTTGGTTTGTGCGGCTTTCTTGCTCGCAGTTTGGCATTGTTGATGTGTGGTTTTTCATATATCTATATATTAGTAAAGATAATGGGAGCATCGCACCATTGAATGCAAGTTGAATTCAAAGCTGGAGTTTTTGTTTTTTTTTAAATCATAGCTGGAGAAAATAAAAAACCTTTGGAAAGAGTTGAGAAGAGGATTGATCACATTATTTCACAAAGGAAAGGAAATATGCAGGAAGCAGGGGAGGAAACTGTATAACATCCAGCACCGAGTAAAAGCTGCGCTTGCAGAAAAGGGTTATCTATGGATACACATTTAATAATGATTAGGAAATTATTATAATGCATTCCTACACATGTTTATTTGAAATTAGGCAGGGCTTAATCTGTGTCACTCCCAGAAATCTGTATCGAGATCTAAACTCAGCTGTTATTGAAATCGCTGGCCATGCATGTTTGCAATCAAGCAAAGTGGCTATTCCTAATAGGAGCATTGTATCGATGTGTCTCTGCGTGTAAATAATTAGAGCTAATTGCTTCAGCAGCCTGCTCCACCTCTCCTTTCCACACTCGCCTCTTCCCTTGATGGGAAGATGAGGAGATTGCCATCAGTTTCCATGGATTAAAGGAGAAAACGCCCTGTGCATTCAGGATCTTTAGTAAGAAGTTCAGCCCAGCAATCACTTCTCTGCGGTCATTCACCTGGACTTAGGAATGGCAGCCCCTGAGATGCAAAACCGAAGACAACCACTAGCCCCTAATACAAATTTAGGGAGAGGGATGTGTGGGCGTAGTAGCAGATAACCCTTAACTAGCTCTCTCTTGATCCAGTTTTTCACACAACCCAGTATTTGCCTACTGAACCCTTAAAGCAGGGGTTGCCATTGGGGTGTCTGCAGGTGTCAGTGTGCCTGCTGGCAAAAATGTCTCAATAAATATAGAAACCCCACAATGCAGGACTATTTGTTCTTCTTGCTCAGTTCACTCCCACTTCCCATCTTGCAGTTCTTTTATAATAAATTAAGCAAATACACACAGTATTTTTGTCACCTTTTTTTGAACAGCTGACACACCTGTTTATTTTACACTAGGGTTGGGTCTAAGTTTTACTGACACTGGAATAAATGGGCCTAGTTTGGTCTTGTCATTATTTTTTCAATTGGGTAAATCTGAGTATGACTGATGTTGGAAACCACATAGTAAGGAACCTGACATGTTGCCTGGTTCACATACTGTATTTAAAACACTAATTTATTTGTTATTGTAATTGCTCCCAATTGTTTGGACCAATCACTAAGTGGAAGCTCAAAAGATGTATCTTCCAGTGTCAGTGGTGTAGAGTGGGTTGCTAGCGCCCAGGGCCATGCAGAGGGGGTAGGAGGGAGGGAAATGAGGTCCGCATCACCCAGAAGATCACAGCCGCAGAGATAAGAAGAGTCATTCTGGAGAAGTCACTTCCTGGTTCACATGGAGAAGCTGTTTTCAATGGAGCCCAGCAACAGAAGCACACAGCTGTATTGAAGCAGTGCCACGTGTCAAATTTTTGCGCCCCTAACAAATTTTTGCACCCAGGACAACTGCCCCTGTGGCCGCGTTCTCATGCTACACCACTGTCCAGTATTGCTCTAGGGCTCTCGTCATTTTTAAGCTAATGTTTATAATTAGCTGTGTTTTCCTAATGCTTGGTTTACACACTGAATTTTCTTTCTTAAAAATGCTTTATATTGCTGTATTATATTATATTATAGTTATATATTCAAAATATTTTTATTGAAACTTTTAGTTCAGCGTAAAAAAACACAAAAAAATGGAATAAGCCATAAATAAACTAAAAGGTTTGGTCACATCGTTCAATAAAAATTTATTGAAAGGCATCTGTTACGTTGGAAACCACCCCAGAGATCACTGTGTGTGTGAGATGAAGAGCGGTCTAAAAATCTGGAAAATTAAAAATAAATACATAAATAATATAGCCGCTTCCTTAAGATCAGCTTTTTAAATGGGACAATGATGTGGTAAAGGCTAGAGATAATTAAGTTAAACATGAGCTCCTATGCAAATCAGGTTCGAAAACAGGCTGTATGGGAAATTCATCCAGAAGACAAAATGTATATCGAGGAGTTAGTGATTCTAACATGGTTACCCTTCCTGCCTCTGTTCCTTACCCCTCCCTTGCAGCAGTTAAGTTTTTGAAGGTGTGAGAATAGTCTTTGATGTCCTAATCAGTTGGGAGGAGGTGAAGCCCCCCCAGCTGCCTTAATCAGTCTGGGAGGATAGTGCTGGAAAACTTATTTGATGTTGGAAATGGTTAAAGTGAGGCACTGGGAGGAGGTGGCTACCTAGAAAATCTGGATGGTTTGGGCAGAGTTTTTCAGAAGCTCATGCACGGACTGATGCAAACTGAGGCCACCTGGGGGAGTCACTTCACCACTTCTTGAGGGCTTCCAAGTGGCAGGTAGAAGTGCATGCTTAGTATGTTTATATTGTTGTACCTTGGTTCTCGAACGTTTTGGTTCCTGAAGACTGCAAACCCGGAAGTGAGTGTTCTAGTTTGCAAACGTTTTTTGGAAGCCAAACGTCCGACGCGGCTTCCATTTGAGTGCAGGAAGTTCCTGCAGCCAATCGGAAGCTGCGCCTTGATTTTCAAACGTTTTCAGAAGTCGAATGGACTTCTTTTTCTCACTCCCTTGTGTTTGGTATTGCTTCTGAATCTCTTTTAAAAGAACCACCTTGCATTTGGCAAGACACAGGCATGTTCTTAGAAAAGTTATTCCACAAAATGAGTAGGAGTTGTTCAAGAACATGGTATTAAACAAGCTGGACGGTGACCTAAATATCTAAAGTATGGTAGCAGAGGAATTTGTACGCTCTGACAGTGTCTCAAGAAACATCACAGAAAGACTGCTTTTATATTTACCTCCATCCCTTTAATTACCAAGATGCCGGCTATGATTAGGTACAAGGTACATTCCCAATTGTACATTACAGCCTTGCAAAAGGCTGGGCTGAATGCGAAAGGCTGGGCTGGATGAATCCCTAGCCGGAGTTAAGATTGCCGGAAGAAATAACAACCTCAGATATGCAGATGACAGAACCATGATGGCAGAAAGTGAGGAGGAATTAAAGAACCTTTTATTGAGGGTGAAAGAGGACAGCGCCAAATATGGTCTGAAGCTCAACATCAAAAAAACTAAGAACATGGCCACTGGTCCCATCACCTCCTGGCAAATATAAGGGGAAGAAATGGAGGCAGTGAGAGATTTTACTTTCTTGGGTTCCATGATCACTGCAGATGGTGACAGCAGCCACGAAATTAAAAGATGCCTGCTTCTTGGGAGAAAAGCAATGACAAACCTAGATAGCATCTTAAAAAGTAGAGACATCACCTTGCCAACAAAGGTCCGTATAGTAAAAGCTATGGTTTTCCCAGTAGTGATGTATGGAAGTGAAAACTGGACCATAAAGAAGGCTGATCGCCGAAGAATTGATGCTTTTGAATTATGGTGCTGGAGGAGACTCTTGAGAGTCCCATGGACTGCAAGAAGATCAAACCTATCCATTCTTAAGGAGATCAGTCCTGAGTGCTCACTGGAAGGACAGATCCTGAAGCTGAGACTCCAATACTTTGGCCACCTCATGAGAAGAGAAGACTCCCTGCAAAAGACCCTGATGTTGGGAAAGATGGAAGGCATAAGGAGAAGGGGGCGACAGAGGACGAGATGGTTGGACAGTGTTCTCGAAGATACCAGCATGAGTTTGACCAAACTGCGGGAGGCAGTGGAAGACAGGAGTGCCTGGCGTGCTCTGGTCCATGGGGTCACGAAGAGTCGGACACGACTAAACGACTAAACAACAACACATTCCCAAGAAGTGTTATACAATACTGATAATCTTTCTAACTTACTTTCGGCATTTATTTAATCTGCAGATTTACTTACGGCATAAATTGGGTCCATGCTGCACATCTGAAACCCAGGAAGTTTAAAATATACATATTACTAATTGAATATTTCCAAACAGAGAAACACACAATGCATCACAAGCAGGTGATTAAAGTATTCTTTTTTTATTTCAGCATGTGAAACTATATCTATCTATCTATTTATCATTTTGGTATTAAGGGAAATCATTATGGAGTTGTTAATAGAATCACAATATAATGTTACGATCTACTGCCATGCGTCCAATAACCCATCTACAGATCCTAATCCTGTTTTCTCATATATGAAAAGAAAATGTAATTCACAGGTATGCAATTCTAACACAAGGCATCACAATGGCTGTTGACAACTTTAAATAATACTGGGAAAAAATTCACAAGCAGCATTCCAAAGAGAATATGATGCCACATATAACCAAATACAGAGGGTTGAGTAGAAGGCCGGCTCTGTTGTTAGGCAGGGAACCCTGTCCCATTCCAGACAACACTCCCTCTGTAGCCTGGAGGTCCTCCTGGATGCTGCTGCTTGAGGCTCAGGTGACCTGGGTGGCGCAGAATGCCTTCCCATCAGTTTTGGCTGGTGGTCCAGGTGCGCCCCTAACTTCTGCTGCCTATGCTCCAGTAACCTCTGGGTGTCTTGAAGTTGTTTGCTCTGGCAAATTTTATCGATTCACAAGAAGTGAGCCAAAATGAGAGAAAAGTGCCCAGAGAAACAAAGCTCAGGGGAGTTAAACTTCAAGAGGAGGGGAACAGGTCCATCATTCATGTACTGCTTTTACTATTAAAGTAGGACAAGTAATACTGCTGCTTTCTGGTATCATGAGCAAGATAGATATTATTATTATTACAGTGGTACCTCGCAAGACGAATGCCTCGCAAGACGAAAGAGTTTTTCGTTTTTTGAGTTGCTTTGCAAGACGAATTTCCCTATGGGCTTGCTTCGCAAGAAGAAAAACGAAAAAACCGAAAACGTCTTGCAAGTTTGTTTCCTTTTTCTTAAAACCGTTAATACCCAGGGTGACTTCGAGGAGCAACTCATAGCACGCGGTGTGGTAGCCTTTTTTGAGGTTTTTGAAGACTGGTGATTTTGAAGACTTTGGGAAACCGTGCTTCGCAAGATGAAAAAATCGCAAGACGAAAAAACTCGCAGAACAATTAATTTCGTCTTGCGAGACACCACTGTATTGTTATTATTTATTATTATTATTTATATACTGCCCTATATACTGGAGGTCTCAGGACGGTTCACATAAAAAGATACTAAGATTTGTGCAAAATGTTCCACCTGCTCTACAAAGGGCAAGATGACACCACCCTCTTCTAACCTTAAGCTGTCTGGACTTGTTGAATTTGCATAAGGTTGTTTCCAGACACCCTATTTATTGAGCACTAGCAGGCCTCACACCCACATTGCTTAGGAATTGTAAGAAGCCAAAGTATTTGTGGTTTTGAAACCAGTTGGTAATCCAGTGGTTTTGAAAGGTTCAGTCTGCCTGCCATCTTGATTCAAAATGATGTCCAACTACATCCACACATAGATGAAAACCTGTTCCTTGGTCTCAGGAAACAACATGCAAAATTTGGTTATGATATCTTATGACGTGTCCAAATGCATAGCAAACAAACAAAGAACTTTCCAAAATGTATAGGATCAAGTGTTACCGCAAAATTTCCAGTTTTCCCTTCCGTTTCCTTGTGGCAAAAAATATATTATCTTTGGGGAAAGTGGGTTTGTGGCGCAATAGCGCCCAAATGGCTATAACTGAGCAAACCGGATTTGCTGGTGACTGAATCCGATCCAAAAATAGTGACAGTCTGGGAAGCACCCTAAGAATGGGGCTGTGCATTTTAAAAATATATATAAGCAAGGCTTTTTTCCCGGCTGGAACTCAGTTCTGGCATCTTTCAGGTGGGCACCATTGTCATTATAAGAGAACAAGGGAAGCATTCAGCGAGCTTTTTCTAGAAAAATAGCACTGTATATAAGGATTAGGAAGTAGAATGCTTTAACTCAGGCTTCCTCAACCTTGGCCCTCCAGATGTTTTTGGCCTACAACTCTCATGATCCCTAGCTAGCAGGACCAGTGGTCAGGGATGATGGGAATTATAGTCTCAAAACATCTGGAGGGCTGAGGTTGAGGAAGCCTGCTTTAACTGGTCATCGTAGAAAAGAAGACGTGCACCATCTGCAGACCAACTTGATTATTGCAAGTGATTCACAAAAACCAAATGCTAAATCCTATGGAGCGTCTTACATGACAAAGCACTGCTCATTCCTTATGTCAATTATTTTCCTTATCAATATAAGTCAGTATATTTTTGTTAGTTAAACAGTAATTCAGTTTTCGAATGGTGGTGCATAGTATGATGGCCTAAGATCGTGTAGCTTGGCTGAGCTATGACAGTTGACTGGAAGTTATTGTTGCTGTTCTGGTGTCTTCTTCAACCTCTCTTTAAAGTTCTAATTTCCAAAAGCACAGCGAACCAAAAACTGCCTTGAGCTTTTTAGATGAAAGATGGGTTATAATAAATAAACAGGAGGAGGAATAAGGCTGCCAGCTAACTTGAAAGAATGCATTCTGGCCAATTCCTGTCTCTTTAATATCTGGACATCAGACCAGTATTAGTAGGTGATCATGCTCACATACACTCCATGCCAATTTAGGCCAATATCATGCAACCAACAAAGTGGGAACTAGTCCCTAAAACTTATATCACAATATATCTGTAGTGGTCCGTATAGTTAAAGCTATGGTTTTCCCAGTAGTGATGTATGGAAGTGAGAGCTGGACCATAAAGAAGGCTGATCGCCAAAGAATTGATGCTTTTGAATTATGGTGCTGGAGGGGAGACTCTTGAGAGTCCCATGGACTGCAAGAAGATCAAACCTATCCATTCTTAAGGAGATCAGTCCTGAGTGCTCACTGGAAGGACAGATCATGAAGCTGAGGCTCCAATACTTTGGCCACCTGATGAGAAGAGAAGACTCCCTGGAAAAGACCCTGATGTTGGGAAAGATGGAGGGCACAAGGAGAAGGGGACCACAGAGGGCGAGATGGCTGGACAGTGTTCTTGAAGCTACCAGCATGAGTTTGACCAAACTGTGGGAGGCAGTGGAAGACAGGTGTGCCTGGCGTGCTCTGGTCCATGGGGTCATGAAGAGTCGGACACGACTAAACGACTAAACAACAACAACAAACAAAGTGTAGCATTGGATCCAACAGAAGCAGCAACCAGGTGGGCGTGGTTCACTTGGATCACTTCTTGGATAGGCTTTCAAATAATCCTCTGATGGATGCATACGCCACTCATAAGCGTCTGTGAACTCAAATTAACCCTAATGGGCAGGAAGTTCAATGCACATTAATTCTGCCAGTGAAGAAGAGTTGTTAATCTGATAGCTCCACCTTGTGGCCAGAAGTTTTAAGCACGGAATTGAATTAATTGTTTCCTGCTGACCTTAACGTGCGCTGGAAATTGATATGGCCAAGCGGAGCAATCAGAATACCATTTATCTTATTATGTGACCCACCTCAACATTCATTGGGTGAGATCCAATTAAATCGTATTCAGAGCAGACCCATCAAAACCCATGAAGTTTAACACCATTGATTTTAAAGCACTTACTCTATTGCTTAATTGAATGGTCAGCTACTGCTGAGTTTGTTGAAAACATGCTCAGATCTCACTTTGGGTTTTATGAATCACCCCTGATGGGATGATGATGATTTTTTTGCATTTATAGGTCAAATTTCAGAATTGCCTGCCCCTGTCAAGGCAGCTCCCAACGTACCCAAACACACACACACACACACACACACACACACACGTCTTTGTTTTTGTTTTTTTCCAGACCTTCCTAGGCAGGCTGAAAGCTATACATATGGGATCAACAAGCATATAAATGTCTTGCTGGTAGATGCTTATGAGGTTGGAAGTTAGAACGGACTGACTCAGTGTCAGTTAGCATTTCTCAGTTCAGAAAGTATTGATCTGATGTGTAGAAATATTTCCTATTCTGATTAATTCAAGAGGGTTCTGGAAGTTTCTGAAAGCTGCTCTGTATGAAAGATGCTTCATGATAGTTTGGGTTATACCTTCAGAGAAGCTGAGTACAGCTGGCTTGAACTGGTTCTCTTATCTCTTCCAATTAACGTCATGCCGACTATAAATATAGGCCAGAAGGAGTCTGGGTTTTACTTTCTCTTTCTCTCGCTCTTACTTCTGATGTGGTGTTCTGAACATAGTATGCTTAGTGTTAAGGTTTAGTCTTGTTATAAGTTTACAGGTTTTTGTAAGTGCTGCAACTGGATTCTTATGGACTGTGCCAATCCTGAATGTACTGGACTGGATTTGTGACCATTATGCTTATTTGCCTTCAGTAGCAAGTAAAGCTCTGCTGGATGAAATACAATTGCCTCTGGTCCATTTTTGGGCACTCTGTATCGTGTTTAAGTTTTTTCCTCCTCAGAAGAAGCTGGGGCAACACTCAGGACCATGATTGCCACATGCTGGCAGCAGGATCATGAACAGCCCCGAGACATGAGCTTTCACACACTTTAAACACACAAAAACAGCAGGTGGTATTGTCTTTCTTAGAAGACTTCAGCTTCAAACTTGAGGTATAAGACTGCATGGAGTTCTCATCTAGCACATCTGTTTATTTATCTATTTTCCTCTGAATAGAAAGATAGCAAGTCGTGAAGAATAGTTTGGAGCTTTGGAATGGAATCTGAGTATAGGTGAATGAGTCGTGTTTGTGTATGGCTGCAAAAGAATGATAAAGTAAGTGGCATGGTATAGGTACGAATGGAATGTGGCATGTGTGCGAAGGCCTAGAATACCTCTGGGAAAGTGAAATTTAAAAAAGGCTCAGCATCACCAAAACCCATGTGATTAGTATGTGTGGGTGCTAAAATCATTTTGACAGCTTACTAATTGTGATCATACGATAGCTACTTGACTTCCTAATTTGTGTGTTAGTTCCTTTATTTTCCATGAACACTTGCCGAAGACTTAATAGTCAAGATCAGGCACCCCCAAACTCTGCCCTCTAGATGTTTTGAGACTACAACTCCCATCATCCCTAGCCAACAGGACCAGTGGTCAGGGATGATGGGAATTGTAGTCCCAAAACATCTGGAGGGCCGGGTTTGGGGATGTCTGGTCAAGATGATCGCCACCTTTAAATATTTGAAGGGCTGAGGCATAGGTTCTGTACACATTGCCATTGCTGAAACTCCAGTGTGCTCCCTCTGCTGGAAATCAAGTACACATGATGTTACCCATCAACCAACTGTATGTATCCTGCAGTTTCTCAAGAAATATTGTTTGATGCGTTTCCCCTCAAATCAGCTTTCATCCAATTTGAAAACATAAGCTGAAGTTAATGTGTTTGCATTTCACACATCTGTTGTACATGTCAATGCATGAACATGTGATGGGTTCACTGAATTAGTTCGGTTGAGGTGTCTGTGTGTGTGCAAGTACAGCGAAACAAATCAGATAATGGTGTGTACAGCAATGTAAAACACGACTTGAAATGCAGTGGGGGGAAGCAATCTCACAAGCATTGTGTACGTGCCTGTAGCTGAAGGGGCAAATTTGTCTTCTGTTGTTCCAGATGGTGGGGCCTGAACCAAAGGTCAAAATTACAAGAAAGAGGACTGGCTAAATGCTAGGAAAAACTTCTGACAGTTTAAAGTGCTTGGCAGTAGAACACTGTCCTGAAAAAAGTTGGACTTTTTCGCAACGCTTAGAAATTCTGAATACACACTTCATAGAGAATGAACTCTGAGTGTGCATGTATATTCATCTGGGCAACATCATAAGGGACAAGAAAGGTAGCATAAAATACTCAAATAGGGCAATGCTTTCTTTAAAGGTCCATATGGAAGTTGGGAAATCATACATTTGATCTGATAACACTTTGAGGTGTAGTGCACTAATACCATTAAATTAAAAAATTGACTATTTGGATCAACAAAGCCTTCTTAATCAATTTATAAACCAAGTAACAAATCATGTACACCTCAGCTGCTTTGCAACCATAGGCTGAGCTCTATTCTGAATATATATATTTGCAAATAAGGAACTAGGCACCAACTTCAGCTTCATGGATAGCTGTGCTTGTGTGTGGACACAGTGAAGAAGCTGGGACACTTTTGTGCAAGCTTTAATCAGAAGAGGACAGGTGGTGCTTAACTGGGTACAATTCCACAAAATGCACAGCTAAAGATAAAGGCATATAAGTTTGGAAAGGGACTGCCCTCTGATCTGGAACAGGATCCTATTAATATATTTTTACTTATTTATCTTTACAAAATTCTTAGACGGTTCTCTAGAATTATAGTTTATTTCACATTTTCAGGGACGTAAAACTACAAAGCAGGTTAGGGAACCTTTGGTCCTCCAGGGACTCATCTGTATGTCATTTAATGTGAATAGTAAGCTTCCTCAACCTTCATTAAGTCTCCATGGTCCATATGATGCTCTCCTTCAAATCACTGCCTTCTCACACTTTCCCCTCCCTCAATCCATATTTGTTCATATCCTCGCCTTTCTGGAGTATCCCTGGTATAAGAAAATCTGGATTGGTGGAGGCAAAGTGTGGGCGGCTGGTGATTAAAGGAGAACGTCGTATGGCCAATGGAAAATTAATGGAGGTACTGGAATTTTACTGTTCATATTAAACAACAGAATGGGGGAGCCCCAGATGTTGCTGAATTACAACTCCCATCACCCCTGGCCAAAGGTTCCCCATACCTGGCGTAGAGCTAGAAAGAAAGCTTAGCCTAAACTCAATCTTTACAACAAGCCCAATGGGGCAGATGCATTTAAATTTATAAAGGTCCCAAAGGAAATATATACTTGATTTTGTAAGCACACATTGTATTTATTGTAACTGAGGCTCATGCATATTTACTAGGGAGTCAACTCCATTGCTTTCATGGGATTTACCTGACTTCCGAGTAAATATGTGGAGAATCAAGCTGCAAGTCCCTGTGGTTCCATTTAATTTACTCCACAATAAGCATGTATAGATTGCAGATTTACCAGGACCTAATCCCACTGAGCAAAGTGATATTTACTTCTGTGGGAGACATTGCAAAACACAGTCAAACACACAGTCCAGGAGCCTAGATGATTAAATACAGTTTCTTATTAAATAAAACGGAGATTTTCCTTCTGTGTTATCCTATGCCAGTTTTATGGCTTATTTAAATACATGGACCATCACTAATGCCTGTCCTTTGTTTTCTTCATTGCAGTAACATACATGAACAGCCTTTCCTCCAGCTCCAAACCCCCCTTTGTTGTAAAATCATCTTTCCAATCAATTTCTAAGCATTTCCCTACTACACGTTCAACAAAGGCTGTCGTTAACGTTATAGCCCTCGCTACTCTGCCATACCCAAACAAGTGATCGCAATGCCGCCAACCCTCTCCAAATGTCTTTCTCCATCTCTGCGTTTCTTTGCCACCTGTCCATCACTGGCAGCTATCAGTCATTTTGTTCTCTGGAATATCTGCAGCGACTGCTGTAGTGGAGCACGGCTGCAGCAATAGATTGGGGGCCTTTTGGAAGGAAAGGTAGGTGGTGTGTTGTGCCAACGTTACCCTTCATTTTGCATTCATAAATCCTTCGCCCAGCTGTGCCGTCTTTGGAGCAGGACAAAAGGAAGGCTTGAGTTGATTTTACGCACAAGGTCTCGTTTGTCCCCGGATTTCTTTTGTTGTTGGAGCAGCGGCGGTGGCGGCAGCAGCAGCAGCAGCTTCTTGCCGGCTGGGCGATGCACTGAGGAGGGAGAGCTGCAAGCGCGCTGGAGTGGGTGCAGCTGAAAGCTCCAGACGTTGCAGAATGAGTGCGTCAGAAACAGGGAGAGGAGAGGCGAGCGCGGCAGGGGGAGGGACGCCGATGATGCTATCAGGCGCCCAGTAGCAACGGCGAGAGGAGCAGAAGGTGAGCCTAGGTGGACTCCTAGCCGGCCCAGCCACCGCCGCCACCCCCGGTCCGTTTTGCAGCCCCGGAGGAGGTAGATTTGCCCGAGGTGAGTGAGTGCAGAACGCAGGGGGCGTGGAAGGAGATGGGGCAGCCTTCGGCTGATGACAACCTGCTCCCCACTCTCCCTAGCAATCCAGGCCTGGCAAGCACCGGATCCAGGATTCAGAGTTGTTGCTAGGCAGCCCGGGGTGGGAGTGGTGGTCAGCTTGGGGGTCGGGGTCCTTCCCCCTCCTTCTCCTCCTCGAAAGGAAGTGACTGCGCTTATCGTCGCGTAAAGCCAGGTAGGCGAGGGCAGCGGAGACCCGGCCGCTGGCGTGTGCGCGCGTCCCTCTTTCCCTGCGCTCCCCCTTGGCGTGCGCTCTAAGCCCACCCTCTCCATGTTCTCTAGGCCTTCCTGCGCTGCGCCTGCATATAGCCGAGTGCCTGCGTCCCTCGGGTGCCCGAAGGAACCTGGGCGCTGCACGGGGGGCTTCCGACCCCCACTAGGGACGACCAAAGGTGCCTCCTCACACCGGCTTGCCGTCCGCCCCCTCCGGCTTTTCGCCCGCCCACGTCTCCTCTCCGGAGCGCGGCGTGCGCCTGCAGCCTTTTCTTGCCGGCCTCAGCTGTGGAGAATGAATTAAACGCGCGCTCCGGGCGCAGCGCTGGGCGTGGGGTCACCGAGGGCGGCGGCAAAGGTAACGGGCGCATGGGATTTCGAGTGGTGCAACTGTAATCCGGAGGGGGGGAAATAATAATCGTTAATTGGCAAGGTTCCCTTTTCTGTTCCAGCGGCTTGGCGCCCCTCCCCCTTCTGCCTTTTCTTACTGTGATAGTGTATGTAGGCCAATAATTGTGGTGGGAGGGTTGTTGGTGCGCGTTATTCTTGCCCAGTGCTCGTTTTTATCCTGTTGGAGGGAAGGGATGGTGGACTCTGAGGAGGTATTTGCAAACATCTGTGCATTTTTAAAATGTCGGTGTGAGAGAGGTTTGCGTTTTCTGGACTGTTTACGTCGGGGGTGGGTCGGTTTCAGGGTTGTGAGGTCTGTTTCTGAAAGAAATTCAAAGTAATGTACACTTAGTGTGAACGGTGGAGTCAGCAGCTGTGTATTTTACAGTATTGGGTTTCCCTTTAGCATAAGGTCCAGGGGTTGGTAATAGCAACTAAAAAAATAAACAATTACTGTATATACCAAATAAAACAGTTAACAACCATAAAGACAAGTGTAAGGACAATGAGAAACACTTCCATGCATAAAACAATTACATATACAAAAACAGTTAAAATTAGTTCCAATGCAGACTGGGATGTAAAGATATTCAACTTAAAAGGCTTGGTGAAAAAAGGTCTTGAGTAGGTGCCAAAAACACACACACACACACAAAAACCAGAGACTGCCTGTTTAATATGGAATGGGAAGGCTTTCCAAAGGCTGCTACCACATTAAAGGCTTGATTCCTATATCCGAAGAAAGGAACCTCCTGATAACATGGTATCCACAGGGGGCCTTCTCCTGCAGAGCACAGTGATCAGTTGGGTATATAAGTGAAGTGGTGAGACTATCTTTTCATTTTCCTGGTTCCCAGCTATGTAGGGCTTTGTACCCCAGTACTTGGCAGCATGTCCTGTAAGCTATACACTGAGAAAAAAAGTACTGTATATGAGTACAATCTATATCTCAGTTACTACAGATCAGAGACTTACTTAAACATAGGACTCTTAAAGCTGGCCAGTAGAACTGCACAAAGACCTAGTCAAAGGCAAACACATTTCATTCATTCAGCCTTTATTGGCATAATAGCAAACACTTAATAATCGTATTTTATAGGAGAGGAACTTAGAACAAGACTAGCCATGCCAGAGAAATGTGTATTTTCACTTGCGTTAAATTATACGGAGTAAGAAGTAACTTTTATCAACTGCAAATCACCTAGAGTTGTAGATCCTGAGGATCTTTTTATCTATCCTGATTTACATGAAAGTATTTGGCAGGATCTTTTAACAAGTCACAGCTTAACTTTGTGATTTATATAGGGCTTATAGCAGGCATGTCCAAAGTCCATTTGGGGTGAAATTGTAAAAAAATAAAACAAAATACTCAACAATTTAAATCCTAAAAAAAGCTCAACAACATTGGTTGTCACTTACTTCATCAAATCTGGCCCTCTTTGAAAAAAGTTTGGGCACCCTGGCTTATAGGAATGGGTAGACCTGCACATGGTTACAGCACAGTCCAATCCTACTTAGAGACAAATCTGGTCAGCTTCATTCCCAGGCAAGTAAGTTCAGGAGTGCAATTTAAATTTAGGTTAATTACCAGGAGTGGTGATTCCCAAAGTGTGTGCTGGAGAGTTTCTAGGGAGGTCTGGACTCTTGGGGCTTTGTGTGTGTGTTTGTAGTAGCAAGTTTATCACGTCTTTGCTGTAGTACTCTCAGCTGTTCTTGAGGGATTTCATACCTGATTCTATCAAGATGCTTTTGTGTGCCATGTTGCTTTTGCTGGTGTAAATAAATTAAGGTGTGCTACTAACAATAGACATGATAGTGTCCCATGTGTGCCTGCGTTTGTGCATATTGCTGTGAAGGGAAGCACCATGCAGAGGCATTATAAATTAAGAATGTGTTTCCAAAGTGGCCTGCCTTGAGCTTCTCCAATTTGTGTGGTGGTGAGTGACGACTTATAGTACAGTATGTCTAATACTCCATGCTCCCTTGGGTTGATTTCAAGGCTGACAAACAATTTGTGTCCCATCCTCCCTCACAAAGTTCTCAAATGCCATAGAATCCCTCACACCCTTCTGCTCATGGGTCTTGTACGTGCCCCTTGTCATTTTATCAACTTGCCTCAGCCAAATCACCTGTTTCACATTATGTCTCAAAGTTGAGGAGCCTCATAATTCTTACAGCCTTGGGGAATTGGTTTTCTGACTAAGTTGGACAACTTCTGCACCATGGCAAAATTCTGTTTTGAATCCTAGGAATTACCGGGGCTCTTAATTGAGAATTACTTAGCATGCATCCATCTCTGTTCCCCAGACTTTGGGACCTGGATGGATGCAAACTGATTTCATACGAGGGCCTTGGCTGTCTCAGATTGCATTGCAATTACTGGCAGTGCTGCAATGAAGACCTGTCCTCTTGTATTCTCTAAAGCACCATTCACATTGATGGTGTTGTTTACAGCACCGCCTGTTGACACCATTTTAAAGCATGTGAATGGCATTAGAGTAGGGGCTTAGATGAGCAATAACTTACCCTTAAAAGAGAACTGCTGTTGAGAAGCTCAGGAGAGGTATTTCCTTCTCCCACTAAGAACCTTGCTCAAGGAGGGCCCAGATGCAGAAGAGAGGATTTGAGGAGGTGTTGCAGCTCCCTCTTCTGCACAGTTACTAAAGGTGCCTGAGCCCTTTCCTCATTTGCACCAAATCACCCTAGTTCTAGAGGACATTCTCAGTCTGTGTGGGTGTGCCAGAGAGGCCTGCTTGGTTGGGGAGGGGGGACTTGAAAATTGTGGGTAGGAAGGAAGGACTTGTTCTCCTCTTCGCCAGATTTCCCAACCGCCACCAAATGGCCATTTGGGGAAATGCAAAAAAACTCCTACCCGCTATGAGATATTTTGCTTGTTTTGGAAGGAGTGAAATGCTCTCTAGGATAATAATTTTATCTACTCAAAATGTTTAGTATGGATTTATGTGTGCAAGACAAAATACTGCTGGAGAGAAGGATAATTCCTCAGAATTCTGTAGACTTGAGTCCTAGATGATACTGCCATGTCCTTGAGAAGAGCTAAGAGAGCCTTAGTGGCAGCTTGCCACCTCTTCCTGGTGACCTTTGATCTAGTTTGGAGATATTAGAAGCAAGCACCCTGTATCTGCTGTCCTTTTGATATGGCTGACCCCTTGCGGTGGAGCTTTCCACCTCTCTTCTCAAAGGACTGACGCAGATACCCTAGGGGAGCATAGGGCGCAGCAGTGTGCAGCTCCCTCTCTCTAGGGATGGTATATTTTCAATTTTGCATGTACAAAATTTAAGGCATTTACAAGGCTGCAATTCTATGCACGCTTACCTAGAAATGAGCTCCATTACGTAGAGTGGGCCTTATTGTGGAGTAAACATTTGTAGATTTCCCTAAATATGCCAACTAGTACAATTTTATGTGCTAAGTTATAAACGATGCATGGCTTGGGGAAACCCAGCCAGATGGGTGGGGTAGAAATAATAAATTATTATTCTATTATTTGACATTGCTGAAGTTTACTGGTTTAGGGTTGATAATAAAATAAATATTGCATACATTCAAAATTTGCCCTCAAAATCTCAAGCCTGGCAGTGCAAATTGTGGGTTTACCTTAGAACCAGCAGCCTTCAACATATTCAGATCTGGGATCCAGTTTCATCCAGAACGTGCATTGGAGACGGGGAGTCCCACTTCCCACCAGACATATCTCCTTCAGGGATGTGTTCCACAGTTAGGGTGCACCACAGAAAAGACCCTTTCTTTGTATTTCTAAAGATGGAATGCAGAGAACGGTGTGGGGGGCAGTTCTCTTGTTGCTACTCCCGTGAAATCAGGATGCAATTCAGTTGTGGGTCCTAATCTACCAGTTTACGACCAGTGCCCTAGAATAGCTCCTGCTGCAAGGGAAGATCAGAATCCGGGGGGAAAACTGGCTTCCAGTCTTGTTGTCATAGAATGCCTCATATTGCTCAGAACTTTGCAAACCAATGAGCTAGAAAACAAAGCTCATTGTTAGGAGGTGTGAGTCTTAAGCTGTCTTAATAGGTCTGGCAGAATACCTTTGACAAGAGGTATGTCATACCTCCATTCATGTCAGTCAATTTCACCTCTGGATCCTAATAATTCTGTTTTTCTTTTTCCCAGCATAAACTGTCTGACCCCATCAAATCCCCAGGGACTGTGAGTATTTGTTAGCATTTACTACTCTCTTACTTTCTCTAATCTGTTTATATCCAGCCTCCATTGTGTGGGGAACAACAATTGCGAAAAAAAATAAATGGCTGTACAACAGAGGTACCCCATGCTTGGCAGAATACCAAGCATTTTTGTAAACTGGTCATTTATCTGTCTGGCATCTTTGTGCAGCATGTGTGGTACAAAAACTGCTAAGGGTATATGCAGAACAAGGACTGTTTATATCTGGAAAAAAAGTACCGGTATATAAAAGTTTTCAAAAAATAAAAGGGCCTCATTGCAAAAGTTGCCGCCATTTGAATTCTAAGCTTGCTTCCTTGGAAGCAAACCCCTCTGGAGCATATTGAAATTTCCTTTGTGGTGGGCTGGGAACTGTGATTCCAATTCAGATGTGCTCTGGATGTTTGCAATGGAAGCCAGCTGTTAGGCAGCACTGACAGACTGGCTGGCACTCCCTGTGTATTTATTACATTTCTATCCCAGCCTTCCTCCCTGAAGAACCCATAATGTATGGAATCAAGGCACTTAATTGCCCTGAATCTCTGGAGCAGTGCTTGTACCTTGAGGGTGGAAGGTGGGTATAGTGGGGAGACCACCGTTTGGGAACCTAATATAAATTAGCTTAAGGAAATTCACAGAAGGATAACTTCTAGTCCCCTGAAAAGTTTTGATGTAGGGCCAGGGGACCTTCCTGAACGATGTGGTGGGGCAGCGGGGAATTGTGCGAAGGTGGGCAGAGCTTCACATCTGCATCCTGTCAGTCTCCTCATCCCTTCAGGGGGGCTTTTCGCGGTGCATGGATATCAACGGCATAAGGAGAGCATGTGAAACTTCCTGTGAATTTCCTTAGTACAGCAGTTTTTCTTAGGATCCAAGCCACAGTTTTTAAAACAAGGATAAATATGCATGTTACGTTTAAAAAACCAAATAAAAATATCAAGCAGGTTGCCTGTCTAAGCCTTGAAGGAGATGCAGAAGTTGCATCTGAACAAGGATTCAGTTTGTATCAGCCGGACCGTCAATGGGGGCGGGGGCTATCAGGCTCACCTTGTGGGTGAGGAATGTGGTGTGAGCTCTCCTTTATATTATAGAATCATAGAGTTGGAAGGGACCATAAGGGTAATCTAGTCCAACCCCCCTGCAATGCAGGACTCGTTTGCCAGTGTGGTGTAGTGGTTAAGAGCGGTAGACTCGTAATCTGGTGAACCGGGTTCGCGTCTCCGCTCCTCCACATGCAGCTGCTGGATGAAGGGAAGGAAGGGAAGGAGAATGTTAGCTGCTTTGAGACTCCTTCGGGTAGTGATAAAGCGGGATATCAAATCCAAACTCTTCTTCGTTGAACCCACAACTCTGAGATTAAGAGTCTCGTGCTGTGTCTACTGAGCTATCCTAGCTGGATATGTTTGTCTTTATCCTTCTCTTGGTTGTTGCTCCCAGTTAAAAGTATCCTGACAAACGTTAGTCCAGGTACACATGTGTGCATCGACTGGAACACTAAAGATTGCCAGGCTCCCTTGGAAGTGCAAGAGGAGGTGGGTGGCATGGGGCTGCTACCCATGAAGTGTTTGTTGATTGTCAAAATGGTCTTTGCCATTACGTTATGGCGCAATGTAAAGTTGACAAGTGACGAAAGCATTTGCTTTCAGATGGCTGCAGCCAGCAGCATATTTGAGCAGCAGGAGCTTAAGAACTTTTCTGGACACTCTTGTTTTTGCACCTGAGTTGATTGCATTGCAATGGTAGTTTCGGCTGGTTCGGTATCATCCTAGTAAATTAACTCTGTTGAAGGCCATGTGTCCCTGATGTTGCCTTGGTGGAGAATGGAGAGGGGTGTGTGAGTGTGTATGCAAACTAGCCTACTGTGCAGAGGTAGAATTCACATCCATTGCTTTGCAAGCTTTTGCCTCTGGCTGCACCCCTTGCCACGTGGCCCCCTGAAACACACTAAGAAAGAAAGCGGCCCTCAGCTTGAAAAAAGGTTCCACACCATAGTGCTACAGCAGCAACACAACGTAGAGTTCAAAGAAGTTGGAAGCTTCGCTTTGATGTTGCTTGATATTGGCAAGCACAGTTGACAACCATTATCTGAATTGATATACTTTTAATGCACAGCGTTCTTCCCTTTCCCAAGCCTTTAAAAGGGCTCAGTTTTTCAAAGAGCTGTGGGAGTTACCTCCCTACCAATGCAGTGTGTGCAACTCTAAATTGTGTGCCCTTAAAGGAGGCATATCTGTAGAAGTTCTGACCCTGGAAAGGTCCCTGTGTTCCTATCAATTCCTGGCCCTGTTAACCTGCCTTTGTGGTATTCAAGGCATTTAAACTATTCTGAAGACTGAAAGAGCTGTGTGCTTTCATGAGAGTAATTAATTCTGGTTACCACATGATTGTTGTTTCTCATATAGACTCTACGTCGAGAATGGAGAAAATTGTATACAGTATATATGTATATAAATCTTATAACTCATTTAAATCAATCTTGCGTTTTTGTTATTTTAGGTTTCACATATGTGCTCCAGATACCTTTAATCTGTTTCACAACTGACATAAGTATCCTTGCACAAGACTTTGTGGGATCATGAAACCAGTATTATGTTTTTAAGTTGTATGTTGTATACCACTGTGCAATATTTTATACCAAAGTGCGGTTTATAAATATTTAAATAATGCTAAACTACTTTGGGTGACGTTAGATTGTCCTATCTAGATTAATTTTGTCTTGTAAAATTTGACCTGTTGATTTTATAATGCTAAAAACACTCAAAGCAGCAAATTTCAAATATTGGCCAATTTAAATTGGATTAAAATATCTAGCAGGATATTTAACCTGGTGCACTGATGAGATGAGCCAGCAGAACCTTTTACTTCCCTGTGCCATTTTCTAACACATGTGGCAGTTCTTAGGCAGAGCATTCCCAGGGGGGCCAATTGCCTTGAGTTAGACTTTGATCTGACAGAAGGTCATTGTTCTGCTTGAGCCGTAAAAAGATGTCAATTTTTGATTTTGACCCATATGGTTTCTGCTTGAAAGCTTATGGTTTCCCAGAGATGGGCTGTCTGTAGCTTACAAGCTGTGTGAAAGTTCATTAGGGCAGTTTTGTATCCTCTACAATGTAAAAGTCCTGTGAGTTCTTGTTCTCCCACTGTGTATGATTATAAATTGGTAGATCTCATTGTGGCCGAAGAAAGTTTGGAAATGTGGTAGGAAATAATGCCAAAGGATCAGAAGGAATGAATGAAATAAGATGTTATTTCTCTGTGGATTTTTCAGCTCATCTTGATGGCATTGATAACACTTGTGCGTAGGGCTGGGCGATATGCAGTTTTCAACAGTGTGATATATCACCAGCTAAACACCGCAATATATTGATGAATCACAATGTATGAAATAAGGAAGGAGCTATGGGTATTGGCTGGCTTCATGGTTTTTCCTGCATCGTGATTTTTGCCAGCGCCTGCTCTTGTGATTCGCTGCAGAGTTAATAGCAGCTGCAGGAATCGAGAGAAGCATTTGCTAGCTACACTGTTTTCCCCACATTGTGATTTTCACATAATGCACACACACACACACACACACACACACACACTCGTGAAATTGCCAGGTCAAAAATTATGAAACCAATATCACAATATGGACTTCAAAGCGGTTTTGGATGATATGTTGATATATCACCCAGCCTTACTTGTGTGGCAGTCCTAACCCCAACCCCCACAGGGTGGTAGAGCTTACTGCCATATCTGCAGACTTTGCTGACCATGGTGGAAGGTGTGCAGGATGCGGATGTTTGGGTCCGATTCCTATGCCATTTCCAGGCTAGCACAGTGATCAAGCCTGGATCAGGCCTAATACCATCATACAACGGCAGTGAGACCAGATTGGGACCCAACAGATCCCTGGAACCTAGCTCAGCCCTGCCTCTCCCTATCTTTTCTACAGCCTGTTTTGAGACTTTCCTCTGGCGAAGAACCTGCTAGCATGCCACAAGTTGAGAGGGACACTGCTCAGGATGGATTTGATTTAAATCAAATCAATTTAAATCATGATTTAAATCACTAGTCAGTAAGACTTGATTTAAATCTTTCTCTTTTTTTTACAGAAAGACTCATTCTTGCTGCTATATTTACAACCAGATGAAGGTTTCATTTTCGGAATAATAAATTTTCAAAGTAGTTTCTACAGTTGTATCAAGAATTACTGATTTGGTTAAACTACTAGAAATGCATAGACAGATAATTATGAAATTATTGTGAGGTTTAATAAGTTAACTGTTTATATTTGGACAGCTTTTCTGCTGTACTTTGTTGGAAGGAGAAAAATAATAATTTCCTTAATAACAATTTATTTAACTAAAACAATAACTTTATAGTGTATGTATCCATGTTTGTTAACTGATATGGTTAAACAGTTTTAAAAAACCAACTTAGACTGAGCTTTAGCACACCTGAAAAACTTAAAATAGCCTTTGGACTATAATAGACTGTAACTTAAATAGAAAATTATCTTCAGAAATTTTTTTCATCTAAAAGCATTTTTTTAAAAAAACCTTTTTAAATTTAAAAAAAAATCCTTTTTCTTTTTACAAATCATTAATTTTTATCCACCCTGCTTCTGCCCCAGTATGGTGTGAGGGTTTTTTTGGATCACAGTGCTAGTCTGCAATCCTGAAGAGGGGAGGGAGAGAGAGCTGGCTGTTGTTGAAGTGCCACATCCATCGCTCTGCGGGGCTTGTGCTTTCAGGGCAGAAGTATGAGCTCTTGTGGTCCTCTGTCCTTTTCTGTCTGCTCCTTTAATGATTTCCCTCCCATTGGGAACAATGGATGGGAAATCAATGACACCAGCCTCCAGGGATGCTGTGTGTTTTCTTTTGGTTTGGAGGTGGATCAGGCAACGGGGATAGCTGTGCCTTTTCCCCAGGACTCTCCTCGCAGTACCCCCTTTTGGACCTACGTATGTCAGAGCTCTATGGACACCAGACTTCCCTTGCCGTGATTGCTGCCCCATCCACACTTGCAGAACGACCTCTGATGCTTCCTTGCCACAGTTCTCCCCTTGAAGAATGACCTCCAATGTTTGCCATAGCCCCTGGAACACTCTCTTTGGCACTGTAAGCTTGCAGGTTTAATTATTTTCAGGGACAGCTTGGGTTCCACGCTTGTGGGAGAAGTTGCTAACAAGCGTAAGAATCATGTTGTGTTTCTTCCTCGGCTATCCCTTGGCGTTGACGCCATCTTGATTGGACCTTCTCTGGTGATCCTAAAAGTGACTGGGGGGTGGGGTAAATTCTATTGGGAAAACCTTCCAGCTTGCGGGATTTGGCTTATAACCCAGAATCTTTAGCTGGACCCTGAACTTCAGGAAAGAGTTTTGATTGGGGCAGTTGGTGTATTCTGCACTGTAAAAGTTAGCTCCTCTCCTGCAGTGTCGCGACCCAACCATTCTGTGATCCGACCCCCAACAGTGCTGCTCTTAGCTTAAAAAACAAATTGTGGTTGGTCAGACTTCCTGCTGTCTCATCTAGTTTGGCTCTGAAATATGCCATTTAGTTGGTTCACGATTCATTTCCCCTTGGTTGCTGCTGAGTAAACGTTTGACCCTTGCCCGTTTTATTTTTCCTTTTGCAATTCACCATGATATATATTTGTAGCGTTACATGTCAGAGGCTTTTTCAACTGAACTTTGTTTTTCAGAAAAACAACAAACTTTTCTTAAAAACATGAAACCTTCATGTGAGCCAGAAGCATGGCAGCTGCTGTTTCTCAGGTTTCATAAATAGTTGTGCCTTGACATAATTTAAAATCTGTTGAAACAGATGAAGACTGAGGGCAAGGAGGAGTAGGAACCAGGTCTTCATTAATTTCCCTTTGAATTCAGCTATGACTTGTCTCACTTTCTAATACAGAGCAGCGTAAGCTCCTTGGAAAGAGATTACAAATAATATGGTTGGTGCATTAATCTGGGCTTCTTGGTGGATGTTGACAACCTATTTTTAAATCTGACAAACAAGACGGTGGAAAGTAATCTTGTAGCATTCAGCTGTATGAAGATCTAGGGAAGATCTTACTCAGCCCCATCCCATGATTTTTAGTGTCTACACAAAAGTGTCGGAATAGGTTGCCTGGGGATTTGTGATTAGGTGATATCAGTGTACTGAGGACCTTCCTCCTTTATCTTCTGAGCCAGGTGAGGTGGTGTGAAGGGCCTTCAGTGGGAAAGTGGGCTATAAATTTATGAATTATTAAGTAAATAGGATTCTGGTGGTAGTAAGTGATGTAGGAACCAGAGAAGGACATATCTTCCGGCAAGTTGAGAGTAAAGGCTTAAAAGTTAGGCTGAGAATGAGAACTTTAAAATTTTGGGAATGTAGGGGTGGTCCCTCCAGACTTACGTTTTGTTTCAGGTGCCTCCTGAGACATATTCTTGAGTCATGACACAATCATGGTGCATCAGTGGTGGGTTGATTTTTCTTTACCTTGTTGTGCGATCCTTCCCCAATGCCAGCTCATCGTTGCTTTCCGGGAGGATAAAATGCAGCAAAAGGGAGGTGAAAATAAGCCCAAACATTTGTGGTATTCCATATTGTTACGTAAATAATAAATGAATGAATGAATGAAGAATTGTAAATTGAATATAAGGAATGAAATGTGAATTAGAGATAAATATGTAATATCAAACAGCAGTGCGGAAAACTATGGAACGTAACTATGACTAGGAGTGGGAAGTCAACTTTTTGGAAAAATTGTGTTAAATTTGATGTAATTTGGCATTGATTTGTTTTTTAAAAAATGGAAAACAAATATTATTTGGCTAAATAAATAAATAAATAGTTAGTTAGTTAGTTATGAGTTTTCAGCAGGGAGTAGGGGATATGTACTGATTGCAAATGAAGCAGTGTGACCACCAGAAAACTTTTGCAGGGTTGCATAAGCTTAGTTGTACTGTACTGCATATGACCATAGCCTTGCCTGCCAGAGCTAGGGGTCTTTTTATTAAGGGCATCTATCCCCCCTCCTTCCTCTAGCTCTCTCAGTGCAATGAATGGTCAAATTTAGAACTGCAGCAGCCTTCAGTTGTACTGTACTACAAATCCCACACCCATATATGTTTGTCATAGAATCCCAGAACTGTTGAGTTGGAAGAGACCCTGAGGATCATCTAATCCAACCCCCTTTTGCTCAAACCACGACTCTGAGATTAAGAGTCTCATGCTCTGCTGACGGAACTGTCCCAGGGCAAAGCGTTTATTTACTATGTTTACACCCTGGTTTTCTGGTATGATGGAACTCAAGACAGCATTCATAGGGGCTGCCAGGCTGTCTCTTGCCCTGCTTAGCTTTAGCAAAGTTGCTGCATCATGCACCTTGAGAACCTGCCCTGTTCTGAGACCATTCAGAGCTTTGAAGAGAGTTAACTATACTGGACAAGTTATTGGCTTAGTTTGCTTAGAATGTACACATTCCCAAGACTTCCTGGCAGCTGCATGTTTCAGTGGAAGACGGATAGTAGTGCCTGTCTTCTGTTATTGACTGTGCCACTGAGGTACCCCAAAGTTCCTCCAAACACAGCTGGAAAACCACTTTTCTAGGCTGATCAGTCTTTGAACATGCTGTATTTATTATATTTCTTTCATTTTCTCGTGTGATACTGAGATGCAGTGGGAGTAACATAAATGACCAGGCAACTCCCATTTATTTTCAGTGACAGCAGTTTGGTCATGAATGGGCTGCCTGTGAGATGTGCTTGTTGAACTGCGTTCACAGTTTTTTAAAAAAAAAAAATTCTGTGGCAATTAATATGAGCTGGAATCTGCAGCCTGTTCGGCAAATTACGGATCATGTTTGCACAATTTCTTCCTTTTGCAAACTGTTCTGCGATTGCTGCTGTTTTGCACAATTGTCATAGAAGAGGAAAGGATGCTTGAATCTCCCAACCCGAACAAATGTTATTTAGGCCTCTCTGCTCTCAGACTTCAGCATTTATTATTACTCATACAGATGTTGCAGCCTTATGGGCTAGCCTTGTGTCCCTCAAAGCTGAATTCTGTGCTTGTCACATTCTGCTCTTTCCCCCTCTTGTTCAGCCACAGCCCTAGTTTTTCCGCTAGGTAAATCCCTTTAGCTCATCATTGTATAGCTCATCATTGTATTACAGGATATTCCTGTAATCAGCCATATTGACTTTGAAAATGCTGGAGTGAATCAGGGTGCCCATACTTGCTTATTTTGTGCTGCACTGAATTCAGTCTAAGAAGCCACAACAATGGCACATTCTGTTAGTGAGGGACGTGCTGCTTGTAGCGTAGTCACTTTGCACGGCCACGGAGTGTGTGGAAGGTCTGTAGCTATTACAGTGAAAGCAGGCACGACTTCGGGGTCTTAGCACAAAGAACCTTTTAATGCTGTTATGTAAGCACGCACGGTGGTGTCTCTCTCTCTCCCCTTAACGGTGTGATAAAAATGAGAGTGCCTGCTTGTTTCATACAAAAGTGCCGTACTCCTAATTAAATAATGGGTTGTGTTGGGGATTTATTGGAATTATTCTCTCTTCCCTTTTCAAATTTCCATTTTGCATGAATGGCCGCGACAATTTGTGTTGCTTAAGGCTACATTGCGTTTGTTCAGGCAGCCAGAATATTCACTGACCGATCGGGTAGTTATCTCATGAACAGAGCACAACCCCGAGCGCATGACGAGGATTTGATCTGACAGTTTTACTGTCATGCAATGCAAAGAGGTTTTAAAGCAAGAGGAAGGAGAAGCAGCCATCTGGGTGTTGTAGGAGGAATCTGGGCTGTCCTCAGTTGTCAGAAATGATGCAAGATGCTTTCCAGCATACACAGCTGCTTCTCTCTGGCTCATCTGTCTGTCTGTCTGTCTGTCTATCTGTCTATCCATCCATCCATCTATCTATCTATCTGTATCTCTATCTCTATCTGTATCTGTATCTGTATCTGTATCTGTATCTGTATCTGTATCTGTATCTGTATCTGTATCTGTATCTGTATCTCTCTCTATCTCTATCTCTATCTCTATCTCTCCATCTATCATCTATCATCTATCATCCATCCATCCATCTGGCTATCTAGCTATCATCTATCATGGATCATTGTTGGCATCCATCTGTCTCGAGAGACAATGGAAGAATGCACCATTGGGGGTAAAGTCAAATCGTTAGGAGACTTACAGCGCCTGCTGTGGCTGTAGAGGCCAGTACTAAAGAGACTTGTTTTATTGCAGCTGGGGAAGATGAAGGCATCTGGTTTCACTGTTACAGATGCACCATGACATTTCTTCTCTCCTATCAGAGAGAGTGAGAGAGCGCTAATTTTAATATTCTCCATATTTTAAATGCTTATTATGTAACTTCAAAAGAAAGCTAAGCAGTGACAGATACGCATCAATATGGACCATACGTCGGCTTTTGAATCCAGACTTACATTTTTACTTTCATAAGTCCTTGGTATATTTACAAACAGGCATAAAAGTCACAGATTAAATTTGTTAATTGCAGTGAGTTCACTTTTGTAATGGATAGTGTTCAGGACTGGAAAAACCCTATGCCCTGTTTAAAGTAAAGCAGTATCTATTGAGATTATTGATGATAATGACAATGAAACACCTTTCCTAGAAAGGTGTGTGTGTGTTGTCTGGTCAATCTTTTTTGTCTCACCAAATCCTGGAAGCAAAGCCAGTGTATTTGACCTGAGAATTGTGAAAGACTGAAATGAGAGAACTTAACCATTTTTTACACTAGGTATTGGAATGAAATATATGACAGGAATTCATTTGGATTTTCTGGTTCTGTGAAGGAAGCAGAAGCTGAGGAAGAACTATTGACTTGTGTTCCTGAAATGCAAATGCAAACTTCTGGTTCATTACAAGCACACAAATGAAGCACAACATTTTTCTTCTCCTGGAACATTTCCGTAATTGAAAGTGAAGCCAGAGTGCAGCAGTTAAGCAGTTGCTGCTGCTTGTTTTCTGCTTCAGTTCTGCTTTATTCTAAAAATGTCAGGAATGATGATGACCTAGAGGGTTTTTGATGGGGCAGGTGGTTCACATATTTCACTGTTGTGTAAGCCTGATGGAAACTTCCACTGTAACGTGCAGGTTCTTACCCTCTCCCACTTTTTTTATTGGATGTCCTTTAGTTTGGTTGTATACAGTGCAGAGTGATTTTCATTTGCTTCCAGTTCTTCAGCTGCACTGTTCTACTCTAGTGAACTTCAGCCTTGAGCGTTTAGGTTTAGAGTACAGTTTTGAAAATACATGACCGAGTTACACCACTAAAACTGAGCAGGTCTTAACACTGCAAGCAGCCAGACTGTTTGGGCACCATTCCTTTAGCTGCTCTATTCTCTTTGGAAGAAGGGCAGGGTGTTACGAATAAAATGTCTCGAAGCTGTTAATCTGCCTCCCAGGCTTCATACCATCACTAGTTCCTGGTGCTACGTGATGCAAACGATTTCCTCCTTAATCCTACCTTAATTGTCTTTTTATGGAAATGGGCCTACATAGGATTTGGGTCATCCTTGGCAGCCGTGTCATTTTCCTAAATGCAAAGCTGCCATTGTAGTTTCTGCCTTCAGTTGGAGTTGGGAGAAGTAGCTTCTGGTATCCGTCAAAACTTTGTGTGAACCATTTGTCCATAATAAGCGTATACACACACTATGCACTGTAAGCAAGGGCATATGTGCTGCCTAAAAATGTTCTTTGCATAGCTTACATTATCAATGAAATATCAAAATTACAGCTGTACTAGGTGTAGGCACTGTGTTAACCGTAATAACAATTTCCCCTGCTTAAGTGTACCACGTGTGGGAGTGAACTACCAGGAAAACAGGGTATTACAAGTGTTGTCTATGGCGTATCATTTGCAGACTTTTGCTGAGGTTTTATTCCTCCTTTCTTTTGATATAGAAAAATAGGGATGGTTGGCTTTTGCTGCCCGACTCCCCAAGGGACAGAGTCCCCTAAATCCATGATGGGTCAGAGATGAATGGATGGAGGCAGGAGGCAGTGAAAGCAAGGCAGATCTTTTATTTTTCTGTTGCAACTGAGTTCCCACCCCTCCTAGCAAGGAGGCAAGAGAGACCCAGAACCAAGAAGAAACATCCCTTTTAAGGGTTTGCATTTTGGTGTGCAGAAAAAGGACATCCCCTCTACAAAGAGTCAGAAATTACATCTCACATAAGGTGGGGTTACTGTGGCTCAGGTAGGCCAAGGCGTGATGTTCCTGAGGATTTAGCAAGTTTTACATAGTTCCAGACAGTTTACACAAAACACCAGCATTTGATAAGACAACCAGAATGCAGGTCAGATATCCCTCAATGCAGAGCATCTGGGCAAACGATGACAATTAATACAAAGGAGGTTCATAGATCTAGGAGATGAATCCCTTCTGCCTCCATGTTCTCAGGCAAGGGGGATTAAGGAGGCAGAGGAAATACTTAGAGTCTTTTGGATTGCTCTCCTGTACTATTTTAGACATGTGGTTTAGATACTTACATATGTGTGTTTACCTTGTGCAGTTATCAACATTCTATATTTGAGACCTTAGAATTCCTATAACTATTTCATTTTTGGGAGCTGCACAAATTCAGCCAGTTTTGAGAAATGACAAGAGAATTGTTCTGCCAAGCTGTTTCACTTGAGTGGATATAGTAACAGTGAACTGCAAATCTCGTCAGTACATGTGTGAGGATAGCGTTTTTATCCCCCCCCCCCCCAGTATAAAATCATGGAATTGTAGAGTTAGAAGGTACCCTGGGGGTCATCTAATCTAACCCACTGCTAATCAGGAACCTCACAGTGCTTCTCATCAAGGCTTGGAGATTTGAATTTATTAAAAGTAGCTAGGTGTTCCCTTACCACACCTCTTCCTGCCTTGGGCTGCAGCTCCATCCTTGCATCATTTATTCTGTTACCACTAGTTTTAGGCACTGCTTTCCTTTTGGGTGAAGATAGAGGCAAAGTAGGTGTTGAGCAGTTCCACCTTATCTCAGTATGCATCCTTTGAATCTCATTTGCCTTGTGGTTGCCCGTCTGCTCTGTTTGGAGAGGTCCTTATTTGAAGGTTTTTGCCGTTTGCTTGGATTTTCACCATCCTGGATTATTCGGAGTCCTCCACAAATTTGGGCACTTAAAAAGGTAAAGGGTAAAGGGACCCCTGACCATTAGGTCCAGTCGTGGCCGACTCTGGGGTTGCGGCGCTCATCTTGCTTTATTGGCCGAGGGAGCCGGCGTACAGCTTCCGGGTCATGTGGCCAGCATGACTAGCCACTTCTGGCGAACCAGAGCAGCGCACGGAAACGCCGTTTACCTTCCCGCCGGAGCAGTACCTATTTATCTACTTGCACTTTGACGTGCTTTTGAACTGCTAGGTTGGCAGGAGCAGGGACCGAGCAACGGGAGTTCACCCCGTCACAGGGATTCAAACTGCCGACCTTCTGATCGGCAAGTCCTAGGCTCTGTGGTTTAACCCACAGCGCCACCCGCTTACTTTGACTTAATTATGAGGAAATTGAATAACAACAGTCCCAGTGCAGATCCTTGGGAGACTTCGCTTCTTACTTTTCTCCGTTGTGAGGCTGTATTTACTCTTGCTGCCTGGTTGATGGTTAAACAAAAGGAAGCAATCAGTGCACATCCTCTTATCATATTTGTGTTAATTTCATTAGTTTTAATTGCCATGAGCTCCGGATATAAAAATGCAAACAAATCTTCCCTCTGTTGAGTTTACTAGTAAATACAGTGATTAGTGTTAAATACTAATCACTGCTGGTTAGGGACTTCATAAAATGCTTTTTGAAAGCCTAAGTAGCCTGATTGCAGCCAGCATGTTTGTCCATGGTGGAACATGAAGGCACAAGATATTGAAAGGAAAAATAATGTCACAAATAAATTTTTGCAGTTTATATATGTGTGAGTAGGCGTGCTTGTATTTGCTGGACTAGATTGAGATATAATTGAGGTCCTCTCCTAAATTATATAGCCTTAGAGTTGAAATCAAATAAAAGTTGGATTCTTGTGATTTAGTTGTCTGCCTGCAATAGCAATAAAACATGTCCTCTGTTTCAAGGGGATGGCCTTCCCTGTGGACTTACTGGAAAACTACAGTCATGAAGACCTGGAAAGTTCTGGAGAAGATTATATGTCTGATCTCAGGTGTGGGGATCCAGAAAACCCAGAGTTCCTGTCTCTTGCCAGTAATGTCAAAGTAAGATTTGAGAATTAGCTTGGCATCTTGGTGTTTTATATGTCTGTTAACAGTGGACTTTAGTTGTACATTTATAATGGCTTTCAATACTCTGTTACTCAGAGCCTTTTACTCTCCCAGTATTTGTCAGATGGGGTATATATGGCCTGTGTCACAGGCATTGTGTGTTCTGGATCAGCCTTTCCCAGCTTTTGGTCCCCAGATGTTGTTGGACCTCAACTCCTAGCATCCCTGGCCACTGGTCCTGCTGGATCTAGGGATGATGGGATTTATAGTCCAACAACACTTAGGGACCGAAGGTTGGGAAAGGCTGTTTTGGAGGCGCTGAGGGCCCAGTTGTTTGTCTGCCTGTTTGTTTTTTTAAAAAGACCAATGTCATAGGAGAATCAAGGAGATGGACACCCCCATCCATCACTCACAATTTCCAACTTTTTGTTTTGCTTTTCTCTTTGTAATTTAATGCCACAGCTAAATCTTTCATTCTTGGATCCTGGCATGTCCTTGGTAAATTGATATGCAGCAAAGCAGAGGGAGAAACCGTGTCTGGTTCTTTCTTTAAAAAAACCTTTGACGACTGCAGCAGAACAAATGAGTCTATTGTCTCTTCTGTAGCATATTTTAATGTGTGACTGTGCTAACAATTTTACAGCAGAAGAAGAACATGAAAAGATAATAATGTTTTTCTTCTCCTTCCTTCCCCCCACTCCCTAGATCCCAATTCGTCTATCCACAATAGGCTTCGTCCCCCTTTATGGCGGAGAGGAAAGGCACAAAGTCCTTGCTTTGTTTGCGCCAGAGGATTCGCTCACAGGTTTCACTTAAATTTTTGTTTCAGTATTGTAGTATTCTGCTCTGAGTCTTTTTATTTTTACTATGCTTACTTATTTCTTGTCCTTGCTCCTGAATCTCTCTGTAATTGTGCATTTCAGAACCATAATAACTTTAGTTGGTACTGAAGCCAGGGTGTGGAGCAGCTGACTAGGCTGTGTAATGTTTGGTCTGTAGGAAAGACCTGCAACCTGTCCGTCAGTGTTGCCTTGTGGGCACTGATAGATTATACAACCTAAGGAGGTGATCCCAGAGAACATCCCTGGCTGTTGGATGGACTAGTGCTGCTATGCCCCCTTCACTGTTATTTTGGAAGCAGGAGCAGTTTGCCATTACTGAATGGAAGCAAAGAGCCTGAGGTTCAGATGTAACAACGAACCATGGTTGGATGTTACAAGTATGAGCCTTGATGTCATGCGTTCCCTCTCCACCCAAGAACAGAAGAGGTTTAAAGTTTCTGTTCCTGGTTGTTTCAAACCATGGTGTACCTTTTTCACCCAACCCACAGTTTTCCAAGTTCGGACAGAACAGGAAACTGCCCTTAAGAGCAAGCCAAGAAAAGGAGCTTTGAATCTCTTACCCTTGCACACCGAAGCAAAGAGGTAGCAATCTGGCTCGTCCTCATAACCGGCCATGGTTTGTTGTTGCAGCTTGAAGTAGGGCCTGTGTCCATCAACGCTACTGTAAAGGCCAGCTAGCTTCTCTTCTCCCCACACTGCCCCTCCTGCTGAACCCTTTTGGCTAAGGCTTAATAAGTGACGAGGACTGAAACGTAATGTGTTGAACAAGTGTTCACTGTGAATAAAAATAACCCTTAGAGTGCAATCCCAATGCTCCTAATTTGGAGGAGGTCAAGAATTAGGTACATAGGTACCTATCCACCTGCAGAGAGGACTGCTGCTTGAAGGGGAGCTGGACCAGCTGGTAGAAAGCTACTGCTAGCAGTAGCAAGCAAGAAGACTCACAAAGCAACAGGATGAAGATAGAGCTTTGACATCTTTGGATTCCAATCCCTCAGCTACAGCAGCCAGGATCTGGCATTGTCAAAAGGAAGACCCAGCCCCCACTTCTGCTCTGGCTGGCATAAGCCTGTCAGAGCTGATGCAGAAGTTGGCTCGTCACTCCTCCCAAATATATCCTCTATTAAAGTAGCAGTTTGGGACCAGTCTATTTGGAAGATTGACCTACCCCATATATGCAGCCTTGACATCTTTGGTTCGCAGGACGATTACAGATGCGACAGAATACTTGTTCCACACAAGAAATTTATCTTTTTGTGTGACCCCCCATATACACTTAGGAACTCCCAAAGTTGACATCCGGCAGGTGCCTCTTGCTGGAGTCCCGTAGAAAACATCGGCACGCATCCAAAATACATGGGCACGATATAAAGCGTATTAGCAGAGTCAATGAAAGCAAAATTGTGTGGGAATTGTGGCATCAAGTATTTTATTATTTACAACAAAAGAAACATGGCATTTTGTGTGAGCTCCTCACACATCCTCTCTAGCTAGACAGAGAGCAAAGAATGGAAGTTTGTCGGCTTGATTTCTGCTGGCACACAGTGATAAGAAATGAAATCATCCCATCACGTGACCCTCTGCAATAGCGGCAGTGGAAAATACTGACACCTTCACTACACTCATTCTAGCACTTGCTTAGAATATTTTTGGTTAAGCAAGTCTCTCCAGACATACAAAAGTTACATGTGTTTTATGTTTTTGGTTTTTTTAAGCTACGGTTGATTTTAACCAGATTTGAATATTTTAAAATATCTGTTTTAAACTGTTCTTTGGCGACCGTTTTAATTTTTGGAAACTTCTTAGAGATAAATTACAACTAACAGGTGTAGATTAAAAAACAACAACTGTAGTAGCATTGTTATACCTACTTTTATGCAACTTCACACTTACTCAACATAATTAAGACCATCGCCACCATTGTCCTAGCTTCATATTTCTCTTTTCTCATTCAAGCTGTTGCCCTTTTCCTTGCTGATCAGTGGTGGCCTGTTGATGATATTGTGAGAACATCTGATCCTTCCAGAGAAGGACTTTTGCAGGTACGTAAAGCTTTTGTTCTGTTAAGTGTGTGTGTAATCTGAGAAGCCATCTAATCCAAACAGAGATACTGCGTAATGTATTCAGAGTGTCTAATTCATATTTACTTGGAACAGAATTGGTGTGTGTTGCATGCACAGAGATGTGCAGGCAGTGCTTTCTATAATTCTGATTATGTTTTCGGGTTGTGGCGCAAGCGACTTGTATGTGTCGCAGGAAGCTGACTCTTTTTTAAAAAAGCATGTATACACTACAAATTTAAGATGGCTCAGCTGATAAACAGCTTTTTCCTCAGCAAATCCTGGCAGATAATATTTTTGAGTGAGTGGTCAGGCTGCCTCACGTAATCAACAGCCCTCTCCCCGGATCTCCAGGTCCCATAGTCTCATGAAAAAAGTGACAGTAGCTTAACCATGAGCACTGTTTTGCTGGAAAGGTAGGATACAAATTTAACAACTGACAAATAAATTAACACTTTAATGTGGGTCTGCCCTATCATCAGGTGTTCCTCTAATTCCTGGCTTTATGGTGTATGTATTATGTTTATGAAGAATTGATGCTTTTGAATTATGGTGCTGGAGGAGACTCTTGAGAGTCCCATGGACTGCAAGAAGATCAAACGTATCCATTCTTGAGGAAATCAGCCCTGAGTGCTCACTGGAAGGACAGATCGTGAAGCTGAGGCTCCAATACTTTGGCCACCTCATGAGAAGAGAAGACTCCCTGGAAAAGACCCTGATGTTGGGAAAGATGGAGGGCACAAGGAGAAGGGGACGACAGAGGACGAGATGGTTGGACAGTGTTCTCGAAGCTACAAACTGAGTATGACCAAACTGTGGGAGGCAGTGGAAGACAGGAGTGCCTGGCGTGCTCTGGTCCATGGGGTCACGAAGAGTCAGACATGACTAAACGACTAAACAACAACAATTATGTTTGTATTATCTAAAGTATTACAGTTCTCTTGAGTTAGTTTACAAATGAAGATAAAAACAAACGGAATAACGTAGTGTGTCATAACCACAAAACCCAAACATATTTTTAGAAAAAAATTAATCTACCCCTCTTTGCTACCTTGAAAGTAGGGATGTGGATTCAGCAAAATTTAGCCACATGGCCTTTTTGGAACAATATTCTTTTCTTCTTCAATCATAGTCATATTCTTTCTATGTGTTTACTATAGGTGAACTCTATTGGAGAGAGAGTGGTCCTCTATGTGCTAAATAGATTAATTTATCGCAAGCAAGAAATGGAGAAAAATGAATGCCCATTCCTCTGTCATGGTAGCCATGATTATGCGAAAATACTATGGAAGAAAGGAGAGGCAATTGGTTTTTATTCTGTTAAGCTTCCAGGTAAGACTTCCCTTTTAAAATAAAATCACAAAATGCCATTTAATGCAAGGCAGAGAGAAACAAAGTCCATAGTTTTACATTGTTTGAGAACCATGCTTGTAGTCTTCTTGCACTTTTACGTTCAGGGTGATAAGTGGTAATGGCAACGGAGGCCATGCAGAAACTGAAAACCAGAACATTATAAAAGCAGCATAAAATAGAAAGCAGAATTAAAATGGTATCTATGAAGCTTGGGAAAACAATGAGGTCTTTGCCGGACACTGAAAGGACAGTAAAGTTCATTTTAAAACATAACAGTATAAAAAAAATACTTATTTTAACATCTTGCCAATCTAATTCCACAAATAAACCTGCAATGGATGTCCTCAAAACTAATTGCACTTGCTGTATTTGGGGGGCCGAATGGATTATGTTATATAGCCTTGATGTCTGTTGGAAACTTGATACTTGGGCAGATGGGTTTCTAGCCTGCTATAGCTAACCGCATCTTAGGGGAAGGCAGTAAGCAGATGGCAGTCTTTTTGTGTGTTTGTTCCTGTTGATACTTTGACCTTTGTGAACAGAATACACTATTTCAAAGTATATTTGAAGTTTACAGTTGGTCTCAGGGATTTGTAGCCTGTTGTTGTTTTTAAATTGTTCCTCTTGGTGGGTAGGAAAGTGATTGCTATAAAATCATCCAAATAAGTTGGCATGCCCAAGTATGCCCCCTTGCCATCACCTGAGACTAGAAGTAGTGAGGATAAGGTTCTGCAGTAAGTTACTTTCAATACTGTTTGTCCAACCTTGCCACCCCTAATTGCATCCCAGGTTTGTTATGTTAGCCTGGCACTGCCAGAATCAAGAGTAATGGGGTAAGAACAGAAAGGTAAGTTGATACTTGCCAGTGTTAATGTAGGACTAACAGCAATCACAGGGATGCGGGTGGCACTGTGGTCTAAACCATTGGGCCTCTTGGGCTTGCTGATCAGAAGGCTGGCAGTTCGAATCCGCACATTAAGTTGAGCTCCTGTTGCTCTGTCCCGGCTCCTCCCTACCTAGCAGTTTGAAAGCATGCCAGTGCAAGTAGATAAATAGGTACTGCTGTGGCAGGAAAGTAAACGGTGTTTCCCTGCGCTCTGGCTTCCATCATGGTGTCCCGTTGTGCCAGAAGCGGTTTAGTTATGCTGGCCACATGACCTGGAAAGCTGTCTGTGGACAAACGCCAGCTCCTTCGGCCTGAAAGCAAGGTGAGTGCCGCAACCCCATAGTTGCCTTTGACTGGACTTAACCGTCCAGGGGTCCTTTTACTAACATCAATGTTGAAGATATAACTTGAACCCAAAAAAGAAATAAAAAATGTGACTGAGTCTAACATAAGTTGATCTTTGCGAAAAACATGTGTTGGCATTGTCTGGTGTATTAAAACCCTTGGCAATAGAAATTCTGGAATTTAATTAATGCAGGTTTAAGACCCCTGTTCTCTGTCTAATAACATCATGGCCAGTTTGGCATCTCACTTTGCTCAGCTGTATTCCTTTGAATTCCGACGTCGCCTGCAGTTTTCCTCTTCCTGTCTCCCTTGCCCACCTGGGGGCAGTGTATACAGAGAGATGTGTACAACTAATTAGCATGTTGTATCAGGGATAAATCTAGAGGATCTCTGATTCCCACTTTGAGGTATTCTTATTGAACCAGATGTGGTGGGCCCTATTTTTGCATCTCTCTTTACCACTATTAATGCCACTCTTAGATCGCCAAATTGGAAACAGAGCATGGTCATCCCATTACATAAAGGGGACCCACAGATCCGCGTAACTATCGACCCATCAGCCTGCTGGGCATGTCATGCAAGGTTTTACTCTGATTCTTGCTAGAAATTAATCAGTGGGCAGAAGAAACAAAGCTATTCCACTCCAGAACAGGCTGGCTTCCGTAAAGGTCACAGTATCTGTGTCTCTTGTCTCTTGCCTGATTGATAATACCTAAACGGGTTTGGCTACCCAAACTGCCCAGCTTTGTGACCCTGGCCTCCGCTTTTGGCTCCCATTCCCAGGTAATTGTAGAGAAACGTTCTATAACATAGATAAGAGACTCCTCCTTCTTCTTAGCAAATTCATGTGACATATCAGCCAGTAAATTCCCATTTTTATAGAACTCTTTCTGATTCTTTCCTCTGAAATAAAGAGGTCAAACAGGGCTGCCTCTTGGCCCCTTTTCTATTCAATTTCTATATCAACGACATCGTTACAACTATGCAGGCCCTAAATCAATCTGCCCTTAGCAATAGATCCCCATATTTACTCTATACGGACGACATGGTGATACTGTCTTTAACCAAGCAGGGCTTAACAACATATATCAAGATATGACATATTGTGATACCAATTCCCTCAAAATCAATTTGCTTAAAACCAAATTCTTACTTGGCCTTTTGAAAGGCATGGAAGTCATTCATGGACTTTGGGAATTTCTGTGAATATTGCTCAGCTTTCAGAGTATTTGGGAATCCTTTCAGCATGGGCTTAGCTGGTCAGCTCACCTAAATATGACCATCCTACACAAACCTTGTGAACCATCAAAGCCTTGGAGGAAATTCTTCTGTGCAGGCGGCCCAGTTGGCCACCAATCAGAAAGCATTTATTAGCAAATCCTCGATGTTACTGTATGCTGGTTGAAATCTGAAGTGGTAAACACTAGCAGCTGGAGATTCTGCAAAACTCTTTTACCTGAAAGATACTGGAGGTCTCCCAAGGGCTCGGTTGCTGCTCAGTTAAGAACAGAACTGGGCCTCCCTCCACATTGTTGCGGGAGCCCTTAGAATTGTGGTTTTTGTGCAAATTAATCAATGCCCCAGGTTCCCTACTAGCCAGGCAAGCCTTTTTAACTTGTTCTCATAACAAATGGTCCAAGGCCATGGAGACTATTACTGTACGCTACTCCCACTCCCAGAATTCGGCACGTTGTCATCTTGGGACCAACTTAGCATAAAATCCGGGCCTGGATTCTTATAAGAGATGAGGCCATGGACCGGGCTTTGATCACCTCAGCTCGCCTCTCATGTAGCTCCCTAAAGTGAAAAGTGGTAAGATCCTTGCCAACTTCTTGATATAGACCTGACGGGCCCAATTTGAGAAGAGCGTTTGTGTGATTTCATTCTGACCTTCCTGGGGACCTACTCTAAGACCCTGTCTACAAAGCGTCTATGTCCATGCACAACCGAATAGTGAGACTTCCTGCATTTCTTTTTCTACTGCCCTATTTATGACCCCAGCCAGAGACTAAAGCTCCCTCCACTCTTGGTCCGTCCTCCCATTTCATCTAAGGAGAGAGACTGTCTGAAAGCACTTCTTACTGGACATAAATCCCCAAATTTCCGTGGGGTGCTTAGTCTTGCAGTGCAGGCTCTGAAACTCAGGGCTTCTCTGACAGGGTAGTGTGCCTAGTCCTGGACCTGTTTAATTCTTTTATTACCTTTTAACTCAGTAATGCTGAGCTCATGCAGGGCCATTTTATGCTTTATTTATGTATCCATGCTGGTTTTGCTGTTTTACAGCAGCCGTCTGTGTCTTGGGTGTTTTAAATGTATATTCGCCAGCAATATCGCTTTGAATTTTGCTTGGTTGCTTGTCCCCAACATTTTTTGTATTGTCTTATTTTGCTATGGCTGTATGCTAATGCAATTAAATTAAATTATTATTATTATAATGAGCTGATCAAAGTAGAAGTTATATGCCTGGGCAGCAGTGAAGATTTTTCTGTTTTGCGGGGTGGGGTTTAGAGAAGAAGGTGCAAAAAGAAAATAGAACATTTTTGAGGTGCATAACCAAAAATATACCGTAAGTTGCTAAGTTCATAAGCTGTCCAGATAATGATTTTGGGGTTGTTACAGAAATGCATGCAGGGCAGAGAGAAAAGGATTGCTTAGTTGTCTTTGAAGAACACCTTGGGTACAGCAACAGAATGAATGCCAATCAGAGCTGCTGTTATGATTGCAGGAAGCATATGTGGTGCCTTTCTGACCCAGAGCTACCAGCTTCCGGTCCTTGATACAATGTTTGTGAGGAAGAAACATCGAGGGAAAGATTATGGGCTCCTGATGCTGGAAGATTTTGTGGATTCTTTCACAGAAGATGCTCTTGGCCTGCGGTTCCCACTCACGTCTTTTATGCTTGTTGGTAAGCCCTTCTGTTAGTCTCATTGCATCAAACCATTCTGATATGGATAATGTATTTTTTTAGTTTCTAGGGTTCTGCCTAAAGGGCCATCCAATTATATCCAAACAGAGACAGAAAGCTCCTTGATCTCAGGAACCACAGTGCCAAATTGGGCAACGGTATCTTCAGAGGTGTCCAAATCAGCACTGTTTGAAATGGTTCCGACCAGCATTTTGATTCAAAATGGTGTCAGAAGGTTTCTGAACATAGGAAGAAGAAGAGGAGTTTGGATTTGATATCCTGCTTTATCACTACCCTAAGGAGTCTCAAAGCAGCTAACATTCTCCTTTCCCTTCCTCCCCCAAAACAAACACTCTGTGAGGTGAGTGGGGCTGAGAGACTTCAGAGAAGTGTGACTAGCCCAAGGTCACCCAGCAGCTGCATGTGGAGGAGCGGAGACGCGAACCCGGTTCCCCAGATTACGAGTCTATCGCTCTTAACCACTACACCACACTGGCTCTCTAGGACAAAACCTGTGCCTCCCATCTTGGGAACAGTCATGCCAAACTGGCTGACTATATCGTCAGAGGCATCCCAATTGGCACGGTTTGGAACTGTGTGTTCTGCCCAAGGGACCTGGGCCCCTTAGAGTTGGTGCCTGTGGTGGGAAGAAAGCAGGAAGTACACAGACAAGGAAGAAGAGAGAAAAGCCCAAGATACAGCAGTTCTCTTAGACAAATGAAATATATTCTGTATCATGATTGGAAAGCCTGTGGCTCTCCAGGTGATGTTGAATTCCCAGCTTCCATCAGCCCAACCAGCATGGCTAGTCCTGCAACAACAGGAAGGCCACAAGTTCTCCATCCTTGTACTGAATGTTCCCTCCCTCCCTTGAACCAGCTACAGCCATCAAACACCCCATTTCCTTCTGCAGTCATCACTGTGAGTGGCTAGTTTGGGAGATTTGTATGTTTTTGTTTTGCTTGACCTGTGGAAATACTGAATGGGAATGTTGGTTTTGGTCCTCATATAATTTCTCTGTTCATAACTTTGAAGCAGCGTAGGAATCAAGTACATCAAAATCGGGCACACGCCTCAAAACGGTATCTGCACACAACTTGGGGAGCTGCTAGGAAGATAGGTTTTTACATAGATGTTTCATACCTCAGTTACTGGATCGGATCTTTTGCATTCCTGTTGGTTTTACTTGAATTAGTCTTGGCTGTATCCTTTTGCATACTTCAAAGACCTGACCAGGCAATTAAGATAAGACATGCAGTCTGCCACGAAGAGCTGTTCTGAAAGTTTAGGGTCTGAAATCCCTTGGGTGTGGCAATAGAAGAGAAAGAACTGCAGATATGCTTACTGCTCCCCTGGGTTAGGTTCCCAAAAGTTATTTAAACTGGTGGCATTTCATAGATGCTGAAGCTCCTGTTACTTTAGCATTGCTTTCAGTTACCATATTGGCCTGAATATAAGCCACACCCAAATATAAGGCACACCTTTAAAATGGGAGGGAGGAAAAGAAAAAATACCCTAATATAAGCTCCTGCCTTCCCCCTGCTCCTGGCTGCATACTGGGGGTACTGCATACCCTTCGTTGCCTTTCCCCTTCCTTGCTCTCTCCCTTCCCAGCCTTGTGGGGAGAGGTCGGGGACGACGACTATATTCGTAAGGTCACGAATATAAGCCGCACTTTAACTTTTCACGGTTGGAATTTGGGGGGAAAGTGAAGCTTATATTCAGGCCAATACAGTATACAGTGGTACCTCGGGTTAAGAACTTAATTCGTTCTGGAGGTCTGTTCTTAACCTGAAACTGTTCTTAACCTGAGGTACCACTTTAGCTAATGGGGTCTCACCCTGCCGCCATGCTGCTGCCGCACGATTTCTGTTCTCATCCTGAAGCAAAGTTCTTAACCCGAGGTACTATTTCTGGGTTAGCGGAGTCTGTAACCTGAAGCGTCTGTTACAGGTTACAGACGTTAAGAACTTTGCTTCAGGATGAGAACAGAAATTGCGTGACGGCAGTGGGAGGCCCCATTAACTAAAGTGTTACCTCAGGTTAAGAACAGTTTCAGGTTAAGAACGGCCCTCCAGAACGAATTAAGTTCTTAACCCAAGGTACCACTGTATTGCTTGGGAATTCTAAAAGGCAAACAAGAATCTGCAGTTTTGAAATTGGTGGTTAAAATCAGTAGTTTTGAAAGGTTCCATTCCACCTTGTTTCAAAATGACATCCAGTTGTATCCAAACATAGATGAAAACCTGCTCCTTGATACCAGGAACTATCATGCAAAATTGGGTTAAAATCAGTGTAGTTTTGAAAGGTTCAGTCCACCATCTTGATTCTGCATAGCATCCAGTTTTATCCAATCCTAGTGAGAAACCAACTCCTTGAGACCAGGTACTGTCATGCAAAGTTTAGTTACGATATGTTAAGAGATATGCAAATGTATAGTGAACAAACAACTTTCCAAAACATTCATTAGTTAAAAGGTGCCTTCTTAGCTGTTCATGAAAGCAAATAACACAGATGATTTACCGATATAGGCTGCTCAATGCTTATTGGAAAACTAATTGTGCTTATTTACACGAGACAGCTGGTGTGGTGTTGCAAATAGTAAAGAATATTTTTTTTCTCCAAAAAAAATTCAAAATATTCTTATGTAGGGCAATTATCCTGTCTGTGACTGAGCTGACTCTCTGTAACACTTCCTTGGAGAAGTCTTTAAAATAAGCTTGTCATCATGTTGAGGAGGGAAAGTATTTTGTAAAGTATTATGCAAGTACTGAACCCATTTTATTAATATTTTTCCCAGCTTGCCAGAAGTACTTTGAACGGTATCCAGGGGATCATGACCTTCTGTGGGAAATTGAAGGCACTGGCAACTTTCACCAGCGGAAAACTGTAGCTAGCATTTTGCAGAGAGAAAGTTTCAAATGCATAGGTATGATGGCATGGTGTAAGCATGGCTGGGGGAGCGGAGGGGATGTGGTGCTGAAAAATACACGGTTGCTGATGTGGACCTTGGAGAGAGGCTGTTTTAAATTGGCGTTTGCATATTCTTTTTCTGAATTTTTCCAAGAACAGAAGGCTCACAGAAAGAAAACATTGGTTCCCAGGCTGATGAAAGTTTTCTGCAGACTGCCATGAATACCACAAGTGAGCAGGCATCTGAGCCCAGGGAAACACAGTTAAGTGTAGGTACACAAACTGTTTTCTCTGTTTTAGTTTGGAACTTGTGTGTCCCCTTTATTTTTAACTTCTGAGCAGTTTTATTGAAGTGGGAAGAAACATCAGGGAACACTAAAAAGCAAGTTTGCTTCGGGTTGGGTGCTCTGCCCCTCCTCCCAAATTTACTTCAATTACATATAGTGATATTCTTCTATAATTAAAAATTAATGTTTGGAAAGGATATGTGAAGTGCTTCCACTGTTCTTAGAGGTAACAGGTGCTGCATGTGTAAGCGTGTGACAGGCTTTTTACATTTTTGCCCCCTCATAAACCATCGTCGTGCATGTGATGTTGTTCAGCAACATGTGTATGTTTAAAGCCTTTTACCTAGCCAGTCAGTTTAAGGATTACTTTGTTCTGTTTTTAATGGTTCTATGTTTGGTTGTGTATAACAAAACACAGAACCGTTAAAAACAGAAAAAAGTAATCCTTAAACTGACTGGCTAGGTAAAAGACTTTAAACTTACACATAGACATACAGTCGTACCTCGGAAGTCAGATGGAATCCTTTCTGGAAGTCCGTTTGATTTCCAGAATGTTTGGAAATCAAGGTGCGGCTTCCGATTGGCTGCAGGAAGCTCCTGCAGCCAATCGGAAGCTGTGGAAGCCGTGCTGGACGTTCGACTTCCAAAGAACACTCACTTCTGGGTTTGCAGTGGTCGGGAGTCAAAGCGTACAAGTGCCAAGGCGTTCAGCTTCCAAGGTACGACTGTACATACATACATACATAACTTGATTTGTATATCGTCTTCTCATAGTTCAAACCATGCTCGAGGCAGCTTACAACATGGAAAAAATACATAATTTCAAACATAACAAGAGTAGTCATAAACTAAAACATCAGAAAGTACACAACCCAATTAAACAATTTCCATGTACATCATAATAAGATCGAAAACAAAGATACAAAAAATAAACATCAATAATAGCAACAACTTCCCCTCAACAATTCCCCAGCCCAAGAGTCTGTAGAGGGCTCTTGCCCCAAGGTGCAATCTGACCTATCCAGATGGCACATACTTAGTCAAAACCACCTAAAGGTGCTGCTAGACAAGCAACGCTTCACAAAGAACAAGGGCTTATGGTCTAAAATAGACCTAGAGAAAGGGGGAAAATGGAGGGATGGGAACGTATGAGAAAGAATGGGATTATATAAATTACACATACTTCAGCTTAATTACGTTATAAGATATAGGGACTGGGGGGGTGAGGGAGCAGCAGTTTCTAAAGGATCAGGAAAAGAAATACGGGGCGAGGGATGTGGAAGTGGAACAATGAACAGAAATGAGATTAGGATAGAGACTGAGAAAAAGGGGGCTTGTGGGTGCCATGAAGTTTGCCAAAAAGTGTCTCTGGCAGAACCCAGAGTTCAAGCAGTCCTGGCACACACAGACTCTTCAGGGACCTTTGGCTCTTGCCACAGAGCAGCCACCTGGGCAGAGGTGAATTGGGTGAAGGCTTTGCCTTAGGTAGGTGGTGGAGGGGAAACTTTGACTCCCTTTCATAAGCTTGCCTGTGAAAAGAAGGAAGCAGCTGGCACAGCTTGCGCTTTTCAGGGTGGTACACATGAAAAGGGTAAGATAATACCTCTCGTGTATCCTAAGTATTTCACGCAGACAACAAAGGGAATTAAATTAACTTTTGTCAAAATCCAGATGGTGTGTATAATTGAATAATAATACGAATGCAAGAAATTGTGCCAATAATGTCATAAGGATCTTCAGTAGTGTGTCATTTATTTATTTTTAAGTTTGTTGTTTCTCTCTTCCAGGCTGATGCTCATAAAAACAAAGATGGCTTAGAAGTATTTGAAGGCACATCTGAAGGTAAAATAAGTCTAGCTTGCATGATTTCTGTTAGAACTTTCTTGCAGTCCACAATATGCTCCATCACCACCTAAGCTTTGTGTTCTTCACTTTTAACTAATGCCTACCAAAGAGAGATTTCTTTTTTAAGAAGTCAAAAACCATGCATGGAAAAAATTGGCACATTTTAACTTACTTTAATGGAGCCCTGGGTGGTGGGGGAGGAGGGAAATTAAGTAAAGCGCTTAGTAACTTGTGTATTCCTAAAAAAATTTTAATCGTATAAAGCACAAAATGCAAATGAGTTGAGTACAACCCAAATAAGAACCAAGATTCAGAATACTTAATTAAATTGCTCAATAGTAAATAGAGTAGTTTGTGATCCAGAAAATAAAAAATATGAACTAATTCCAAAACATTTCTACTTAATCTGGAATATCTGTTATGAGTGCACATCTTGATTGTTTTTCAGGTTCCAAAAAGTTGTTACAAAATTGTTCCAATTATAACACAAATCCTTAGTTTCCTAATACACTCCCAATCGCCTCTGACCCTCACTAAATGAATGAGTTTAGCCAGGTAGAGGATTTGCCAAATAGGCTCCAATCAGCCCTCTACTTTAGGCCATTTACTTGATTCCACTTGCCGCGCCTTGAACTCACTGCTGTCAAAACAATACGTAAAAATGCAGGTTTATTTCAAAGATAAAATGACCTGGGAATAACTCCCATAGAACTCAATGGAGTTTGCTTCTTAGTGCATGGTACATTCATAGGAGTGCAGTGTGGAACTTGCACAGTCATGGGAATAAGAAAGTTCACCCTCTTTGAATTTTGTGGTTTACATATGAAGACTTAATAACAATCTTCTGTTCCTTAGCAGGTCTTCAAACTGGGTAAATACAACCTCAGGTGAACAACAGCACATAACATATTACACCGTCTCATGATTTATTTAACAGAAGTAAAGCCAAAATGGAGAAACTATAAGTACACCCTTACTGCTTCCATAGGAATTAAGGGGCTAAGCAGCAGATAGGTGCTGCTGATCAAATGCCCTTCTTAATTGATCATCAGCAAGTCTGTCCTTACACAGAGTAAAGGTATTCTTAATTTGAAGAATACTCAGATGATAGTGTTACCGGTCTATTGCATTTGCTTTGGAGAATGGGCAGTTCTTTATGGTGCTTCCCTCTGAACCTGCAAAGGCATATGTAAAATTTTTGTTCCTGCGGATGTCACTGAAGGAGGAGCCACTGCCAGCACCAAAAAGTAAAAAGCATAAGAAAATATGCTTCAAATTCCTAGGAACCAGCACTTGATTTTTTAGATGGCTACACAAAACTGTAAAATACTTGATTTCTAGCAACAGCAGCACAAGGGTAGCGCAGGCTGGGTTTCTAGGCATGTTCAAGCTTTGTGACATTATTTACCTGTATTCAGATCTGAGTGTGTGGGGTTTTCCTTCCCCTCAGAACTTAATGCTGCTCAGCTTTCTACACGATCGCGAGGCAATAATCTCAAACGTCCAAAGTTGGGGAAAAGGTTCCAAGAGCCTGAAATGGCTGAAGATGAAGATATAAGTGTTTTTCAAACACCAGAAAGCAGGTATACTTATGCGTGTGTGTGTGTGTTGTATAAGAAATGTAACGTCTCTGTTGTACTGAATTGTACAAAGGAATAGATAATATACTTGGGTAGTTGTAGATGGATTGAAATCTTGGTATGTGATTGCTGTTATTATTATTATTATTATTATTATTATTATTATTATTTCTACTACTACTCATACTATTTATTCAGCTGAATATTTCAACAATTTAAAATACAGTATTAAAAACAGTTTAAAATGAAGGAAAATTGTTGGAAGGAAAGGCTTGTTAATGTTTATTTTTTATTCCTCATCATCAACCTATCAGAACTAAAAGAGACTCTGCATGCCAGATAAAGTTTTTAACCCTGATTTTTCACCCATCTATGATTTTGACAATGTAATCCTAAACATGACTGCTTGAAATTACGTCTCGTTGCGGTCAATAGGAATGGAGCCTTTACCCAATTTAGTGTGTATAGGGTTGTAGCCTCACTGAGCAAGGTCTGCTTGCTGGAGGGAGTTAGGATTGTGTTGAGGTGTTTTCCAGTGGAGAAGAGCAGTAGAAAAGAGCTCATTTAGCAAGGTGGGAAACTCCACTGTGGAAGCCGTTATTTCACCTGCAGAAAGCTCCACATGCTTGGCCTACCACCATTGGTGTTATGCCCCAAAAACAGGTGTTTCGGGGGGCAGTATAGGAGAGAGGCAGCCTTGGATCTGCTGGATCCATTTCCCTTTCATTCTCTGAAGAAGCCACGGGATCAGGCTCCTTCATCCATGGCTGGTGTTGGCATCAATAATTTCTGCTCATAGGAACAAATGCAGTAAATTGATTTCTATAAAGCGTCATTTGAAATGAAATACTTCCTTGATTTTTAAAAATGTTTCGTTAGATGAAGTTACTGGTTGGGTTTGTCTGTATGTCACACTGTTTTATTATCCGCTGCCTAATTTCATCTGCGTCCCTCACACTAAAAGTGTGCATTTCAATATTACATATACCTTGAGTATTTCACATTCAATGTTCTTGTTGCTGCACAGACCAGAACCTGATGCACGTGTATCTGAAAGTTCGGAAGAGGTGATGGAGATGGAAGAAAATGTGGTTGAAAGTGAGCAGGAGGTGTTAGTTGAAAACCAGAAACAACCAGCCCAAGAAGCGCCACAGATGTGTCCTGCATCTGAGAAGCAAGAGGATAAAGAGGTGTGATTTGAATATATTAAGAACAATTTGTCTGTTTGAGGCACTAACAACCCTTTTTCTGCCAAGTATGACAGACGAGGAAGCCATGGGCTTCTGCCTGCTATTGCCTTCTCTGCTTGGACAGAAGACTTTGTATGCACTGATATAAGCATCTAGAAAAATCTAGGGTACATATGACCCCCTCATGGTGTCAAGTTTATATATTAATCTAAACTCTGGAAAGGATGTGTAAGGTAGCTTTACTTGGAAGGGACGCGGGTGGCGTTGTGGGTTAAACCACAGAGACTAGGACTTGCCGATCAGAAGGTTGGCGGTTCGAATCCCCACGACGGGGGGAGCTCCCGTTGCTTGGTCCCTGCTCCTGCCAACCTAGCAGTTCGAAAGCACGTCAAAGTGCAAGTAGATAAACAGGTACCGCTCCGGCAGGAAGGTAAACAGCGTTTCCGTGTGCTGCTCTGGTTCGCCAGAAGCGGCTTAGTCATGCTGGCCACATGTACGCCGGCTCCCTTGGCCAATAAAGCGAGATGAGCGCCGCAACCCCAGAGTTGGCTACGACTGGACCTAATGGTCAAGGGTCCCTTTACCTTTACCTAGCTTTACTTGTAACAAGTGGAAAAGGAGTTGACTGAATAATGTGTGCATCCAACCAGGAAGCAATATTTTTTTCTTTTGTTGTTTTCTATGCTTTTTATAATTTGAGACTCTTGTCACTGATGTATTGAATTCTGTTGTTAACGTTACATGATAAAAGTGGCTTTGCACCATTTTAATGTGTACATGCCATTTTATAGGAAATGGAAGTGGAGCCACTCAATGGAGAGCTCGTGGAAGATGCTATCAAGGTCTCAATAGTGGCTGAAGGACAAACAGGAAGTGAAGCGGTGGATGGAGAGTCAAAGCTGCAGTTGGAAAATCCAGAGGAAACAACCCTAACCTTACTTGTCCCATTAATCCTTGATTCGTCAGTAAAATCCACTGAAGACAGTGATGACAACGTTTCTGATAAGGTGAGGGGAAATATATAAGCGATGCTTAAGAGTTTCTTCTCAGCCATGTTGGTACAATCATTGGCAATATTATAAAAAAATTAATAATAATTAAATCCAGCCCATTGGAATGTAGCATGCCGTACAAGGGAAGCTTTTAATGTTTAACAGACTACTGTATTTTAATACTTTGTTGGAAGGTGCCCAGAGTGGCTGGGGAAACCCAGCCAGATGGGCGGGGTATAAATAAATTATTATTATTATTATTATTATTATTATTATTATTATTATTATTACAAAGTTAAGAATCTCATCTGTGGCCCTCAGAATATTGTCAAAAAGTTTCCTCGACTTTGACTTAAAATGGCTAACAAGAGTTTGTTTTTCTCCATTAGGTTGACAGTGTGGCAGATGCAGAACTTCCACCCGAAGAGGAACAACAAGCAACGCAAAGGAAAAGGACCCTTGTTCTAAATGCAGATCCCGTTGCTGCAGCCGAGAAGGAAGAACCCTCCAACAACGGCCTTTCGAACTCTGTAGCAACCACTGAGGCTCTGGAAGATACCATTTCTGAGAATGTGTCTCCTAACACAACTTCCTCTGTGGAGGAACAGAGTGAAGAAGGAGGCTCTGACACTCCAGAGGCCCCCGTTGTTCTAGGCCAGGGCGCTTTAATGATGGTTGAACTGGAGGATATCTCGTACTCGCATCACCCAGAAGGGCAAAAGAACCAACTGGATGAACAGTCTGAAGAGTCAGCTGAACCCGCCTCTGAGAAAGCCGCAGACAGCAGTTCAGAGGATGTGGAAATCGAAGTGCCCGTAGTGGATAGGCGGACCTTAAGAAGGAAGGCCAAAGGATACAAAGGACCACCCAAGAAAAAAGGAAAGCTCATTTGAAAAGGGAAGAGGAGCATTGTTTCCACCCAGCTGGATCACTTTCCGTATTTTTCTTAAAAAACAAAACAAAAAACAAAACAAAAACAAAATATGAAACTACATGGAACACCAGAACACACGTGTATTCAAACACTGAAATCACTCTGCATTTCCCGGTTCAGTTATTCGTTTTGTGTGTTTAACCACTATATGAGGAGAACAAATTTGGAGGTAAACGGTTAGTCTTTTAAAAAAATAGTAGGACCTATTTTAGCCCAGTTTCTTTAGCCACAAAAAAAAAAGCTTTTCATCAGGCCACAGTAGAGTTGTGGAGAGGCCAAACAAATTACACAACAAATTGTAAATTACCAAGCCTTCTGATGCGGCTTTTGATTCGTAAGCCATTATTTACAACAGCTGTTCCCCTAGAAGTAAGTAAGTGCCACCTATTTGTCCTGTATGTTCTTATTATGTGTACTTCTCCGGTTCTAGCTTAGAGAACATGCTGTGAATCTGCCCCTTGTGGTGTGGAAGTAGACACACCCTGGTAACTCCAGAGTTACCGTAACTTTCATCGGCTTTATCGGGAACAGAAGCTATGACTAGTTATTTTTCAAGCCTGGAGCATTAATTTGTAGCGAATTAAAATCCTGTTTTAACACAGTGCAAAATATCTGACATTATTTCTGCTTAGTTGTGAGCATTGTTCCCTGTTGCATCTTTGGCTCTTCACGGATGCTATATCCACTTCCATTAAGTCAAGCGTCAGCCGCTCCCAACTATGAATCAGCTAATCCTGAATTCTGTTTTATATTGGGAGTCTTCTTGTTATTTCACATTGTGAATAAAGCAGATTGTTTTAACTAACAAAGCTTCTAAAATAACAGATGGAAACTGAAGAGTAATTAAGAGTTAACGGTAAGATAAGAACCTCAGATTTGTACGGTTACACCTTTTTATAAGTAGCGGCAATTGGTAAGGTTCGTAAAAAAATGTTACGTTTTAAATTTGAAGCAATTTCTTTTTTAGTGTTTATTAATAAAAAGGTTCACTTGAATAGCGTGGAAAGATTTTGATTTCAATGTGCTGAGGATTGGTCTGTTTTGACTTTCTGATTGTACAGAATTTCTGGCTATTTTCTAATAGCTCAGTTGACTGGTAGGGCTTTTTTATTTTTAAAAAACCTTTTTTTCCTTGTCTTGACAAAAGTGCTGGGTTGTTTTTTTTTTAAAGCATGTCATGAGCAGGTTTGGGACATGCATAGAATTGCCAAGTTGAGTGGGTTTTTCAGGGCGTTCTTTTTTCTACCAATGTACATTCTGTATTGTGGATTAGGAGTGTATGTGCAGAAATATTAGTTGTTGTTTATAAACAATATATTCAAGTGAACCTTCAGCATTTTTAATGTTTGATTAAATACTTTCTTACAAAGCACATTAAAAACCGTTTAAGGCTTGTCTCTTGTAATACTAAGAGCTTTTTTTGTAAAATACAACACCTTGACAATTTAAGAATTGTCTGCAGCTTTTGCCACGTCACTAGGACTGGAGTTTTTGAGGGTGATGATGGGCTGGGTTTAGAACCTTGTGTACAGAGTTTTAACAAATATAGGATATGATTGTTAGGTGTGTTGGGCTAAGCATTATTAAAGTAAACATTTTGCGGGACTTTACATTTCTTGCTCTGTAAATCAAAGCTGCGTTTTGTGAGGTGACTCGAGTCTGTATCCCTGTCATGGCTTCTGGATTACAGTGATGACAGTTTTTAAGTGTGCTTTTAAATCGGTGTGTTTTCTCCCCCAAATCAGACATTGGTCCTTCTGCATTTAAAGCTATGGAACTTTGCTGGTGGAGTCAAATTTTTGTCTTCATTCTGCAACTTCAACTGGTCTTTGGTGGCATCTTATTGCAAATGTATATTTCTTCAGTTAGAGCTCAGCTTCTCCACACTACTTGGGTGTGTTTTAAGGTACCATAATATTCATGGAAGTGGGCCCAGGAGCAGTTGCTTTGTGCATAAACCGGAGTAGCAAGTTTTTTTCTTTTTATGCAAACATAGGAAAGGCTTGCCCACCTGCCATAGCCTATCAGGACTCATTGTTAAAACCGTGTCTATGGAAGACAATCTTACTCGGCTATGAGTGATCGCCGAAGAAGAAAGAAGAAGAAGAGCCTATCATATGTTAATTAGCCGTGAGTGATACTTGTTTGCATGCATTTGGCCAAGATACGTATATCTCAAACCATGCTTTGTTGGTAAACTAAACATAAAAGTCAGCCTTTGTGAACCTGTTGGCCTCCATATGTTTTGGATGACAACACCATTGGTCCCAGCTGGCTGTGGCAAATGGGAGTTGCCTTCCAAAACATCTGGAAGACACCAGGATCTCAGAAGTTGTGAAGACCCTCTATGGATAATGTGTACCCTGCAGTTACAGCTTCTCCTTCTTGCAGAGCCACATCTGGATGGTCTCACTCTAGTAAGCACCACAACTAGATATTTGTTCCTTTTCACCAGCTTGTATTTTTAAAAATGTACCTATTGCTACAGAGTACATCAGATTACCAGAACTATGCTGAAAGGATCAGTTAAGAACAGGTCTGTAAAGTTGAAAGAAGGCTATGTGACTGAAAGTTTATGCAACACTGAAGAACAAGTGCTTGAAGTTTATTTACTTGTTCAGCACTGAAGTTTTGTAGACAACCATAGAAGACTTATGACTCCTTGAAAGGAAGAAAAGGACCAATTCTTCACTGTAGTTCAGAGCAAATGTGACTATAAAACATGTGGACCATTGCATACAATTCAAACTCAGTATTAATCACTTTTTAAGTTGTAGGAGCTGGCCTAAAGAATGTTAGTGTGTGGACTCAACTTTGTTTTTAGCTGTGCAGTTCTGCTGGATCTCACTACTACATGTTTGAATGTCTTACTGTTTCTCCTAATGTCTGAAATGTGCTTTACATCCCATGCTCACTTCACCATTTTCAGAAGGTTTTATTTCATGCAGAACTGCTTTGCTTCTGAATCTGTTGCATGAAATAATGTAGGACCTCATCTTGTGTTAGGAATAAAATGTTTTGCCCTTTTAGCTCAACATAAGCTTTTTTGCTGTTTCTTTGTTTCTCAGTGCTGCTATCTCGGTACGCAAACAAAAGCAATACAGTGGTACCTCGGGTTACAAACACTTGGGGTTACATACTCTGCTAACCCAGTAGTAGTACCTCGGGTTAAGAACTTTACCTCAGATGAGAACAGAAATCATGCGGCGGCAGCAGTGAGAGGCCTCATTAGCTAAAGTGGTACCTCAGGTTAAGAACGGACCTCCAGAACGAATTAAGTTCGTAACCACAGGTACCACTGTACATAGTTCAGGTTTCAGCTCCTTGTTTTCAGTACTGTTTCAGAATTCAGTCTTCAGTTTAAGGGAATCGTCACAAACTTGGCATTAATTGTTGTTCGTCAATCTCTTCATGTGATGCTGTTGTACAGTAGTGTTATTTGGTGTCTTTCAGTTTGACCCTTCTTAGTATATATTGTTTGTGTTTCAGCAGTAATTAAAATTGTTTTGTAATTTTCTCATTGATTTCAGCGGCTTGAGGTCTTCTCTCTTCTAAACGTTAATGTGCTTTTTATTCTCACCTATGTAATATATACCCCCCCCAAATAGCTAATACAATGGTAGTCTCAGAAAGCCAGGGTTTCCCAAACTTGGGTCTCCAGCTGTTTTTGGTCTACAATTTGCATCATCCCCGACTGCTGGTCCTGCTAGCTAGGGATGGTGGGAGTTGTAGCCCAAACGCAGCTGGAGATCCAAGTTTGGGAAACCCTGCAGTAAGCTAACAGGATGCCCTTCAGATGGTTGGACACCCATCAGCCATAGCCGGCATGACTGACAGCTGCTGGGTACCATATTGAGTGCTCATCCAGGAGGCAGTAGCTGCTGCCTGTTGAAAATTGTAGACTGGCACTGTTTGTGCTAGTCTACATCATGGCGTCTACATCATGTTAAACATTGGATCAAATAACCTGTGCTGAATGGAAACAGTTCTAATGAATCCCAAGTAGGGCTGCATATGATTTCTGCCAATACCTTGTGATAAGTTCATTGATATGAGAAAAAGGACATCTAAACAAGCCACTTGTATAAACTGATGTGCTAGGGTAGAAATTGTACTCCAGTTACTACTACTAGGAGTTATGCTACTTGTCATCTTCTACTACCCACTAATAGACAACACACAACCTCCCCAAATATTTCCTTGTATAAAATAATGTTGGCTGTTTCTTGTCCCCAGGCAGCCAGTGCAACTTCAAAATCCAGTTGGGAAATACCTTTTTTAAGGACTGATCAAAATGTCCACAACATTGTTGGCAAGTGAGGTCTCCAGGACTCTTGATGAGGCAAGTTGCTACACAAAAGCAAATGGCGGGGGAGGGGGGAACCTAGGCTCTTATGTTATAGCCATGAGGTTAGCATGTACTATAGACTCAGTTCCAAGATGGAGACTGCTTATTCTTAGCCAGACTAAAAATCTTAAGATGCCTTTTGTAAGCTTTTAAGCTTAATCTTTCTGTTTAATGTGCAGCTAGTGAATTATTTTTTTTTAAATAGTTAGACAAGCCACAGGTATCAGTGTTCCACCTGCACTTCCATATATGCAATATTCATGCATCACACAAGCACTTGGATATATGCTAGTGCATATGGCAAAGGTAGGTAAACACTTGCCTGTAGTCCACCTCAAACTATTTAGCTAACTACAAAGCACACTTTATGTACCCACTTCTGTACTTTTTCTTTAACGTCTGAAGCCATGCTGTGTATGCCTCCACCTACTGAAGTTTGGGTACTGACTAGCTGCAAGAGGTTTCTTGGTTCTGGTGCCAGTTCTGTGGGATGGTTTATAGGGAGGACTGTAGTGGTTCATTGCAATTTGGCTGTTTTTAATTGAGCTCAAAGGCTGTCATGAAAGTCTGTTGGGTGTGCTCTCTGCTCTGCCATTTAGATCTGCCTTGCTGCTTTTGAAACCATTAATGTTGATGTTGTTATTTAACTGCGTTTGTATTTTTTACAGTTTCTTTTATTATGAGCTTCTTTGTTTCAGTTTGAATTTTTATTCTGTATCCTACTGTACAAGATATAGGGCTATTATGCTAAAGTTAAACAAGTGAGTAGACAAGTGGAACTTTCAAATGTATTTAAACTTTAGGCCTTGTTAAATGTGCTGTAACACTTTTCACTTCACTGCTCCACACAAACTATTGCTTGATCTTTGCTTTGACATTTGGCATTTCTGTACCTAATAGCCTTTGAGTAGCATTTTCAAAGAATTCTATCTTCAGCACATTTCTAATTTCCTTAAAATTAGGAATAGGTGGCAGATGCGTTTCTTTCCTACTTCATTAATGTGGGAAATGACTACGCGCTCTAGCATTACCAGCATCAAGGGGAGACATTTGTATGGTTCCTCTATTGAGAACAAATCTTAGGACAAAAAAAGATTTTCTTGGGCTGAAGGAGCCTTGCATGTTTCTGATGCCAATGCCTGCAATCCATCTTCATGCATTCACAAACACTGACAGTAATGTGAACCCCCCCCCTTTGTGTTTCCCATATCAACTTCACTTGTCTTAGAAGTCTTAAGTATCTGATATTACTGTCCTTTCTGTTCTATTCTAACTGACCTCTGCTCATGTGTTTACCAAGAGTAGTCTCCTAGAATTTATCTAACTGCTAAATGCAGAATAAGCCACTTCCAAGAAGTCAAACACTTGTAATGATTGGGATTAGTTAGTTTGGGCCCACAATGGTTTCCTTTTATTGATTGTAATGTTCAGTGAAAAACAGTTCTTAGAATCCATTTCCTGACTTCACATACTGATGCTTTGACACAAGAAGTTCTTTTTCTGCAAATGTTTTGAGGAAGTCATGGTTCTCCTTGGAAAAGTAACTGTGTGTATCCAGACTGTAAGATGCCACTTAGACAAGCAGAACTGCGTTAATGCACCCATCATTTTCTGGATTGTTGGTTACTTGTGCATATTTTCCTGAAATGGGAAAGAACTATATTAGCACTTACTAAAGTGAGAATAAGCTGCACTTATGTTCACAGAAATGGCACATGCTCATGCATTTATTTTCTAAACAGCAATTGTAATGTAGGCATGGCCTATTGGCTAGTCAACTTTGGTCCTTGGTCCTCAGTGGAGATGAGAAGTTTCCACGGTTCACTCCCTCTCATGGGAATATGCCTCATCTCAGAGATGCAAAAGGTGCAGATGTCAAGTTGTGCAGAAGTGTTAGTGGTCCACAACACTAAACCACCCTCTCACAAAATAATGAAAAGGAATCCCGTCTCCACACATGTGGATATGTTTATCAAATACACAAATCGAAACCTTAAAAGGCCTTAAAGGCAAGCTTAAAGGCAAGAGGCAGCACTTAAAAATGAAACAAAGAAAAGATAAGAAATTTAAACAGAGGACCCAAGGAAATAAGCTGTTTTGAGTTGGAAGAAAAGGGAACTTCAAATTTCACATCCTAAAGCAGGAGAGCTCTGTTATCACTGAACTAACCCATTATTTAGTTAGCCTGATTCTGTGGCTGTTATCCAGCAGACATAGCCACCTGTGAGTGCACCTTTCCACCAAGCTCAAAGATAATAAGGCTTCATACTGAATGGCTAATTAAGTCAGGTCTTGATGTAAGAGTTGGGGCCTACAATTAGCTATGGACAATGCAGTTTAATGTAACATGTAATATGATACTAGTCTTATTTTGACTAGAAATGTAGTTTCAGGCCAAATTAATGATACCACAAGACATGTAAAAATACATTCTGACTTTGACTGAGAGAACTGTACATGGGAGTGGGGGGTAAAATATTTTGTATCCTTCATGCTGGTGTTGGGCAGTTAGGCAAGAAGGCAGAATATAATTTTGTTCTCCTATTGCAGGCCTGAGGAAAATCACTCATCTCAAGGTACTGTTTGCATTGAGAGGAAATTCCCCCTCCCTATTGATGCAATAAAAAACCCTACACATAAGTTTAACATTAAGATTGGTAACTGATATTCCAATACTTACCCCAGACGACCTTGCCTCCTTGTGTCACGAGACCAAGCTCACTCACATTCACCTCAATGACGGTACCTTTTGTAATTACCCCCAAAGATGTATACAGAGGAGAAGAGGGATTCTTTTTTACACCAAGAATAGGTAGGCAAAAGGTGGCTTTAAGTTCAGGATGTGTTACATGGGCCTTCTTGAATCGTAAACCCTGTTAGGTAACAAGAGATTGCTGTAACACTAAATAGAGATGAAAACATAACTAGCCATGATGGTGCTTCAATAATCAAATCAACAGTGCAGAAAATTAGAGGCATCTCTGTTAGATGTTTGGTATTAAATGCTAACTTTTTAGTGTGTATATTACTGTAAATTACTCTGCTATCCAATACCTGCAAATAACAAAAGGTTTTACTGGCTATCTAGTTCTGAAGTGTAGATAAGACTATCAGTTCAAAGAAAAAGGTTCTATTACAACATTGTTGAAACTGCTAATGTTTTCTCCACTCAAGGATGATAATCGTGAAGTGAGCAACAACTTATGTAAAGAATAATCAATCAATCAAATCATTTACCATTGGCCGAATGAAACGTTCATATTTAGGTGGCTTTCGGGTAAAGCCATCCCCAACAAAACACACTTTAGTAACCATTCTCTTCCAAGCCTTCTTCTTTCTCTTTCCTGTACGGATCACCTTGAGCACTTCTGTTTCTCCCTGAGCACGAACCTTGGGTACAGGAACCTCCCATTTCCCCTGCAAAGAAACAGAAAGAAATGGTTAGAGTGCTAAAGTCGGAGAACAACTAGAATGAACAACATGCTGTCTTAACTAGTCAAGACCAACTACTTGTTAAAAATTGACTGCCATCTGATAACATAAAAAAAATACTATAGTTGTGCAGGTGTGTAGGGATATTGCCGAGTGGACAGTGGGGTCCGGAGGGAGCACACTTTCCACCAGCAGGCAGCCACGTCTGCCTGCACGCGTGACCCTGGGGTGCAGGGAAAACCCCCCCTCAGACAAGCCACGGCTGTCGGAACATCGTCCCCTGTGTCTGACCTTTTGAGGTCTCAGCAGTCAGCAGTGTCCTGTCTGTAACCTTTTTCCTTAGAGACCTTTTGTCTCCATTCGTCATACACTGTGCAAGGGGAAAATGACGCTGTGGAGCAGGTGCCAAAATAGCTTTGTACCACCCCACGATCTCGGGACGGAAGATGTGTAAAGGTCACAGCCCAAAAATGTATCTGCCTAGCTTGCATATTTGTCTTAATAAAAGGAGGCTCCACAGGAATGGCAGTAGCTCGCTTCAGACCACCTGTGCGCAGCTCACATGATGATCAACACCTGTCTTGGGCCTTCACAGGTGTATGCACATTTTTGCCTGATTTACTAGCCAGTCATCGTTTGTTATTACCACCAACACTTTGCCTTTAGCCCTCTGCTCATTCCAGAGGACATGGGGGACAGAAGTTCTCATAGGCTCTGAAACGGACAGAAGAGATCTATTGCTTTTATGTACTTCAAAGCTGATTATGGCATGAGGCTCTGCTCATAGTGACCTGGGTTTTGGAGCCGGGAGAAGCACAGCATGTATTACAGTTCTTTTGCCTTCTCCAAAGTTCAGTGCAACAGAGTGCTGCTACCCTCTTCACTCTCACCTGCACAGGAGGTGATTTTTAAAAATACTGTACAGTGCTTTAGCTTCTACCTACTCCAGATCTCTGTGAAATGTCTACCTTGCAGAGAAAGGAATTATACTGCTACTGCATGTTGAAACTTGTTTGGGGGGGGTGTCATCTCTGACAAGGTGCAAGTCCATAGCTAGGGACATTTCCCCTTCTGCAATGCAATGCACTGCCCCTCGCCCCTCATCTGCTCTGGAGCACTAGGCAAGGTGCATGACCCTACCATGGGGAGGAGAAGTCCCACTGAACAAGTTTGCACAACACTGGATTTTACCCAGAAACCTAGACCAACTAGGTCTTGATACAACCACATGCAACCTTTTGTTTTTTAAAAAAAACCCCACACGTTCATGAGTAGAAGTTAAATCAGCTTTTGGAGTATGATATGCAGCAGGGAGTTGCTAAACTGCAAGTATACTGCACGCAGTATATTAGCGCAAGTCATAGATTTGTCTTGGCAAGTCCAATAATTCCTCACTGGATATACGCAGGAGAGTTTGCCTGGTTAAAACTGAAAATGGAGAACAGTATGTGTGTACTTCATACCCTGAACAGATACCAGAGCCACCACCTTGAAAATCAGTATTTTTACAGCTTGACAAATAGTGATAACCTGAACTTCTGCAGTACTTACAGCTTTCTCTTTTCGCTTCTGTTTAATCATGTTGGAGAGAACTTTAGCTCGGGACTGACCCTCTCTGTCCAGCAGATAGGCTGGCACAGCTCCTTCTGGGGTCTTGTCATCATTTTTCTGCTTGGTATTTCTCTTTTCATGCATCTTAATACTAGATAAATAGAATGTGCACAAATTATTTTTTTAAAAAATTGAAAAGCAAAGTTTCAGGTGGGAATCAAAGTCAATTGAAAATAGTTACATCGACACATGCTTTATACTAGTCACAATGTTTTTCCTAACCAAGAACATGACTAAATCAGCAGAACAAGCTATGCAAAATTAATGTCATCTGAAGACTAACGGTTGTCTGAGATAGTTACACAGTGCTTAAAAAGAAGAAAGTGTACAATTTTGGCATAGGTTTATAAAAGCCCAGTAACAGGCAAACAGTAAGTTTAAAGGAGTAATCAATAGTTTGTCTTCCAGTGGAGCTAGTTCTGAACTATATTAGTTTTTCACTATACCAAAGAAGTTTAGTTGAACAAAAAAAGCCCACTCACGTCTTTTTCATCTGTATCTTCTCTGCATGGCGCTGTTTATGATAAAGCTTAGCTTTCAGTCCAATCATTTTCTTAGCTTTTTTTGAGCGTTCATGAGCCTCACGGCCCTCTTTCTTCCTCTTTCTCTCATGGTAATCCAAACGATAACCATATCGCTTCCGATGTAACTCTATGTACTCGTTTTGTGGCTGCAAAGTGCAAGGAAATTAAATGTTCAGAAGTTTTTTTAAAAAATGTCAACAGTAAACATTTGTAAGAGCTTTGTTTTCTATATATATAAAACCATATATATATATATATAATATATAACAACCATATAACTATGAAATACTTTGTGAAAGTTGTATTTACTATTACCACTTTCACTTCAGAAACGTTTCAGTAAGAAAAATCCCTTATTCATCCTAGTAAGTTCCAATTATTTCAATGTAATTTTACCACTATGCACTGTTATGTTAGCTTATTATGTTTTTATTGAGATCTGAAATTACCTAGGGTTCAAGGGTCAAAGACTGCCCAAAGAAATTGATGCAGTAGACAATAATAGATAAAAATGAAACTGGTTTAACTACTTTGTCAGTTGGTGTAAGAAATCCTGCTTATTTTTACTTGGCTATCCATCCCATTGAGCTCGATAGGATTATCTATTTATTTATACTACTTCTATGCTGCTTAGTATATTAAAAAAATATATCTCTTAAGCAGTGTACAGAAAATCAAAACAAATGACCACTACAAAAGTAGTTAACTCACAAAAATCCTAAAAATAGTAATGTACTAATGTAACTACCGGTAAGTCACCCCTCTGCTCTTGGTTTTTTCTCCAGGGAAGCAGCCTTAGCTATAGCGTAATGAGAGATGTGCCTTGTCTACGTTATAATAATGAGCATAAGCTGTTTGCATTTTGATGCGTTTTAAAGTTAAATAAGGACGTAAGGGCCCAATTGTATCAAACCAAAGGCCCATCTAGTCCAGCAAGGCCAACAAGACGCCTATAAGGAAGCCCACAAGTGGGTATTCAGAGGCAGGCTGCCCTCCAACAGCGGAGAGCGGAACATAAGCCAGCACGGCTAGCCTTATCCTCAGTGAATGGGCCTCGCTTTCGTTTAATGATAAGCAAACAAACAGCTTTATACCGGTGTCGCACGTCTTAATGTAAGGCGGAGACTGATAAATCTAAAGGAAGAGGTCTCTGGCCCCCGCCCTCCCTCGAAGAAGCCCTTCGGAGCCGAGCCCGCCGAGCCCCCCGCTCCTGCTACTCACCATGGCGCCGCGGTGCCTCGGAACGGACTAGACTCGGCGCGGGACTCTCGGCGACTCTCCTTCCCGGCCGCCGAACCCGAAAGGCAAAGGAGAGTTCCACCGCGAAGCGGCCCCGGCTCGCAACCCGTTCCGCTTCTTGGCGTTCCGCTTCCAACGAAGGAGACCCAGGTGTCGGGCGTCCCCCGCTGCCGATCGCGCGCTTCTTCTCCCCACCCGCTGCTCTGCTCAGTTTGGAGTCCGGGAAAATGGACAGAGGCTGATTTGCGAAATCCAAGGACTTCTTTTTTTAAAAATAAACGCCTTCCGGAACGGAATAGTAAGGAGGGCGGACTAGAAAGGTGAGCATCCGGCGGAAGTAGCGCGTGTGGCACGCTGAGACTAAACCGGAAGTTTCTAGGAGTGCGCAATGAGTCCTTTTCTGCTCTTCTCGGAGGTTTTGCTTTATTCTCAAGAGCGAAGCGATGGGCGGCGGTGAGGCAGAATTTCACGCAATAGTAACCTGACGGAGGCGGCGTTTTGGCTGCCGAATAGCCGCTTCTTAAAAGGAATGTTTGGACTGTTTAATTACCAAAAAGAAAGAAACAAAAGCCGGTTTTAATTCGGTGCCTGTTTGTGTTGAGGAGAACTTGGCCATCGATTTCAATATTCTTTTTAAAGCGCTTGCCTCAACTCTGCGCCGTTACCCGTAGCAGTTGCTTATGTGACCAGGATACTAGATAGATATGCTGCGAGATACAAGGAAATTGTTACTGGGTCCCCTCAAAGTGGTATGTTTACACAGTGTGGTAAGTCTTCCCCCCCCCATCGATTATTTTTTTTAAAAAACTAGAAAGTATGTTAATAGCCAGTGTTACACAGATAGTATTATGTAGGCTGTTTTTGCATTTATTTATTTCTATTTATTAAGCACCTCCCAGAAAATATCTCAAGGTGACATGAACAATAAAAGCAATTAAAAATTCCATTTGTCAACAGCATATGCAATATTTCAATTTCAGATTGAATAAATATATTTCACTTAAAAGCCTTATTGGAAAATGAAGGTCTTCAGTAGGTACCAGAAAGAGAATACATAAATAGTGCCTGTCTGATGTGTAATGGAAAGAAGTTACAAAGGGTGCAACCACACAAAAGGCTGTTTCTGTACTGGACAGACCTTCTGATGAGATGGTATCCACAGGAGGTCCTGTACTGCAGAGGGCAATGATTAATTGCATATATAAGGGCTGAGGTCACCATAAGATATCCTGGCCCCAAACTGCATAGGGCTTTGTATCCCAAAAACAACACATTGATCTTAGTTTGGTAGCTAATTGGCAGCCAGTACAATTTATTCCATAGTACTTATAATATGTTGCGGCTTCTGGTCCAACCTCAAGGGCAGCTTCACATGCAGCCCAATTCAGTAATCCAAACCGGAGGTTACCAGTGCATGGATGATGGCTGTCCTGGCCCACAAACAGCTGCAACTGTGTTATCAGCTGAAGCTGTTAAAACTCAATTATAGCTGCTGAGGACACCTGGGCCTCTATTGCCAGGTGGATCTATGAACCTGCTTTTTCAGGGAGAGTATGTAATTAACTAAGCTTATGAGTTTTTTTTGCTGGATGTTAACGTTCTGTGTTTGGTTGACCTAGGCTGTATCTGTGACTTATGCTTAAGATATCTAAAACTAGCTAGCTAGTTCTAGCTGGAAATATCAGCATTGGTCTTCTGACAGTGACATGTATTGTGTAGATAAAATTATTTTGGTGAGGTGTGTTGGCTTTCTCTAATTGTGATTTTCCCTTTTGAAGTGTATGTATTGCAGAAAATCAAGAATTATAGCTGTAAAATGCTTCAAAGGTTCTTTGACTCTTCAGAGAAGTTACAGTTATCCAGCAGGTAATTCCTTCCCCCACTCCCAGCTTACATTTTCTATACAGATCTACTATAATATGATAAAAAGGAATGAGATATACTTATGAAAATATGCTACTGTGCATAACTGTTACATGCCAGTATTATTGTTGTATGTAAAGGTTCTGTATGTGGAATTATTTTTGTAGCTGATAGTAGGAACATAGGGAACTGCTTTATACCAAGTCAGACAATCTGTCTAACTCGGTATTGTCTACAGAGTTATCCAGGTTTTCTCATGGGGGTGAGGAGACACCCTTCAGAGTTGACAGTGCTGATAATCACATCAGCCAGAGAAAAAAGTGTGTGTGTGTGTGTGTGTGTGTGTGAGAGAGAGAGAGAGAGAGAGAGAGAGAGAGAAAGAGATCCTCATGTTCAGTAGTAGACGCAAGTGCAGGAGGATCTCTGATTGGTACTGATGCTTGTGCTGTGAAACATAACTTCTACTCATTGGAAACATTATTAATGCTCTGGCCGCTTCTCTTTTAATAGGTGAAGTAAAATCTTTGCGCTCTATTATCTCTCCACCTGCCTCTAAGTAAGTAATTAATTTTCATATATTCTATTTTTCCTATTTATTTTTTGCCCTTCACACATTGGTATTAGGGTAGGCTACAATAAAATTCAGCAAAAAAGAATTCATTCAGTAAAACCACAAGAAATAGTGTACTAAAAAAGGGCTGGGAACCAGGCTAAGCAGCTGGATGTGGCCCTCCAGGTCTCTCTATTTGGCCCTTGCAACTCTCTGTAGGCCAAGCCCCTGTCCAGCCGTGCTCCATGCTCTCTTTGTGTTTTGTCTGGCTGGAATGTCATTGAACTATAATGCCTCTTACTTGCCCAAATGAAGAAATGGGTGTGTAGAAACGTCTCTTGATTTCTGCATGCCTGTGGTACAAATCTATTGCTCTGCCTGTTTGTGCCTCTGATCCTACTCACCACTGGAATGCAGCCCCTAGGGTTTAAAGACTGTTCATGTACAGATGAGCAAAGTTATTTTTTATGTATTATTTGTAAAGTTATAATTGCCTTAAATACTTGGGTGCTAAATGGGAATTCTTTGCTTTTCTTAAACAGAATCCGCAACATTGGCATCATGGCTCACATAGATGCAGGAAAAACAACTACCACCGAAAGGATGCTGTATTATTCTGGGTACATAAGAAACCTAGGAGGTTAGTTAACAAAAACTGCTATGGTTCATTCTTAGAGAGGGAGAACACACATATAAAGTATTGAACCACTCAAGCCTCTGCCGCAGGTTAAGTTGGCTGTCACCTTTCTTGTGCTGGTGCAGACTGGGCAGTCTCCTATCCTTCTACTTGCCTAGTTGTCATTTTCTTTTTCTCTTTCTGGGGTCCCTTTTCAGGGTTCCTGAGTAATAATCCTGGTGCTTTCCCTATGAGGTCTGCTCACTGCCCTGTCCCATGTTTGGCACAGGAAGAGTTTCTGGGCATGTCCATGGAGGTTATGGGGCTCTGTTTGCAGGTGTCTTTTTTTGGTTTTTTTTGTTCTTTGTATTTCTGTTCTTTGTGTGTAGGAGGATCTGTTCTGCTTGTTGTATGGGCCTCTGCACTGATACTAAGGTTTGGCTTAATTTATCATTTGCACTTTTAAAATGCAGCCTTGCACACATACAAAGTGAGGTTTTGACCGTGGCATTAAGGATGAGCTATTTACTTGCGTTGCCCCTGCCATGACTTTCTTGCAATGCATTCTACCTCTCCCACCTGTCCAGCACCTTGCATGGTTCACCTATCCATTCAATGGATAGGACTTCTGTTTCCGTTGGTGCAGGAATACTGCTGCCCTTATACAAGGCCATGTACTTGGCATCCTAAACAGCTTTCCCGGTCTTTGACATTAGATAGGAGAACTGGGCCTTAGGCATTTTGTTTTATAGCATTTCCCCAGTGATACATTGCATTCTGATAAAATGAATCAAGAGCTAAGATCATTTTACAGTGGCCAAACTGAAAAAAGCTACATTCTTTTTATTAATCAGATGTTGATGATGGTGACACAGTCACAGATTTCATGGCACAGGAGCGAGAACGTGGCATTACCATTCAATCTGCTGCTGTAACTTTCGATTGGAAGGGCTACAGAATAAATCTGATAGACACACCAGGTATGTTATTTTGAGTGAGCGAGATAAAGTCAAGGCAATTGTGACCAAGTAACCTCAGATGGCATTGAAAACGTGTAGCTTTGAAAATTTTGATGAAGTCTTGAAAACTTCCACTTTTCAATTAATGTACTTATATAGTGAGTGTAATTCTCCTGGGAATTTCCCCTGTGTCGTGTCAATTAAAAAGAATAGGAGCTCTGCAAGAATGTAAAAGTTATCTGTCTGCTGGAGAAATTCCTGCTGACTATGGTCTGTTACTATAAAAACCCTCACATCATTAAGCAAGTTGGTTTCATAATGTAACTGGCTAAATCCACAAAGGCCATATGCTTGTTCTTGGATCATCTGTTTGATGCATGTTGTGTTTATAATTTTGTCTATTTCAGGATCAGAGTCCAGGAAAACTTGGGTAGACATAAGTTTTTAACAGACATTTAAAAGCATTACTGTCTGGGGCTCTTTTCAGAGAGTGGGTGCTATCACCAAGTGACAATCCACTGGACATGGAATGACATGTAGGGTTTTCTTAGAAGATCTTAACTATCAGTTTGGTCTGTACCATGGGAAGTAGTCTGCTAAGTACCATTGTGCCAAGTTGTTTAGGATTTTAAATGTCAGCAACAAAACTTTGAACTTAGCTTGGCAGCTAATAGGCAGCCAGTGCAGATCTTTCAACCCACTAAGCACTCTAGTAGCTGCATTTTGCATCAGCTGCAGCTTCTGAACCAGACACAAGGGTAGTTCCACATACAGTGTGTTACGGTAGTGTAATTGTGAGGTTACCAGTGACACAATTTGGCCTTAAATTCCAAGGTACTTCATGTCCTGGTGGATATCAGTGCTGCAGAAGCTTGTTTGGAGTGGATGTGTCTGGTTCTTGATAAATCACGCAGAGGCAAAGTTCATTAGCAAAAGAAGAAATTTTACTAAAGGTTTTCCAACTTCGTTACAAAAAGAAAAAACCCTTCAGAAGTGTTAGAAAACAAAATTAAGAATGAGAAACCAGCCCACTGAGCTCACAGATTTATCTGTCTGGTTCAACGTAACCTTGAGATAACAGAACATAAATCAGAGTATCTCCAGCTGCCTCAGCAGAAAAGAACAGAACTTTCCAGAATGAACCAGTATTTCCCAGTTTGTGCCCTCAAAGACTTTAGTCACAACAACCAGTGCATGGACCATACTGGCTATGCTATCTCTGTGCAGGTAATGTGTAAGCCACTGAATTCACCAGGCTAGTGACAGTGATTTACAGTAGTACCTCAGGTTAAGTAATTAATTCGTTCCGGAGGTCCGTTCTTAACCTGAAACTGTTCTTAACCTGAAGCACGGCTTTAGCTAATGGGCCCTCCTGCTGCTGCTGCTGCTGCGCCGCCGGAGCCCGATTTATGTTCTTATCCTGAAGCAAAGTTCTTAACCTGAAGCACTATTTCTGGGTTAGCGGAGTGTGTAACCTGAAGCGTATGTAACCGGAAGTGTATGTAACCCGAGGTACCACTGTATTTAGGATCACCCCTAAGCTACACTTCTGCTCTTTCAGATGCAGTGCAAACCCACCCAGAACTGTTACACAACTCAATTCTAGGAACTTGGAACTACCCACCATAGGATCTCAGTCTTATTAGTTACTTTCCGTCCCCTGACTGCACCCAAAGACTGGTTTAGGCCATGCATGGCCTTTCCTGATTCAGATGTTACAGAGAAATAGATCTGATATTGTCAGCATGCTGGTGACACTTTCCCTCAGATTGCCTAATGGCAGCCCACAACAACTTCATATAAATATTAAATTGGGAAAAAATCCTCTCCTTTGGCACTGCAGATCAGCTAACAGAGGGCTCAGGTGTCTCTGGAACTGACCCTGTAAATAGGAGCAAAGCCACTGTAAAACGGTGTCCTCCCATTTCACAAAGATGATCCAGGAGGAGACAGTGATAAGCTGGGTCAAAAGCTGCTGAGAGATCCTGGAGAATCAATAGGATCACGCACCTGCTGTTGCTCTCTATTGAAGTTCATCCACCAGGGTGTCCCCAAACCAGGCCTGGGTGCAGACTGGAATGGGTGTAGATCATCAGTTTCATCCAAGAGGGTCTGTTGTGGTTTTAGACTGAGTGCCTATTCATCACAAACCAGTAAAAAGTTATTAGGTGAAGACATGCTGCCTTTCTAATATTGTTAAAGCGTTACTATTCTTATGACCTCTGTTACTTCTCTGTGTAAATTGTATGTTAGGTCATGTGGACTTTACAGTGGAGGTGGAACGTTCACTGAGAGTGCTGGATGGAGCAGTGGCTGTATTTGATGCCTCGGCTGGTGTGGAAGTAAGGATGACCACAGTGTGCTGTGACTTTACCTCACTTTAGTCCTGTTTCTATAGCCATGATTTTAACTGATGAGAACTTAAGGCCTAGATGCTCACTTCCACCAGCAAATGCTTGCCTCACGTTATAAGGAGAGCGTATGTCATGAGATGGAGGTAAAGGCAGGACAAGAGACTTTTGGGGGTGGTTAGTGATCTGCTGCCCATGTGTCAAAGCTGCCCCCATTTCTGCAAAATGCAAGCCCCACAGCTATGAACTGAGGATCTAATCTGAGGATCCAAAATGGCAGCATCTGCATGATAGCATAAGAAATGCTGTGTTGGACTAGCATTCTTTCTCCAGTAGAAGCTAGTGAGATGCCTCTTGAAGTATGCAAGAAGAGCATGTTCCCTTGTTTGCCCAACAAGTACCGTACCCAGAGGTTTTAATGACATACTGATTTCAGTGACATATATTGCAGATTGACTACAGTTGTTTTTTTAAAAGAGCTCCAGTTCTTTGAAGGTGCCTGCCAGCTGCCATCCAACTCCCCCGCTCCATTCCTCATCCATCTCATTTGTCACTCAGTCTCTTGACTTCTCTACATCTTGTCTCATCTGTCTTACTGCAAACCTTCTGAGTAGGAGCCATGCCCATTTTGATGCCTCATACATTGCAAGTGTTAAATAAGCGTTTACACAATTGTAGGTGACAGCAGGCACCCATTTTGCCGAAAGGATTGACACTTTCCATCTTTGCCTTAGGCTCAGTCTTTGACAGTGTGGAGACAAGCAGACAAGCACCACATTCCACGGATTTGCTTCTTAAACAAGATGGACAAAAATGGAGCAAGGTACTAAGATGTCTATTTCTTCCAGGGTCAGTGAAGCAAGGAAAGGCTTGCTTCACTGATTGTATTATATTTTAGGGTGGTTTCTGATTGCCCAAGATTCGTGTGACTTAACACGAACGTTAACTGTGCGGTGGTTGCTTTAATTCCTTTTATGTGAAATTTACAAAAATGCTCACTTGCCTGGTTGCTTGGGATGCTTCCTGGTCACCAGACAGGGTAACTTTACAATATTTGTTTGATTCATCCTTTGATTCTACAAATAACTTAGATATAAGTATGTATGAAAAGGCGGGCTTGAAAAAAGAATGGTGTGAATTAGAAAAACCTGGATATTTGCAAGACAGTTTTAAAATATTCAGATAAGGAAGTTAAATGCTTTCAAAATATGTACTTAATCTGCCTAACTGACACCCTGGTCCTATCATGTTTGTGGAAAATCCCAACTAACATACATATGGTCCCATCGATTCAGGTCTTTAGAAAAGCTCTAAGGCCCAGTTTGTTTTGAGTTGCTTTCTCTTGGACTGAGATGGGCTTAGCTGTTTTTAAATGGGCTTTGTGTTGGCTGGAAATAAACTATTTTTAAGGTGCTTATGCTGGTTGTTAACTCCATTTGGTTTTATTGTTGTCAGATTCAATTTTGGTATTGTGTTTTATAAGCTGGTTTGTGAAAGTTTGACCTTAACAGGCAACCTAGAAATTTCTTTAAAAGATTGAGCTGCTTGAGATGCAATGTCTCAAATGTTTAGGGCAGCCTGCCTTGCAAACAGGACTCCCGGATGGTGAAAGTGTTAGTCTGTTCATTTATTGCCCTGGTTTTCCTGTGTGTCTAGCAGCTTCATACATGCCAGAGTGGTACATGTGACTGTGTACATGGGCACAATTTCTGCACCATGACTTTATCTGCTGACTCCAGGTTATCACCTCTATTACTAAACGGGGTTGGGCAGCAGCTTGTTACTATTAGCCAGTATAGCAAGCTGCTGCCCAACCAGTAGCTGTGGCTGCTGATGCTCAGGCCTAGGTTCTACTTCTTTGTTAGTACAGCTACATGTTGTGGTGGAGGTCCTGGGTTTGATGGGCCTTGCTGCTGGTATGAGCCAGGGATTTGGTTATTAGCATGTGGTTTCTTGCATTCTAACTTAATAAACCATTAGGGCCACAAGTGCATATTATTTAAAGATGAATTCTTTAGTGTGTGGCTAAAAAAATCAGACTGTTCAATGAGTTGGGAGGGTTATTATTGAACTTAAGATTTCCACATTTGGATCCTTTCTCAGATGTTTAGTTTTTTGGTGTGTTTTTAGCTAAACCACTGTGTTTTTATTTAGTTCCCTATCTATGTCTCAGGTGGGGGTTTTTCATTGGGAGGAGTGACATATTGGATAAAGATAAGGACGTGATTTTCTCTCTAAGAGTAATAAATTGTCTTTAGTTTCACCTATGCAGTTGAGAGTATCAGGCAGAAGTTGAAGGCTAAGCCTCTGCTTTTACAGGTAATGTAAAACAAACTTTTACTTTTAAACAATTAGCATTAGTTACAAATCATATTGCTATGTCTTACTATCTAATTGGGGTTATTTATTTTTTTGTTCTCTCCCTCCCACTGCATCCAGTTGCCAATTGGAGAAGGAAAGAACTTTAGGGGAATAGTTGACGTGGTGACCATGAACCAAATTATTTGGAAAGCTGCAACTGAGTTGGATAATGGAAAGAACTTTGAACAGAAACCCTTGGAAGAAACTGATGATCCTGACTTGCTAAGGGATGCCAGGGATGCAAGAAATGCCTTAATAGAACAAGTAAAGTTCTAAAGTAAATATGATATGAAACAGTTGAGACCTTTGATTAATGCAAATATGTCTGAAAACCAAAACTCAAGTGACTGATACTGTTGGCCATACAAGTTGAGATTCTGATAAAATTGTATATTGGGATGATTTAAATAATGATACACTAGAAACTTTAATTATCATATTTTGTACATTTGACTACCGGGTGAGATAAAAGTTCTGTATTTCCATTTATACATACTGCATTTTAATTTGCAGATTTGTACACTCCTAACCATTTTTGAATTTTGGTTCAATATAAACAATGTTCCCTGTTTAGTTAGTATAAGCGATGTTGTGGTATCTGCAGCCTTGTCATTATCCAAGGAAAACCTGAACTGCCCGTGGGAGTTTCTTCCCCGCTTTACCCAACGCTTGTTCTCTCTGGGTTGGAGATAAAGAGGCTAAAAATATAAAAGCAGAATTAGGGAAGTTTATAGTTTCACTTTGCTGAATACTCTAAAATTCTATATTTTTAGATTTTATATATTCTTTTACATGCCAATTGGTGATTTGCAGATAGTCAAACGGACATTTGGTGGACTAACTTGAATAGTGTGTAATAGCAGTAGTGTAGATTATTTTTTTTCTCTTCATAAGGTTGCAGACCTGGATGATGAATTTGCTGAGCTGGTCCTTGGGGATTTCAGTGAGAATTTTGATGCCTTGCCAGCTGATAAGGTACATGGCTCTGGGGGTTGTTTATTATATGAACTGCATATTATTACAGTTTTATTGTATTTGTACATAACAGGGTAGAGTGCCTTTTTCCTGCATGTGTGATGCAACCAAATTATTAAAGCTTGGTAGAGAATGCTAGGATACTGTGGCAAACCTGCAGGAATGTGATTTGGTAAGGGGAGTGATGAGATGGCAGCAGGCAGGGAAGGAAGGAAGACGAGACTAAATCTGTTGTGAATCAGTAGGTGCATGACATGTATTGACAGTATTTAGAAATAGTTAATAAAAGGGTACTGCCCCCTGCAGTTGACGGGATAGTTATCTTCTGCTCCATGTCAGTATTTTAGTCCAGACCAAATATTGATACAAGCCAACATGCAGAGCCGCACAACTAGTTCATTGAGTCCAGGGGAACTTTGAACTGGCAGGCTGCAAACAGTTGCCTGCACCCCTTCCATACAGTCCCATGACTTTTTTTTGTGAGAAAAGTTTCACAAGCAGCTTGGGACACAGTGGATGCGGGTAGGGCCCACTGTGCAAATAAAAATAGTTTTAAAAAAGATATTGGGTGCACTTAGGTCTTTGGGCATACCTCGGCAGCACTGGGGTTCATAATGTTAAGCTGCATGTCTTACTGGTATTAAAACATTTTTTATTTTTAATAAGGAAGGCAATTCTTTCTAGAAACTGCATGGTTTTATGGGAAGACCTGATCGTAAAATGTTTTAAAATGATATCCTACTAATATGTTCTGTTTATAATGGGAAACAATCCTTAGGTTGAAACAAGAGCCACAAGCCATAAAACCAAATGGTAGCTACAAAGCCATAGAAAGGATAGGGTTTTTTTGTGGGCAGCAATATTATAAACCCTGAGGGTCAAAGGTATATTCAGGAAGGTGCTTGCAATTCCTGCAAGGTGAAGACTGAGGAATATGGCCAGAAAGCCTATTCCATAGCACTCATCGGTTGCTTTGATTTTTAGGGTGGCTTGAGAAAAGAATATGCCCTAAAAGGAATTTTCTGAGGTCTTTGATAAATATCACATAATGCATATCAAGCAGAAACCCATAACTTAAGTATTTTTTCATTAGGACCTGGAATAATGTATATGATAAACACCTTATGACCAAAACAAAATACCATCCAAAGGTGCAACTCAGTTAATGCTTGAGCTGTATACTCTTCCTTTGACTCTTAAGTAGATCATTGTTAAAATTATGAATCTCTGTGCCTCTGCAGTTGCACTCTGCTGTACGAAGAGTAACCCTAGCACAGAAAGCTGTACCTGTGTTCTGTGGAAGTGCACTGAAAAACAAAGGTGTTCAGCCATTATTGGATGGCGTCACCAGGTATTTACCTGCACCGGATGAACGCAGCTACGACTTCGTGTGAGTAAGAAGATGATGCGTTTTAATAAGTTTAAGCATGTGTTAGAAAAGCCATGAAAAAGAAACCATTTATTAACATCTTATGGGAGATTACAAATAGGCTGGGTTCTTGGGGAGGAGAGAGAGGCTCTAGTGAGGCATAGACCTGGGAAGCATGCACAGACCACACATTGTAAGTAGCAGCTGGTCTGCTGCAATGTGCACTCATAGCCCAGGACTCGGTAATTCCTATGCAGATTCCTAAAAGGATGCAGGGTACACAATGCCCCTCATTTTTCTATTAAGCAGTTTTATTTTAGCTCTGCTAAACTAGCACCAATAAACAGATTATTCGTATAGCCAGGGAAAATACCCTATTTTTTATCATTCAAAATATCCGTTAATGTTATATTTTTCCTTCATTACTTTTTGCAGGCAGTGGTATAAAGATGACCTGTGTGCTCTAGCATTTAAAGTTATTCATGACAAACAACGTGGGCCGTTGGTTTTCTTCCGCATTTACTCTGGCACGATGAAGCCTCAGTCAGCTGTCTATAATATTAGCAAAAACTGCACGTGAGTAAGAAAGGGGTGAGGAAAGAATTGTGCGTGTAACTGTTCGGATTCCTCAATAGGAGCAGCATTTAATCTGAGCTATTCCTTGCAGGGAGAGAATGAGTCGCCTGCTTCTTCCTTTCGCTGATCAGCAAATAGAAATCTCTTCGCTAACGGCTGGCAATATTGCCCTCACAGTTGGATTGAAACAGGTGAAGAAATATGAATCCCAAACATTTTTGAAAAATTGCATCAACATTAATGTGGAGAATTACTACCATTTTGCTGATTGACAATATTACTGGGGAAAAGTGAAACCAATTCTCTAGTGACTTCTTTATTTTTTAATAAGTTTTTTGTTGGTTCTGTTAGGGAATCTCTGCAGCTCTAAGCTGACTAGCAAAGGATTCACTTTGTAGTAAGGAACAATGTGTTAAACATCAAAGACGCTTTTGTCCCAGTTTTTTCAATATGGTTCTCTCTATTGGCAAAGAAAAACAATTAGAGAAGGTGAGTTGAAGCAAAACCAAAAAGTTGCTCTAATTGCTGTCATCCCAAATTGCCTGGGAAAAGACTGCCTTCGGCAATTGGCTAATTTTCTGTGCTTTTTAATGATGAAAACCAATTACATGTTGACAAACGACATGCCATGTGCTTTTTGGCATCCCCCAGAGTGCCACTGGTGACACCATTGTTTCGTCAAAGGCTTCAGCAATGGCTGCAGCTCAACAAGCTGGAAGAAATGTGGGGTCAAAGCACGGTCGAAGCAGCGAAGTAGAGAATCTTATCTTGGCCGGCATTGAGATTCCAGAGCCAGTCTTCTTTTGTACCATAGAGCCGCCTTCCATGGCCAGGCAACCAGGTATGATGCAATTACTGAAAGTGCTAATAGTGTACTCTTAATTCATACATAGTTCTGAAGAAATAGAACATTCTGTGATTTCTCAATATGCACAATGTGTTCAAGAAGACATATTAAAAAGGGCCAGTGTTCTCATTTAGATCCAGGATGGAGGAGGGGATGAATATGCTTTGCCAGTTTATAAAAAGTTCTTTAAAGTACAGTCGTACCTTGGATCTTGAATGGCTTAGTTGCTGAATGTTTTGGTTCCTGAATGATCGAAAACCGGGAGTATTCTGGTTTTTGAATGTTTTTTTGGAAGCTGAATGTCTGATGGGGCTTCCACAGCTTCTGATTGGCTGCAGGAGCTTCCTGCAGCCAATCATAAGCCGTGCTTTGGTTTCTGAACATTTTGGAAGTTGAACGGACTTCTGGAACAGATTCCGTTCTACTTCCAAGGGAAGGCTGTATTGACTAAAATGCCTAATTCAGAGTCTAGGACAGAGCTTTCCTAACTTTTCATGCCTGTGACACACATTTTAGACATGCATCATTTCGCAACACAGTAATTTAGTTTTACTAGCAAACTTGAGGTTAAATGAACCCCTTTCAAGCCCTGGGAGTGTTCACACAACACACACTGCAACTGGTACACTAATGTGTCGCGACACACAGTTTGGAAGGCTCTGGTCTAGGAACAAGGTCTGTACTGCTAAGCATGAATGTGATTGGCAGCTCCCTGTGTGACAAAAGATTTCTTGAAATGGATTCAGGGGTTTCAAAACCAGCTTACGATGGACTGGTTTTGCCAGTCGATGGACTACGATGGAACATAGCGTTCAAAGGGGAAGTGAGGGAGAGAGAAATTATCATTGGGACCATAAGCATTTGAATTATTTTCCTTCCATCACATTGGTGGACTTTTGATCTATCTTTTGTTGGAAGCTAGAATCTTTTAGTACAGCAGTACAGAAACATTAATAGGTTGATCTCAGCTAATGATACTTTAGCTATATTTGGAAGGCTTTGCTATTCCTATATATTGCTATTTACTCCAACCTTTCTTTGATGGAAGGGGAGCAGGAACACAGCAACACAGCTGCCTCTTCCCTCTCCTACCTTTAATTTTCACAGATTATTTAAATCCTCAGCAGTCTACTTAAACCCCAATTGTGCTCTTCATACTTGATATATAGTCAATACTTTTATTTTAGATCTAGATAATGCCTTGGCTTGCCTGCAACGTGAGGATCCAAGTTTGAAAGTCAAGATAGATTCAGACACCGGGCAGGTAAGGCCTTACTAAACTTCTCCCAATATTATACCGTCGATGCTTCCTTGACTGTGTTTTTAATGTATATGGATGCAACAACTATTGCGCTGTCTTAGGCTAATTCAAGTCTGTAATGTAGATATATCCTAAGTGCCATGGCTTTCCAATGAGAAATGTTGGGAATTTGTTTTCTGTAACAGTATTATTTTCCCTTCTCATAAATATGCAGTTCTGCTGCTTCTCTGGAAGCCATTATGATTAAACTGGTTTAAAACCAATTTGGGTTTGTATTACTAAGATGTGATTTAAAAATAGAAACAAAAACGGAGGTTTAACAAGCAAGTATTAGTGTTACAAATTTTACAACTTTATTTTTTATAGCTGTGACCTTTTACCTGTAAACTGCACACAGCTTGACTCGGCACCAGTTTACTTCATTGGAAAGTTGTTTAGATATGTTAAGAGGCCATAAGTTTATAACATGTGATAATATTTCTTTAAATATTGAGAAAAATATAAATGAAGCCACATGAATGCTACCAGTGTAAAGGATATTCTGAGGGTTATTTTGTTTTGTTTTGTGGCATAAAAAACATGTATCTCAAACTGGTAACTTTAATACTGACCTGCATTCTGTTTTAGATTATGAAGCTGTCCTTATTTATTCTGTTTTTAAATCCAGAAAATTTTATAAACTCGTATATTCCCTTTATATTATGTCACTTTTTCACATGCCTCTAATTCTCCATGCCTTTATTTCTCCAACCCATAGTTCATTTCTGGCTTGCAAATTGAAATTTTGGATTTGCCATATACTTTTGAGATCTGTTAACAACAACATAGTTTAAGCTAATCTATTTTGCAGGGTTCTCCCACTATTCTCAGTTAAGTTAAATGAACCAACGTAGGCCGAAGTCACTGAAAAATGCAATCTGCTTCTTGCTGTGTTGCTGTTCCCCTTGATCTAAGTTTTGTTTTTTTATCTCATCTGAAATATCCTTTTTGAAAGAAGATAAAAGCAGCTCACCTCTATACCCCATGACTTTGATGTAACTGTTAAGAATCCTTTCACATTTTTTGCCAGACTATCCTCTGTGGCATGGGAGAGCTGCACATTGAGATCATTCAGGACCGAATCAAACGTGAACATAAACTTGAGACCTATCTGGGACCTCTTCAGATAGCTTACCGGGAAACAATCCAAAACTCTGCTAAGGCTATAGGTAAAGTAACTGTCATCTTGGACCTGCAAGTGAACGACTTAAAAATTTGTTGGCAAAAAGTTCAGTGTGATCTGTGGGATTTCCATTATTTCGTCACAGACACGCTGGACAGAACTGTAGGAGAGAAACGGCACCAGGTGACCGTAGAATTGGGAGTGAGACCATGGGCGGGAGAAACGTCAGCAACAGCACCGGTCATTGAGTATGCGGAGAACGTCTGTGACTTGCTCCAGCCAGACCTTCGTGAAGCTATAGCAAACGGAGTCCATACATCGTTCCTTCAAGGTAAGAGTCACCTCAATCCTTATTTTGAATTTATTAGAATTGTTGTTTTCTGAGTGCCTAGCCCAAGCCAAGACATTGCGTGGAATGGATCCAACATAATGATCAGAATCTTCCTCTCCATCTGCACCCCACTTGCCTGTCCCTACCCCCTTGTTCTGGGCTTGATTATGTGTTGTTATGAAGAAAATACTGCAAAAAATAAGTGTTCCGAAATTTGTATGTGAAAGTCTTTTAAGAGGATTTTTTTTAAAAACAACAAACTAAACACACATGGCAGCGCGGCCTGGAATCTGAGCTCTGCAACCCTGATAATTCTGTGAAAGAGATTTTAAGTATGTTTAGCACCATGGATAAAAGTTGCCTGAGGTAGCTCAAACCAGTCAGTTGATGGATGAATCATGGCAGTCAGTTCTGGTTTCTGATCAGAGTTGGTGTTCTCTTGGTCAGCTCAGCCTGCCTAAATATTAAATTCTTCATACCTTTTATTTTCCCATTCCATGGGTTGGTAGAAAATTGGAAACTGTAAATTAATGTAAATATATATATTCCCCTATTTTGTTTGATTACTCAGTTTCTTTTTTTAAAGAAAAAGAACAAAGCTTGTGTGTCTGGTGCCGTTTGCCAGTGTTGTCCTTGCCTAATGATAGGTAGATTACCATTAGTGATGACTGGGGTGCTTTTACTTTTTCGAGGCTAGTAAGATGACCAAAACAACAGATTCCCTGCCAGTCAGTGTAGACAGCATTGAGCTTGATGGCCAATGGCTTAACTCTGAGTAATGCAGATTTCTGTGTTCCTGGCTACTATCAGTGTCAACTAAATGTTATGCAGACATTAAGAAATGTCCTTTTCCTAGCTTCCTAAGAAATGTTCATTTGGTGTTAATGCATTCTTTGTATTTTCATGTTGTAGGACCACTGCTGGGGTTTCCAGTTCAAGATGTAGTAGTGACGGTACATGCAGTGACTGTAAACTCCGATACATCTCTGACAATGGTTTCTGCTTGTGTTTCTCGTTGCATGCAAAAGGTATAAGTCCAACTGTCTTTCTGAGGTCATTTGCAGCAGTCTTCATTCAAAGTAACAGAATTACAGAGGGGTTAAACAGTCTCCCTTAATGGTATTGTCCGGTGGTTCCCAAATGGTGGTCTGCAGAACCTAGGCGGTCTGTGGCACCATTCACATAACAAAAACTACCATAGACATATCAAAACTTTCCAAAGTAGGGGGTCCATGGCTTTGCTTTCAAAAAACGGGGTCTGCAGCTAATTGGGAACCACTGGTATAGTCTGTTGGTGGCATCTTCAGGATCGTAATATGCCCATTTTCAAATGTACAGGAGGCCCACAATTTATACAGGGGCTACATTCCAGGGGTCCATGTGTAGAGGCAAAATCATGTAAAGTCAGGAAGACCCCTGGAAACCACTGCTCAAGCACCCCTGTCTGTCCGGAGCAGGCCTTGTCCCTCCTTGCTTACTGTATCCTTCCCAGAGCCTGCTGAGCAAGGCTTTGCCTGCCACAGAAAGAGTTTTTAAAGCCTTGCTTAGCAGCTTCTGGAGGCTCTTGTGAGATGTTGCACAGCCCCTTCCAATGGTTTCTTCCTTCTATTTATTTTTTGATAACACGCAATTTACTTATGCCATATTCAATTCCATTATTTATTTGCTTTACTTCTGTTGATATTCTCATGCACAACCAGCAAAGGTGCTATTACAGATTAATTATGTGATATGTTAGTGTCATGTATATTGATGACTGTACTGAATAAGCATTTGCCTTTAAGAATGTTCTTATTCTGCTTGTTAGGCTCTGAAGAAAGCTGATAAACAAGTGCTGGAGCCTCTCATGAACCTGGAAATAACAGTGGGCAAAGATCACCTTGGTGCCGTACTGGGTGACCTTGCACAGAGAAGAGGCAGCATTCAGGAAATTCAGGGTCGCCAAGACAACCAAGTTGTAATTGCATCTGTTCCATTGGCTGAAATGATGGTATGTGCGTAAATATACAGATGCTGCATATTTATTTTGTTTTGTTACCAAGGTGTTTTGCTGCTCTGTTGAACAAAGCAAGGCATGCCTACACTACAAGTGTGAAATTTAACTACTGTTGCTTTTCATGAAAAGTAGGAACTATAATTTTTGATGGTGCTAAGATTTCCGTATAAAGTTGTCTTATTCTGTGGTAGACCGATGGTTATCATCTTGCTAGTTCATACCGTCCAGTTTGATTGGACTGGAGTTAACTGGAGTTAAACCAGAGCGGTGGCTGCTTTTCTAGGAATTAAACTACTTAATGGTTCCAGTGGAATGATTTTTTTAAAAAAATTAAGGAAGTAGTTGTGTAACCTAGTATGGATCAACTTCTATAAAAGTAATTATTATCTGTTGGTTTTTGTTGTAGGGTTATTCAACAGCTTTGCGCTCTTTGACATCTGGCTCTGCAACATTTACCTTGGAATTGGCAAGCTACCAAGTGATGAGCCTCCCGGAGCAAGCTGCTCTGCTTAAGAGGAGTGGTTTGCAGTAATATCAGCATGGAGGAACAAGGCAGCAGTGGATTTTTGTAAGTTTCCTACTGTCAAAGCATGTGGCTTCAGTTTAGCATGCACACAGTGGGAGTATCTTGTAAAATACTTGCTAGTTACAAAATTTGAGCAGAGTATTTTCACAGAAGTAGTAAAACAGAAGCAACTACCTCTTCCAGGCTACTGTATTACTGCAGTTGTCTGCTTTCAGTGATTACGTAGAACGCTGTGCAATATTTGTGTCTCATTCTGAATACCATATTTTTCGCTCTATAGGACGCACTTTTCCCCTCCAAAAATTAAGGGGAATGTGTATGCGTCCTACGGAGCGAATGCAGGCTCATTGGCTTCAGCGATAGCAACAAGAAGCCTCCGAAGCGCAGAGGGAGTGCTTCCTCCACGCTCCGGAGGCTTCTCGTTGCTTTCGTTGAAGCCTGGAGAGCGAGAGGTGTCAGTGCGCACCGACCCCTCTTGCTCTCCTGGCTTCAGGGATAGCCGCCTGAAGCCTTTGGAGTGCAGCGTGAGTTACCGCTGCGTTCCGGAGGTTTCAGGTTCCTTTCACTGAAACCAGGAGAGTCTTGCTCTCCCGGCTTCAGCAAAAGGAACCCAAAGCCTGAGGAGCGCAGCGGGAACTTGCGCTGCGCTCGGAAGGCTTCAGGGATAGCCACACGCAGCCCCTCCAGCAGGGAGATGCTGCGTGGGGCTATGGCTTCTTAAACCCCGCGCAGCCTCTCCCTGCCGGAGGGGTTTCGCGCGGCTATGGCACAAGCCAAGACAATGAGCGGGATCCATCCTGCTCGCTGTCTTGGCTTGTGCCATAGCCACGCGCAACAGCTCCGGCAGCGAGAGGCTGCGAGCAGCCTGTACGCTGCTCTTTGGGGCTGGGGGGGGGAATAAGATTTTTTTTCTTGATTTCCCCCTCTAAAAACTAGGTGCTCCCTATGGAGCGAAAAATACGGTAATTTACAATGACAAATGTGTATGCTATGTTCCCTACTCAGAGGAACAAGTTCCTTATTATATGCATTCTAACCCTTGAATTATAGTCCTTGCCTCAACCCAGCCATCTGCAACAAAAACATACGCACAGGTTCCTTTTTCGAATGAGCTACTTTCTCTTAAAAAGTTCAACATCATTTATTTTTTCCACATCTATAAGAAATTAACCTTCTCTAAATTTCCGCATTTCAAAATGAGAGTGCTCCAGTGCAGTATTCAACAGGAATCTGCAGGTTTTTCTTCCCAAAAGGCACTTCTGGCAATGTCCTCCTACAGCTGTTAGGGGTCTCTTGCTTCGTGCCTGCAGTATCCAACAAACAAAGGCGCCGCCGCTATTCCACGCCTGTGGGGGAGAGAAGTGTGACTTGCTTTGCCTTTTGAGATTAATAAACTTCCAAGTTTTGATGTAAGAAATCTACACTGATTATTGATGGGATTGTACCTGCTGTACTAGATTGTATTTCTTACCTGAGCATGCGACAACGATGTTCATTAAGCCTGTTATAAGCATCTTCAATATCAGTTACATTTTTACTGCTCCAGAGTCTCTCCCCAACAGCACTTGCCCGAGGCCTGGAATATGAATAGGAATAGAAGACAATTTTTAAAAAAAATAAAATCTAATTTAAATATAAATTGGTTACTGTCCATGCAAAATAAAAGTATTTGCAACATGAACGTATGCCAGTACTCCATTTCTTAAAACAATCTGCCCCCCCCTTTATCAAGCACACCACGTTACAGCATAGTTCTGTACAAAATGAGAGCAAAACAGTGAGATGTAACATTAAAAGCGACACGCTAACTCAGCCTTCCTCAAGCTGGTGGCCTGCAGGACTTTTAAACTACAACTTTAATCATCCCTGTTTACTGACCGTGTTTACCGGGGCTGATGGGATTTGTAGTCCAAAACATCTAGAGAACACTAGGTTGGAGAAGGCTGCACTAAATTACGTACTGCAGCCTTGAATTTTGCAATTCGGCTGGTTGATCAGGAACTCAATGCAGGCAGGTGAGGGGGTGGGGCGTCACTCCAAGGAAACCTCACTTTTCTATGACCAGCTGAGGCTGGTCATTTCGTAAAAAGCAAGAGCCTTGCCATCTTTTTCAGCTGGCCCTTGTACACCTGAGTGCCATGCAGTATCCACGGGTAAGTGGGAACTATGCCAATCACTAATATAGACAGAATTAAGAGGAAGGGAGGAAGACAAGTTGGGAAAGTAAAGTTTAAAAATCATGATGCAAGCGTAGTTTTGTCAGATGTAAGTATCAATAAGGTTAGATGAAAAAAAATCAGGTGAGTGATTAACTATACCAGAGTCTTGGTGTGAGATTAGTTGCATCCACATATTCGCCCCAAAGACAGGCTTCTCCACCAAGCACCAACTCTTTCTGGGATTGCCACCCTGTGTTTAAGGAAAAGAAGTATTGGCTTGTGTCTTCCTTTAAAAGCAGGCTCAGTCTGATACAGGTACAGTATTTTACACTTGCAAGTTGAGTATCGTGGAAATAGTCATTAGGTGTTAATTAAGTCATACCAAATCTTAATGTCATGACTGTTATCTTAAATACTTAACATAAAAGCCCATATGACCAAACATAGTAATATTCTTTGTATTTATAAGCTCACTATCTTTTATTTAAATCTACTTCAGTGACAAAGTTCATTCCCCTGCAGCCAGAACTGAAATAAATAAAAAGGAAATAGTTCATTTTTAAAAAAACAACACCACCACCAATAATTCATCTCCCCTTATTAACAGTATAGAATGCCATCTCCACCAACAAACTGGGGAGATAACTTGGGGTGAAAGGAGAGTATGGAGGAGTGTACAGGAATATAATGTTATCATTCATTAAAACTGGGAGTCACAGCAACAAGGCCATGCAACTTTCCCACTGGAACCAATGCCTGGATAACGCTCAAAGAAAAAGGAAACTACAAACCAAGGAAGTCTAGTGGCTCCACACTGTAGTATTTCTTCCAGTCCTGGCCATAACTAATGAGGTCTAGGTACCATGGTGCTGCCAGGATGGCGCTGTGCCCTGCTTTGGTTACTCTTCTTAACTCTTCTTTATACAAGGTCCCAATCCACACTTCAACTATTGTGTCTGACTGTAGCTGAAGACATCAAAAACATAGTGTTCAGACAGCATGAAAACAATCTGTTCAGCTACAGGCATCTCCTCCAAAGCATATGCAGATAGTAGCGTGCCAGGTTATGTGATACGGTTATGTGAAAACTAACGTCACTCATATCGAGTCCCATTGGGATTTGTCCACATATTGGTGTGACATCAACTTGTTCCATGGTAATTATAGCATCTTTGCAATTACCCCAGTGACAAGATTTCAAAGAAGCCTCTTAGAAATCCTAATATGTGGACGCTCAACCTGAAGCTACTTTAACCTGAGGTATGACTGTATACAGATGGCTGAGACAGGGCTGTCAAGCCTGGAGGAGGTCAAGGCAGGAATACAAGCAGGTGATCAAACCACTTGGACTGCTGCTTTGCTCAACCCCTCCTCCCCACCAACAACTTAAAGTACTGTGGAAAAGAAGGCTGGCAAGCTGGTAGGCTAAACAGAAACACTCATGTAAGAGATGAGAATCCACAGCAATTTAGTGTTGCATGTTCCACTTGTGTGACTGGTTTGCCAAGAGCATTTAGTTATGCTAAGATGAAATGGTGAAAGAAACTTAACTGGTACTGCTTAAAATAATTAACCTTAACATAAAAACAGCAGGCTTAGAGACAGTCTGCCTTTTTAAGGGTTGCTTTGGCATATTAAGTTCTACAAGACTGATGCAATTTTAGAAAGGCATAAGCTATGAGACAGCCACATACGGTATGTCACCTTTCCAGCATCATATTGTATGTACTTTTGAAATACACAGGACAGTCACATTTCTATTACATTTGACTTATAATGTATTGGCTTCTTATATTGCCTTGATGAAATTGATCCTTAGATCAGATCACACAATTCTGAAAGGCTTAAACATTTCAGATAGTGCTACACGTGTCTTCTGGGTTACTCTAGCACATGAAAATCAAGTTTTCGCAGAACAGCACAAATCATCTCTCAGTCCTTACCTTTGCTCCATGATCAAAGACTTCCTGCCACACTATGGATTTCTTGTTCAGAGAAGACACCAACTCCAATATTCTAGTAGTAATAATATTTTAAAGATGTTATGTACTTGCTATTTACTTGTTTCATTTACACCCCTTATTTCAGCCATGATTGGCTCCAAATGATTAAGAACAGCAAGTTACTAGCACTAATTGTGGCTGTGATCTACTTTAAAACATGCAAGGACATGCTTTACTAAACCATGGCTTACTAAACCATGGTTTAAGCATTGTGTGCAAACAGCCAATAAGCAGGCTCTTGCCTGAAAGAGAAACTCACTTCTCAACATAGTGGGATTCCAGTTTAGCATAGGTAAACCAGACCCCTTGCTTCTTCATGAATTCTTGTATATCAGGATTGGACCTCCTATAAGGGAAGAGAGAAAACACAATTATGCTTCTTGCCAAGATCAGCAGCATACTACAGAAGTACCAATGGGATTTTGGACCAAGACTTACTAGGAAATAACATGTTACCCACTGACCATCAGAATCCTCCAGTATGCATTCATTCAGAACTCTCACCCCCTTATGAATACAAAATATTTGGCAGAGGATGGCCACAGACAATGGCTTTACTGAAGGAAAAATAAACAATAACTAAATGATTACTATTTATTAAATTTGTTAGTTGCTTTATCTTACCCAGGGCAACCCAAAGCAACTTACAACCAACCAGACAGAAGAAAAACCCCATACAGATACATTAAAAAAGGAATGCATTAAAAAACATCCTGCCCACTTCTAAAAACCCACAGATAGTTAAAGGCCAAAGGCCTGGTAATAGAGGACAGATTTTGCCTGGCACCTAAAGATATATAAGAATGGTGCCAGGAAAGCCTCCTTGGGGAGAGCATTCCACAAACGGAGCCATTGCGGAAAATGCCTGTTCTCATGTTGCCACCCTCTGGACCTCCCATGGCGGGGGCACACGAAAAAGGGACTCGGAAGATGAGCACAGGGTCTGGGTCAGTTCATACGGGGAGAGGCGGCCCTTGAGGTATTGGCAGTGACCCTGCATCTCCATGATAGATGAGCAAGAGGAACAAAAACCAAGTAATTCAGATAAAGTCAGCTTATGATGAGATTTTGTAACTTGCATAGGATAATAAATACACGGAGGCAGGCTGATCAGTGGTTGTAAGCCATGGTAATGGCCAGATTTGTGACCCAACAAGCTAAGACACTGTCTACCTGACAGGTACAGCAACCTATTTGTGGTTGCAGTACCAGGTACCAAGACAGAGAAGGGGGCGGGGAGCAGCGTTTATCACTCGGCAGACACCTGGCTGTGTTTTGCTTTATGCCTGCTGTGCTTTAACCAAACACTGAAGCTGTTCTCTCTGTTAAGACTTGACGCTGCTCTTCCCAGCATCTATCAAATGCTAGCAAGTCGCTGCAACCATGCCCTACTTAATGAAGGGATCCAAACTACTGGCTCTGAAAAGGCTCTTGAGCTAGATGAGCAGTAGTTCACCTCCTGCCAGGGGCTTCATCTGGCTGCCTAGGCAATTTATTTTTCTGGCCACCCAAGACAGCAGCAGCAAAATGAAAGGTTAAATCAAACAAAGCCTTGGGTTGGGTGGAGAGGAGAGGCTTAAACCTCTCCCCTCCCAGCCCAACTGTTTAAGGGATTATCCTCTCCCCAATAATCAAATGAACCATTTGCAGGGGAAGGGGCAATAACCTCCTCCTCCCCTTCAGCTGGTTTGCAATTTTGGCCACGCCCACCAATGACATGCAGCTCCTGGAGGGCTGGTCAATGATGAATTTGCTCTTGGGGTAAAAATGAGTATCAACCCCCCTGAGCTAGATGGACCAGTAGTCTGCTCCAGTATTGCAATTCTTCCGCTTTCAACAGTATGCACAGAAGTTCTAAGCTGGCCAGAAGCCATGTAGGGCTGCCTTGTGCAAAGTCTTTCCCCAATCTGCTAGCCACACCCAGACCAGGATTCAGTTCATCCAAAGTGAGCCACTGGCAAGTCCCACTACAGTGGTACCTCGGGTTACATACGCTTCAGGTTACAGACTCTGTTAACCCAGAAATAGTGCTTCAGGTTAAAAACTTTGCTTCAGGATGAGAACAGAAATCTTGCTCTGGCGGCGCGGCGGCAGCGGGAGGCCCCATTAGCTAAAGTGGTGCTTCAGGTTAAGAACAGTTTCAGGTTAAGAACGGACCTCCGGAATGAATTAAGTACTTAACCTGAGGTACCACTGTATGTACAATCAGCTACACCCCTCCCCTTTATTGTACAACACTATTGTACAACCTTCCGCTTTGTCTAACAAGCCACGAGCTTGGAGGAACGTGGACCCCACCTAGTGCAAAGGGCTACAGTCTGGTGGGGGGGTGGAGGTGGGAGAGGCACACTTGAAGGGCTTGAAGGATCCTTGCCTATCCTATTACCTTTCCTGTCACAGTTTCCAACTCAACAGATTTCAGGTGAATAAGCAATGTAGACTCTTCATGTTATACCGTACCAACAAGTGAAGTCCACTTCGTCTCCTCCCAAGTGGATATAATCATCCGGAAATACACTGCCAATTTCTTTGAATAATTTAGCCATGAAATCATATGTTGTGTTCAAAATGGGGTTTACAGGCCCGTAAGACCCACTCGGATGTGCTCCATTGTAGCATGGTGTGAGGATGTCTTTTTGTCCTAAAATAAAATACGTTGAAACAAGATTAGCTTCGAAAGGTGCATATGTTGTTGCTGCACCATATAAAGTTGCATTCTTATGCTTGTTTTAAAAACAATTCCAAGAACTTAAATACATGCCCCCACAAATATAGTCAAGAACACGATGTTTTTTAAGCTTTTAAAAATTTCAGCGTTCTATTCTGAAAAGTATGGACCAGTAGTCACAATAGGTTTGCATTCACTTGCCAGATTTGTCATTTTATTCCAGAGATTAGCACTTTCTGTTTCACATTCTGGGCTACTGAACATTTTGTTTCCCTACTAAATACTCCCCCCCCCCCGCCCTCCATTTCCTACGTTTTTATTATTGGCATTGTTAGAAATGTTGTCCATACTAGCAACATAGGAAGCTGCCTTATCCTAAGGCAGACCATTGGTCAATTTATCTAAGTATGCTATGCTAAGCTATGACAGTTTACAATACTATTTTACTAGATGTCAGAACAAAAATAAAAACTGATCAGCAATATAGTACAAAGGCAGATTTATCACAACAACGTTAAGAGGTTCAACCCATTTCTAGGTTATATATTTAAAGGCCAATCTCAAAAACCCTGAAACATATAGTTAAGCTATATGTAGAATGGTGAAAACTGAACTGTTTTGGAATTAAATTATACTTCGCAATAAATCTGTACTTGCACTCAATTGCTTTTCCTTTCTTCATAATGGGAGGGTGAAATCCTTCGGCTGGACTACTTCCTATAGTAGGTTCAATACCCCACCTTTTGTTACTAAATGGTGCTGAAGGCAGTTAATAACAATGCAAATACAATAAAAATGAATATGATAGCAATAATAGAAGCATCTTGAAAATAAGAACAAAGTGGGTAAAATAAAATAAAATGAAAAAACATAAATGCACCCAACTAAAGCCAGTTCCTACATGTTTACAGTATCAATAGCATTTCAGAATAATATGCATCTTACCTTTCCCCCAACATTGGGTATGTCCTGGACTGTCAAATTCCGGGATAATTCGAATCCCCCGTAACCGAGCATACTCTATCACCAGACGGATGTCAGCGGGAGTGTAAACATGATTGTATGAATAGGCCCCCTGTGAAAATGTCCACACATGTCGTTCTTTTACAATGTGATGCCAAGAATATGCCAGTAAGGCTGAAGAGCCGATTACACTTGACAGTGTCGTGTTACAGCACCCAAGGACTACTGGCAGTGTAGTCTAGCTTCTGAGTAGTTTCAGTGTCCCCATCTGGGGGATAAGCCTGCACTTTTGCAGATGCAGTCTGAAGCTGGTATTGGCCAGTGTTGTTCTTCCAAGGCTGGATAATGTTGTACAAAGGCCTGGGTGACAACTGGTTCAAAATAGTAGCCCATGCCAGTATATTATATAAAGCAAACTGAGAAAACAAAGCAAAAGCGGGAATCACCAAGACTATTTGGCTATTTAACCTGAACTGTTGTCCCCTGGGGAAAACAGGATGCTGGATTAGGTGGGCCTTCAATCTGATGTAAAAGGGCTCCACTTATGTCCTTAAGATTTAGGAGGTGGTACCAACCATGGGGAAAGTAGCTAGGTGACTGAACAATCTGAAATGTCATATATATATATATATATAAGTTGCAAGCCCTTTGAATACATACACACACACATTTCATAGGGCTTGCAACTTTTAATCAAAATTTTGTTAATTTTAAGCTTGCTCCAGAAAGCAAAAAATAGGCAAAGTCTCAAAATGGTGCTAAGATTTATAAGCAACTTTAATCCAAGATATACCGGGTACATTATATAATGTTTCTTATATATTTCACTGCCATTTTTGCCCACTTTCTTCATTTCCTTTCTTCTTCGTTCTTTCTTGTGTTGTCCTGTCCCTTCTCCGCCATTTTAAATTTCCCAAAGGAAATGAATCTTAAAAATCAGCAGCCCATTACAGTGGTGTTATTGGAGCCAGGCTGCAAAGTGCCGAGCTGCGAGGGAGCCAGAGGCAGCGATCTGACTCCCCCAGGTGCGCCTTCCATGCTTTCAATGTTTCACTGACTCTTTGTTGCATCTGTTCCAACAGACTTAACATGGTCGCCTCTCAGAAAGGTGCAACAATGCTATTCCAGTGAACCGTCTGCGCCAAGAACTTTCTCATTTTCCCACTGACTGGGAGCCATTGGCCCTCCAGAAGCTGTTGAGAGTACAACTCCTTTCATCCCTGAGCATTGGTAATGCTGGATAGGACTGATTGGGTTTGAGGCCCAAAAATATCCAGGGAGCCACAGGTTCCTCTTCCTTGTATTATGGCTTTTAAACAGCAACCAATACAACGTAATAGACTCATGTATGGAAAAGGCTATTTATTAAAATAACAATAAATTTATTGGGCACTAAATTTTCAGAATGTTCTACAGGGCCATTTACTTACCTGGCGACTCAGTTCAGGAAATGTGATACTTTGATAAGGAAAGGAAGGGTCATCTACAATGTGCCAATGAAGGACATTGAACTTGTTAAATGCCATAGCATCCTAAGAGAAAAAAATATGGTGTTTCAGTTAGGTAGCCTGCATGGAGAGGCAAGTAGTTTTTAAAGAGCACTTAGCAAAGTCTTCCTCTCCCCCCCCCCCCCCCCGTAATTGTGTTCTTCAGTGCCATTAATTAGGGCTGCCATACTTCCAAACAATACTGGGATTTCAAAGGCGGAAGTGACGTCCTGTCGGCTGTTTATCCTGAATCTTCAGGAAGTAAACAGAGAAAGCGTGGTGGGTTTTTTTTGTTTTGCATTTTCATAAAATAAAAAGTCAACTGCTTTGGTGTCTTAAAAAAGCTCAAAAACTTTCGGTTTTTCCTGAAAAGCTCAACAACTTTTGGGGGGTCCTGGTTTTTTTACTTTTTGAAATATGGCAACCCTACATAAATCAGAGCAAAGTGACCTTAACATTGCTTTTCCAACACCTACATTATTCTGAAACACCATAACAAAGTGAAGCCTTTACCCCCAATCCTAAATAAAGGTACATTAAATCTGCTGTTAAGGAAGTGCCACTGCAATGCTCTTTGTTTCTCACCATCCATGGTTCCATTACTAAGCAGCCAGTAAAGAAGAAGATTGTAATTGCCTGGCAGTAATATAATTGCTAAAGCAAGCATTCAAGGTCCTTTCCAGATACTGCAGTAGGCTGAGGCGGGAGGGCACAGCCATTTAGAGTAAGCACTTCCCCTGTTTCCTAGCACTGAGTAAAACCCAGGTGCTTGAAATAGCTATCCTTGACCCAGAAAGGACAAATATGCTGAACTGAAAGGAAGCCCCACTCAGAAGGTGCCTGTGCCTTGATCTTCCATGATTTCCTCAGCCTCCTGCACCATTTCCCACCCCATTCAGTCTTTTTTGGGGGGATGTTAGGGATGAGACTCAATGGCTGTCAAGGAGAGAAGGGGTGTGTGAACTTCCATGGGGGGATTTGATTCAAACAATGGACTGAAAGTAGTACTACTTCAGAGTCAGCAACAAGTAATACAACCTGGCTGATTTTTGCCACCAATTACAAAACTGGGTTGATGTTTCTGCTTCCCAGAATTCCCGAGCAACACCAAGTACAAGGCTATTAGTATCACGTATTTCAAGTGATTTGAACTTTAATCATTTTCTTGGTAAGGAAACAGGTGGCTTCATTTAAACTTGCCACAGTAGCGGAAGACAGGTGGGGGAGAACATGCCGATTGCCAACTTACCAAAGTCATTAGGATAGTTTTCAAAGGCAGAAAATGCCTTGAGCTATCAATCAAGATCCCTCGATAAGCAAATCTTGGGAAGTCAGTAATGTCGGATTCATTGACAAATAGCTATTAAAATATAAGAGAGGAAGAGAAGGTTCAACAGGTTCCCAAATTAATTTTTGTGATATGATACTGTAGTAGCAGCAGCTCCCAAACTCTTTTTCACCAAAGACCACTTGAAAATTAATGATTTTTCTACCTGTGGTAGCAACTGTAATTCGCTGTGCTAGATGCTGTATGGTTTTTAATAGTATTTTTTTTTTTTGCTTTTTATTGTATTTTATTGTATTCCATTTAATTCAAAGTGCAATACATTTAAGAAAAATGTAAGGAATAAGAGATGCAATTAGAATTCAAAATGAAAATGGGCTAATACCCAGAATATGACATTGGAATCCCAGTTCTATGGTCTGACATGCAGGTGTAGCCATGCAGTCAGCTATTAGCTCCTGGTCAAAACAGGCAACTGGAGTTATTTCAGCAAGGATATAGCAAGCCAGGGCAGATGCTACAGAACAGATTTAATCTGCTGCTGGTACCCACCGCCTGGTACACTGCAGCTTCCAAACAGTATCTGAGGCAACCTTTGACTCAGAGCAGCCTGAAAAAATGAATAAGCAGTTGCTCAAATCCAAACTTGGGGAAAACTCCAAATTAGCCCACTGTACAATGAAGAGAAATACTCACACTTCCATAGTCGTCTTCATTTACTAACTGACTGAATGTTTCTAAACCTGGAAGTGAAAACAGACTGAACTGTAATCCATAACTGGCAAAGTAAAATGGATGTCATCCAACAGCTACTTTGGATGTTCCAAGGAACCCGAGAGCACAAATGACTAGCACTTTTTTCTAACTTAGCTTCTAGGCTGGCCTTCCAAGGGTTGGCCAGTGGGAGAAGATGGGGCCCCTGTGTGGGAATGTTTGCTTTTCTTATTTTGGGACGGAATGTTTATCTCCAGTGCCTCCTGTATCAGGAACAGTATGAACAGCAGTTGCAGGAATCAAGAGTGGGGAAGAGTGTTGTTCAGGCATTCAGGTCCTGCCTGTGGCCTTCCCAGAGGTTTCTTGGCTGTACACTGTGGGAACAGAATGCTGAAGGAGAAAGATCCAGCAGGGCTCTTCTTACCTCCCTGCAAGGAATATGGACTTCTCTCTACATTGGACAAAATCCCAAAGTTTAAGTCTCCCAACTTGCTTCTTTATCACCACTTTTTAAATGTTTGGAGAAGCTCCACCCTTTTTCATTTTGTTTTGAGTCATAAAGATAAGATGATGGCCACCACTATTAAATATCTCTAACACACAAACCACTTATGGCTGATTTACACAAGAAAATTTGGGGCTCCTATTCCAACCAAGACAGAGATTGTGTTCCCCCAGATTACAACACACACCACTGCAAAACAGGCCATGTCACTCCGGCTTCAGCCATGACTGTAAGTTGCTGAATTCTGCAGCTTAGAGGGGTGCCATGGAGAATGCCCTTTCTTGGGCCAACACCCCCACCCCTGAGCCACTGAAGGCGATGGAAACACGAAGGGAGCCCCCTCTGCTGAGAGGGCCCGTTGGAAGGAGAAGACCTTTCATTACTCACCTCTCAACGCTCCCCAAACTTTGTTTGCCTTCAGCACAGCTGTAGGTCCTGATACCTGGAGCTGATCTTTAAGAGCAAATGACAATTATGAGTTTTAGTAATGAAAATATCAGTTTACTTATAAAGACAACCAATTATAAGAATTTGGGAGCAGTCCTGCACAAAGGCTGCTTATATCCAAATGAAGTCAGGGTGTCTTAAGCAGTCTTTGGCTTGGAACTGAAAATACATTCACGGAAGGAAGTTCAGCCATCCTCTCCTTCAATTTCAGCAACCATCTTGCCCCATGAAAAGCTTGTTCAAGAGGGGCCTCTCCCCTCCAGAGAACGTGGGGTGGTGTTTGGGAGGTTGCAGGGCAAAGAGGGCATGGGAAATTTTCCTTTCATTAACTTCTGCAAGTTAATTTGTATCAGGATCTAAGCCTAATCTCAGGCAACTTTCCTCTACCCACCCCCCAGTCCTCTAGACAAGCTTTAGGGTGGCCAGTGTGGCAGGAACTCCCTAGGTTGGCTAATCTTAGGATCCAAACCTATGGGGTTGGATTGCAACACTGATAATAAGCTAGTCGTTTTAAGTCCTAGGTGCCTTTTTAAAGTAAAGCTGACCATTGGCAATTAAGGAAAGGTGAAAATTAATTCTAGTGCACCTCTGGTCTTCATGTAACTATAAAATGACTTGTAGGAATAAGGATTTCTCCAAGTCAGGCCTGCATCACTTGTGGCCCCAACACAGCATCCCAAGCCACATACTACAGCCACCTGAATGCTGCTTAACGACTCCTCTGTTTTTGCACTAACAACAGCAAAAGCCCTGATAGGGCTACAAAGGTGACTGTGATGTTGTGCAAGCTTACTCTGAGCAGTTTCTTAAAAACATCCACACTGCTGAACAAAAATGCAAGCGGAAGTGTGCCGTTATTTTAGAAATCACTTATTTCCTGCGTCAGAGAGAAGCATGCACCATCACTCTTGGCTGCCTAAGTGTCATGATGATGCACGCTTCTCAATTAAAATAAGCCAAACACCATTTCATCTGCACAGCCAGCAATCTTTTAAAACAGGTTGGGAACTTTTTTCAGCTTGAGCGCTACATTCTCTTCTGGGGGCCAGAGGCAAAAGTGGGTGCAGAAATTGCTGTTGTTGTTACCCTGCCCATCTGACTAGGTTGCTGCAGCCTCTCTGGGCAGCTTCCGACAGAATATAAAAACACAACAATGACTGGCCCAAAGCCACTCAGTGAACTTCATGCCTGCATGGGGATTTGAACCCTTGTCTCTGTTAGGATATTTCCGTTCCACCTTAAAAGGGAGCAGGCTTTGTGAGTCAGAGTCTGCGTATTTCCTGTTCACAGGATGTTTATGTTTTCTGTTGCTTTCGTTTTCTCTCGGTGTCGCAGACACTAAATCAGCAGGCAGTCATGTTTTTCTGTGTTCTGATCAACGCCGAATAAACTTGTAAATAATGCTCTCCTGAGTGCAACTTTTGGCTGTGCTAATTGCTGATAGAGCGTGCATGAGCTCTAGAATGTGGCAAGATATTTTCTAGAAACTCATGTCGCTGCGTGCCTACGGGAGGTCGATGGATCGTCCGGCAGACGGCTTGGGGGCCATGATGGACTTTATCTCCCTGGCAGTATCCCAACAGTCTCCCAGGTCCTAGTCCGACCCTCTAACTATGATATGACACTGGCTCCTTAGCACTAAGTAACTGGTTCCATTGGTGCAAGGATTTCTCTTTGCGCAACGGAACGTTTTCCACCTCTCCTCCACCAACTTCCCCCCTAAATCTGTTCTGGGGGCTCCCCCAGTACTCTGGAGCAGATTTGGTTCAACTGTTTGGTTCAATTCCACCCTTCCTGCTCCAAAGCTCAGCACATCAGGAGAAGACACCCCCTGCTGCTGCCCCAGTCCTTCATGCCACACTGTAATCCCTTCATGGCCTAGGACCCTCGTACCTACGGGACCGCCTCTCCCAGTATGCCCCACAGAGGACCTTAAGGTCCATAAATAGCAATACCCTAGTGGTCCCAGGCCCTAAGGAAGTTAGATTGGCTTAAACCAGAGTCAGGGCCTTTTCAACACTGGCTCCGGCCTGGTGGAACGCTCTTCTCACGAGACCAGGGCCCTGCAGGATCTGATTTCTTTCTGCAGGGCCTGTAAGAGTTGTTCCGCCTGGCCTTTGGCTTGGAGCCAATTTGATTCCCTCCCCCTCTTTCTTTTTCCTTTCTCCTCCTGTGATGAGGCTGCATTTTAATATTTTAATGTTTCAATATTTAAATGTTGTAATTTAATCTTGTTTTTAAGTTGTATTCATTCAACTTGTTTTTATTATTGCTTGTTAGCCGCCCTGAGCCCAGCCTTGGCTGGGGAGGGCGGGGTATAAATAAAAATTATTATTATTATTATTATTACTACTACTACTACTACTACATGGGAGCTATGTCCTGGGGATCGTGCCTAAAGCCAAAATCGCATATAGTCCAAACACACTGGGTACAATGGTGGGTGGGATTGCCAAAGTCTTTTCCCCACCCCCTTTCTATTTAATTAACTGCCAAGCGCGTAAAGCTGAATGCACACATGGAGCAGGGAGAAGAAGCCCAAGTCTCCAAACAATGGGGGGGGGGGGAGTGTATCCTACTGGGCTCTGGAGCAGGGAAAAGCAGCACAACTATCTTGTCCTACCTCTGTCTGCTTCAAAGCCCTGGATGAGGACCTGAGATTCCCCTTCCAATGCCCTCCCCTGAGACTGACAGTAGCCACAAACAACATTAGATGACTAAGCCAAGGAAAAGGAGAACTGAAATGAGAAGTAGAACCTTCCAAAGAGGCAGTCCTGCCTTCCTGTATTTCTGCTCTCACCAGCTCCAGTCCACAGAAAGCCAGTAATTCTGACACCCTATTGATTTCAATGGCATTTCTGTGACAAACTTTCTTTGGATCAGGGTCATCCTATATATCCAGTAGGCACAGCATACCTACAAATATTCTGTAATATTTACAAACAGTTTCTCCCTGCTCCCGTCTGCCCGGTATAGCCATCCTCAAAATATGCCCATTCCTGTGAACACAGGAAAACTAGGAAAATGTAAACAAGCACCTTCAGAACTTGCAAGACACTACTCCTATACACAGTGGTACCTCGGGTTAAGTACTTAATTCATTCCGGAGGTCTGTTCTTAACCTGAAACTGTTCTTAACCTGAAGCACCACTTTAGCTAATGGGGCTTCCTGCTGCCGCCGTGCCATCGGAGCACGATTTCTGTTCTCATCCTGAAGCAAAGTTCTTAACCTGAAGCACTATTTCTGGGTTAGTGGAGTCTGTAACCTAAAGCGAATATAACCTGAAGCGTATGTAACCTGAGGTACCACTGTATTTAAATCAGTAGAATCGTCACTATTTATCCAAAATCTGGAAATCAAGACTGCCTCATTATCTCACAGGCACCATCGCTATAACACAAAGCAATTTTTATTTTTTAAAAAAAATTAGCCCACCATTTGGATTACGTTCTCCAGGGAGCTTATGAAATAAAACACGCAACAGTTTCCATAAAGCAATGAACATAAAAACAAAGGCTATGCTTTTTACAAAACAAACAAACCCACCCCAAGACAGCCCAATGCATATAATTGCCTCTATCTCCAAAACTTACTCAATTGTGTATTCTTATGCAATCAAAACAACACAAACCATTCAAAAGAAGGAAGCCTCATCAGGTCTGGATGAACCCGAAGGTTTGCAAAATTACAAAAGATGTTTAGCACAAACCCTCAGCAGGGACCCCAAAATAGCCTAATGAGGATTGAGTATATTCATTGACTATGGAATGCAAATTGTTCAGGGCAAAAAAAATTTTTTAAAAAGGAATGGCTCAGGGCTGGAAAACTGATTAGGAGTGTTCCATGCTAAAATATTCTGTGGAGGCTCCACCTCTGTTCTTCTAAACTTCCAGTTACACAGGTGTAATCAGTTTCAATTGATGAGGAAGAATCAGCAATGTGACTGGGTATATATTGGATTACTCCATAAAGCACCAACAAGTGTCAGGCATTTGTTCCTGATTTTCCAGAATGCAAGTCTCCACACCCATAAATTAGCACCCAAACCAATCTTGGTTAATAGGAAAAAATGTATCAAAATTATGAATACAGTACAGATATTAATACCAGTGAGACACAATCAAGACTTATTTTTAACTGAGTCAATCTATTTTCTTCAATTACTCACAGGATAAAAGTTCATTATTATAGCCAGCTGTGTATGCTAGGGGAAAAAACCAGTGTCTACAAGCCAAACCAGTATAAGAAATAAGATGATCTGGTGTGGGAAACCTATAGCCTCTCAGATGTTGTTGGACTTCAACCCCATCAGTCCCAGTTAGCATGGTCAATGGTCAAGAAGGATGATGGGAATTGGAGGAGAGGGTCCAGTAATATCTGGAAGGCCAGAGTTTCCCCACCCTGATCAATAGAACACTGTAATTAATCCACAGCTAGGAAGGAAGAAGGCGCTACACACATTTACACCATCAGATACTTACAAGATTCATCAGATGCGATGCTGGGAAATTTATCACATTCAGAATCTTCTGAAGTAATAATCACCTGAAGCGAAGATAGCTCCGTTTCCAAAAGAGGTTTCATCTCATCACCATTCTGCCACTTGGAATACCCAAATATGTATTCATAGTACCTGGAAGTGAACCCAGAAAGATGTTATGCACAGCATAAATCTATATGTTCCAACAAGATCTTTGTTAGGGGAGGCAGGTCTTTTGTGTGTGGGGGGGGAGAACCTAAGTTTGCTATGTATTTTTATTGATGGGAGCAGCTGTCCCTCCTTGGCTACACCCATGTATTCCAGTTTGACTACATTTCTTACCGACTGAGCTCCTATCAGGCTTGGCTAACCTGTGATCCTCCAGATGTTGCTGGATAGCAACTCCCATCATCCCTGATCACTGGCCATGCTGCCTGGCGCTAATGAGTTTTGGGAGTCCAACAACATCTGGCACAAGATTAGCAATCCCTGATTTATAGAAATGCTTCCTTACACAGCCTTACAGAAAGCACAAGTAGGATGAGTGCAGTTTTTAAACACCATCTTGACTTGAAGTTGATACAGAGTGTGAATTGAGGGATGGGCATATTTTGCAAACCCATGTGTTGGTCAGGATAGCAGTATGTGCCAGATGAAAATATGCAAGCTGCTTTGACATATTTTGAAAGAATAACTCCTCACTAGGATGGTTTAGACAAGTAGATTTTCAAGCTGCCTTCTGGACAATCCTAAAATTTTATCAGGAGTTTCACTGAGAAGGTTACGGGAACACTAGAAGTGGCCTTCTTAAACAGAGTCAAAACATTCTTCTGCCTGGGCTCAGTGCTGTCACCCCATATGCAAGGCTGGAGCCAGCATGAAGCTGGGTGAAGCAATTAGCTTCGGGAAGCAGATCCGACCCCTGCCCTTCCCTGCCTCTGTGCCACTACCAGCCCCACTGAGGCTTCGCCTGTGCCACTGCTGCCACAGCGCCTTGCCCTCACTGCTGCCGCAGCATCATAACAGCAGCGTGGGTGCAGCTTCAGGGAAATTATGATTAAAACTACAGTGGTACCTTGGGTTACATACACTTCAGGTTACATACACTTCAGGTTACAGACTCCGCTAACCCAGAAATAGTGCTTCAGGTTAAGAACTTTGCTTCAGGATGAGAACAGAAATAGTGCTCTGGCAACGCAGCAGCAGCAGCAGCAGCAGCAGCAGCAGGAGGAGGAGGCCCCATTAGCTAAAGTGGTGCTTCAGGTTATGAACAGTTTCAGGTTAAATACGGACCTCCGGAACGAATTAAGTACTTAACCCGAGGTACCACTGTATTTCAGTTGAGGGTACAAAGGGTACAAGGCTGTTGGCAGTGGGGGCAAAAAGGTCCTGATCTGTGGCAGGCAGGAAGGTGATGTGTGTGTGTGAGTGTGTGTGAGCAGCAAGATGTTTCCTACAGTGGTAAAATGTTTTGGGCTGCCCCTGGTTGTATAGCAGTGGCTCACCAAGGTTTCAAAACAAGAGTCTTTCGTGGCCCTACGTGGAGATTCTGTAGACGGGATCTGGGGCCGCAGCCCTTCCCCAAAGGTCAATCTTTCTTGGGAGACAGAAATTTCACAATATTCTATGGGAATGTGCAGTCCCACAATTGTGTTGGGCATGCACTTTTCCATTTACACAGCAAAACAAGGACAGGCTATAAGGTCTGGACAGCATGCTGCTTGAACTGGATGTGCTCCCTAAAAACAAACCATTCCATGAGGTACCAACATTGCCACAGCAAGGCAAGTCTGAACACACGCAAACCTGGTCCAGTTGTAATGGATCTTGACAACCTTCCACACTAGGTTTACCAAAGTCACTCAAGATCAAGATCCACAATCCAAAACATTGTCCATTTTGTTTCCCTAACTGCCTTGTGTTTTTGGCTATATCTACTGTATCAGGAAGGGGAACTTCCTTGTTTGTAATACTTTAAACTATGTGTTGTAAACTAATAAAGTGTAATTTTTTAAATAATAAAAAGAAAAGGTTTGAAAGCCACTGTTTTACTTCATCAGGATGATTATTTCCTTGTTTGTATAAACAGCAGTGTTTAGGGTACTAGTGTTTGCTCATTTTGTTGAAAAATTCACATGACACTGGCCATCATTCAACACAAGATTCATTGGCGTGTGTAGCCAATGAATCCAAGCACACCTATCTCTGTGCAAGTTCACACGACAACCCTGTTCTTGTTTACATGACCATTATTTATCCTATGGTGAAAGAGGCAACTAAAGAAACTTTGATCCTGTCAAAAGATACTGACTCATATAATTTCAGCTGATGCCCTTAGGTTATCCAAGCAGCAATTACGGTACTCTCCAACTACCCATTCAAAAGGGAAGAGAGCAAGTAAGGTTAACAAAATAGAACCTGGTGGTTGGTGGCTCACTGAAGAACAATGGATACTTCTGACACCAAATTTGTATAAGCTCTTTTTTCATTTTTGATGCTAGAAAATAAAAAATATTCTGTGCAACTCTACTGTTGAGAACAGATCCTCCAACTATTCATATTAGGTAAGAATAGCTCCACTCTCTCTTATCTGTTTTCATTTAGAAGGCGGTTCTCTCTCAACTTAAGGTTAGCTGATTTTTTTTTCTTATGTCAAGGTTTTTTGTGTCATTCTTTTATTATCTATTAGATTTCTATCCTGCCCTTCCTTCCCAAAGAGCTTAGGACTCAGTGAATAGATGGAAGACAGGCATGAATCCTGTCCCTTTAAAAATTCTCCAGGCAAGAGAATTTGGAGCAGGTGCAAATTGTCATGGCAAAGTATTACAGGTGAGAGAGATGCCGTTATGGTGAGATTTCCCTTGCCTACATACACAAACACTCAAAGGTACAGGAGCTCCACCCCCTTTGCATCTGTTTTCATTTAAAGGACGGTTCTCTCTCAACTTAAGGGTAGCCATTTTTTTTTTCTTATGTCAGGGTTTTTTGTGTCAGTCTTTTATTATCAGATTTCTATCCTGGCCTTCCTCCCAAAAGAACTTAGGTCTGCAAACAACCAAGCAGCAGAACACCACATACGGTATATATAGTTGCTGTGGTGAACAGCAGCATTTTCAAATTGCTCCTGAATGTTAGTAACAAAAGAGATGGGATGGGCACATCTTAACACTGAAGATAAGACCCAGAGAGCCTTCCATCAGCTTCGGCTGGTTGCCCAGCTACACTCTTATCTGGACAGGGATAGCCTAACTACTGTTGTCTGTGCTCTGGTAACCTCAAGGTTAGATTACTGCAATGCATTATACGTAGGGCTGCCTTTGAAGACGGTCCAGAAACTTCAGCTAGTGCAAAATTCAGCAGCCACGTTGCTCACCGGAGCAAGATGGTTTGAGCATATTACACTGATCCTGGTCTGCCTCTTTCCACATGAACCTACCCTGACCCTGAGATCATCTTCTGAGGCCCTTCTTTGTGTGCCTTCTCCTCGAGAGGCCCAGAGGGTGGTAACACGAGAAGGGGCCTTCTCTGCAGTGGCTCCCTGTCTGTGGAATGCTCTCCCCAGGGAAGTTCACCTGGTGCCTTCATAATACACCTTCAGGCACCAGGCAAAAAGGTTCCCTTTTAAGCTTCAGTTGATTTGTTTGACATCCTATGCCCTTTTAAAATGTTGGGTTGGGGGGGTTATTGGGTTGTTTTTATTTTGATTATATATTTTGTGGTTTTATATTTTGATTCTGTTCTGTGAACTGCCCTGAGACCTTCAGGTATAGGGTGGTATATAAATTCAATAAATAATAATTTAAAAGCTACACATTTAAAGAACATCATGCCTCCTAAGAGAGACACAAGGGGTTGTTTAGGGTGCTGATACCTGAAGCTCTATGCAAGCTACAATTCCCATGATTTTTCTTTCTGTGGTAGGAGGAGGGAAGATGTACATGCTCTTAAATGGATGGCATGCATCTACACATCGGGTCAACGCGTCCCGTCAGATTTTACATGCCGCGGGAGAAAAACACAACAGCCCTTCCGGGAGGAAGACAAGAGAACTCGCGCGGGTGCAGCTTGCAAGAGCTGAGGTACAGCAGGGTGGCTTGGGCTGGGGCTACGAGGAGGCAGCCCTGCCCCAGTTGAAACCGAAAGCTCTCGCAGCTCACCTCCGGAACGCATCTTGCAGTAAGGAGCAGCTCGGCCCCGCCGAGGAGCCCGGGCCGTGGACGATCTGGAACCGCTTGGGCGCCAGCTGCAGCCGGGCTGCGGAGACGCGGAGCGAGCGGGGCAGCGGCCAGAGGGAGACGGAGGAGGAAGCCGCGCTGGGCGGCCTCGCCGCCTCCGGGCCCCAAAGCAGCTCCTCGGCTTCAGGCGGCCCCTGCGGCTGGTGCGCGAACGAGGAGGCAGCCAGCGCCGCCGAGACCCACAGCACCACCGCCAGCAGCTCCATGGCTCCTCTGGCTGCCGGCAGCCCAGGACCGCCGAGGTCTCCCAGCCGCCGCAGTCACCTGATGGACAGGGGGCCGGGCTCTCTCCGGCAACGCCCAGCGCCGAAGCCTTACTCATCCTACTTGCACGCCCCGAGGAGGAGGTGTCCCCGGGGGCCCCCAAGAGTTGCTCCTCGAGAGGAAGAGGCAGGCCGAGTTTGTGCTCAGGGAGAGGGGCTCCCCCCCCCCGGCCGTCTTCCGGCCGCCCTACTTCCCAGGCTAAGGAAAGGCGAACGCTCGAGAAGGGCGGATTACAAAACAATGGCAGCTCTGTTCTCTCCCACCCGCGCCGCTCTCCCACTGAGGCGTGGAGACGAGGCTTGTCCGGAGACAACCCAAAGGCATTTTGAACCCGGAGGCAACCCCCCTCCAAATAATATCATTATTACTATTACTATTACTATTACTATTACTATTACTATTACTATTTAGCTGCTCTTCACCCTAAGGTCTCCCAGGGCTGGTTACAGCACTAACATGGATTGACTTAAGGGCCAGTCCTTGTCTTTTTAAAAAGACGATTAAATGCATTTATTGTACGCCGTTAACATTTTTTTTTGAAACAAACTACACTTTCCAACATTAAAGGGCCCCATTACCTTCAGTAGCTTAGGGCCTCATGAAACCTAAATCTGGCCCTGCTTCTGCACATGGCTTCTCTGCTCTTTCAGATCATCTGAAATGGGTTGAATTGACTGCGAACATTTATGGCAATGAACATAAGTAATATGGAAGGTTACATGAAAAGTGAGGAGATCAAATGAAAGCAAGGAAATGTATTTGTGAGCACTGAGTCACAATTCTGCTGGAGCAGTAAACACATGGTCTCCGTAAAGATTACCGTATTTTTCGCCCTATAGGACACACCTAGATTTTGGGGGGGGGGAAATAAAGGAAATTTTTTTTATTCCCCCCCCAGGTGCGGGGCTGGGGCGGGAGAAGCCCGAGCTTCCCCCTGCCCCAGCCCCCAGAACAGGACCCAGAGCGATGCCGAAGCTGCGTGCAGCTTTGGCATCGCTCTGGGAGCTTGCGGGGCTGGCGACGGGGAGGAGCAGGCTTCTCCCCCCCCCGCCAGCCTTCTAACCAAGTCGGGGGACAGCGGGAAAGGCGCGCTGCACCTCCTCGCTGTCCCCCGAGCTTGTGGGGCTGGCGGTGGGGCTCTCCTGAAGCCCGGAGAGCGAGAGGGGTCGGTGCGCACCGACCCCTCTCGCTCTCCAGGCTTCAGCGAAAGCCTGCATGTGCCCCATAGGACGCACACACATTTCCCCTTCGTTTCTGGAGTGGGGAAAGTGTGTCCTATAGGGCGAAAAATACGGTAGATTTTTCACGTTTGCCCCTTTTCTAGCCATTATGATCAGCAGCTTTCCTAACATTGTGTTTCCATACTAGCAAAAGCTACAACTGCCTGTCAAGCAGCTGCTAAGAGAGAATGCCACAATCAAGAAATAAGATGGAAAACTCCCCCCCCCCGCCCCCGTGGTTGTATGTCAAATTCAAGAACTCTGGATACTGTCAGGGAAGAATGTTCTGTCAGCATCCCTCATCATTGTGTTGTGAAGCTGGAATTCATTTATTAGCACATTGTTTTGAGAAAGCATAGAATCATAGAATCATAGAGTTGGAAGAGACCACAAGGGCCATCGAGTCCAACCCCCTGCCAAGCAGGAAACACCATCAGAGCACTCCTGACATATGGTTGTCAAGCCTCTGCTTAAAGACCTCCAAAGAAGGAGACTCCATCACACTCCTTGGCAGCAAATTCCACTGTCAAACAGCTCTTACTGTCAGGAAGTTCTTCCTAATGTTTAGGTGGAATCTTCTTTCTTGTAGTTTGGATCCATTGCTCCGTGTCCGCTTCTCTGGAGCAGCAGAAAACAACCTTTCTCCCTCCTCTATGTGACATCCTTTTATATATTTGAACATGGCTATCATATCACCCCTTAACCTCCTCTTCTCCAGGCTAAACATGCCCAGCTCCCTTAGCCGTTCCTCATATCGTTTCCAGGCCTTTGACCATTTTGGTTGCCCTCCTCTGGACACGTTCCAGTTTGTCAGTGTCCTTCTTGAACTGTGGTGCCCAGAACTGGACACAGTACTCCAGGTGAGGTCTGACCAGAGCAGAATACAGTGGCACTATTACTTCCCTTGATCTAGATGCTATACTCCTATTGATGCAGCCCAGAATTGCATTGGCTTTTTTAGCTGCCGTGTCACACTGTTGGCTCATGTCAAGTTTGTGGTCAACCAAGACTCCTAGATCCAGTGGCTTGAATTAATTAATTTTATAATGAATGATTTTAGAGTGTTGTTTATGCTGTACTTTTGTATTGTTTTATTGTTGTTAGCCGCCCTGAGCCTGGCTTCGGCTGGGGAGGGCGGGATAGAAATAAAATTTATTATTATTATTATTAAAACTCCCAACAGACATGTCCAAGACAATTGGGCTGGGGCATTATTGTAGTTATTTCTATCAATTATGATTGCACAAATTTGAAGACATAATGGCAAAAGATGTTGTGTGTGTTCCTAGATTGCCCATTCTGCTACACATACCCCAAATCTAGAAAGGTTTGCTTAAGAATAATATCATTATTAAGACCATAAGTGCATGATTTGATTTTGCTCATTTCTGGATTTGGGACCTCAACACTGCAGTCAGGTTTCAAGTTTACCTCTGCAACTTGAAATAAGAATCTTGGGACTTGATCTACAGCTAGATTAAGGATAAAGGTAAAGGAACCCCTGACCGTTAGGTCCAGTTGCGGACGACTCTGGGGTTGCGGCGCTCATCTCGCTTTACTGGCCGAGGCAGCCGGCGTTTGTCCGCAGACAGATTCCAGGTCATGTGGCCAGCATGACTAAGCTGCTTCTGGCGAACCAGAGCAGTGCACGGAAACGCCATTTACCTTCCCACCGGAGCAGTACCTATTTATCTACTTGCACTTTGATGTGCTTTCAAACTGCTAGGTTGGCAGGAGCAGGGACCGAGCAATGGGAGCTCACCCCGTCGCGGGGATTCGAACCGCCAACCTTCTGATCAGCAAGTCCTAGGCTCTGTGGTTTAGACCAGTGTTTTTCAACCTTTTTTGGGCAAAGGCACACTTGTTTCATGAAAAAAATCACGAGGCACACCACCATTAGAAAATGTTAAAAAAATTAACTCTGTGCCTATATTGACTACATATAAAGTAATTCTCTTGAATAGGAATCAAATAAACACAAAGAAAGTATTTTATAATTACTTTATTATGAAATAGTAAGTAAAGAGAAATATGAAAAATTATAAAATACTTTATTCAGTGCGCAACCTGGAATAGGCATGGCACAAGTGATGAAATAGGCATGGCACAGATGGTATAGGCATGGCACAGATGGTATAGGCATGAGGAGGAAGAGGACTGACAGGAGGACTCACTTACTGGGCTGCTGCTGCTGCACAGGGCTGGACTCACTCGTCTCTCTTCCGAGACCCGACCATGACTGACTGGTTCCAGATGACCTCCTCACCTCACGCTGCACCTGCGGCCTGGTCTGGATCCGGATGCGGTCTCTCTGCAGTGCCGACTCCCGCCGAGTCCTGGTCTCCGTCCATCTCCTCCTGCTCCGGTCCTCCTGGTGACTCGAATCGCGACGTCTTCTTCTCTCCGCTGCTGCACACACTGTGCTCGGGCGGGAAGGAAGTCGGAAGGTGATGTCCTACTGTGATAGGTCCAGGCTGGAGTCTGGACCAATCACAGCCCGGACATCAGAAAAGTGGAGGGTGTCCCCCTGAGGAGCGCCAATCGGCGCCCCTGCTGGCCGAGGGTGGGGTCAAAAACCCTACCCCACCCCATACCCAGGACACAGTCCGGCGCCCGCCTAGTGGGCGAAAATTTGACATTTTTTAAAAAAAAATCTTTCGAATTTTTCAATTTTTCCCACGGCACACCAGGCAACATCTTGCAGCACACTAGTGTGCCGCGGAACAGTGGTTGAAAAACACTGGTTTAGACCACAGTGCCACCCACGTCCCTAAAGCTACGGTAGATTATCTGATTAATTTTGGCCACAAGGCAGTTTTCCCTGGTTATTTTCATGGGATTAAAAGCTTTGTTCAGGTTTCCAACCCTCCAAGAGAGCAGACATTTGCCTGGCATGATAATTACCAGATTTCACTGTTTGGAAGCATAGGCATTACAGTGGTACCTCGGGTTACAGACGCTTCAGGTTACAGACTCCACTAACCCAGAAATAGTACCCCGGGTTAAGTACTTTGCATCAGGATGAGAACAGAAATCGTGCTCTGGCGCCGTGGCAGCAGGGGGAGGCCCCATTAGCTAAAGTGGTACCTCAGGTTAAGAACAGTTTCAGGTTAAGAACAGTTTCCAGAACGAATTAAGTTCTTAACCTGAGGTACCACTGTACACAGCCTGGAACCATATCATCTGATATAGCAGAGACTGAAGTGCAGAGTACGATGCCCACCCAGCAGAGCTGGCCCAAGACATTTTGTCACCTGAGGCGAACCACAAAATAGCACCCCTATGCCTGCCAGGGAAGAAGGGACAAGGACGTGCACCAGAGACGGATATAAAGATCTATGTCAGGCTCTGCTGCACCTGTGGATCCTGCCGCCTGAAGCAGTCATGTTACCTTGCCTCAAAGATGGGCCAAACCTTGCCACTCAGTAAATAACTTAAAACAAACCCACCATTCACCTACCAAAACTGTCTGAAGAAACAGAGTTCCCATATTCACTAAAACAGCTCTTCTAGTTTTCCCATTTGCTATTACCCCAAACATTTTCCCTTAAATGAGATGATAGCCCTCAGTTCTTACACCTCAAGAGGCAACTGATCTATAGCTAAATCTGTATCCAACCTATATCCAAAAGCGGGTTAATGAGAAGGTAGCAAATTGGATACAAAACTATCTGGTGAGGATTCGGATGGGATGCCAGTGATGAAACAAAGCTAAACATTGCAAAGGTGGTCTGCTTTTGCTATGCTGTTGAATACAAAGAAGCATGAGAAACGAAAGCTTAATCCCTTGAATGGCTACTACATCTCAGGCAGAAGGTATGCACCAAGTAGGTCAAGAATAATGACACAGGCCTGGAAATACTCAAATTAATACAACAAAATTGCATGCATAAACAGGAAGTCAAACATGGCATGAATCAGATTGGGTAAACACATAGTTCTTTAGAAGACATCAGATGAATCCGAGACTTCAACAAATACTGCTTTAACTAATTATAATCTTTGCAGTAGCCAATCCTAACTATGCAATTATGTAAATCACAGCTGTCACCCACACATGTAACCACACACCCCAGGTCCACCTAAGCCTTCACTTCATAAGATATAATTGCTTAAACATCCCTGGGATCTGAACACATAAATAAGGGCTGGTTACAGGTTTCTGTGTGCTCTTACAAAAGGGACCCACAAAAGGCAGTTAGGTCTTTCAGATGATGGTTTCATAATCAAACTTTAAAAAAAACTAACATCCTAACTATTGTATGGACCGAACTTACTGTAACACAAATGCTGGTCATTCAGAGCAATTAGCCAACTGATCAATAATTCTTATTACTTTTTTGGCAAGCAGAACGTCTAGGACAAGACTGGGGAACGTTTGGTCCAGCTGATGCTGCTGAACTACAGCTTCCATCATCCCTTGCCATTGACCATGCTTTCTGGGGCTGATGGGAGGTGAAGTCCATCAACATCCAGAGGGTTCCTGCTCTAGGATGAGACCCAGAAAAAGAACACAAATGGTATCATACTGGGCAGACGTGAAGGGAGCAGTGAGAGAGAAGGACAGCTGTTTATGAATGTCCCATCATGTTCCCTGTTACTGGTCTCCACTCCAGATGGTGGATAAAGCTATCAATGGCTACTACTTGTTTTTAATGTTGTAACCCACCCTGGGACCTTAGGGTGAAGGCCGGGTAGTAAATAAAGAAATAAATAAAACTGATAATTGTTGTTTGTTGGCATCCGTCTGTCTCAGGAGACTAGTGGAGTGTGCCTTTGTGGGCAAAGCCAAACTGTTGAGATGTTACAGCGCTGGCTGTGTCTGTAGAGAAGGGTCAGTAAACTTTTTCAGCCGGGGGCTGGTCCACTGTCCCTCAGACATTGTGGGGGGGGCAGACTATAAGCCATCCCCCCATGACTCTCCCCTCCCTTCTCCACAACACCGGACGAGCCCAGGTGGCTGCTTACTTGTGTCTTGAGAGCAGCAGGGGCTGGTGGCGGCGGAGGGACAATGAGCGGTGCGTGAAAGGGCTCTGGAGAGGGGCTACTTAAAATGGCGGCCGCTTGAGCACTGCTGCTGCTGGCACCAACAAAACCCAGCCCCCTTCCTCTTCTAGGCAGGGTGGGGAGAAGCCAGGAGGGAGGAGGCGCCACCGCTGCTGTGTGAGGGAGAGGGAAAGAACGCACACGCTGGTGATCCACACAGGGATTCCCGGACTGTCCACGGGTCAGATTCAGAAGGCAATTGGGCCTGATCCGGCCCGCGGGCCTTAGTGTGCCGACCAATGCTGTAGAGACTGATATGAAAGAGACGTGTTTCATTGCAGCTGGGGCAGATGAAGGCGTCCGGTTGTGCTGCTGTAGATGCACCACGGCGTTTCTTCTCTCTGTGTTCTTCCCAGCAGTCACTTCCGCTCTGGTCACTGCTATGGATGCACAAGTTGACTGTCTGTCTCCAGGCACTGCGGTCGTCTGCAAGGGATTCCCACATGGCAGAGTTGATGTTGCCAGGCTTCATGTCATGTTTGCAGAATTCTTTGTAATGCAGAGTTGGTCTGCCAATGGGCCTGGTGCCTGAAGCCAGCACCCTGTTCAGCATGTCCCTGGGGATCCTGCCATCTTCCATTCTGTGGACATGACCAAGCCAGTGTAGACATTGCTGAGACAGGAGTGTGAACATACTGGGAATGTGGGCTTGGAATAAACTCCTTCTCCTCCTCCTCCTCCTCCTCCTCCTCCTCCTCCTCCTCCTCCTCCTCCTCCTCACAATAGCCTTGTTCTACCTTAATTGTGGGAAGTACCGGTAGCATGCCTCTGAATACCAGTTGTTGAGAATCACAGGTGCAGAGACAATCAAGGATACGGACACGGGGACACACACACACGCGCGCGCGCGGAGAGGAAGAGCGAGTTCTGTCAGCTTCACCACAGATCAGTTCCTGAATTCTGATCAGTTTGGCAACTGTACACATCATAGCATCTCAGTGCTGCGGGGAAGTGGTCCCACTCATACACTGCTAAAGGCCACAGAAATGCCAGAAGCAAAGGTAGGAATCCATATAATGAACTTACTTGAACTAGGTAGTTTTCTGTGTATTCCTGACTAAAGTGGAAATATTATGAGGAACAGACTTACTAATATTATGAACACTATTTGGAGAAATTCACCTACTTCATTATAAATGGCATATGAGAAGCTTGTCAAACATGGAAGCCTGATTGTAGCTCACACTACACCAACATAAAACTTTTGTGAATCATTTTGAAGGTTCCAAATGAGAAGACAGAGTCATCAGTGTAAAATCTCAACCAGCAGGTGGCAATATACACCTATGAGTTTTGTAGGTTGCTTTCAGTTCCTTTCAGGTACAGTAGTACCTTGGTTCTCAAACACCTTGGTACTCAAATGCCTTGGTTCTCAAACACCGAAAACCCGGAAGTAAGTGTTCCGGTTTTCTAATGTTTTTCGGAAGCTGAACCTCTGATGTGGCTGTCGGCTATTGTTTCTAGGGCGCCTGCACCAATCAGAAGCTGCACATTGGTTTGCAAACATTTCAGAAGTCAAACGGACTTCCAGAATGGATTGAGTTTGGTGCTTTTGTTTTTGCTATTTATCTTGCCTTTTTGTTTTTGAGGCTTTTTTGGTTAATTTGTTTTTGTGACTGTGTGGAACCCAGTTTAGCTACTGATTGATTGATTGATTGATTGACTGATTGTGTGACTGCAGAAATGGATAAAAGCCTCCCATCCAAACTGACTATCATCAGTGCAGGTAAGAAAAAAAATAATTTTATTATTTCTAATCTACAATACTGCCTTATTTATTTTATAGTACAGTACATTGATTATTGCTTTCATTTTATGGATCAATGGCCTCGTTAGTAAAATTCATGTTAAATTGCTGTTTTAGGGGTTGTTTTTAAAAGTCTGGAACAGATTAATCCGTTTTGCATTACTTTCTATGGGAAAGCGCGCCTTGGTTTCGGAATGCTTTGGTTTTGGAACGGACTTCTGGAACAGATTCAGTTTGAGAACTAAGGTAGTACTGTAGGATAAACTGTGGAATGAGCTTTTTTTGGGGTTGCCAAACCCTGAAACAATCAGGGTTTGGTTAGGTGTGCAAAAATTAGTTCATCAGTCCTCAGCCGCCTCTCATTCTCCACCCTCAGCCTTATGGCTATCTTGGAAACATGTTCCTGGAATCTTGCATTGTTGTACACATACATCAGCAGCCCTTTGTAAAGTAGGGTGTCTGGTCGTAAAAAAGGGGGGGCAGGCCTCCCACACCTTTGAAAGTTGTGACAAATAAAGAATTTCAGTTGGTGAAATTCCCTCACTTGCTGAAATGCCCTCTTCAACGTAAGTATTAAAAACCCAGGACTCTGTCCTCTTTTGTAATTGGCCAGAGGGAAGGTAAATGGCATTTCCGTGCGCTGCTCTGGTTCACCAGAAGCGGCTTAGTCATGCTGGCCACATGACCCAGAAGCTGTACGGCGGCTCCCTCGGCCAATAAAGTGAGATGAGCGCTGCAACCCCAGAGTTGGTCACGACTGGACCTAATGGTCAGGGGTCCCTTTACCTAAGGTACCATTGTGCCTCCAGGTGTTGTTGGCTTCAGAAGTGGCTTGCTGGGTACAGTGGAGCTGCTGCTACTGGGCAGGAGGGGAGAGCTGGGGAGAGCAGCGTGGTGGAAACAGACTGGTGGAGCCAATCCACTGCTCATGCGGATATGTCCCCATGCTGACCTCCCTGTCACATCAGTCCTCACTCATTTGGTAAGCAAGAGACGTTTACCTTCTAGAAAGCTAGCATAGCAGCTCAATGTCACCTGGTGAGTCTCTTCTGACTGTCATGGCAAAATAGTCAGGGATGATGAGAGTTGTAGCCTAACATCCGGAAGGTCACACATGTTCCCCGTCCCTGCCCTAGGAGGAGTATTCAGTCAAGCAGACCCCTACCTGCAATCTGACATGATCCTTCCCAGACACAAGGCGGTATATGTGGTTCTCCTCATCTCATATGGCCCACACAACAAACCTGTGAGGAAAGGTAGGCTAGGAGTTGATGACTAGTCCAAAGAAACCCAATGACCACCATGGCCAAGTGGGGACTTGAACCCTGATCTCCAAGGTCCTAGCCTGAAACTCTAACCACTACACCACATTTGCCCTGAGAACTAGGTCCCTGTCACTTTGCAAACGGTGTCTCCCTCTCCTTTCCCAAATTCTTATCATGTTTATATTCACTGGATTGAAGGAAAGATCCCAAACCTTAAGGACCATCCGGCTCCTTTGGCTACAAGTTAGCCTTGCTCACCTGGCAAGAACCACTAGGAGAGGCCCCATTCAAACTGAGAATACCAAACTCTTTAAGGCCACTATTACATGAAACTATTACACATCTAATTGAGCGATCTGACAACAGAAAGTCAAGGGCATGATGGCCAATTAGTTGTCTATTTGAATTTACTGCCTCAGTTTCAAGATAAAGAAGTTGAGGTGGACAATTCTTGAGAAACCCCAGTGTTACAGCATTAAAATGAGATACAGAGCATCTACCTTTGAAATACATTCTAGGTGTGCCTTCTCTGGCACAACTGGTAATGCTGCTGCATGAGTGATGGAAAAGTCTAGTCATGCTAGGTGTAGAGATCCTTCCACCGGAAGTTCACTGGAAACTGATTGGAAGGAGTCACTACAAATACGGTACGAGGAAGGGTTCCAAAATGTGCTGGGAATTTCCATGAGTGCTTCACACAAGCTGGAGTGTGAGAAGAATGTCAATGGAGAAGGGTGGAGTTGACACACTCATCCTCACTCATATCTCCCACCATGTTTACTTCCTGATATTTGTATTACAGAGGTACCTCGGGTTACAGACACTTCAGGTTACAGACTCCGCTAACCCAGAAATAGTACCTCGGGTTAAAAACTTTGCTTCAGGATGAGAACAGAAATTGCATGGTGGCGGCGCGGTGGCAGCAGCGGGAGGCCCCATTAGCTAAAGTGGTACCTCAGGTTAAGAACAGTTTCAGGTTAAGAAGGGAGCTCCAGAACGAATTAAGTTCTTAACCCGAGGTACCACTGCACAGTATATGAAAAAAAAAGAGTGCTCATGGCAGAGCAATTAATAACTATCAGGATAGACAGAAGCTGGGAATAGCTGCCCCATGTGGTGAACAACTGACCTACAGGTAGCAGTTTCATAGTGAAGGACTGATGTCTCCCACCTACATGGGTCATAGCTGTCAACCTTCCCATTTTTTGCGGGAAATTCCCTTATTCCAGCGCCGTTTCCCACTGCTTCCTGCTGCTATCCCAGATTGTTAGATATCCCATAGACTGTTCCCGGGACAGGTGAGGCTGCTGATCCCTTATTTTCAAATCTGAAAGTTGACAGCTATGACATGGGTGTAGCCAAGCAGGGGCAGGGAGGGGCAGTTTCCCCCCTAAAAGAATAAAATTTGATACAAATACATAGCGGTTTTGCCCCCCCCACAAAAGACACCCCCCCGAAACAAAAGTCATGCTCCCCCTAACAAAAATCCTGGCTATGCCCATGCCCACCCAGGTTGGCGATTGGATCCTCCAGGACAAGGCCAGACAACCTGTGAGGCAAAGTGAGGAGACTGCCTCAGGCAGATCTTTATTCCCCCTTCTTCTTCACTTACCCCTTCTTCTCTAGGCTAGCAGGGTGTGGGTGTGGGTGCACGCGCGCCATTTTGTGGTTTCCCTTAGGTGCCTAACTGCCTTGTACCAGGCCTGCACCTGGACAGTAAAGGTCTTCCTGGTTCATACTGAGCCTTGCCTGAGTAACAAAGTTTTGATCTATGGCCAGGGATCAGAAACATTTTCAGCAGGGGGCTGGTCCACTGTCCCTCAGACCTTGTGGGGGGGTCAGACTATATATTTTTTGGGGGGGGGAATGAATGAATTCCTATGCCCCACAAATAACCCAGAGATGCATTTTAAATAAAAGGACACATTCTACTCAGGTAAAAACATGCTGATTCTCAGACTGTCCGCGGGCCGGATTTAGAAGGCGATTGGGCCGGATCTGGCCCCCGGGCCTTAGTTTGCCTACCCATGATCTATGCTGTATCATTGCTTGGTCTTTGGTTCTGACTTCCGGTATGTTCTTCGGTTCCTGGCTTGTTCCACAGCTCCAGGTTCCCACAGCCTGGCAATCAGAGTCAGCCACCTTCTCCTCTGAGTAGATACCTTGGGCTCTGATACCAAGCAGTTCAACCTAGAACTTACCACATTGACTCCAAGAAGCTTCATTTTGCATAGGACAAATGAGCAAGACAATGAGCACACATGACACAGTGGACATACGAAGAGCCCAGCTGTATCAGACCAAAGGCCCATCTAGTCTAGCATCCTGTTTTTGCAATGGCCAATCAAATGCTTATATAGGAAGTCTGCAAGGAGGACCTGAGAGCAACAGCAGTCTCCTCACCTGTGAATCCTAGGAAACGGTATTCAGCACTGCCTTCGACAGTGGAGGACGGACGTAACTTTTATGGATAGCCCCCAAAATGAACAGTGGCATAGACTAGCTGTCTTCTTCTAGTGTTGTTGCCTTGAAATGTGGTTTGGAAATCTTTTAATAAATCAATGAAAAGAAGAAGGATAGAATTGTAGAGGGGGAAGGGACCATGAGGGTCATCTAGTCCAAACCCCTAAAACACTGGAGTCTTTTTGTCCAACGTGGGGGCAAAGATTAAGAGAGTCTCACGCTCTGCTGACTGAGCAATCCCAGAAAGAAATAAGATAAGGAGCACATGGCGAGAATGTAAGAAATTGATGTATTGTGCAAGTCAGAACATTAATAGTACTTTATTAAAATATACTGGCCTGTTAATGTACTGAATTAAAATGGCTTTTTGCAGTTATGGCCCATCTCACAAGTAAATAAGGTTCATAAATAAGGAAACGTTCCTTGAAATAAGGAACAGGTGCACAAACACAACGGCAATGCTTTCTTTTCCTTGCAAGTGGGACTTCTTGCTGCCATATGCAGAGAGATCTCCTGGAGCAATGTAAAGCACATGCTCTCTGCGAACAGGCCATGCCCAACTATGTGGTCGCAGCCAGCCATCTGCTTTGCCATGCTGTGGTAATGCAAAACAGCCATAAAATCTACACTGGTGACACAGTCAGAACAGGTTTGCATCTGCATTGAATTTCAAGAACATAACAAAGTAGCCATAGTGTATGGCTCAATCTGTGCAATATCCTAGAGGAGCTGAAAATGGTGACAGATTGCCTCCATCTATCTGGAAGAAAAACCCACCAGTTCTCCTGATATAATTTAATTTCCAGTCATCCCATTTAGGGATGCATAGACTAGAGACATGCATTTCTAGCAACAGGGATTGGGAAGTCACAGTGTTGGAAACAAGAATGGGCATAGCCAGGATTTTTGTTAGGGGGGCAGGTCTCTCTTTTTTGGGGGGGGAGAACCTGAGTTTGCTATGTATTTTTATTGATTTTTCGGGGGGGGGCAGCTGCTCCTCCCTGTCCCCCCATGGCTGCGCCCATGGAAACAAGCTTGACTTTATGGAAACAAACGGGGAAATGTGTAGGGTTTTTGTTTATTTGTTTTAACTTGCTGCAAAATATTTAATAAAGAGGCATCTGCAAAGGGCAAAGGAAGGAATTACACACACACCAAATAGCAGGGATCTAGGATGGTAATAAGGAAAACAACAACAATTCTATTTCACAGCACAAGTAGAAAATGAGCTTTTGCTTGTACATTCTGGATTGGGTCCAATCGGCTGTTGGTTGTGTTACTATGGATTCAATGTGTAAAAAGTTATATAAGGAGCAGCTTAACCAGCAACAATTGTGGTGGCTTTCCTTCTTCCTACCAAACGCCCTGACCTCCCACAAGGAAACATGTAAAAATCTATAAGGGACTTAAGTGATGACTCAGCAATGGAATCCAGAGCTCAGATCAAATACTGTGAAGTCCCTGTCAAGGCTGGCAGTTTAGAGATAAGCCAGGAAACAGTTGAGTAAATACATAGAGATTAGCACTCTTAAGAGCTTGTTCTGTACCTGAATGATGAATTGTTTTAATAGTCACACCAAAGTTAGCAGCTTTAAAAGGATCAGGTGCAATCCTAGAGGCCTTTTTGTCCCATGCACTCCCAGAGTTTTTGGACTACAAGTCCCATCACCCCTGCCCATTGGCCACGCTGGCTGGGGCTGATGGGTGTTGTAGTCAAAAAACTTGGTTGAAGAAGGCTGCTATGTATAGCTTTCGCTCTCTGTAATGATGTTCTTGAGGCACTGGAGATGACAGGTGAGTAACTCTCTCTTCTAGCAGGCTGCCCTGATGGCATAGATTAGAAAGTTAGGATCTTGGGACCCACGCTGCATGCTGGCTGGATTGAGAGCCCTGCTGCAAAGCTGCTCAGTGCAACATATCTAAATATAGACCCAAGCCCTTGCCCAGCATGCTCCCCCATTGAATATCATTTGCGGTCCAGTCCACTTTCCATCACGATTCCAGATGCTGTAGGAATGTTTTGTTCTATTCCACCTCTAAGAAAGCCAGGGTGGACAGGATAAGACCAGTGAATGGATTTCATGTGTCTTGTGGTGTCTCTCATAACCCAACCTCTTCAATCCTGAACCATACCTGTGGAGAAGTGGAGGTCAGGCAAAACTTTCAAAAGGCATCGCAGGGAGAGCAGAATGCTTTGACAGCAGGGCTGTGGCTGAACCCCCCACCTTGCAACTAGTTTTGCTGCCCAGGCAGGAAATGGAAGGGGCGGTGGCCATGGGCATCGCCAGGATTTTTGTTAGGGGAGGCAGGACTTTGTTGGGGGGGCAGGACCATCGTGACTGGTCAGTTAGTTAAATATTTATATTGTTTTACTTGGTGGGGGGGAGGCAACTGCCTCCTGCCCCCCCCCTTGGTTAGGCCCATGGTGATGGTTGCTTTCTTGGTGATGGCAACAGCAGCTGTGCAGCCATGGGGAAGGTGCTGGCCAGAGAGGGAAGAAAAGAAGAACATAGGAAAAGCCTACTGGTTCTGGCCAGTGGTCCATCTTGTCCAGCTCTGACATAGGCCACCCAAATGCCTGTGGGAAACCTGCAAGCAGGACCTGAGCACAACACCACTCGCTGCCATCCCCTGGTTTCCAGCAACTG